CCGCCCTGGCTCCCTCCGCTCGAATCGCCGAATACCTCGTCCGTCGGGGTAGAATACCGGCGCCCATAATGTCCCTTGTCCCTGTTGACACCACGCTGAAGGTGCCTCCTCCGGATCCCGTTCAGGAACCGCCAAAAGTCGCTATAACGCCATGCGAAGGACTTCCCGTACGCTACTACTTTGAAGGAGGACTGCGTCGCGTCTACCCATACCATTACACCTACAATACACACTGCAAGGAGCGCTGGCGAAACAGGGAGCTGATAGATATCTTCACCTCTGAATTCCGCGACCGTGAACCGGGCTACTACGTACGCTGCTCCACTCATCAACCCCCAAAAACCAAATCCCACGTACTAATATCTTCTGGCGATGTAGAGAAAGGCCCTCGAAAGCGGCAACGTCTGCGTAAACGGAAAGCCCGCGGGCCCGCACACCGTCCTCAAGAATGGCGAAGTCATCTCGCACACCCTCCACCGACACGAACCCCCCGTCACAGGAAACGAAATCGGTATCATCCATGAGTCCGAGGATCTGCTCGTCATTGACAAGCCAGCCGGCGTGCCCGTCCACTCAACGGGGCGGTACCACTACAACTCCGTCATGGAGATCTTGCGCATCCAGAACGGCGGCGCGTATGTCCCGCGCCCTTGTAACCGACTGGACCGACTTACATCTGGTGTCATGTTTGTCGGAAAAACGGTGCAGGGTGCCGATCGGATGACTGTTAAGCTGAGGGAGCGGACGGTACAGAAGGAATACGTTGCGCGCGTGAAGGGGCGGTTCCCGGACGGGGTGACGGTTGTCGACCAACCCATCATGAGCGTGAGCCCGAAAGTCGGCCTGAACCGCGTCCGCGCCACAGGGAAGGAAGCGAAGACAAAGTTCAGACGGTTGGCGTATTATCCACCGCCGTCCCCTACGACCCCTCCGGCGGAGGGCGAAGGCGATAGGCCCGCAACACCGCCGCCCTCTTACGTCAACGAAAGCGAAGGCTACAGCATCGTGCACTGCTTCCCGCTTACCGGGCGGACGCACCAGATCCGCGTGCATTTGCAGTTTCTGGGACACCCGATCAGCAATGATCCGATTTACAGTAATCGGCGGGTGTTTGGGCCGGAGCTCGGGAAGGATGATGACAGCGCTGAGATGGATGACGAGATTGTCGAACGCCTGATGGCAATGGGGCGGACGGAGGTTCCTGATATTGGGCCTGTCGAGGCGAAGAAGACGAAACCGTCTGAGACGGAGACGCCCAAAGAACTCTCATCGCCCGAGCCCGCGCAAGAACAAGAACAAGAACAACAGAAACCATCATCAGGCCAAGGCTCCACCTCCGAAAAGAAAGAACAAGCCTCCTACCGCACGCACTTCACAACACCGCCCCTCCTACCCCCTGGAACATCGCCATCCGTTGTGGAAGCAATAATGACAAAAGAGCACGAGGAGGCCGTAGCCACCTACGAACGCCGCAAAGGCGAGCGATTGTCAGGAGAGAAGTGCGACGTCTGCGGCACAGAACTCTACACGGACCCGGGCGTCCACGAGCTCGGCATCTTCCTGCACGCCGTCGCGTACGGCGATGCGCACGGGGAATGGAAGTACCGCAGTAAGATGCCGAGCTGGGCAAGACCGCCTAGGGGCGTGGAGGGGCCGACGGGGGTGCCGGAGTGGGTTGAGGATGTGGAAAATGAGGTTGTTTATGGGGATGGCGTTGTGAGGGAGTTTGGGGTTGAGGATGAGGGGGTTGGGCAGGGTGGGAAGTCGGGGAAGAAGGGGAAGGGCAGTGTAAGTGTTGCGGCGCTTGTTGAGGGGGTGGGGATGGTTGATATTTCGGAGAAGAGGCAGGCTGAGGAGATTGCTGCTTCTGCTGCTGCTGGTGAGAGTGCGTGAGGTATGATGGGGAAGGTATAAAAGTGCTTGTTTGAGTTGCGTGCATGGTGCATAGTATTGGGAGTTGGATGCATTGCCCTTGATAGACTCCGCGTATACCAGGAATATATTTCGAGTAGACTACGTTCTCGGATTGAATCAGAGCAGCATAGAACGAACGAAAGCATCCCTTACCATTCATTACTGTGCTTGCGTAGGGCTTGAATCGTACTCCGTCTAGACCATGGTTAGGACTTAGAATCAACGCCGAAAGAGGGTGGGTTAACCGACTACGTTCTTCGAGTTTGAAGGACAGCATCATTGAAACGAAAGAAACTCCATCCATTCAATTCCCAGACACCAACAAAAGGACAAGCGTCCCGCACCAAGCAAGCGAAAGAATCAACCGAGAAGACCGCGAATCCATTCAACAACTCATTTGGTATTTAAATGGATAGATGGATGGTAGGGTATGTATAGTAAAAAGTCCGACCCATTTTCCACCCCTTGTCCAGTCCAGCAAAAGATGGACTTTCCTCCAGCCCAGCTCAGCCCAGTCCAATCGTCCGAGACCGTAACCGTAACCGTGTGCCCGCGCTTTATCAATTCGTTCCCAGAATCATTTTCGCTTTTTTTCGTTTCAATCGGTGCCAACGTAATGCATATGTTTATGCATTTACGCCTCGGTGGTGACACGGCCACGGGGGTTGGTGACCTTGACACCGAGGGCCTTGGCCTTGGCGATGATGTCGACGCGCTTGCGGGAGGAGACGGCGGAGGCGATCCTGTTCAGAATTAGTTCCTCCGCTTGTTTCATGTAGAGAGTTGTGGATGGACGCACTCAGCAGCGAAGGTGCGGTTGTGCATGAGGAGCAGCTCAACGTCCTTGGCGTTGTGAACGAGGAAAGCCTTGTGGCCGGAGGGCATCATGTGCTTGGTCTTCTTGTTGCTGCCGTAACCGATCTACCCAGGTATTAGCCTTCACTTCCATTTCATTCTGAATGCATATCGATTGGTCGATTCGACTTGAACTAGGGCCGTGGCGGGTGACGTACAGAGGGCATAGGGATGTTCGACTTGAAGCGGCGGCGGACGCGGTTGTCGATACCCTTAGGCTTGCGCCATGACTCCGGCACGCACTTGAAGCGGTCGGACTGGTGGCGGGTGAAGCGCTTGGTGCCTGTACAGGATGATCAGTCAGTTGACTTGATCACATATAAACTTGTGGAATTCGAGTCGTTTCTTCGCTGGTCGTTTCCAATTCCGATAATCACTGAGCGATAAAATTCTTCAACACATTCCTCCTCTTCCCTTTTGTTGTCTTCCGTTTTTCAATCCTCCTCTTCGACTCAAACCGAGCAGGGCAATAGATAGACAGGTGATGACATACGCTTCTTGACGATAGGGACGTGCTTCTTAGCGAGGACCATCTTCACGCAATAATTAGCATCAACGATATCTCCTTGACGAGCAGATTCAGGATGTGAATATACCTTGTCGTTTGTCCCGTTGGCGCTGGAGTTGTCGAACGGTCGAAATCGGTCTCGAAATTTCGCGCTGAGGGTTGGCCGCCCGAGACTGCTGCGACCCCGTTAGTGCCCTTTGCTAAGCGAGCGGAGAGGCCTGTGGGCACGTGATAGGGCTACTGGGCTCTACCCTACGGGGCTTCTCATTTTGGTTTAGTCTATCTATTTTCTTTAGGCTAGCCTGATCAGGAGCTATACTTTCACCGCCCGCCTCGCCCGCCTTATGAGCATCATCCTCTGTTCACTCCGCGGCGTCTTTACTCTTGCAGCTTCAACGTCTTCCTCTCACCATCCTCGCCACTCTTGATCATCGACTCCAAAATCTCCAGGTCAGCCAACGCCTCCTCTGGACGCAACTTATCATTCAGCTTCCCGGCAACAATCGACTCTCCGAACGCCTTGACTTCCTCTTTGACTCCGGTCCCTTCGAAAGGAATATCGGTCGCATCGCCGTTAACCGTCAGCCGGTCGTCAACAAGCGCCACCACACCCTTCTCGCAAGTAAACTCGAGTACGGAGTCTTTGAACTCGGAACCGAATGACAGGTTGAGAACACCCGCGGCGCCAGATGCTGTCGTGAGAAGTGCGTCCACTGTATCAATTGGAGGGAGGTGTTCTTGTAGTTGGCTTGTCTGCGCCGTGAGGAACTTGAGGCTGTTTGGTCCGCGTCCGAGAATGAGTCGGAGGCCAGCGAGCGTATGAATTCCACCGTCTAGGAGGAATCCACCTTGGTATTCGGGAGTCTTGCGCCAGGGTGTGTCTATACCAGGTCAGCATCAACTCCGAAGCTCGTAGAAGTAAGGTAGACGAAAGGAACGCGGCACATACTGAAGTATTTCCCCTCCGTCCCGACTTTGTTTCTCACGACGACCCGGAAGGTCTTCACGCCTCCGAGCTTCTGCACCTCCTCTGCTGTCTTGAGCCACTTGCGAATGAAGCGGTAGTTCTCCGCAACTCCCCAAAGGGCCTTGGACTTGTCAACGTTGGCACTATCATTGTACCAGTTCACCAGATCATGCGCAGTAGCAAGGTCCTTAGCAATCGGCTTCTCGGACAGAACGTGCTTTCCTGCGGCCAGGGCCTCCTTGATGTATGCCGGCTGCGCGAGAATGGGGAGGCTATCGAGGTTAGTAAAAGCGTCCATTACGACCACAGCTTGCAAGGCTCAATCCAGGCCATAGACCGAACCCAAGGGCACAGAAAGCAGGCTATACTCACGCTAAAACAACAGCCTTGATATCCTCCCTCGCAAGGAGATCCTTGTAGCTTTTCCCCGCGCCGGAGTCATCGGAATACAGATCTACACCCTGGAGACCGTCCGCCAGACCCTGCGCGGATTTCAGCGAGCGCGAGTAGATCGCTTTCAGCGAGAGGGTGGGCGCTCCTTTGATTGCAGGCTAGATGTTGACTTTGTTAGTACGTATCAGGTTATGGATATCCGCAGTTCATGCAAATGCGCTCGATTGCGCTGGATTACACAAGGTATCTGCAGTTGGTGCATCATATGGGTGACGTACGAGATGTTGCTCCTTGGCAAAGATGCCTGTCGCGCCGTTAGTTTTCCAAGTTCATTACTGCGTAGCCAAGTCAAAAGAGATGGGAGAGAACTACTACTAACCGCTGCCGATAATCGCGACTCCGATAGTCATTTTGTCTCAGTTGTAAGATAAGATGGCAATATTGATGGAGGAGTGAAATGTTTTCAAGGTACAAGGTACAAACCGGTTGGGAATATATATTTAGTCGACGCGGGGACATGGTGGGGTTTTGCTGTCATCATCGTTAGGCCCTGGCTTCTTGTCGGCTGGACCCGACGGCCTTTTATCAATATCTCATGGTCAATCCAACATCGGATTCGCGAATCCATCGCGGATTCAAAGTAAATACTTCTATCCCGAGTCTCTGACGTCTTTCATCTCTATTTGCTAATCTGTACAGCATTATGCACGTCATTGATAATTGCTTACGAACTCGAACCTTCCCCGCAGCTAAACAACCCTCAGTAGTCGGGATGATTCCCTTCCCTATTCAACGATACCGCATATCATGCCTACAGTACTTAAGATAGCAGTCCGTCTCTCTGAGATTGCGTCACTGCTGTCTGAGGGGTTTTACGAAACATATGAGGTCCTAACCCTCCGACCTTTAAGAGACCTATATACACAACTCCTCAACGCCCATGGCCTGTTCCATGCGTCGACCCTGCTGCTAATATTCCCTGACGCTGAGGATGTTGTACAACGAATTGAAAAGCACGTATTACAGTCTAAGGGCGACGAGCCCATGGTGCTGAAGAAATCACTATCAGAGGACTACTCCATGCTGGCAGTTGCGGTGAGTCTCAACTCGTGTCTCTGACCAGCTACAAATCTGGAATCTCTGTGACAAAATACGAGGTTCAAGTCTGCAATTATTGCCCAGGTGGCAATTACTGCGCTTCAAACGGGATACCTTGGCTCGGTTCATTGGACTTCAAGAGCCGCCTTTATCATCAGCCTTGTCACTGCCCTCCTCTCAGTATTCTATTCCTCCTTGCTACAGCGCAAACTCGGCAGCTTCTTCAATGCCGATGACGTGAAAGACTGGCTCAGCAAACCTAGTGGACTTAGGGAGCGTCAAGTTGTGGACCGGATGATTCGCGCCCTCTTGCGAAGACAGAGTGACGTGGAGCGGCCATCGGTGCAGGACGGCAGCGACAATAACAACATCAATACGGAAGAAGTAAAGTTAATGGAGGTACAAAAGCTCGTCATTGACTTCCGGGACCGCAACCACTGGGTCTCAGCCTCGCTCAGCTCCGCTATGATGATCCAAACACCCGCGTTGCTTCTCAGACACTCCCTCGAAGCCTTCCTCGTGGGCCTCGGAATTTCCCTTGGCTTCGTCGCAGCAGATAACCTGGACGCCTCTATAAACCAAGGTTCCTCATTCGCCGTCTTAGTTGTGTATATTGCTGTCACAGTATCCGCTATTCTACTCTACCTTGTCCCATCTATGTTCAAGGAACTAGAATTGGCACCCATCCGCCGATGGCAGACACTCCTAGATGCAAAGCTCAAGCAAAACGGCTCCACAGACTCTCCCCATCCAAAGCCGGACTTGGAGGCCCTCTTCCGCCAGCGGCCCGCTCCGGATGAGAGAGTGAACACGGAGACTACTGTCCGATTCCGGCCTCCCTTTACCCCCTCCAGACAGAATACTTTTGATACCACATCTGACAACAGATCCTGGAAGGGAAGACTAGAGGCTATCGGCCGACCAAAACCAGAGCATCCAGAGCACTCGCGGAACCAGGTACCTACCGAACAGGAGCAAGCTCACCATTCATCTCAAGAAGGTTTGACAGGTATTGGCGTTGGCAACTTCGAGTCCGGCCCAGAAAAGGCCAAATTGACCCAGGTACAAAGTAATTTTGAAGATAGCGCTGGAAAGGACCCTGGGGACGGCGCGCATGCTGGCGTATCCTTTGCAGAGGCTGATAATACATCCCGGAAACATGAGCTAGGCGTTATTGACCCTGGTTCTTCTTCTGATCCCGTCTCGCAGAATATCAAATCAACCCAGGCACATGATATTCCGTCCGAAGGTGCTTTGAGAGCTGAAAGTGAACCGTTCCTAGCAGCTCTACATGCTTCTATTGCTGCGCAAGAACAATTGGCGTTATGTTTGAAAGCTTTGCAGGGTCAGTATGTAAGGTTCCGGATGGAAGAAGACTAGGCGGTTGGGACTTGCATGCGCAAGGATGAGTTTGTGAGGAGGCTGGAGTCGTTGGAGTAACTAGTTCGTATAGCATTGGAATCAACTGAATTGTATACACCGTAATCACTTTTCCTAGATGTTGGCTTATCGTTGGAATATGAGCAATCCTCGCTTGTGACAGGCAGTAAATTTTAGAAACGACAGACCCATAACAAAATGGATGCCGTGGTGGGGATGCACGTGCCGAACTGTGGAGGACAAAGTAACCGCTGGACAAGCACGAACAATCAAACAAAATCCCGGCCTGAATCCCAATCGATCGACAATCAATCGATATCTGGAGACCGCCGAATTGACGATGCCAGTGACACCCTGGCTAGCTCGTTGCGCGACTATTGACGCCGGTGGCTATAATTAGCGCTGGGATAAGGGCCCTTAGCCTACTACAGCGTCCTCGGTCCCTACGCTCGGCGTTCCAGGCTTGGAGCGGGCTGGGGCCGCTGCTTTGGTTGGGTTTCACCTTCCGCTCCTTAAATCCTTCTCCTCCTGGCCACTCCGCAATCTTATCCTTATTCTTATTCTTTAATCTTGTCCATGGCCTAACGACACTATACCACCATGGCGACAAGCACAGCAACCGCGTATGCATCTACAACGCTAGTCAGCGTGCCTCGAGGCCCGGCCTTCGAGAAGAATTGTCCGACATGCGGCCAGGCGCCGGAGTCCCAATCTCACCCCGCAGAACTTACGCGCCGCCGGGTAAAGGACTTGGAGGGACATGTCCAGTTTTTGAATGAGCAGGCTGCTCAGATGTGTATGTTGAACTTTCCTCCAACTGCATGAGATCTTGAGGCTAACTTACCGCCTCGCACAGCAGAGAAACTGCTAGAGTACGAAGCGGAAATGCGACGACTCCGTGTCCAAGCCAATCAACCCGCCCCCGGAACATCCAGCTTTACCCCGCGAAATGGCCTCTCGATCTCCTCTACCTCGACGTCCTCGCACTCGCCGTCGAACTCGAACTCGACTTCGCAAGCACCCCCGCAACAAGTCGTCCCACCGACCCAAAGCCGTCTTTCATCCCTTGCCTCGCTCCTCCCCTACCGCCGTCCCAGCACAGCATCCTCCCAACCACAGTCCCAGCCACCGCCCTCGCCGGCCCTGCAACAATGCCAGCCAATGCCTTTCACCCAGTCTCCGCCTCCCCTCGAACCGCGCACTCCCACGCCCCGCCCCTCCTCCGAAGAAACCCTCGAGCTCCAGAATGCACTCAGCCGCGAACAGAGCCTCCGCAAGGCGGCCGAGACACAGCTCACGCAGGCGAGCAGCGAGCTGGAGGAGTTGACGGCGCAGCTGTTTAGCCAGGCGAACGAGATGGTTGCGCAGGAGCGCAAGGCGCGAGCGCGGCTGGAAGAGCGGGTTGCTGTGCTGGAGCGACGGGATGTCGAGAAGAGGAATCGATTGGAGAGGTTGGAGAAGGCGATGGAGAGGGTTGAGAGGATTAGGGCCTTGGTTGGGTGACCTTTCTTTCGTCTTTGATTACTCTGTGGAGCACGGAGGGGGCGTGGAGTTGGTCTTGATTTCCTGCTTTTTGCGGTTCTTGCTTTATATATACCCGGGATATACTGGCTATGGGATTGGGTTGGGTCTGCTTTGTTTGGGTTGGACTGGGCTTCATGAATTATGATTGCATGGTTATGGATGGACGGGACAAGGATATACCTGGGCTCAAGCTGTTTTTTTCGTCTGGTATGGGTGCTGGCGTTTTATACAATTTACGGAGTAGTCGCTTATATACATGCAAGACTTATTGAGCTTTCTAGTCTGTCTGTTCCCCGGGTTTACCCCATATGTACCTCTCCTCTCTCTATTTTCCCTGACACTTCATCACCCATTTATAATCCATAGAAAGACCACCCTTTCCACACCGTCCTTCCTACCTCCTCCACCCCTTCGCAGTAACCACCAAAACAACCGCCGTAACCGCACTAACAACCCCAAAAACACTCACCATAACCCCCCACCCCCACCTATCAACCAACCACCCGGAAACAAGCGGCCCCGCCACCTGCCCCCCCGACCAAGCAACATTAAACAAGCCATACGCCTGCGCCGTCCCACCCTTCTCACCAAAGACCCCCGGACACGCCCGTTCAATCCCCTCAACGGCATGCGTAACCTCAACCATCAGCGAAACGGTCTTAAGCGCGGCCCCGAGCCCCGCAGCGAAGAGAAGCGCGTAGAGCGTGATTTTGTCTTTGGTTGTGTTTTCTGTGACTAATGACAGGAGGAAGAATGTTGGCACGTCGAGGATGAAACCTAGGATTGCGATTGGGCGGCTGCCGTGCTTGTCGACGGCGGATCCGATCAGGGTGCTTAGGAAGGCGGGGAGGAAGAGCGGGATGAAGCTTAGGCCTATGCCCATTGGGGACATTGAGAATGTGCGGCGGACGTAGAGGGGGAGGACCTGCAAGCCGTTAGAACAAGGGGGTCTGTAGGAAGGGTTGTGGGGCGTACAGAGTCAAACGAGGCCCACGCCATTGCTTCGACGAGGGTTGCTTCGAGGACGACGAGGAGCGTAAGCGAGCAGATCATGCGGAGCATCGGGGGCATGGAGCTCTTGGTGAAGATGGAGCCTTCCGCTGTGGACTTTGCGTTTGGGCGCTGGGATTCGGCGTCATGGTTGGACTCGGACTCGGACTCGACGGCCTCGTAGCCGTATGGAGGTATGGTCGTTGTACTCGCGGAGGAATCTATAAGCCTCTCTGTTTCCGCGTCAGACTGCGCAGCACTATCATCAATCCACCGCGTAGCGTTCTTCCGCTCGATCATCACAAGGCGCAGCGCGATATCCACGAAGATCAGGGCGAGTGCGAGACCGAAGACGGCGTGGTATCCGGCCTTGGACAGGCTATAACGCATCAGCAACCCCCGGTGTTAGATAAAGTGGTGAAAAGAGAAGACTTACACAACACCCCCCACAGACGGCCCCATAACCGTGCCGACGGTCATAGCCATAGACACAATCCCCATAGCGGCACCCACCTGCTCCTTCCCCATCGTATCAACGATAAGCGCCATACCCACAGTCCATACGACCGCGCACGAGAGACCCTGGAACGCGCGCGCGATGACAAGCGCGTTGATCGTGCGCGCGAACCAGAACATCACGGTTGAGCCGGCGAGCGCTAGCAGCCCGATCATGAAGGGGGCCTGCCGCGAGGAGGATCTGTCGGCGAAGTAGCCGAATATTGCTGCGGATTGGCATTAGTATCCAGATAGCGGAGGGTTGGGGGAGGTAGGGTTCCCGCTGGAAGCTTACGAGATCCGACGAAGAGGGCGCCCCCGAAGGCTGCCAGGAGGATGGACATCCATTTTTGTACTGCTTCTTGTTAGGTGATTTTGCTGCTCCAGCGGAATGGAGGACGGACGCTCTTCTTCTGGGATGGAGGCTCGGGTCTTTAGGACCTCAGGGAGGATGGGTATAATCTGGGCCGTCTTGTCAGCATTGGCCCGTGTCTGAGCTGGTCAGGTGTGAACGTACCATGCCATATATGAACACGTCCTATCAATAAATTAGCTAGAGAACGAGTCGAGAAGATCAGGAAACGCACCGTGAAGACCGCAATGGCCACAACCCAGGTAACGAACGCCTTGGACGAGCGCAACTCAACCATCCACGGCGCAGGCGCATTGTCGAAGTCCGCATTCTGCTCTCTTTCTTCCTGCTGACAGGATCGACAGAATAAAGTTCTGGATGCGCTCTGGCTCTGAGATGACCCCGCCATGATCGATGATGCTCAATTGCCTCGACAACCGGTTCTACTAGGGGGGATAGAGCGAGTTCGACAGCGAAACGGATAGAAGTAAGGAGGAGAGAAACATGCTGAGCGTCAGCCCATGCGAGGGACACGGAGACATCGGGGAGTTGGAGGCTGGGTGATCAGGTGGGAACGCGAGTTGGAGTGAGGAGTGGAGGGGTGTGCATGAAGGCAGAAGAAACGAGCCTCGAGTGACGGGAAATCCTTGCCCAACCTGCCGATCGGATCCGCGAGCGCTGTGCTTGGCGTGCTTTTACAGGATGCGGACTTGTATATACTCCGCGCCCTCTTCTTTACAGTTTGCTCTGACGTGTTGTGGCAAGCTTGCTCCGTAACAATAATTGAGTCTTGAGTCTGACAGTCACAGCGGGAATTCTGAGCTCGGGCTCAGTGGGGCGACGAGACTAGATGTCTCCATCCCAAGCTCCATAGATAAGCAACTCCATTTCCACCTCGGAAACAGATATATCAACAATCAGCCATCCACCCATCTAGAAACCTACTCATCCCCAGGCCTCCACGCAGCCAACAACGTCGCAACAACCCCCGAAGCACCCACAACCGCCCAACCACTGCGAGCGACCTGCCTATTCGTCAGACCACGCCCCGTATCCCAAACCAAATGGCGAACACCATTAAACGCGTGGAACGTAAACGGGTACGCAACAGCAAACTTTATCGCGAATTTCGATGTCGGCGACAAGCTGCTGAACGCCGATGTCACGGATGCCGAGCCGATGTCCCACCCCGTCACTGGTGAGGAGAGGTAGGCTGTGCTGTAGAGGTAGAGGCCGCCTGAGAGCGCGATGCCCGTGATCCGCGTCGCTATACTGACGATCCAGGTGATTTGGGGACGGTAGATGGAGAGGTGTGGGGAGACGGGGCGGTTGAGGCGCTGTTTTGCGAGGAGGCTGCGCGGGTCTACTTTTGTCTTGGAGGAGGAGGATCTGACGCTGCGGACATGGGAGTTAGTATACGGCGCTGAAGAGTTGATAAGAGGAGCTCGTGTGCTCACCTTGTTGGCAACAAGACACGGACTCGTGAGCATCGTTGCGAGATGCCCCCTGTTGCTGCTGCTCGAACTACACAAAACACCAGGTTAGTTGCATATAGGTGCTAACATGCGGGAAAACATACCACACCCCCGAGGCGTCCTGAGCTGAGGTCGGATAGCAAACATTGTTGTGCTCTGCTGTAGAATCTCGAGGCGTTGATTTGGCAAGGGAGATCCTGCGAAGGAAGGGAGAATGGCTGTTATGTGTGCTGGTCGGCCCGACAGCACGGTATCTTCCGTGATCCTGCGGGCATATAGCCTTCTTAGTGTTCGCACTAGAGCATGATCCCTGTTCATTATCCTAATGAGGTAAAACAAGATGGGCCTGGATCGTTGAATCAATTATCGATGTTCTGTTCTTCGAGGAAGGGGTAGTCTACGGTGTATCTGGTTTGAACAAGCAGGACTACTGCCTGTACTCGTTCAGCCCGTAGTCAACTAGTAGCTCTGAATCAACCACTCAGTATTTCAGCAAGTGATAACCAGGATCTGCGATCATCAACCGATCTCGAAGCCGACCCACATCGCGTGATCGTGATGGACGTCGATGTCAAAGCTACGGAGTACTCAGGTTTCCTAGAGTCCGGTTAAATTGACTACTCAGAATCGAACATAGCAACAGGTCAATTAACATATCATGCTCTCTTCATTCTCTGTGCGCATCATGTTGAGTCGTGATCCTATTCGCATCGCAAGGCTGTCTCGTGAGAGGACATGGCATCTCTGATAAAGAACAAGAAATTGGAGACTCCACACGCCCACCGGGACCCAAACAAGACAGAATTCGGAGGGGAGGGGAGAGGATTAGGTAGTAGGCTAACTCAGGTATCGACTCCTCCACTTCGGACTCAAACAAAACAGGGTCGGGAAAACAAGAGAAGGAAAAGATGGCAGACAAACTTTTCGACATGCGTGGCAACAACGATACAAGATGGCTAGACGTAAACATCATAGATCTAGCCTGCGAGAAAGAGGAGATGCTGGAATGGACAGAAACCAAGGCGACAACTGCAAGCGGGTGAGATGGAAGGGGTGAGGAAGGGCGGTATGGTAGAGGTAAAATGAGAGACAAATGGCTATCAACGTAACCAAAAGACATCCCGGCGGTGCAAAGAGGGAAGACATCGTCTCTGCCGGCGCGATGCTTCGGTCGACTGATGATGGGGGTCAAAGGGGGTATCCATGAATCTATGCAAAGTTACGGCCACCACGGCGGTTGTTGCGCGGTTTTGAGCTGACAGTGCTCCAGCCCTCATCGTCAGCAGCGTTCTCGGTGGAGGTAGGTCCGGCCCTCCAGGAACCGTTCGTCTTGTCATCCGCCTTCGAGGCCTCGGCTGTGGCGGCAGCGGCTTGATTCTTCTGCTCAGGATCCTGGTCGGCGTTCATGCCGCTCTCATCCTCACCGGCCCGCCGGAGAATCTCAAAGTTACCCCCACCGCGAGGTGTGTCCTGCTGGTCCCTGCCGTTGGGATCAAGCGTCGACCCGGGCTTCTCAGACTTGACGGCGTCCTTGGCGACCCTCTGTTTCTCTGCCTTGTCGGCCTTGGCCTTCTCATCAGCCTCCTTCTTCTGGCGCAGAGCGAGTTGGCGCCGTTGTTCAACTTCCTTCTCTCGGGTGGCGGTGTCAATCGGACGAGCACCGCCGAAAATGCTAGACTTCGATTCGCCGCTGGTAGGGCTTGCGGCCGCATCGGTCACGGTTCGCTTTTGGAGGTTCAGCTTCGGCCTTGTGGCGGGAGCAGGGGCAGCGGCCGGCACGGCCGCAGCCGGGGAGGGGGAGGGAGGGTTGCTGGGCTGCTTAGGAGCATCGGGCTTCATTCTGGCCCTCCACTGGTTATCCATCTCAGCGGCGGTGGGGGCGCGTTCCTGGAATTCGCGTCGGGGAGGGCGAGAGCCGTCCTGGGAGCGCTCAGAGCGTCCTTCACCCCAAGCAGGGGAGCGGCTTCGGAAACCAGGACCTTCATTGCTGCTGGGGCGGCCTTCCCTCATAGGTGGAGGAGAAAGGGGACCCTTGCGTTCCCAGTTCGAGAAGTCGCGGACCTTGCCGTCACTCTCAAAACCACCACGGCGGCGCGGCTCGCTGCCGGCATCGGAGACGTTGTCAAGGTTACGACCGAAAGAAGAACGGTCAGGCACTCGGCGCTGAGGAGCGTCGGGCAGAGGGCCGCGGCGAGTCCAGTCAAACTCCTTCACATCGCGCTCCTTGGCTGTAAATAAGTTAGTACTGCGTTGTACGTTCAAGTCGGGACAGACATACGGGGCTCTGCGATGCTGACCCGGATGGCGCGTCCCTGAAGGGTGGCTCCAGCGAGGTCAAGAGCCTTCTTAAGACCTTCGACAGTTTCGAACTCGACGTAACCGAAACCCTTAGGAGCCTTTGTCAACTTGTCTTCCACGATACGAACGTTGGTAACTTGACATTCGGCGAAGAGGTCCGAAACATCAGCCGAGGTAGCATCGAAAGAAAGGTTTCCGACGTGAGCGGTGTATGGGGGCTCGGTTGGCAGGGGAAGGGGCTCCCTTAGAGCAAAGCCGCGTTCTTTCACATTGTCAATACACATATCGCTCCACAAAACCAAGGAGCAGTGTTTACCGTTGAAACTGGGTCCACCAAAGCCAGCAGAAGACGCAGGAGGGGGGCGGCGGTCGCCTCCAAAGCTGGAGGGAGCGGGAGCTGCGACGTGTTAGGAATCATATATATGGCATGGCAATCGTAAGGTTGTGCGTTCGCGGAAGGTGGTCGCTTACCGGCTACAGGACGATCACATCAGCAAGGGTCATCAAACGCTAAACGGGACTGATATAGCACTTACCAGGCAAGGGCATGTCCTCCATCTCATCGGCCCAAGAGCCGAAGTCTACGGTGGTTAGCCATGTGCTGTGCGCGGGGAAGCCTCGAATTTCGGAGCATACTCTCGTCAGCCAAGAAGTTCCCGAGGGACATCTTCTGGGCCTTTTGCTTTCCGGGCGCTGTTGGAATCCATCTGTTAGCCTCCGAGGTCCATCCTGCACGTAAAGACGAGACGACTGCGATGGCGAGTCGGCAATGGGAGGGGTCGACGCACCCATGATTGCGGTTTGATCGAGACCGGGGAACGCGCTAAGGAATGACCTGCGCGCGCCTCACAAATAGGTTAGGGTTGGTGTAGTAAGGGGGGAACTTCCTGGAGGAAGTTCTGGGGTTGAAATGTGGGTGTGCAGGAGCTCCGCGGTTGAGCAGAGGGGAAAGTCGGAGGGTTAATGCGTGAGGATAAATTTTAGTGATGACGCTAGAAAAGTCAGCCTCCAAAATCAAAAGTGTTGGTGCGCGAGACCGAGACCCGGACTGGAACCCGACCCATGCGAACCTGGCCTGAACCCCAGGGCTTTGTCTCCGCTTATGACCTGCCTGCTCAGCATCTTGGATTATTATCTACTCTACATTTCTACCATCACTTTTATCTCCTTAAGATGACTCTGGTTTCAATTCTCTCAGGTCTCTGTCAGTCCGGTGGACCAAGCCCATCATGATGATTGGCTGCGCTTATGTTACTCGACGCACGTGACTAGTGGCTGCCCTGATTTTCAGGAACCAACAATATACATCGCTGGTCCTCTTTCAACATCCCCCTCCTGTGTCCGAGGCGTCCGACTGTGAGGTTCTCTCCGCCGCACTCTGGAAAAGATAGAGCGGCGTACATGGTCAGATGGTGTGCTCAACGCATTGACTTTATCATCGCTGGTCGTAGGTGACGGTTTGGTCACTCCTTGTCCCCGTAGGAGGTTCTGCAGTGTCTGAAATCCAAGCTTGAAGTCCTGCGCCGCGAAAGCAAGCAGGATTAGTGGAATCGCAATGGCTAAGCCGACGCCAAAGATGTACTTGGAGACAAACGATAAGGACAGACTATCCGACCCTGCCGTTTGAGGGAACTCAGCTATGTTGATTGTGAAGAAGGAAGTGATGAACGACAACGGGAGAAAGACGATGGTCACGATGGTAAAGATCATGATGGTCTTGCCCTGACGGGCTGTGTCAGCAGCTTGTTCGCGCGCCAGCCGGGCCTCAAAGGGGTTCGCGTGTTTCTGCTTGAGGTCTAACAAGCTGGAGATGGATTCGTAAAGATGTGCTGCCTGTCGGTCCATCCGATCCAGATCCTCGAGATACATGTTGACGACTCGGTCTTGCTCAGGAAAAGTGACCTGTTTGTTAGACGTCTCTCTATCACGCACAATGACTTCTTTGTTATAAAGCTCAAGAATTCCTGCTCCGAGATTAGGCAGCAGCCGGCGCTGGTGATTTAGCACAGCGCGAATCATGTCTATCTCATCGCGAATATCTTGTACCTCGAAAAGAAGGCTTGTTTCAGGAGAATAATCCAGGAAATCGTCCACAAATCCTGGACTGTTGTCTTTCTGGGCATCGTGGTCTTTACCCCTCTTACTATGGTGTGCCAACCCGAAAGATTGCATGTTTTCTCGATGAGTCTGCAACCACAATGATGCCTTTTTGGATGCTTTTCTGAGCTGATCAAAAAGCTTCCGCTCGGTCATGGCCACCCTTCCGATGGATGCTTCAAACATGGCGAAGAACTGGTATTCCTCATCGTTGGATGGTGCATGCCTATCGAATGCTCCACAACACTGGTCAACAATAGCTGTTACCAAATCGTCTAACTTACGGATGCGCTTTTGCTTTAAATGCTTCATGATGCGATCAAAAACGTCGAAGCGGTCGTTCTCGGGTTGCTCCAATCGCTGCGGGAAGGTGGTGATGACAAGGCCCCCCTTAAGGATTATCATCCACAGTTGATCGACCATATATATTTTGGGCACTGGACACTGTGTTCGAACTTGGTAACGATAAACAACCTGATCCTCATCTCGGTACTCTGTGTCCAGATTTGGGTAGAAGAACTGATCCAAAGTCCGCCGGATATGCAGGCCTCCTGGAGACAAGGCAGGATACGCCTCGATCAGAAGCTCATCATAGCTACTGCGGTAAGGCTCCGAAGGGAAAGAAGTCGTCTCTGCTCTCCGGATCGCATTTCGCATTTTTTGATAACCTTCGGTCGTTTCGAAGTGCAAATATGGCATGCATGCCCACATCTGATTCCCTATCACTTGACACCCAGGCCGGTGAAATTGGGAGTGTGGGTATTGGCCCCGATGGGGATGCCTGATTAAATTGCATAATCTCCTTGTGTCGTCTGCGGCAGCATCTCCTTCCATGAGCAATGTCCATTTCATCAGGAGAGTTTCAACCCATGTAGGGTTGTTGGCGGGGATATGAATCCAGCGAGGCGCATCAGCTTTTTTATTCTCAAGAATCCATTCAGTCCCGAGTCCGATGCTAAGGATTTGCGAAATGGGTAGTCTCAGGTGGCCAATCGAATTTTCATCAAAACTGACAATGCTGGCAAGGAACTTATTGTTGAAGGATATGTCATCAATGGCGCGCGATCCGGCCCTGGGAGATGGTAGCAACACCTTCATTATATCTCTGTGCGCTGCTGCCTCAAAGAAGGCGTGGTCTCCGAAGCTATCGCGTAATTCCAGTTCTTCTCGCTCCAACAAAACTCTGACCACGCTGGTTCTGCCTGACTGAATCGCTAGAACCAGAGGAGTGACCCCCCGTGCCCTGTGGTTGATATTCGCACCGTTCTTTAACAGAAGGCTCACGATATCTTCAGTGCTATGTCTACAAGCACTATGCAGCAGCAACAGAGACCCGGATTCTAGCGTCGCATTGGGATCTGCGCCCATGGTCAAAAGCACCTCGACAATCTCCGACCAACACCTTTTGATTGCAACTTCGAGCGCTCCACGGCGGACAAATCCGAGCGCAGCGGGCGATGATTCAAGGTCTTGATGCCGTTTTAGAAGTCTCCGCACGAGGTCAAGCTTGCCGCCGTAGCAAGCCGTGTGCAGTGGCGTAATGCCATATTTGTCCATGCTATGAACATCGTGAGTATACTGAAAGATGAGGTCTAACACCCTGGCGTCGTTATCGTCCCAATTGTCTTCATCTGCAAGAGTATGCAGCAGGATTCTTTGGGCCGAATCCTTGGCATTAATGTCTGCACCATGGGCCAGAAGTATCTCGAGCACTTGAGCATTGTTTCGCCGAGCAGCCAGACTGACTGCGGTCGAGTTATTCAGTTCTCTTCTACCCCGTACGGTGCCGTCCACGGGTGCTCCGGAATCCAGCAATAGTTGGACAATCTCGCCAAAGCCGCCGGCCACAGAGAGTAAAAGTGGAAACACCAAATCATCTGGGGTCATCACATCTTTGCCTTCATCAAGGATGCATTTTATCGCTTCTATATGGCCATGGCGGGCACTGCTAGCTAGGCCAGCCTCTAGACATTGGCGAAATTCCGTGCCTTCTGACACCCTCTTCAGTAACTTCTCGATTTCATCCACGTTGTTGGATGCCGCAGCGTTCTCCAATAGCGAAGTTAGGCTTGAAGGGCCACTTCCGATGGGAGACTCTGGAACCGTATCAGTCATCGTCAAGTTTGACTCGGATTATTCTCCGATAAAAGTCGCCTGAAGTCTGTTCTCATGGGTGCAAGGAATTACGAGGTTCAAGGTCACAGCGGCTCAGCCGCTCTCCCCTCATCTAGGTACCTATCCGCCACAAGACGCGACGAGGCTGAAGAAAAAAGCAAAACAACTTTCTTAGGCACAGGATTGGATGAAGCTAAGTCACACAGCATTCGGGCTCTTTTGCATCAACAAATCCCACCGGCCTTCAACCCCCAACTCTAAGCGCTGTAAGACCCTACATAAACATTGAAGTTATAATAATCACACTGGTTCTTGATATCCATCCCTCCAGGACCTCCCAGGATCACCTGATCGTTGCGTCTGACATAGAAGTCCTGCGACCCAACACCCATGGGGACGGTGGAAGTCACAATTCCTGCATCGACGTCAATCCAGAACTCGTTGGGGCCGCTGCCGACGACCAAGGTGGCCGGCTCGGTGAGCAGCGTGGTGACAAAGACGGCGTCTTCAAGCAAGTTGATTCCCTGTGGCGGGCCGAGCGGATCCTTCGAGCAAGTGACGCCCTTTGGTGTCGGTCTATACCAGTAGACGAGCTGGTCAGACTCCACGGTGGCTTCCTTCGCGCCGGCCTTGTATGCGGCGATGTAGGGCTTTGCGATGATGCGCCAGGCGTCGTGAGGGAAGTCCTTCGTCCATTGTGCAGAGCCGTCGTCGGAGTGGGCTTCAGAGTATGGGCCGATATAGTGTGACTCGCCATAGTCTGACTGTGTTAGCTGTGCTATGGATCGAGTATAAAGACTTACCATTCCAGGAGATGATCTCGATCAGCTCGGGCTGCATGTCGAGCATCTGCTTCCAGCGGCGGTGCGGCTGGTCCTCGCAGATAAAGACCCAGTTCTTGGTGTTGAAGTGCGTTGAGAACCATGGCGAGACAGCTATTCCATCAACATCTCAACATCGCACCATAAAACAGAGGATGAGACAACTTACGAGCCATATACACCTTATTCACCTTCTCGAGGTTGCTGATATATTTATCATCCCAAATAGTCGTCATCGGACCCCTGATGATACTGTTCCCTCCATCCGTCGGCCAAGCATACCACGAGAAAGCCCCGGAAATGCCCGTATTCGCCGTGCTCGCAAAGTTCGGGTCCTGCAGCATGGGCACCGCATAGATGGGATGGCTCACTGCGCTCTTGACAGGCTTCCAGTCGAAGTTGTCGCCGACGAACGTGCTCACCAGCGCACCGCCGTCATACTGGAACTGAGCCGGGTGGTCGGCGTACAGCTTCATGATGCTCGTGATTCGTTGAGTGTCCCCGTTGGACCAGTACGCGAAGTCGAACGAGATGAAGACTTTGAAGTCGACTGCTTCGGCGGCCTCATAGGCTAATGCTAGCTGCGAGTCTGTGTACTTGTCGATACTGGCGCAGTTGAGGGCGAATGCATCGATATCAATCTCTTTGGCTAGTTCCATATCGTGCTTCCAGTCGTCGAGGGAGTAGTTTTCGACGATGCCGACCTGACCTGGTTAACATCGAGGTGTTTAGGGTTGAGGCAAGCCCTACCATGAAATGCGCGGTGACATATTTCTTCGTCTCCTTGCGAACAGACAGGCCGTTCGTCCCTGGTAGCGAGAGGGCAGGAAGAGCGTTGGCTAGCAGAGCCAGTGCTGCGCAGCAGCTGTTGAAGATCTTCATCGCGGCGTCGTTTCTTGCTGGGAGGTTTCTCGCCTGCTTCTGCTTGCAAGTTCACAACCGCCATAATGAGCAACTTCACATCAACTATATATACGTCTAGCACAGGATGTCCAAAGACAATACGGAATATGGCCATCTCGCTGTTCGGTGAAAATGGTCGCTCGACAGGTGTATCGCCTGACCTGCTCTAGGGTTGCAGGTCATGCCCTACTCACGACCAGCCGGCTTTTATCCGTCCACCCAAGAACACCAAGGAACATACTCCGTATACAGGGATACCCCGCAAAAGTTGGAGCGAAATAACAGTTTTTCGTGGGATTGCAGGGGGTTGTATCAGCTGAAAGAAAGGGTACGGAGTACCCTCCGCGCATTGGCGCCAGCTTGCACCTCTCTGAAAGTATAACCGGAACATACAAGATCGCCAGCGCCTGCCATTTTCCACTCAATGCGCGGGTTAGATTAGTCTTCGTATGTCTGAAAACTCCCCTGACAAGAAGACTTTGGTGCCATGTTCTACAATTCCAAACTCCCAGTGTTCACCACGATCTCACTGTATCGCAAGCTCCAATAAAGTGACGATGCGAGCGAGCAACGGAACTCGTTCGTCCCCCCACCCCAGCATCCTTGCAATTGTCGAGCTATAATGCGGTTCTTCAAGAAGCATTTCTCGCTCTGGCTCATCTCAACGCTCGGGAAGAACTTCCCTCGCAAGCGAGACACGGTCTTGGTATGCCTCGGCAAGATACCCTGCAAATTAGCCATCGGCTTATCAATATCTGTCGTGGACGATGCCCTGTCTTCGCTCTCCAATATCCTGCCCATGGACCGGATTGAGGCTTCACTGGCGGAACAGAGTAGGTACGACTGCGGCTCTTTCCAAGATGGACGTCGTTGAGACCTTCCCATAGTACAACCTGAACGTCGTATCTTTTCTTCTCGTTGCTAGGCACCGCCATCTGTTGCGTACAGCCTTTGCCGATTTGTCTAAGGGATACAGACTAGACGACACTGGGGCATCCTCACCAGTCATTACCGCAAGGCGCACTCTCTGGACTCCCCGGACTTCTATTAACAATCCTTTAGCACTCGTCGTCTGTCTAAGGTGATCTCGAGCATATTGTTTGGGCCACCCGTTTGGCCGCGACTTCCGTTTACAGTACAAGCTTGCTTACGGCTGCGCCGAAGAGAACGTCACCATGGCCAACCTTGGAACGTCAACGCGCAATTAACCGAGAGTGTCGTATTCATATCATCCCGCTTATGGTTCTGACAAGGTTTGTCATGAGCCAGCCAGTTGCGCATTGAGATACTCAACGAGCTTGCCTCCAACCGCAGACAACCAGAAGCCCCTCGGGCAATTGGCGAACACAAAATCCATTGCGCAAATGGAACACCAAAAAGGGTGTTGGGTATGCGGGCGGTACTGCGAAACTTTGAGTCGGCCTGGTAACCCCGACCATTTACAGGTATTATACCCCGGATCAAGACAATGTTCCTCGATGCTGACGTTGGTCTTGTCCGATATAGAGACGCTTATGGATGCCACTTGGCTTCGTGGATTACGAGGACCCTGATTCTCCCAAGAACAATGTCCGGCTGTGTTTTTTCTGCCACAAGGCATACTGTGACCGACCAGACCCCATACTTGCTCTCCTCCCAACAGACTTAGAGTTCTTTATCGATTACGAAATCAAAGACCGCGAGCGCCGCAGGGCCGAGATTGCAAGGGGGAAAAAGACAATAATAAACCGGAAGGTTCCAAATTCCGATATTTATCGCATGCATCAAGTTCAACAAAGTCTTATAACTCCGGATAGTGTTGGTGGGCTCTACCGTCCTATATTTCTCGCTCAGGGCCCTGGCGAATATGGCAAAGACTTTTCTACTGAGCCGCGGGCCTGGCAGGGGTCTCCGTCGGAGGCTTTGCGGAGAGCGTTCAAATACATGGGCATGAGACGCCTGAATGTGGATGCAGTCGGGAGTGAGACATACAAAAAATTGGAACGGTTGAGAGATCTTTACCTTTTGAAGGATGAAGGAGATTGGGCGCTGGAGTGTCCACTGTCCAGCGACGTGGATCTGGTGAGGTATCGCCAGGGGCTTCTGGAATGTACTCTAGGCGATTACAAACCCCGGGCAAAATCCGTACACTCTGCACACTCTGCACCACCGGAAACAAGAACCGCGCCTCGACCTATCATACATTGTCCACGCCCACAGTCTATGAGCACCCGTCGATCTATCATGCAGTGGGTCGAATCAGTTGATCAATCCGAGGGCGTCTCTGAACCACGTCCAAGCCCTGCTCGCAAGAGGCCGCTACCGGAAGACATGTTAGGGATCGAGAGCGAGACCTCATCACCACGGAAGAAGAGTCATGCACGCACATATCGTCCCGCTTTTGAGCAAAATACACAAAGACACTGGTCTGTTGGACCACACTCCACTTCCCAGGACGCCATGGATGCCATGGCTGTATATGACCCTGCTTTATTCTTCGGTGAGCCTGGAGCTTGGAATCCGAGGAAACGGCGTTGATGCAGACTTCGCCCAATTTCGGTGTCCTTTAGGATCGTCACGGGAGTTCGGAATATTCTTACTGGTGCACTAACAAGGGGTTTGTCACTTGGTTCTAAACATAGAATAACATAGTGCAGATAGCATCACAATGTGCAGGCATCTTGGATGGTCACGAACGCTGGTCACGAACACTTCTGCATGCCCCCTCCCATGGCGAGTATCTCCATGTATAATGTACCAGGTGCTATCCAGGGTTAGGGCTACATATGTCCCTTCGACCGACATACTAGTTGAGCACCTGCAGCCCTGGAGCCGCAACATGCATGACGAGAATTCAAGCGAGATTTCTGCGCAACAGATGCGCGCATTCCCCGCATACCAAGAGAAGACAAAATTATCAATCTAATCAGTCATGGACTAACGGAGCCGTTGTCATTTCCCAACCTACCCCCTACGTCTCTGTCTATACCACCTCGCAGAGCTCCTCACTCTCCATCTAGCACATACTCTCCCTCCAGCACATACACATATATCCAGATCCCTCCTCTCCCCTCCAGAATCCACACTAAATATCCTACAACGAAGCCCAGGCTAGAAAGCAAAAGCAAAGAACCAGCAAAATGCAATCCTGCGACATCTGCCGCAAACGCAAAGTGAAATGCGACCGGCGCACGCCCTGCGCGCGGTGCCGACGCCTCCGGCAGAACTGCACATACACCGATATCCTGCGCAAGAAGGGGCCCAAGTTCGTGCATAGCTATCCGAGCATCTACACCGGTGCGAGTGTGCAGAGTGGCACGTCTGCTGCGGCTGCGGCGGCCTCACATGCGTCGCTGACGGGGTCGTTGTCGGGCTCGCTTTCTGGATCAGGGTCGGGATCTGGTTCGAGCTCGAGTTTGCCGGGGCTGGCGATGGCGATGACGGGGTCGATGACGGGGTCGAGTGAGACGTTGCCTTTGCCGATACCGGTTCCGCGGTTGATGGGTGGGGATATGGGGATTGATATGATGGGGATGGGGGGGTTCGTTGGTGCTCATGCTCATGCTCATGCCAGTGCAGATGCGAGTATGCATGGGATGGTTGAGTCGGGAAGTGGGACGGGGACGGGGACGGCGTCAGAGGGGGACGAAGAGCTCGATTTGGATCTGGACTTCGACTTTGAGGAGATCTCTCAAGCTCAGGAGCAGCAGGTTCAGTTTCAACGAGTCGTGGATCCGGGTACGAGGATGGGCGTTGGTCTGGGCGTGGCGTCTGGATCCTCGAGCAGGATGGACATGGATGTGGAGATGGCTGTGGATATGGATGAGAGCGTGTCTTTGTACATTAAGAGGCTGCACCCTCTTATGCCGGTCATCGATCTGCGCGAGATCCGAAGATTGCTGCGGTTTGGCGAGGGCAGTCGGAGCCAGAGGTATGGTTATGGCTATGATTTGACCCAATACGCGTTGGTCTGTTCGTTATGTGCTGCAACGCATGCGCATTTGATATCTTCAGCGAGTCGGAGCCTGGACTCCTCGCCTGCACGGAATGGCCATCTTGGACATGAACAGGCTTGCCAGAGATACCTGCAATCAGCCCTCCAAGCCCGGGCACAGAGTGATTATCCGCTTGTTAATATCGACTCCCAGCAAGCGGAGTACAGAAACGACAGAGATAAGCCAATTTCTCGCGACAAGATACTTACCTCCTTTTTCCTCTTCACGGCGTACTGGAATCTCCATCAGGAGCGCCACGCATGGTGGTACCTCCGGGAATGCATCGCACTACTCTTGTCAGCACGTCTACACCGCGAAGACGAGTATCGAAAGATCGAGATGTATGAGGCAGAACGAAGGCGTCTAGTATTCTGGGGTGTGTTTGTTGCGGAGCGGTACGCTTCTTCTCCTCGCCACCGTTTACTCGTTTACCTAGAGGAAGCGATGAGCTGACACGCTGGGTAGAACATTCTGTCTCGTCCACAACAAACCAATCACGCTGCGGCCATGGATCGCCCTTCCTGGCTTGCCAAGTCCCCTGGAAGAGGAGGAGAGAATCGACGCCATCCCCAGCTTCGTGGGTCTGGTGACCCTTTTCGTCGGGTTGGCCGTTGATTTGACGGGGTGCTGGACGGCGGCTGGGTTTGTGACACCTATTTCTCTAGATCTGGGTCCCAATGTCGCCACTACAACCGCTGCTACCGCTCCTACCTCAGGAGCAATGGCACATGGTCAAGATTATGACGACATGGGTGTTGGCAAAGAGACAGGAGTAGGGATGTCCATGCAACGACTCAACCATGCAATCACGAGGGAATGGCTGCGAGCGAAGGTGTGGAAACTGGGAATCCCTGGCCCACAGCAAGCTTCCCCACCGCGAGAGTTTGTGGCGTTCACTGGAAAAGGAAATGGACAGGGCCAATGGCGACTGGAAGAGCCGGTCCTGATTGGGGAGGCTATACTGGGTGATTTGCGGAGGGCGGGGGCCGAGGACGTCTTGCGGGATCACTGGAGCGGGACCCTGGTAGGTTGACCGTACTGGGATGGCCCTATCAGGAGACGCAGGCATGGCATGAGGCTGACGAGCGTAGGATCAGAAGCTGTGCGACATCTGCGAGTGCCTGTGCGACATCCGTCCGGTCATGCAGACCAGAGCGGTTGGTGCTGGCGACGTCAAGGTCGATGTCGATCAGGTCCTTCGAGGCCTGCTGCGGGTTCTGGCTCGGCTTGGGGGGCGTAGTGCTTACCTGTTGGCCTCGAGTGTCGGAGATTAATCTCCAGTTATGGACGCAGTGGCAGAGCTCAAGCAAACCTTCCAACAAAGACAACGGTCGTAAGCGTAAACCCTATCCCGACTCCACGTATACCCTCGTTATTCCCATAGGCCATAGGTCTATAGTAGGCGTGGCAGCGAGAATTCCAGCGAATAGCCAGGATGGAGAAAAGCATTAACCAAGCCGGTTCAACGTTCCTTTGTTCGTGCTCTTGGCCACCATCCCCGTAGTCTGTCCCGGCTCCATCTCCTTATCAACGTCCGGTCTCCTTAGCATCGGGCCTCGACTATAGCAACAGACCCAGCGGACGGACTTGCTGAATGCAACTTAGATCCACATAGGCCGTCCAGGTCATCTATCTCCGTGTCCTGAACCAGCGACATGGGCGTCGACATGGATTCAGATCAAGATCGAGAGTCCTCAACCGGGCCATCGAGGGCAACCAGCAACACCATCGACCTCGAGCAAGCCCGGCTCGCAACAGCCCAAGAGCACAGCCTAGGCTTCCGCGAGGGCATCCGCACCTACCGCACAGCGGTGATGTGGTCGATGCTCTTCTCCCTCGCCATCATAATGGAAGGGTACGACACAACCCTGCTGCAATCCTTCTTCGCATTCCCCCAGTTCGTCGCCAAGTACGGGTCCCCCGTGTACACGCAAACCCCCACAGGCGAGACGACAGTATCGCGGTACGAGCTCTCCGCGTCCTGGCAAAGCGGGCTCAGCAACGGGGCATACGTCGGCGAAATCCTCGGCCTGTTCATCACGGGCCTGGTCATCGAGAAGACAGGGTACAGGCGGCTGATGTTCGGCGCGTCCCTGGCGCTGGGCGGCTTCATCTTCATCCTGGTCTTTGCGCCGAACCTGCCGACGCTGCTGGTCGGGGAGATCCTATGCGGGATCCCGTGGGGTGTGTTCCAGACTGTGACGACGGCGTACGCGGCGGAGGTGTGTCCCGTCCTGCTGAGGGGGTATCTGACGACGTACGTGAATCTGTGCTGGGTGGTTGGGCAGTTGGTGGCGACGGGGGTGCTGCGGGGGTGTCTGCGGATGAACCCCGATGGCGGCGATGAGTGGAGCTACCGCGTGCCCTTCATGCTGCAGTGGGTGTGGCTGCCGTTTATCCTGGTGATTGTGTGCGTGGGGCCAGAGAGTCCGTGGTGGTTGTTGCGACGGGGGAAGATGGACGAGGCGCGGGGCGTGCTTGCCCGTCTCTCTGCTTCCACCTCCACCTCCACAACCGAGAACCCGAAAGAAGACGACAAGACCGAAGCGACCCTGTCCTTGATGCTGTACACCGTCAAAATGGAGTCCGATCTCGCGGCCAAAGAATCCCCCTCCTACCTCTCCTGCTTCCGCGGCACGAACGCGCGCCGCACCGAGATCACCTGCGTGACATGGGCCATCCAGGCCCTCTGCGGCTCCAGCTTCATGGGCTACTCGACATACTTCTATCAGCAGGCCGGCCTGTCCGTATCGCAGTCCTTCAATATGTCGCTCGGCCAATACGCATGCGGGATCGTCGGGACGCTGGTCTCGTGGGTCCTGATGTCCCGGTGTGGCCGGCGCAGTCTGTACGTCTCCGGTCTTTTCAGTCTGATTGTCATCCTCTTCTCCGTTGGGTTTACGTCGCTCTCTGGGACAAAAGCGGCGAGCTGGGCGATTGGGTCTCTACTGCTCGTGTTTACGTTCACGTACGACTGCACGATTGGGCCTGTATGCTACAGTATCGTCTCTGAGATGCCGTCGACGCAGCTGCGTGGGAAAACGATCGTGCTGGCTAGGAATGTATATAACGTGTTCATGATTGTGAATGGAGTGATTATGCCGCGGATGCTGAATCCCACGGCTTGGGATTGGAAGGGGCGCACTGGGTTCTTCTGGGGTGGGATTACGGTGCTTTTGTTTGCGTGGGCTTATGCTAGATTGCCCGAGAGCAAGGACAGAACTTTTGCTGAGATGGATATCTTGTTTGAGAGGGGAGTCAAGGCCAGGAGGTTCCGGAAGGAGGAAGTTTGTATTGAGAACTAGGTAGTATGTACTCATAAAGTTCGGCATCAATTCTAGCTATGCGAGGTCAAACTCGGAGTTGAGGGTCAAGGCTGACACTTCCCACCCCAGTAGGAGGTAGGTCAATGGCTTGCTCGACAACTTCCTCTCCTAGGACCTTGACAGCCTCGATGCGCACGTCCGTCTGCCGCATGAAAGTCCCGTCAACGCTCAACCGCCCGTTGTCATAGGTAAACTTGACGTCCACCGTGGCAGCCTGCTCCAAAGACTCTCCGTCATCGATATACAAACTCCCCTCAGCCTTCCCATCAAGCCCCGGCGCAACAACAAGCCGGAACCCGCTCTTCCTCAGTTGAGCCGTCGTATTCCACCCCTCACTGCCCGTGCGCACAGGAATGATGCTGCCTCCGCGCACATGCAGCGGTATATCAGCATGCCCAACATCCTTGATCGTCACAACCTCCCCTTTACCACGGAGTGGGAGACCCGTATACCAATCGTAGAACAGATCATCCGGGAAATAGGCCTCGACCTCCGTCTTGCCCTCCTCCGTAACAGGACTGACAAGCAGTGCATCACCGAAGAAGAACTGCAGATCGATCAAGGCAGCCTTGGTATCATTCGGGTAGACGAAGAACATCGGCATCAAGAACGGCTCCCCGGATACCGTTTGCCTATAAAATGCCGTGTATAGATAATCGAGCAGGACATAGCGGATACTGATCGCCTTCCTCGCTGCTTCAGCGACGGACTCCCATCTGTAGAATTCCTGTGGTATCATTCCGTACTCGTTGTGGTTGCGGTAGAACGGGTTGAATGCGCCGAGCATTGCCCAGCGAGAGCAGAGTTCCTCGGTGGTGTTGCCGGTGAACCCGCAGGCGTCCGAGCCGACCATGGGCATTTGGAAGATGGATGCGAAGGCGAGCATTTGCGAGATCGAGACGCGGTATTTTGCCCATGTGCTGACGTTGTCACCGAGCCTAAGCCACAAAATGTTAGCGATCTGTCTTTTGTTCGGAGAAGTGTGAGGTCCTGAATACCAGTGGGCAACATGGGTTCCCGCACCCGCAAAGGTGCTGCGTGTTATCACCAGGGGTCGCTTCTCGGGGCGTCTGTTGAGCATAGCCTCTCGGGAGAGTGAGCTCATCACTGTAGTATTGTCAGTATTCACGTCGACATGAGGAACCAGGGAAACGTACTTGTCCCATACAGGTTATGCGTATCGTACTCCGCAAGCCCATTGGCATGAAAAAGATCTGTATCTATCGTCTTGTTGCTCAGCGATCCAGCTGCATTTTCGATCTTGTATGGCGGATCAATCAAGTCGCGGTCCGGCAGACCTAGTCTCTTGCCACTGCCATTGTCCTTGTTAACCGGCCCTTGCCTGGCGGTAACAGCAGCTCGTCTTTTCTTGATGCTACTGTTGCTGTCATCACTGGTGATCCCTTGCTGGAATAATGTCGGAAAGCCTGGAAGGCTATACGGATTCGGCCTGGTAGCCGGCGGGTCAGGAGGGAGATTGTTCTGCTCTGCATAGGCGACAGGGTCGGTACAGGGCCAGTCGCAGAAGTTGGCCGCCTCATTCATGTCAATCCACAGAGCATCAATATCAATCCCCGTCTCGGGATCGAAGAACAGTGCGAACTCGTTGATCCAGTACTCGGACGCGTTCGGATGGAACCAATCGGGAAAGACAGTTGCGCCCGGCCAGACAGCGCCTATATATCGAGCACTAGGTCAGGTACATCCTTCCAACTGAATAAAGGGGATTGTCTGGAGTACCTTCGTATAACGAACCATCGTGCCTCCGCAAAAAGACGTCTTTCTCTACACCCCGATCAAACGCGCCATTGTCAGAAGATGCCACCGCGTTGTCAACCATGACAATATAATGCTGGTCGCCTTGGTGCAAGTAATCCACCAAAGCACGGACTGTATTCAAAGGGAAACGCTCCTGGTCAAGCGTAAAGACCTTGCGGTGGTCCATGTAGTCGATATCAGTCCACATTGTCTCGAGGGGTATGTTCGCTTGACTGTAGTTATAGACTACCGCGGCGACTTCGTAAATATCTCGGTATCCATAGCGGCATTGATGGAACTGCAAGTGTCAGCATCCGGTAGCAGGTGTGGATGGACACAAACATACTCCGAAACCCCAGTAAGGCACCATGGCCGGTAGTCCGGCAACCTGTGCATACTGCGCGCTCACATCCTTAGGGCTGGGGCCAGCAAAGACGTAAAGATCGATAACACCGCCGATAACGTTGTATTCCAAGTATTGCTCCCCACCAGAGTCCTGGTCAATCTTGACATCCATGCCGTTGGAGCTCAACAGGAACACCCCGTGCGTCCCTTTCTCACCGCGGTGGTCTATGTACACCGGGTGAGCCCCATAGAGATTTGTTCCCGCAGGAATCATATAAGAGTCCCGATTCCAGATCGTACGAGTATAGTTGGTGGTATTCAAGCGAAGAGGGTCGCTGTGCTCGCCGAGTCCGTAGAGGTTAGGGTTCTGCGGGAGGGAGGTTCGGAGGTTCACATATTGGGATTGGAAGATCAAGTTGTGCCCTGAGGTGTTGAAGAGGGTTTCACCGTTGCTGACTCGAGAGACTGCGAAGGAGAATGGGTTCTCATCGTAGGTGAACTTGAGATCCGGAGTGCCTTCGGTGGTACTGGCTTGGTCGTCGATGGAGGGTCGGGGGAAAACAGACTCGGGGACTTGGTAGACTTTCTCGTCTGCGTCGTAGATTTTGACGTGAAGTCTTTGGTCTGCACCGCCTGTCAGGAGTCACATATCCAGCCGTTGGATTGGTTTACCAGTCTCATAGTCCACCTCAAGCCTCAGGTTCTCAATGTCGGTTCCATAAGAATTGCACGCCGCACCCGCAAGGGTCAGATCCGCAGTCAGTCCACGAGACCGTTCTTCGACGTTGATCGCTTTGTATCCGGGGCATTCTGTCACACTTGCTTGACCGAGAGCTTTGTTGGCGAAGGCCAGAGCCAGAAGCGGCCACAGGAAGGAAGTCGCGGTCATCGCTGTCTTGGAGCCAGAACTATGCTTCCATACCCCACGCACAGGAGCTCGCTCGTATTTATAACTTCCAAGACCCTGATTGTCTTGAATCTCGCCCAGTTTCCCCGTTCCATGTCTTATCCCTCACATGGCCGTCGAAGTTTTGGGTACATTGGGTCCGCGAGGTTTAGGCGAGCTGACTCCGTGCCCAAACCGCTCCCCTTGCGTCGTCGTTACATTTCCTCGATCAAGGCAATGACCGGGATATATTTCCGTTGGCCCGGCGCGTAGCACGATAGTTGGATTGAAAATGAGCATGTCGGACCGGTTATGTTTGTACAAAGAGCGTTGATCTGGGAGAGAGAATGTTGAAAGAGAAGTGTGGCAGCGAGCGAAGAATTTCGGCGAGGGAAACCTTTTCGCTTACACGCTCTACAGCCGCCACGCCACGTTGATTTGAGAATATGATTACACAGACAGATACTTCCATAGGAACCTTGAGGATAACTGTACAGACAAATGATGTGGACAGTGTAGCGGACAATCCAGACAATGAAATCAGACAAAAAGACGCCGATGCTGGTCTCTGTGTTGTCATTTGGTCAGGTTTCGAACACAACGCGCGAGCACCCGGCCGGAGACGACCTGGGTATATGAGGCATACGGGCTCCCCGAGCGAAAAAATCGGCCGGACACTCGTAAAATGCCTCTCCATATCCAGAGGGCTCATCTCCGCCGGCCGGGAAGAAAGATACAACTCCAACGCCAAACTCCGGAAAGACGGTAGAGAAATTCATGTCCGTCGGACCCAACTGCAGCATAAGCTCTCTCTTGCCGTCAGACCATTGATATTCTGCGTCAGGGCTTGAAGTCAAGTCAATGACGGGTGAACCTTCCAGCTCTCGATCATCGTCCTCACTACTTGGCAACGCTTTCCTTGGGGCCGGCGTATAGTCGATCTGTGCCATGCGAATATGCAAGTTGTCTAATCTTTCGGACTTCCCCCCGGCAACAATGTCAAGTAAGTGCTCTAGTTCCACAACGGCGTGCCGGGGTCCCCATTCGCAGTCACTGTATATTTTCGATAAGGAAGGAACGTATACGAGAACATCTATTAACGAGTTCGCCAGTTGAAATAGCTTGATTTCCTGCGGTCCCCGTTAGCGCTGCTTGTAAAGAGCAAAAAACGACGTACCATGCCATAGCCGTGAGGGCGAACCGAGTCAAGCGACGCGCCGCATACCAACGAGAGAAAATTCCTCGCAATGACAAACGGGTAGCTTGGGGCAAGGCAGACGTTCGATGAGTCAGACGCAAGCATATAATGTGATGCCGAATATTGCCAAAGCAGGGAACTCAGCCAGGCTAAGGTAACCCAGATGTCGACACGCTGAACCTCGTCAATGATCGGGTCTTTGGTGGCTCTGGTCTGGAGATCTTCCTGGATATCCGTGATCTTGGCTCGGGAGTAAGTTGGATGCGGCGCAAGGTACGGCGCTTGGAGCAGTGGCCCGTCAATCCGCGTAAAGAGCCGGACGAGATTGCAGAACCCGGTGAGTAATGCTGGATCTGAGTCGCCGTCATCGACTGGGACCGGTAGGTCTTCTATCGTCTGCAGCGTTATCGGAAGCTCGTGCTGCATGCAGAAAGTACTGCGAGGCTTAGCTGGGGTACAGAATTGAGGACAGTTTCCTTACCGTTCTGTGACCAGCAATATCCAGTATACACGAAGTCTCAACTGTTGCTCTTCCTGCGAGTCCTTGAATAGCTCCACATTTCCGAGACTGAGGAGGTGGGCGTGGGTGATGGCGTCGCGCAACGCGAACGTAGCAAGTGGAATCTGGTCTACATTGGCATAGTACATGTGCAGAAACAGTGACGTCAGAAGAGACTCCAGGCTGGCACTGTTCTGAGGATTATGGTCAGTCCGAAGCCGGATGCACTCTCGCACAAAGTCGCCCGAGGTAACTAGGAAGGATTCCTGCGCTTGGGTATGCCCCGGGAGACGCAACTGGGCCAGCGTTGCCGCACAAAGCGCGGCTGCCAGCGCGTGTGATTCGGTATTTGCAATATCGTTGAGTTGCGCCTTCAAGACATTGGTCGAGACGATAGGCCATACAGTGTAGAGCTGGCTTCGGAAAATGTCGATGTAGGTGTAGTATGTCGATAGTGAGATCCGCCGTCTGACAAGCAACGGAGCATCACTCAAATCAGTGGACGAGGATGTGTCGTCGGAGGCCGGAAGGGAGCATTCTCGCATGGAGCAGCTCTTCTCAATGCCGAGATTCTTTTGCATAGCTTGCACTCTGGCGTTGGTGGACCTTCGCGGGCCTTTCGGGCCGCGTCGCTTTCGGACTTTGAGATAGGTGCACGACTGTTCCCGGCGCAGACAGGTGCTACACGGGTTCTTCCCATCGCACTTGACTCGTCTGAACGAGCAGGCATCGCAGGGGAGTGTAAGTGGCATGATGAGTACTAGCACAGTAGTCTGGGAGAAGTGGATGAATGAGTACTGTTCATGATCAGCGAGGCAATGACGTCCCAGAAGGAGGGATCCCGCTGCACTAATAGTCAGACCATCCCCAGACGGAGGGCCAGGGTGGCCTAGTCGGCTGCTCGTATCTGGCACGCCACGGGGATGGTGGACTAGGTTGTATATCGCGCACTGCTGATATCAGGGTGGGCTTCGGCATCAACGACCATCGGGACTGGCAGCCAAGAAAGCGGGGTATGGGGACGGAGCAAATGGCATGAAGCAGATTCTCCGTCACTGGCGCCCCGAGCCATTGGTGAAAGAACGTTGCGGACGAAGGTTTCCACCTGGCGAGTGTGTAACCGCACTCCGGCTGTTGAGCCTGAACGGTGCATCGTCTCCGAGACTTGCCTTGGCCATCCTCAAGGCTTGCTGCACGTTGATCACCCGGCTAACACACGGCCAATGGAAGGACAGGATGTTCATGGTTATGCTTGCCTCAAGGTGGGATTAGCCAGTTGCGGATTATTGCCAAAGTCAAGGATCCCATGAGCGTTTCGAGTAAGGCTGAAAATAGGATTCAGCTGATAGCCCAGTCATGCGCTAGAAGGTCGCTAGAATTGAGTAGAAGGCTGTCAATGTCTTTTCCTAGCCGGTTGGTTGAGATCACCGCGCCGTCTCGTTTGGCACTTATACTTTGCAGTAAGCATTGTCGAGCCGCAGCAGGACAACCACACTAAGGCATGACAGTTGATGGCGATCCTAAAGGAGCTGACCGCATGCTAGCCAAGATCTTCAGTCTGTTCATCTTCGCTTGGCCCTGCGTCGATTTTCCGTTCCTGCTGTATCGGGAGTCATGGCATTGCCGTCTCTTCTTGGCCACTACCCCGAATGATCCGATCCCTCGGTGAACGGAGATGGCAGATCATGCTGCTAGCTGGATTCCAAGGCAGATCATCTCAATCGTTTCCACTTCCCCTCATGAGTCATTACGCTATGGTTGCATCCGGCGCGTGTTGGCTGCAATCTTAATACCTCCGTTTCCGGGATCCACGTCAACCTGGGACGCCTCCCAACGTTTGGATTCCAACCTTGCGACTAAAAGCAGTTATTGGCTGTGGCTGGCGCATCCATGCCCCTTAATCAAACATTCTGGCCTCTAATATACCGACAAGTCCTCGAGCCAATCGAACTCGGACCGGGGTAGTCGGGTACGTACCTGTCGCGCCATGCGCTTCTTTGTCTTGCTTATCTGGATAGCCGATAGGATGGCAATTGATGTCATATTTACTTCAGGGACTTTCCCGAGCGCTTTGATACACGATCGACCTCCTTTTTCTTAGGAAAGAAGTCTCCGTGGACCAGTTCTAGGCTGAGTGTGGCGGCAAGCTAGGTAAGAGTGCTCCTGATCTGCATCGGCCGAGATTCGCACTCACTCTGACCTCATGTATACTTGTTCACAGATCCAAGCAAGGCTTTTCTCCTCTTCTGGATGAGCGAAACAAATGTAATGCGCACTGCTGTCCACGCTTTCAGACTAGCATATGGCTAACAAGCAAACAGGCCCATCTCGTCTTGGGGTTGGCACTGTAAACACGACATCTGAGGTTCCCTCCCAGAGGCAGCTGGGTACTATCCAGTTTGCCTTCAATAGTCGAACATACATTCAACCAGCAACGGGCATCAGACATCTGCGAGTCGCAAGTGAAGAGAACTAGCTCAGCCAGCTTTACAGTTGCCACGCGGAGACGCCGGCGGCCGCCATCACAATGAGAATTATCCTTGATTGTGGCGTGCCAGAAATCTTGGATTTCAATCAACATTCACTAGTTGCGCCAGCGATGAAACCGTTACAGTGGCCATTGTTCTGTTCAAAGTCAGGGGTTGGTTCATCGGCCGTCCACTGCTTCAAGAACGGTGCAGAGTACCGGCTCTTCCCAACATCCTAGCCGACGAGCTATCCAGATTCAGAATTCCTAGAGGTTCCAACGGATGGATTTCCAGAATCTATTTCCATCAGCTTCATACGAAAGTAATGGGGGCAAATGAGGCCATGAAAGAACCTTATCCGACCACAACAACGTTCTCATCGCACTGACCCATCCGCCCTGAGTATTCCCCAGAACGAAGGGCGTGTCGATAACCGAAAACTGATTCCCGCAGCCTCCCAGTAAGTCCGTTGCTCCCGCGAGGCTCGCGTCTGATCATGCCATAGGATCGAGAGCCAGCAAGCTCACGTTCTCCGCGTGATGTCGTGTTTTTGAACTGGGTCAGTACAACGCCAAACTGGCCGTAGAAGTGCGAAGCAGCACTACCGTATATTAAGTCTGTAGTTGTTGTAGCGTTGGGACATTTGATATGCAATATCATTACCTAGAAGGTAAGGAGCGCGGATGGTCTTGGTGTTGGGCGTTGTTGGTGGTCATTCTCTGAAGCCGGTTCTGGATAAAAGGTCAAAAATAATACTCCGTACCTCTATAGGACCATAGAAGACCTCGGAGGTCGGAGATTCGGCACTTTCTGGCCCGCCGTGTTCCAGGACTTAAGCTTCAGTGATCATGTTGTTTCTTTGTCTGCCGGACTCTGCTGGCTTCCACTGAGTCGATCCTGGCCCGCCCACTGTTCCACGATTCAACGGTTGAACAAGGGTAAGTGCATCATCATGTCGTGTAGAGTCCACGAAGAGAGGAGAGGCGGTTCTCCTGTAGTAAATGTCGTTGGTTGGACACCATTCAGGAGAGTCGGAGGCTTGGAACTTAGGAGCTGACCCCTAGTATTATTGCCACAAGGAACTCCCCACATGCGCTGCTCTCATGGCATGGTCAAATCGCTAATGCCAGGCCACGAGACTACGCTGTCTTGACCGCATCTCATCTGGCCTTTCGGCTTCTGAATCCTTTCGCACATCCCGTGGTTTCGGCCATGAGCATCAATTATCGCTCCAAAGTAGGTATCAGTCGTTGAAAATTGACATGTCCGACGTGGGTCACTTGAGTCGGGCTAGATTTCAGATTATTTCCGCCGTTATCAGATCGCTATATCACATTGTTGGATACCTCGAAGTTGCTCGGAGTACGTCTGAGCCAGAAAAAAAGTACTGGGATAAAACCAGTGTGCAACTGCTGACTCAGCCAGCACTGACGCATAACTACAGTCACGTGTTTATCCTTTCCAGAAGAAATGACCGATGCCAACTGCAGATTTGCAACCTCTCACTGATGGGTCGCGGCGTGGATAAAATCCCAAGATGAGTGGTAGTTCATATCCTCATGGTGAATACAATGCGTTGGCGACCTCGCTGAAAGTGGGTGCCCTGAGTGGTACGTCAATCCTCATCAAACTCCCCTGACGAGGTGTCAAACTCGTCGAAGAATGGTCGAAGAATGGATCAATCGTCGCGAAATGACAACGTAAAAGACGGCAGATTTCTGACACCAGCCATACAGGCTCCGCCGGCCTCGTCTACGGCGGCATCTCAGGTGTTATTCGTTCGCCACATCCTGTCATACATTCCATCTCTCATGGTATCCACTGGTCTGTGTGTGGAACCTCCTTTTGGTGTCCGTCTTCGCCTTGCTACCCCTGAAGCCTAACTAGGTATATCGACTGACTCGGGTTCCATTTTCAGGGTTGAGGAGTAATATCCTGAAGCACTACTACGAGGACCAGGCGACTCTCAAGCAGCGCAACTATGCCAGCACTGTTTCTGGTGGTCTCGCCGGTGGTGCTGTTACCAGGTTAATGGGTACTTATATCCTTTTCTTTCGCTCGGTTGCAAGGCTGAGTATCGCATGACTGACTGACTCTGCCCTTCAGGTGGCCGGTTCATCCCGGGATTGGTCGTTTTCTCGCTATGCGGTTATCTCGGACAGGTCTCGTACAATGCTATCGATGAATGGCAGCTGGAGCAAGCGGGCAAGCCTTCCAAGCCGCTCCTTACACGCATGGCCGAGTCCAAGTGGATTCCGCTCAAATCCCTCTCTGATGATGAGTACAGGGGCATATTGAGCGAGAAGCTGCTAACCATTGAGGCGGAGATTGCTCTTATCGACGACAAGATTGAGGAACTTCAAAAGGCCAAGGCGGACGAACTAGTTGGCGGCTCGCCTGGACAGGAGACGCGATGATTGCGCGTTTCAGGGTCTCTTTGGAACCGGACCGTTTGGCTGCACACACTTAGTATGGTGTACAGCCGCGGAACAGGGAGAAGCTGGGTGACCCGACTGAGGGTGTCAACGCGCTGTAGTGCAACAATTCGCTATGCAAGGGCATCGGCAGTTCGTCGAATTCGACCAAGATCGTGGTTCGAGTCGCGGCACCTGCCGGGCGCCATGGCGCGCACGCCGATCCCTGTTTGTATAGGCTGTTTGTTTTGACTGACTTTGTTCGTTGAATCCTCGGGATACGAGGACTACGTCTCCAGAGTCCAGTAAGAAAAATTGTATAGTTATACTGTCTTGATCCCTGTCGAAAGCACAATAGTAGCGCGCGAATCCCAGCTTGCATGCAGTGCCGCACTGCCGATCGACTGATTCGACTCCCACTCCCTTGGGACCTCGAACTGGAGCGTGCTTCCGCTTCCAGTTAACTCTGCTGCGTCAATGATCACTATGCAAAGAATGAAAATCAATAGCCGGCTTGACGAGCAGGCCTGTGCATGCCTACGGAGCGAACTCGTATTAGAAACCTGATTTGTCCATCGCGTCATCGCAATAAGCAAAATCGATGGTTCAGGCGGCGTGGCGGCTCTAAGCTCAGGTCTAGCTGACCCTCTGGAACGTCTTCGTATCTCCGGCCCTCCCTTTCTTTTCCCCGGCTCCGTTCAACCTGTCAACTTCTCTCCCCAGTTCTTTCATTCCTTCGTCCCCCCTTCTTTGTTCTCTGATTGTTAATATTATCCCTTTCAAAGCATGAATGCGCAACGGCCGTCTAGTTCCCCTCGCGACACCGACCTCGACTGTGCCAAGCTCTCCTAATCCAGTGAGACTTGTCCTCCACCTGCAGTACCGCGCTCTCCGGGATGTTCTCGAAGTGACGGCGCATGCACTACAAAAAGTAGTAAGCTTACTGTCCAGAGTCTCCGAACGGGCGTTGCTCTCCCTCGATGGTTCCTCGCTTGAGGCGTGTTTGTTTCCTCCAGAGCGGTTCCGCTGATCGCGAGCCACGATGACGCTCTTCAACCCGACAACCGTGCTCGTCGGCTTCCTCCTCCTCTACCTCGCTTCCTTCCTCATCTTCGCCATCGTCCGTATCGCAACCGGGATCTCGATCCAGCGGATCGGTTATTTTTCGCTGCGCCGCATTGCGTACGTTCCCGCAGATGGGGTCCAGATCGAACTCCGCGGACTCGGACTATCGCTGCATCCGCCCTCCTTCGCCCAACCGACATGGCTGAGTCTGCGACTCACGGATCTGAAAATCACGCTGGATCCTTCGGCGTCAGGGAAAAGGAACAATGCCGCGAATAAATCGTACACCGACGAGTCTCAAAGTCAGTCCGAGGAGGAACCGCTCAACCCGCAACATGGGAAAGGCGACGCCGCATCCGCGCGGAAAAACAAAACCTGGGTAGCGCTCAATCGTGTCAAGGATCGGGTAAAGCGGATACACCGGAAGGTTCACTGGTTGAGGTTGGTGGATATTGTCGCCGTCAATACTTCGATCAATTTTCTCGAAGCTGGGCAGATTCAGATCGGGACGTTGTCATTGGCGGTAGACACGAGACGGAAGATGGTGGACCGGGGGAAGGTCTTTCGTCGGAAGAAGGGCGAGTCTGGTGAGCAATGGCCCGCGGAATGGATTTTGAATGTGCACAATGTCCAGGTTGCTGTTGATGGAAACGAGCCAGTCGAGATTTTGGATAATGTTGGGGTAAACATTCATGGGATCTTGCATAAAGGCCTTGATGGCCTGCGGGATGCGTCGGTGGCTTTCAAAATCGGGAGGATGCATATACCCTACGATGATTTGACGCTCCTAATGGAACGGATCAAGCGTTCCAGAAAACTTCCCGTGCAGGTCGACGCTACCGAGCCGGACGAGGAGGTCTCCTTTGCCGACTACGTGGAAGAACTCGAGAAACCCGGTAGCACAGACGAGACAATTGTTGAAACTGTCACTGCCTCAAAGGAGTTTGCGGGATCGCTTTTGCGTGGAATCCAAGAGATTCAGGTAGCATTAAGCTTCTTCAGACTCTCTCGTGCCGTCCAGTCACCGTCTCCCGGTCAAAGCTCTGTTTATCTTAATGTCGTCTCGCATGAAATCGGCATTGATCTCCACCGGATGGACCAGACGAGCCCAGCGCATCGGATGTACTTCCAACGAACAGACATTGCCCATCAAGCACTTCTTGCCGCTATCTCCCTTTCTGTAAGTCTGGATGATAGCTCTGGTGAAACTGATAATATCCTGTATATTCCAATGGCGACCACGACTATCAAAACAACTCTGCCATCCAAGACAATTAGTTCCTACAACGGTTTCAATGCGGAGGAGCGGAACACCAATATCCTGTTCGCGAATTTGGTGGTTACCTCCCCTGCTCTTGACTTGGAGCCCCGGCATGTATCGCGCCTCTTAGGTCTGGCTCAAAACAAGGCAACGAATTCTCGAGGGAAGAAGAGAGCCAGAGGCCAGTTGATATCGCGTTTACTCCCCAAGGCAAACATCAAACTTTCGATTCATGAGCCTGTGATTCGATTTGTTCTCCCCATTCCGGATTCTCCGGCCGGTGAGGACGACTACAACCTTCTCATTTCATCGATCTCATCCATATCCGTTGATGTTGAATCCTCCCATTCCTCCGAGGGCGGTGCCCACTACTCGCTGTCCTCTATTTATCGTGTTGCCTCTCACAAATTCTACTACCAAACACCGTCTGGAACCAAACATAATCTTCTGACAACCGATAACATGGAGCTGAAAGTCCTCCTTAGCGCATCCCCGGAGGTATGCGTCATGGTTTCTGGCAGCTTGAACACTTTCTCTGCACACATGGTTAACAATGAGGTTAATCGTGGGATCCAACAAGTCGTGGAACAGTTCCGTGCTCATATCCGGCCCAAGAAGAGGTATGGCCTGCCAGGCGAAGATCGGAAGCCTAGTGTCCTGAGACGTCTCCCACCTTGGCTACTCAGGTTTCAATTTGAGGCTACCGGATTCAGTTTGGAGATTGCAGGTATTGACGAGAGTGTATCGAAAGCGACGCGGGGCGTCTCTCTCCAACTTGAGTCCTGGACAGCCGACTACCGAGCTCAGAAAACAGAACCTACAACCGTGAGTGTCGTGCGAAGACGAACTCCCAGCCACTCCACAATTGGCGACGAGTCGCCGTTCAGGTTCAATCCAACATCCCCTCCCAAGCAAACTCGAGCGAGGGTAGCCGATGGCAGGCGATTAGCTTTCCATGCTCGCGGGTTTGAGGGCTTTGTCATCGAATCAGAAGACTATCTTGAGTCTGAGCCATTCCTCTCGCTTCCAAGATTCGAGGTAGCCCTCAGCACTTCTAGTGACCGCCTGGGACCAATCTTCCACATAAACTCCCTCGTCAAAGGCGTTTACCTCCAATACTCGCTCTACCGCTACTATTGTCTCAGCGTTGCCTTGTTTGTACTCCAGAAGGCTTTCTTGCAACACTCGCAACGGCAGCCATCGTCCCCGAAGAATACGCACGATATGTCGCCTCCTCTATCCCCTCGGGCTATGCATAGGAGTGAGCTTATCACCGTAGATGTCAAAGCCACCGTTCTGCAAGTTAAGACCTTTATGCCGGCGGACCCGCCGATGCTGTTACAGATCTATGGTCTCACCGCTGGCTACCATCGACATTCCGCTCCATTCCTTCGAGCCCATCTTGTCCGATTACATGCCGAAGCACCCAAGCTCAAAGGCGTCTGGGCACGGATTGTCAGCATGAACAACTTCCGTCTCGACTTGCGAAAAATGCGACTAAAACAAGGTAAATCTTTGGTTGAGGATAAATCGATTGATATTTGGACGGATTTTGTACGGATAGGTGTACCTCACCATATGATTATGCACCGTGTTTTCGACAATGTGATCAACACCTCCAAGGCGTTGAAGCAATTGCATCACCGCCTGAAGAATCATACTACAGAGTTCGTGTCTGCAAGGGACCCAGAAGGGCCGAAAAAAGTTCCTAAGATCTCGTTCCGCAGCAAAGCATTGCTTTTTGAGTTGGAAGATGATGCTTTTGAGTGGAAGCTTGGTTGCATATACCGGACCGGTCTTATTGAACAGCGTCAACGTCGAGCTAGAGAGGACGCGTACGAACTGAAGCTCCAGAAGCTCAAGGAGTCCGACCAAAAGCGAGGCTCTTCGAGGTTGCGTACGCGATCCAGTCACCGAACGCTACGCAGTGAGCGGGTCAGTTCGGACTCGCGCCGGAGCAAGAGCGCGGACCCCAAACCACGAAACGAGATACCAGAGGAGAAAGAGGAAAAGCGCGGGCGTGCACAGAAATTCCGCTACGATACGGAAGGTGTATCCTCTTTTACCAACGAGGCCAAGGTGTCTGCCGAAAGCGCTTGGTATCGCCTCCAGCACTACAATGCCCGCAGTTGGAAAGCCAAGATCGACGCTGCTTTGCAGTTCCAAGGTTCATCTATCAAGGAGGTTCGAAACCTCTTTGAAGGAGCCGACGAGGCCCCAGAGGACGTGGAGGAAACCGAGACCGTGCTCGCCATACCCAACAGGCCTGCCCTCATGGCGGCTTTAATAAGCGATGTCAATCTGACCATCGATAAGCCTACTTTTCCTTCTGAGAACTATCCTCTTTTCCTTCACAGTATTGGCAAAGGCATACCCATGTCTACAAAGTATGCGCTCCTGATCCCGATGAGCATTCAGTTGGACATGGGCGAGGCTCGTGTCAATCTGAGAGACTACCCCTTGGACCTGTTACACATACCAGGATTGCGGCCTGGACAGTCGCCTAGGCTCCCTAGCTGGTCACTTCGCACGAACTTTGTGATTGCTGAGGAGTATCGCGATTACAAGTCATCGAGAAAAGTCAACGTAGAGCTCGTCCCGGCATCTGAACTTTCTGACGGGACAACATGCCCGCCCTTCTTGCTTGACATTTGGCGGTCGGTCAGCCCTGTGAAGACTTACTCGGATCCGGTTATTGAGATCAACACGAATCTGCCCACCAGTATATCTTGGGGCATGTCCTACCAGCCTGTTATTCAAGATATGATGAAGATCATCGAAGGGTTCACCAAGGTCGAGATCGACCCGTCCGAAAGGGTGGGATTCTGGGACAAAATCAGACTCAGCTTCCATTCGCGCATCCGTGTCAAGTGGAAAGGAGATGGCGACGTTCATCTTCGCCTGAAAGGCTCTCGTGATCCCTACGTTGTTACTGGGTTTGGCTGCGGGTTTGTTATGTGTTTCCGCAAGGATGTCCAGTGGAACATCCATACAAGTGATGACCCGAAGGAATTCATGAGCGTAACTAGTGGAGAGTATGTCCTGGCAATACCGGACTACAGCCACGAAGCCAGGTACTTGGCTGAGGCGACAGCCGACGACCTTGAAACGGTCTCAATGTCCAGTGACCTCAAGAACGCCGCTCATTTCAAGAAGGTTGTCATGAAGCTATCGGGCGACGTGAAATGGGCTGCTGGCTTGGTGTTCGAACGCAATGTCAATGAGAATGAGCGATCAACGGAGTTTCGGCCTCACTACGATGTTATTCTCCAGAACCCCAACTATATCGACCCCTCGCAGCGCGAGGTAAGTTCATTAGTTCCACTGAAAGGGAATGAAACTAACTGGCCAGGAATACGATGCGTATCGCGGCTTCCGGAGTAACCACATCCATCTCTCCGTCGCCATCATTGCCCCCAATAGCAAGAATTGGAGTGCGGACTTCGAGCAGCCAACTACGAGCTACAACACCGTCCATCTCACTCCGCGGTTCTTCACTCATTTCTACAGCTGGTGGTCGCTTTTCTCGGGTGTTATGTCATTGCCCGTGCGCCAGGGACGCCTGTGGCCTGGAATCACGAAGACCAACAAGAAATTCAATCGTCACTTGGCTACTATCAAGTATAAATTGCTGCTCGCTCCTCTCTTTGTCGCCCATATCTACAAGCACAAGGATCCTGAAGATTATGCCGATGACGTCGTTACCGCTACGGGCATAAAGGTCCGACTGGACAGCTTGAAGCTAGATGTTCATCAGAGGCGAGAACAAATTAAGACGCCTTCTAAAGGTCGGCTCAAGCAGCCGCAGGCAAGTGCGATACGGATTTACAGAGCAGAGCTGGACTTGCAGGCGGCAGACTTTAGAGCTGTCTCGGCTAGTATCGAAGGAACAGGCGCCGATGATCTTGAAAAGAAGAGGGATGACATTATATCTTCCTTCCAGCAGCCGGTTCCTCCGGCCGATCTCTCACGCTTTACAATCCCCGATCACAACCTTGACTGGGTTGATATGGACGATTTTGTCGAACTCGACTGGATACTCCCACAGGAATCCAATCCTCGGACCAAGATTCTGCCCTTAGCATTTACCCCACGATTCACTTACTTCAGGCAAACCGACCAGGAGGAGGTTTCTCCCGGACAGCCAGGGTATAGTAGCTTCGGGCATGAGGATACTCATGAATGTGTCATGTCAGATAGGAATCAGCCCCGCCAGGTGCAGTTAGGGCTCATTCGGGACCGTCTTACTACTATCGAGTCCAAGATACAGGACTGTACCCGAGCGATTGGTGACCTCGAGTTACAGATGGCAAAGGATGTTGACCAAAACGAGGACTTGAGAGTTCAACATAGAGAATATCTTCGGCAGGCATCGTCACTTGCCCGAAGACGCGCTTTCTTGATAGCAGGGCTCCATCGTTTGGAGAAGCAACTCTTCCGAAGCAAGAGCACCGATACCTACCACAGCGAAAGCACTCGGATTGATGCAGACTCGGACTCGCAAAGCGACAGCAAAGAAGCCGATTTCGATGGACTCTACTCTTCTCCGCATGACGACTTGAACAGCGACTTCAACAACCGGTTCATGATTCACAGTGTCCAGTTAAAGTGGAACAACTCACTGAGGAATATCATCCTCCGATATATCCACCAAGTCAGCCAAAGGCGTGGGTTTGTGTACTACATGTCTCGTCGAGCTGTCAAGTTCATCCTCGACATTGTTGAAGAGCAGAGCAAGAACCAAGCGAACTACTCCAAAATGTTCAGAGGCTCGTCAAGACGACCTTCTGAGGTCCGCGATGACGACGACAGTGTCGAAGACCGCATTGAGCAGCTTCTCCATGATGCGAAACGCTTTGTCAGCGCGGAAGACCAAGACCCCCCTGAACAGAAGGATCCGCCGACTTTCAGGTCTGATTCAACCGACAGCATATCGCCTGAATTCACTGCGCAGAACAGTTACCATTTGCGGCTTATTGCGCCTCAGATCCAACTTCAGAGCGAGAAGAACCACAAGTCAGTGATTCTTGTCGCGGCCAAGGGCATGCAGCTGCAGGTCGTCTCCATTATGGACAAACAACGGGTCTACGACGACGTCAGCGGCCTCGTTCAACGCCGGTTCACCCTCAACATGGACGGCGCTCAATTCTTCGTCGCGACGCAAAAGAACCTGATGACGCATCTGCAGTTCTACGCCGGCAACAAGTACGGCAATGCGCCGGGTTCTGCTTGGCCGCCGTGGCTGACGCTTGAGGCTATGTTTGATTTTGAACTTAATCCGTTCGGCTTCTCGAGGATTATCCAGAAGACTTCTGCCAGCTTGCGGTATGACAAGTACAACAACCTTCGTCTGAAGTACAATGATGAAGTAGCCAAGGGGCAGCCGGCAGAGGGAAGTCATCCAGACGGACCAGAAACCCGAATGGATAGTATCAGCGTCGACTTCCCTCAATTTCGTGCTATTTGTGACTCTGCGGAGTATTACACGCTGTACATCATTGTTCTCGATCTGCTGCTTTACAGTGAACCACTTGAGAAGGTTCGGAATGAGCGTCTTGAACGCATCATGCTTACTTCCGACTTTAGTGATCTAAGGGGCGCGCCAGAGATGGTCTACAAGCTGCAGTCACGCATTCGACAACTGGAGGAGATCAAAGATCATTTCCAGATCCATGCGAAATATCTTGATAAGCGCGGCTGGGAAGATCGGTTGATCCTAGAGAAAGACATTGCCCGGTGCGAGGATGAACTATTCTTCTTGATGAAGGCAATCACGACATCGCAGAGGAAGGTTGAGCCGACCATGACCGGAGCTACTGGTCTCCTGCGCTGGAATATCTCCGCCAGTGAGATCGTTTGGCACTTGATGAAGGACGAGTCAGAGCCCTTGGTCGAATTCCAGCTAAGGAATGCTGAATACGACCGCACCGATAATACCGATGGCTCGAACCACAACCAAGTATCTGTTGAACGACTTTACGGCCTGAACCTCTTACCGGATGCAGTATACCCGCAGATCATCGTGCCTTATCTTGACCAAGCACGACGTCTCGAGGGCCCCGACGACAGTATGATTAAGATCAAATGGCATATGCTGGAGGCCGTTGCTGGAATTCCTGTTGTCGATGACTTCGAAGTGTCACTGTTCCCGCTGAAGATTCAATTGGAGCATGAGCTTGGGCAAAGGGTTTTTGAGTACATGTTCCCGAATGTTGGGTCGAACGCTTTCGAGAACGGTGGCTTCTCACCTTTCATGATCAAGAACGTCAAGCCTTTGGAGGGTTCCGATTCCGACGATGAGTCTGGCCAAGCCTCTACGTCCAGTCTTCAATACCATAGCGACGCATCGGGAGAGGATATGACAAAGGGCGCTAGTCAGCTCGAGCTCAGGCTCCAGCCCACATTGTCGTTGGCTGAAAAGCCGCGGAATGAACGCCGACCTACGCATCTCAAGGCCCTCGCCATGACTCCGATCCACAAGGACGGCAGCCGGCAGCAAGCACGGCCTTCCAGCGCACTAGTCAAGAAGAAGTCAGCCGACAGTCTCCGAGTCCTTTCACGGCAAGCCACTTCATTCTCGACCACTAGCGTCAACGACGATAAGGGCAAGAAATTCGGCTTGGGTATCATGGGCGGCAAGAGCAAGGGCAAAAAGGGCGTGGATGACTTTGCCCAGATGATGGCCCGCGCCTCCAACTACATGACTCTCGCCCATGTCAGGGTTCATGACGTGGTTCTTTGCGTCAGCTACAAAGGCAAAGCAGAGCACAACATCGAGGATCTGCACGATTTCGTCTTCCGACTACCCATCCTCGAATACCGAAACAAGACATGGTCGAATTTGGATCTAGCGCTACGACTCAAGAAAGATGTCATCAAGGCCCTCATCTCCCACGCACCTGCCATTCTGGGCAACAAGTTCTCCCACCACCGGCCGTCGAAACAGCAGCTGAAGCGCTACCGCGAACTTGCATCATCGTCTCAGGTCCTGAACAACCAAGACACCGCCCCGCCCCCGGAGAACGGTACGAGCCCTAGCATGGTCAGCGCAGATTCGAGCAGCGGGTACATTTCGGAATCTCAGTCTCATCGCTCGTCTCCTCTTGCGCGGTCGAATTCGCTGGGTTCGAGTATTTACGGCGGCAAGGATCAGAGTGGGTTGTTTGACTCGCGCTCTGCGAGTGAAGTTGATGTGGACGCTCGTTGGGAGGTGAGTTTTCCTATTGCTTTTCTATTTATCATAGCTGACTGGGTTATAGCAATCTCGTCGACTCGTCAACCCCCCTTCGCGACCCTTGACCTCCGGCAGTGCGATGACGCGCTCTGACACAGCTCGCAAGATAGACTGGTCGGAAGATAGGTACGCATTCTTGCATTCCCCAATCTCTTGTTCTCCTGGTCAAATCACTAACGGCGCTTCGCGAAACCAACAGCTCGAAATCAACGATCCGCAACCTCGGCCGCAAACTCCTCCCTGGTCGGAAGTAACGCACTAAAAACCCTCACCCTCACCACATCTTATTATCCTCATCACCTCTCACAAAATCTCCTTCGCATCCTACACGCATAATCTACGCATCTTTGTTCAGATACCCCAGACGAACGGAAAAACCGGAGGTACGGAACGGTATATATATACACAGGCACCGGCGTCAGGCTCTTCCAGGCTTTTTACTCTTATTGTTGGATCACGATCCGATGCTCGATTAGTCCTTTTTACCTTCTTACCTTCTATTAGCGATGCTCTCAATTCCGTTTCTTTTCCTGATTCTCCTATTCCCCTCTATACTATATACTATATAACCCCTGCTGCCTCTTGTATTAGTGCCTCGCACTACTTACTCACTGCCAGGGCGTTGTATTTCTGCTACCTGTTTGGTGTTCCTGCATTTGGTCTGTTCGGCGTGGAATAAAACGGGGTTAGTCGGGGTGTGGGTGTTTTGTTCTTAATTGGATAGCCAGGAACCGAAGGGTACTGGACATGTTTTGCACCGGATATAGCTGCAGAATCGGTACGATATTTGGTAGCTTATATAGTCATGTATATAGAATTTACTGGTTCTCGGTTTGGTTGTGTTCTAATGCTGTGTAGTCTTGGATGGTGGGGAGGGGAACATGTACTCTTCATGCATCCTCAAGCTTCCCTTACTGTCCGCTTGATTAATATGTGAGTTTCATTGTTGCGATTAACATTACCCATTATCCATTGTCCAAACGTTGGCGCATCTTTCTCTTGCAGATAATTGCCGCGCTCCTCAACGTCAAATAAGCAAAGCAAAAAACATGGACAAAATGAAGGAATTATCGAATCAACAGCGACATGGACCAAGTGTATCTGCGAACAGGGGAAAATCCGACAGATTACTCAACAATAATAGCAGTACATGACCTAATATTACAAAACCGGTCAAGAAAGAACCATCCACCACCACTCCTTAACAAACCAGCATACTTCGTCAGTATCAACCTCGGCGCGAAGACCACCAACAGCACCAGCACCAGCACCAGCACCAGCACCAGCACCACCGCTCTTCTGCACAACTCCAACCTCAGCCAGCCACTCCAGCACCATGAGCACCTCCCAATCACCCATAGTCGGTCTAATCGCAGCAGCCAGGCGCTTCGCCGAGGCGCCGGGTCTAACGGCAAGAGTGCCCAGAATAGCGCCGACGGCAAGATCCCACAGGACCTGAATAAAGCCGCCATGGATATCGATCCACAGAGGGAATCTCTCGGGGAGGGAGACGGTCCCTGTCCCCGTGATTGAGCCCGGTGCCATGCCGTGGATAGGGGTGGGGAGAAGGACACGCGGTGGACTGAGGTGCGGGGTCTTGGCTGCGTTTTCGGATATGGGATTGCCTGAGATGTATTTTCCTTTGACGGGGTAGACGTCGACAGGGAAGCGGAGTTTGTCCTTGTTCATCATGCGCGTGAGGTATCCGCCATCTGTGAGACCGAATTTGTCGCGGGGCGGGTCGCGCGGGACGAATTTGACTCGGCCCTCGGCGAAGAGGTTGATTAGGGCTAGGATGTCGCCGTCTTCGGCGTTGAAGGCGACGCTGTGTACGCCTTCTTGTTTGAGCGCTGGGTCGAGGGTTTCCGTCTTGAATTTGGAGGCGCGCCGGACTTCGTTGGCTTCGACCGGGCGCTTTTTGCTGAGCGTTTGGATGAAGTAGTCTGTGATGTCGTAGTTGCGTCCAGGGACAACGCGGCCCTTGTTGGACTGTGAGATGACCCGTTCGGTCACGAGGGATTGCAGAGCGTGGCTCAGATGAGCCTCGTTGACGTGCGATAGGATATGTTTGGCATCTGGGGCGCGGTATACTTCGGCCGGCGTAAAGACGTTTGCTCGAACCCATGTCTTCGTGCTCTCAAGGCGAGAAAGCTCTAGGCGGCGCTGGGAGAGGTTGTTGTCTAACTTGGATGGTAGGGGAGCTGCAAACGCTACGTTTGACATCAACACTTTCTTGCGGTTAAGAGTGACGGAAACCGTCGTCTGGTACAATTCATCCAAAGAGCCGAGGGGCTCTTCGCGGAGCTCAAATATGTCGTCGAATTGCTCCCGCGTGGCAGGGAGATCCGGCGTCCGATCAGACTTGGGGACGTCCAGAGTGGCGCTGGCCCACTCAATCACAGCGTTCCAGTCGTAACCTTCCAGGTTATCGTAATCAATTGGAGGAACTTCATCGTTAGCGTATGCCTCGACGAATCGTTCTTGGAAGTCGTATTGCATCTTCGCGACTTGTAGCCGGCTCCTGGCTAGAAACGATTTGCCCTTATCTTGTATGAACTTCGGGTCTTGGTCTGGAAAGCAGCGTGATATCAAGGGCCAGTCGACAATGTTGCCGTTTTGGCCTCCAGCCAAGGAACGCACGGCGACTATTGCCGTCATGAGTCTTTGATAGGACGAACGTGAGAAGGGTTGTGGAATCCGATTGCGACGGAGCGGTACTCGAGGAGAAGCTAGTTCGTTTCCAACAGATGCCGTCTCATTCAATTTCTCCAGGCGACGCGGTCGAATGGGGACAGAAGGCTTATATTGGCGCATGCGCATCGTCTCCAAATGTATGGGCTGCGCGAAATCAGGACGATCTTCCAGGACGTAATCGTATGGAGAACCCTCCAAAGTTTCAAATTCTTGTCGCCAATGTCGCGCTTGTCTCCGCGAGCGGGAAGGCGGTTCTTCAAACATGAGGTCCGTCTGCCCAGCATCGAAACGAATTCCACCCTCAATCGGCGCACTCTCAAAAGTGCCTTGAATTCCATGATTGATGTAGCGAGTATCCTGGCTTCTCTCTTGGAGAACTCTCTCGTTTTGGAGTTCCCACCGGAGAATTGCGTTGGTGTCTCGGATGAAGTCCCTTGACCGAGAATCTGTTTCCCCTGGCAGATGGAAATTACGTCTCCCAGCTAGGATGAGTTGATCGTCGAGCGAATAGGGTACGTGAGCATTTCGCTTTCGTGTCATGCGAACCTGACCAGACTTCGGTACAGATCTTGACATGTAGACAGCTGCGAGACCCGCATGGGTAGAGAATGTCCCACTTCTGGGGTTGAACGATTGGTACGGATTCATCAACATCAACGTGGCGCGCATCCTGAACACCTGCTCGGCACTCTTTTGAGGAGCTCTAACCAACGAAAGAGTCGCAAGGCCGGCATCAGTAGAAAAAGTCCCGTTCACTGGGTTGAAGGATTGAGTTGGACTCATTAGCATTGAGTACGGCGCCATCATAGAAAGAGCAGAATAGATGCGCTTCAGCTCACGATTACCAAGTCTGCTAGTATACAGACGGTGCCTTTTCTCGCCGTGCTTGGTGAGAAGCCCGAAGGTGGAATTGTCTCCAGGCAAAGCCATGCCAGGAATTGGAGGCATAAAAGTATCGAGCCGTGACAAAAGCCTGACGGCACCTGATGGGAGTATTTCTTGCATGCATTCGCGCATCTGTTCGATTTCCAGCCGCCGGTTGAGCCTCCGTTGAATAGAAACTCCTTTCTTTTTCTCCATAGTCTGGATTATTGCTGGTTTGTTTTGCAGCTTCACAGTGAGGCTAGACTCGAGAGGAAGGTCGGCGGGCAGTTTCATCATCCTAGGACCCGGTCCTTGTTTCGTGAGGGTTGGGTCAACTTCAACACCAGGAGGGAAATAATGCCGGGCTTCTGATGCCAATATTCTCTTCTGCATGTCCTTTATAAACGGGTCATCCGGCGCCAGTTCCGCCTTACAGATGACGGTCTTGGTGACCATAACACCTTTGCGATCTTTACCGCAAAATGTCTGCTGCCGGAGCTTTCCAGCATCCACCAGATGTTTGACGGTAGTTCTGAGCGTGCGCATATCAGGCCTCTCTTTGTATTTGGTTTTCATCCAGGCTGTGACGAATGGGTACCAGAGGTCAGAACCCATAGGGAAAACGCCCCCAGCCTTTTCCACGAGGTCCATGACAATTTTTCTTCGCAAGAAGGCAACCGAGCCTCCTTTGTCAACATGCTTTGAACGCGTAATTCTCTTAGATGAGGTTTCTGGAGTCGGCGTAGCAAGTGAGGCAGGAGTTTCAGTTTGAGATGCGACAGATTTAGACGACTGTAGTCTCGCTGGCAAAGGTGTCGATGTGGTGTTGAGTATTCTATTTACGGTTCCAGGTCCAACGACAGAAGGAGCGCCATCTCCCACGCGCGGCGTTCCTGGCGCCACATCCTCATTGATTGACGGTTCAGCGGTAGGCTGGGAAGCAGATGGAATATTCTCATTCAGTGCCGCCTGTACAGGGCTCTCGTCTCTCACAGGGACGGGCGACGATGCTGGTAGATCTGCAGTGGGCTCGCCATCACCTGTGGCTGCGATCGAGGCTTTCAATGCTTTGTCTGATTGCCGACTGGTCGATTTTTGACGAGTCCCTATCGGGCCATCCCCGTTCGTCTCTGGGCTACTTTGCAGGGGCCTCGCCGCTCTGCCGCCTCTTTTCCGTACGCGAATGCTATCTGGATGCCCAGTCTCAGGAGACAGAGTTCTCTTCCGCTTGCCCCGGTTGCTAGGCGTCTTAGGTTCGTGGGCTGGCGGGTTCTCTGATTTACCCTCATTCACGGCGTCATCGCGATTTGATGCAAGAGAGCCGTTGGTACTATCGCCCGTGCGGCGTAGCTTCGAAGCTTTGGCAGACATAGAATCGGGCTCTGGGCCGGCACTGTCTTGCTCAAGGGGTCTTTTCGTTCCTTGCACAGCACTGGCTTCCTCTACGCCACTTCGTTTAGTGAAGTTAGCAGCAGTGGCGTCCGGCATGTTCACATCAATGGTCGAGGGTTCAGGCGACTGGGACGCAGGTCTGCTATTGTCCAAATTCTCGCCTTCGGTTCGGAACCATGGAAGATTCACCAATTTAGATGACTTGAAAACCGCGAGGCGACTAGCAGGTGGGCGCCCTCGCTCCTTACCAGCTGGTCTTCGTCGCCCTCGTGGCGTAACGTATACTCCAGGACCTTTACGGTCAATGAGTAAGATACTGTATTCTGTCCACGACTCATCAAAACCCATCGCTTTCAGTTGCTCTATCTTGGACATGCCAGAAAAGTTAGGTGGTTCACGTTTTGGCTTCCTTGGACGTTTGGGTGCCGGTGTAGCGATTTCGTCTGTGTCTATGCTGGATACCGCTTCATCGGTAACGTTCAGCCGCGTGGGTGTATCTGGCGTGGCTTTTCTCCCGGCTGGAGACGGCACATTGTGTCCTTTGATTCCATACTGGATGGCTAAAGAGGTTGAAATCAGCATCATGAGTTTCAGAATGTTGAATGGAAAGCTTACTATAAGTGCCATCACCCAGTTTTACCGCTTTGGGATCGCTACTCGAAACATTGTAGTCCTTTGGTTTGACAATCCACATGCAGTCTAAAAGGCAGCAATCGCCCTTTTTTACCAAGTCGCTGGTTGGTATGTCCTGGGGCAGTCCGTAGGCATCGAGCTGCGGCTTGGCGTCCACAGGCGGAACAGCAACTGAGCTTGATTTGCTGTTTCTTGGGACGAACTCGACAGCTTCCCATGAGGACTCTCCAGCTTCAACCAATTTACCGAAGTTTTTTGCTGAGTAATGGATGTAGTGGGTGATGGTGCGATTCAGAGCTGTGTCACGCACAAGGGCGAGATGGCGAAGATATGGAGGCTGTGACAACTGCCAGCATTCCGACAAACGAGCCAATGTATTTTCCAGTGGTCGTCGCCACAGGACCCCGGAGAAGGTTCTTATGACATCCTACGCATGTCAGAAACTTGGCCAAAAAGAAAAGCACAATCGACTTACAGAGTTGCTGGACCCTGCGGTCCCAGCTTGATCGACCACTTCGAATATTTGGTTGTGGAGACTTCGATCAGGGCTCCAGATTGGGAGAACACGTCCAGAGGTCTCCTCTCCTTCCATCGCCTGGATACCTCCTGCAGCGGAGGCTTCTCCAGTTAGGTCCTCCGCCTCCGCCTCGTCTTCAAACTCAACGTCATCACCCTTGTCAAGGTCTGCATACCAATTCATGCTGAAATCGTGGAACCGCTCGATATCCTTCGCCGTGGGTTCCCGCACGAGCATAACACAAGGATGATACTTATTCATGGTATTGGCATACTGCGACATGGCTCTAACCCGTCTGACCACACCTATACGCTCGAATTTCCGCAGGGCACGAGACAGGACTTTCCAATGCCAGTGGTCGTGGAAGCCCAGCACATTCTTCAGATCATTGCGCGCAATTATTTGATGCTCGCGCAAGGTTCCAAAAAGCTTGTCGGTGAATGCATTGAAATCAATCATCCTGACGGCTCCGGTTTCAGAAGCGTCAGCGGTGGACGTCACAGCATCTTGCGACAGGAACTTGCGCAGCGTGCAAAGGCTGGTACGAGCACCTTTCAGCTGGATGGCTCTTTTCTCGATATACCCTTTCTGTTGCAGGATATCCGTACGCTTCGGTACGGATCGTTTGTCCTGGCCGCTGAGCTTGATCAGGTCCGGCTGAGATATTCCAGTGGATTTTCGGGATGCAATGATGGAGAGCAGCGCAAATTCCATGGGAAGTACTTTAGTATCATCGGGTTCATGGCCGGTGATGGCAAGCCAAGTCCGTTCCTCGGAAACGAACACACTGACGTTTTTTTTGTCCGCATCATCAGCCGCTTGTTGAGGCCTTTCGGCCTCTTCCAGGCTCAACTTATTCCCTTCCCGTTCCTTCCCCACAGAAACTTCAGGGTTCTTAGTTAGCCATTGCCATACTTTCTCCTGAAACCGCCTGTCGATAACAGGAGTGTGCTCAGAGGCATCATTTGCGTATTTGGCATAGAAGATGTCAATGTATGACAAAATGTCTGCGGGGGATGCGCCTATAGAGTGTCAACCATGCAAATATACAGGAGCCCCATTGGGCGGGGCGGGATGCAGGGGTGGATCATCGTTAAGAAAAGCTTCAAAAGTTCACTGACCTTGATTGCCGCAGAGCGCAACCTCTGCGAGCAGGAAATCGATTAAATCTCGTAGGCTAGGGGCCATGGCATATCCATGCTTTCATCTGCTGCGATACCGGCTCGATTCCCATTCAAGTGAGCAAGTTCGGGAGGCAACAAAGACTTTGTCAGAAAAAAACCCGTTGGTTCAAATGAAGAGAAAGCGCGATTCGAACCGACGCCGTGGAAGAAAATCTCCAACTCCAACAAATTGGTGGGGTGGCGGCAATCTCCCACGTGACAAGGAAGAGGCGATTAATGCCTTCCATTTCAGGCATACTGTACACGGTTTCAGAAGTATGGAGATAGAGACTACCATTCAATCCAGCTCTGTTTCTGCCATAGAAGCTTGAGAAGAGAGTTAGTCGTACATTAAAACGGCTCCATGTTGTTCCCTTGGGTTCCAAAGCGGATAATGGCCTTCTAGGCAAGTTAATGCAGTATTTTCCGGCACTTATCAACCCTACTCTTGGCTTGGATTGGGTAAGGAAATAAATCCATGTCAAGTCGAAAGAAGTATATACATGGAAGTAGTGAAGGGCACTTCTTTTCAGTGAGAGTATATCAGGTATCAAGTTGCTTCTGGCGACAAACATCTTTTCCCAGACTACGTTGTCTCACATTCTTTGATAAATATATATTCTCAGATACATTTTAACATCCTACATCATGATATGGTTTAATAGGGGTTGCAACACAGAGTTTTACTCCAGCGCCTGTTTCAGTGGCCTAGAACCATAGCAGATACTAATAGGACCTTCTTGGCTGCATAGAGAATGTACTACGTACTGTCGGGAGGTGTTCAATTTGAATTAAGGACGCTCAAGGTCTCGTCACGATTACGCGGCCGGATATAATCGAGGCATATCGGGTAAGGTATATTGTGATTTGTGATCCAGGTAAATTCGACACTGCGGACACCAACGCTGGGGACTGTTCATTTACGTCCCGTTATTCCAACCATGCTCTATCGTCGGCAGAACCAAGCTGAGCGAGTCGGCTGCGGCAATGAGGATACGGACGGCATTGCCACCGACACGTACAAGCGGGTGTTTTGTTCGACTCAGCCTCGACGCTAAGATCGGGTGGCACTCACATCCAGTTTTGTCTTCTGTTAAGATACCATGTGATAGTTCTCTGCCTTTGCTAAGTTGAGATCATCTAACATCCCCGGATAGAATCATGAACCATGTTAAATGCCGAGGCTCTGAGCGCCGGCCGAGTGCCTCACCCCAACTGATTCGAGGTAGAGGGCATGGCGGGAGAGTGTGCTTGAATTGGTATCGACAATAATTGGTTCAAAGCAGCTACCAGGTCGCACACAATATCCCGTTGACTATTACCAGACCATGCACGATCAATGGACGCAGTGAGGAAGCACTGTGTCGTACGATGACCGAGGGCCCTAGAAAGTTGGGCGAAGGCAAAGCGATAAACGCCCTGTGTTATTAGAGCCGAAGAGATATAAAAGACTGAAATGGACGATATGCCTTGGAGTTGGGATGCCTCTCCAATTAGTAGTCGGGTGGACTTGGTTAAATTCCCCAATTTTAAGACGAAGGGTCCAATTTATGCAGCGTAGATCGTGCAGCTTGGCAGCTATCTCGGCCTAGCCCGTCTGGCGCACCATCTGCCCATATCCACGGTTGCAAAGACATTTTGCAGTGCATGCTGAACCGAAGAATGAGACGAGCTCTTAGATGTAGTTGCGCAATCGTACCATGGACAGACTGACTCCGGTGTTGTTTCGGCTGAAGAGCTCATCCGGGCCGAGACTATAGATAACTATAGAACCCTTAGGCTTGGCGTGCAAGAAACGGACCACACTGGGCTTATATCACTCAGACCTCATTATCTGCTTGGCTGACCGGAGCCAACACTGGAGCAGCGTAAGCGCTCTGCAGAAATGAGATATGAAGAGTGAAGACCGGATCCAGACAGCGAAGATCATGACCGCAGCCGGAGGGAATGTTTGACGGAACTCGGCTCTGACATCACCGCTTGGTTTACGTCAGAAAGGCACAACCTGAGGCCCTTCCAGGCGTTGAAAAACAAGCCCGTCAGCTCTACTCTTTTGAGTCTTTGACATTACCGTTTGTTCCGGACTTTCACGAGGCACGGTTATTCTATTTGAAAGCGCCCAATTTGAATCTGTGCGCAATACAGGATCTCTTATCTCCGGTGGTTCCGTCAAACCGTTCATATTGCTTTTCTCGCCTCCCAGGGACCACCCACATGAACTTCCGAATGCCCAAACCCTCCGAATAACCTCACCACCACAATCAACTCACGCTTTGATGGATACAGAAGCGAACCCTGCTACCGCTGAGGTGCCTGCCACTTCTGCAGGCACCTCAGAGCCTCCGCCACTCCCATATTCCCTGCGAGACCGAAAAAAATCGATCGCATTCTTCTGGTCCTTGTTTCTCATCGACTGCATCGCTCAGCCGCTTGCGTTATATTTTGGGCTATGGTACGGCACGAACCTGTCGCATAACCTGGGTATGTCCGTTTAGTCAAGTGGTGTGATAAAAGAGATAGTGGCAGGCTAACATGATCGCTTTATAGTCTTCACCATTGTCACCATCTCATTGGGAGGTATCTCCGTCTTCGAATACTTCTATCGACTCTACAACCTCTTCCGCTCCGACTCTACAACCCGGCCATTGAATGCTAGGAAGTCATGGGTAGGCGCATATACAAGGACTCCTTGATTGATCACGATGCTGACCTCGGTAGCTGGACTTCTTCCAAATCAACTTCACCATCGTATGGCTGATATTGGCGGTTGAACTCATCACGTACGTTGACTCCCAATTCGACAAAACTTGGCTTTTGCTGACAATTCTCACAGCGGAACGGTACCAGAGGAGCCTTATGGTGAGAACTAGCTTGAGAGATCGATCTTTAAACCCTACTGACCACCGTTCTTTAGTGCGCCTTGTCGCTATGGTTCTCCCCACGGTGATGTTCTACTTTGGGGCCGTTTACCTTTCACTGGACATTCTCCGCGCGTGCGGATTCAGAGCCCCCTTCCGCATCTCCTCCACTCCAAAAGGTGCCGTCATGCCCACAGCCTTATATGTCATGATTGAAGATGTGGTTGCGGTCGACGGAGGCGGAGGTCAAATTTATCGATACGCCCTGCGAACCCGTTACCTATCTAGCCCATATTTCCGCCGCATGCTTGTGCAGATGAACTTCTTCTGGGCAGGTGGCTCCATCATCTGGGCCGCTGCCATCACCGCAATGATCTTCACTACACCCCAGGACGCCGCCTTTGTTGTATGTATCTTGTATCCATTGCATTCGACGCAACGGCTAATGAACTTTCTGCAGATCGGGTGGTCAGTTCCATTTGTCTGGGCCGGTCTCTGGACATTAATCACTATCCCGTGGGTCCAAAGCGATCTTCGACGCGAGAAGGAAGCATGGCGGACCAACGGCGCTCAAGGAGGCGAGGCATACGTCGACGATATCAATGCTCCAACGGCTCGGACTCGCCTTGAGTCCATCCATTTCCCGCGCTTCTTCCCGCAGAGACTAGTTCGAGAGAAGCCGTCTGCAGCGTCCATGTCTGAAACGCAATCGTGAACGTTCATCCATCAACCTTACATATAATCAACCCACGAAACTTATATCAGCAACACAATCACCACAGCAACGTCGTACGAATCATGATAGCCGCAATAGATACCCATGTCTCTCTTCATTCGAGCTTTGTATTATTGCAATGTGTCCATATTTCTTCAAGATGTCTCAACGAGTCTTCCTTTGGGTCTGTCTTTTCAAAACAATCAATTTCAATAAGAGGCATGTACAGCTCAAGTCTGGACCGAGTTTTATAGGGGTAAATGGCGGTTTGAAGACCTTTATATTCGATGCAAAATTCAGTTCCTTTGGGCGTGACGGTTTATGTTGGCAGCGGCGGATGCTCTCATTGTTTAGCGTTTCTAGCGTTCTTCAAGGTCTAGGTCTCAGCGCATAGAATCGGACAGGAAGCAAATTGTAGTTCTTTGGAATCCCCGTCTGCAGCTCCGACGCAACAACACCCATCCCAGCCTCCTTAAATAGGGCTCTAAACTTCTCGTCCGTCCGAGTGACACTGCTATCCTCCTCATCGTACATATCCTGCCCATTGAAATCCGTCGAGATATTCTCCTTGAAACCCACAATCCCGCTCTCCGTTAGCGACGCACAGCACCGCCGCAGGAACTCGACAAGCTGCGCATCCGTCACATAGTTCGCGCAGAACTGCGCCCATACCAGATCGTATTTCTGCGTCGGCGTCCAGGACTCCAGGCCCGTAACATAGATATCCCCAATAACCCCCCTCTCACTTTCACTCTCACCATCACCACCTCCCTGCGTCTCCGTTTGCGCTCCATTCGACGCCCTCGCGCTGTCTTCCCCACTCTTCCGCCCCCTCATAACACTCGCAAACTTCTCAACAGGCTCAACAGCATCAACAACCTCACACACATCCCTCAGGAGCCCCTCGGTAACCCGTCCAACCCCCGCACCACAATCCACTCCGCGGCCCAGTTTCTTGCCTGTGTTAGCGCCCGGAACGAGGCGCCGCGCTTTCGCTATAAAGTTCTTGGACCCCCGGAGGTCGATCCGCGTGTACCATGGGTAGTCGCCCATGATGCCCAGCATGGTGCCCGGTGTTGCGTCGAGGCTGTCCCAGTATCTTATTGAGGCAGCGTGGTTGATTTGCGCGTCTGGAGGGAGGGTTTGGAAGACTTGAGGGTGTGTTGTGGTTGGGATTGCGGAAGCGGGTTTCCGCTGGGATCGGGTTTGTGGCGGCATTGTGAGGGTGAGGGTAAAGTTCGGAGAGGAGGAAAAGGGTAGTGGTGAGGTTAGGTCCTTGCAGGATGCTTGTGTCTTGTCTTGTGGTGTGGTGGTTTGATCGCGGTCTTAAGAGATAGAGACTTCTGCCTCATAAATCAGGCTTTAAAATGCTTACTAAGCTCATTCTTTGAAACCTGAGGCAATTAGTCTAACCCGATTAGGCAGAATGCTCACAACGTCCTCGAGATACATCAAACATCCCTCTGAATCCCATCCTGTCCTTCAGTTTAGACGGTATCTACTATGGACTTATCTCCAGGGGCGGAGCACACCGCGCTTACGCAATGGGCTGTGTCCCACGGCATCAACATCAAGGGCATTGCCCCAGCACGATTTCCTGGTAGAGGGCTGGGCATGGTTGCGACGCGGGTTATACGAGTGAGTATGTCTGTCTTTGACCCAATATCCAATTTTGTAACTTGTGTATCCTTGCGTCAAGTTACATGGGATGAGAACTACACTAACTTTATAGCTAGAAAAACGAAACCATGCTCTCTGTGCCCGTGAACTTGATGCTCACAAGGGACTCCATCCCCAAGTCCTTTGTCTCACTGTTCCCTGAGGATGCAATGAACCACGCCCTTCTGGTGGCGCTCCTATGTCATGGAGACTCTACGACTCAGCCAGGTCTAGATATATGGAGGAGAGTCTGGCCGAGCTGGGAGGATTTCGAAACGAGCATGCCTATTTTCTGGCCGGGGTGGTTACGGCGTTCCAATCCCGACGCAGAAGACACTGCTCAAAGCCGCAGAGCTACTGCAGCGGGTAGTGCCATATCAGACTCAGATCCCCGACCTAGCCCTAACTTATCTCTCCTCCCACCCTCAATCTCAGGCCTCTGGAACACCATCCCAAACCAAAACCCTAAGGCCAGGTCCAACTCCAACTCCGAAGCAGCGCCCACATACACCCACGAAATTCGGTACCAGAACCTCCTCCCCCGGCAAGAAAAGCGACTGCTCGACACCTGGGACGCAGTCCGTTCCGTGTTCCCCGAAACAGACTGGAAGAGCTTCGCGTATAACTGGGCGATCATCAACTCGCGTAGCTTCTACTACCTCTCGCCCGGGAAGGAGGAGCCGACTGACTGGAACGATGCGATCGGGATGGTGCCGTTTGCGGATTATTTCAACCATGCCGATGACGCGGTGAGTTGACGCGTACTAGAGGTTGTAGGGCTAAGCCGGAGAGATGATGCTGATGAATGGACCAGGCATGCGAGGTCACGTTTGATGGCGATATGTATAGATTCCAGGCTTCGCGGCGTTATGGTTCGTATCGATCTCAGTATCCTTCTACGCTTCTGGCTACCCGCGCAGCACTCCTAACGGCCTCCGGCGAATGCAGAAAAGGGTGAAGAGGTCTACATGAGCTATGGCGCGCACTCGAATGATTTTCTACTGGTTGAATGTAAGTGCTCTATCACTATGGCTCATGCCCACTTCACCTAACAAAGTCTTGCCCAAGACGGCTTCTGCCCCGACCAGAACCCCTCAGACGGAGTGTACCTGGACGACATTATTCTGCCCGAGCTGACAAGATCCGAAAGGAAAGAGTTGGCTGAGAGGGAACACTTCGGGTGCGTACTTCTGTTCTAATCTGCAATCCTTTCATCTCGATTTGTCTCCCCTATAGAGGCGCTCTAACACTGGGTCAGAAACTATGAAATTACGGCGTCCGGTGCAGATTCTAGCACCATGGCAGCCGCAAGTATAAAGTACATGAGTCGATCACAATGGCGGGATCATGTTGATGGCGCATCTGACCGGGGGTTCGATGCGAGCAAAACTGCGAGTGTAGTACGTGGTTGGATTGAGATATACCAGCGGGAGTGCAATGTGACCATTACTTCTCTTGAAGAGCTGCTGAAGTCTGAGAAGGAGAAGGAAAAGGTCGCTTTGACACTAGCCCGCTGGAAGCAGATACAGCGCCTGTGCGAGTGTGCTGTAATATCCATGACTGACTAGACTAGACTACGAGGAGGCCTCAAGGTTAAAATGATGATACCATGTTATGTAGTAATGCGATTCCGTCGTCGAATCAGGTATAATATACAATAAAGCCAACTCATGGCACAGCAGAATGAAGACAAGTGTTTTAGGAACAAGAATAGGAGTAACCCAAACGAAACAGTCAAAGCTTAGTGATAATCCTTGGTCTTGTCGTCGCAGAAATCCCAGAATTGTTGTGCCCTTCCTGTTCCACCGACCTCCTTGGACCTCATCGCGTTCATCAGATGGGGGGCGACGGTGGTATGAATGCGGCCCCATGGAATCACGTAACAACCGTTGTTCTCGAGGTTGATATCCGACGATAGACCAGCATACAATTCGGTGAGGGCAGCCAGCCTCGGGCTATGCAACAACGGCCCCTTGAGGACCTTCGTCCATCCCGCGTGTCTGAGAAGGTTGGTGCTGGCGGCACCAGGGTGCATTGCCACGCTGACAATGCCGTGTCCTTGACCGTATCGGCGTGCAAACTCGGTTGCCAAAAACCAGGTTCCGGTCTTCGAGTTGAGGTAGTTGCGAGCGTTGTCTTGTGGAGGGTTACTCAGCTCCTTCATGACGATACCCTCCAGAGGCGAATTGAGTTCAACGACCTGATCACTCAGCCAGACCACCCTCACTGAGCCAGGGAAAGCCGGGCCGTTCAGTGCAACGGCCGCATCGAGAAGAGGGATCATCATCTGTGTGAACAGAAAAGGCCCGAGGCAGTTGGTAGCGAGCTGAAGTTCTAATCCCTGCTTCGACAAAACGCCCACAGGAGGCTGGGCAACGCCGGCGTTGTTCCAAAGCACATCGAGCTTGGACTCCTTCTCCATGAATGCATCGGCCGATTCTCGGATGGAGGTTAGGTCGTCGAGTTTGAGAACGATATAGTCGATTTGGCCGTCGCGTTCGCCGACAGAGGACTGGATCTTCTGAACGGCTTCCTTCGCCTTCTCCTCCGTCCGGCCTGTGATGTATACGGTGCCACCTCTGGCGTAGAGGATCTTGGCGAGCTCGAAACCGATTCCTGAAGTGCCACCGGTTACGAGGAAGACGCGGCCTTTCTGAAAAGTGATGTCCTTCTCGGTAAATGTCGGACGTGGAGGGAACATTTGGGTAAGCTGTGCACTCGTCTTGTATGTAGGTTCTTCGGGTTTAGGAGGAGGGAGCGTCTTTTTGGGCTGGCTAGACTGAGGCTGGTCCTCTTTAGCGCGCTTGTTAAAGAAGGGTGCCATCTTGGAGAGGGAGGAGTGAGTAAGTATGCTCAATAAAAGATTCGCAGCGGTGCACAGAGTTCCAAAGTCCGCAGAAGAAGACGGGAGAGGGAGGGAGCCGGCCAGGGGAAGATGAAAACATCGCGCAAAAGAAAAGAAGGCGCCTTCCCTCTATTGAGCGACAGAAATGCAGCAGCCACCGACTCGGCCAGAGATGGAAGGAGCCCAGTCCACGCAACGATACGGCACGGTGAAGCCCGTGCCTGCCAGCATAGAATTATCTCGCCGGAGATGGTCATGGGCTAGGTTATCGCGAGCAGTCATGGCTAGCCCGAGATGATACAAGATGTAGTAACATTCTCCAAGCCGGACTATAGCTGTAATTTCCAAAGCGCTCTTAAATGATCATCCATATAAACAATCCACCCTAACGCCCGACATTCAATCTTATTCCTCAATGTTGACGAACCGCCGGAGAACCATCAGAATCAGCGCGACCAGCACGCCGAATATAGCCCGGTCCAGCCATGGGCTATCCTGCGAAGGGGGTGGCGCAGGCTGGATAGCTGGCCTCGTGGGCGTAGGGCGCGGTCGTTGTGTAATGGCTTGTGGTGTCGGCGCTGATGTTGATGCTTGTCCCGGAGTAGGCGCTGTCCGAGGTACTGGTGCTTGAGTCGTCGTCGTGGACGAAGATAGACCTGTCCCGTCCGGTGCAGACGTACCGGTACTCGTGCTTTTCTCCTCGGCACCTCTAGTAGCCGCATCGATGGTGGTAGAGACTGGCTTTGGCTTCTCCGTCTCATCGCCCTCCACATTCGCACTGTCCGTAGCCGTCGAGTTCTCACCCTCCTCCTTCTCCTTCTTCCCAACCCCAATCCTCAACCCCTCCGGCACCCCCTCAACCTCCTCCTCCTTCTCAACATCAACCCCCCGCTCCACACAAAACGCCCTCCACTCCCTCAAAATGACTTCATTAGTCTTCCCCCCACACCCCTCACAGCACCACCCGCGGCTCATCCCCGCCCACTGGCGCCTGATCTCATCACTCACGCCCTCAAGCCCACCAACCTGGCCCCTCGCATCACCCTCCATGAAGCTTCTGATCGCCAGCAGCGCCGTCCGAATCCCCCAGGCCGGCTGCCACGTCTCCTCGTGGTGCCCCGAGATACTCAGGCAGATCTCGCGGTTGACTTCGAAGCGGCCGGACGGGGTGAGGAAGCGGAAGGAGGGCGGGCGGAGTGGGTATGTTGGTGGGAGGACGATGCGCCCGTGGTAGATGCCACCGGCGTAGGGGGATGGTGGGGGTGGGCCGGCGAGAGTAAAATGCCAGTCGTAGAGGTTTGAGTCGGAGACGGGCGCGGCGTGGAAGTGCGGGGAGGGGGAGGCGGAGAGCTCGGAGGCTTCCTTCATTAGGCGGCGGACGGAGCGTGACATTTTGTTCTCGGTGTTGGAGTTCTCGCCTGGAGAGGGGTTCTTGTCGAGGTGTATTCTGATACTCCTTGATTTGTGGTGTTGTGCGCGTGCTTCGAGGTTGGTAGACTCGTATAGATTGTGTTGCGACTGAGCTGATAAGGGGGGGATTATCAGGTGGGATGGCGATTCCAAGGCCAGCTAGGATAGCGCAGAATGTTAAGAGAGGATTGATAGCGAGTTAGAGCAGATAGATGGTCTGCACGAGGAATAAATATGAAGGAAGTTGATGCAAGTTGGCGACATCCTATTGGAATAGCATGCGTGCCTGTTATGTCAGGCATCAATTAATCTAACTCCGACAATTAACTCCGCACCCCCCACGCCGTCGAACAGCCCTAAGACTATGTATACAATCTAAACGCCTATACAGAAAATGTTCAATCCCAATCGCGCCAGTCGTCTTCACGTGAGCCTTGCTTCCCAGACCCCTTGCCATGAGTAGGCTCGAGAGCAAAGTCATCATTATCGAGGTCTTCCGTATCGGTTTCCTCGCCCGGCCGCGGCCGCGGAGATCGAGGAGCAAGTGTCTTCATTGAAACGCCAGTAGCTGGTCGCTCAGGATCATACAGTCCGCCAAGGGGCTGGTCTGGTGTCCATCCCGGTGGTAAGTCAGAGCCTAGCCAGGCGCGGCTGTTACCCATATTCCGCAAATACAAATCACGTTGGTACTGTCGTTGCTCATCCGCTACTTGCTCCCGTTGCTGACGGACTCGTTCTTGCGCTTCCAAGAACTTGGGACTCGGGTTCCATTCATAACCATTCCCTTCCGTCGTGTGCGTAGGTATCAGCCAATGAAGAGGCCTGTGGCCAAACAGATGTAGCAGATTGCGCTTCCAACCGAGGTCAAACGCATGCGGCATCTTTTCGTTATCGAGCTCCGCCAAGTAGTCTTCATAGCGGTCGTGCTCGCGTTGCCGTTCCAGATCCGCATATGAGCGAGACAGCGCTTGTTGCGCGGGTGTTAGGTTCTCGCTCGAGTCCACGCCCTCTTCCGGGCGGGTAACACCAGGTATAGCATTCGCATGGGCGTCCAGGATCCGGTTCCCATAGCTCTGTAGTCGGCCGCCAAAGCTCTCCGGTTCCTCACCACCGTTCCTAGCATCATTGTTGCCCAGCAGGCCATTGTAGCGGCGGCGATCCAGCGCTTTCCGCAACGGTGAGACATACCGAGTCTTCTCCAAACATTCAATCGTAGTCAACCCACGGGCGGCAAGACTGATATGCCACGCCGTAAACCCAGTCAAAACGAGGCCGATGATACCTCCGAGAATCGACAGCAGAACGACGTTAACCGGCAAGATTCCATCCATATAACGCGTGTCATTGAACACCTCTGTCCAAATCCATATAGCCGATACGCCAAAGTCCACCCAGCAAAACAACGATGTGTATATTAAGAAAAGCAGGAACGCCTTGTAGTTGTGCATTCCAACGCAAGTCGCCAGCCATGGACAATGATGGTCCATTTTTAGCACGCACCGCTTGCACGTAGAACAGTGATGCGCCCGGTCCGGCTTCGGACACTGACATTTCTTGCAGAACCGAGACCCGCCGGATGAGTTCACGGTGAAGGATGTATATTCAGGTAATTCGGTGATCGGCAAAGCACTGTATGAGTGTTGGTCGCCACGACGCGTACCAAGTGGTGATCCGGGGTCGGTGAAGACGGCGGTTGTGTAAGAGATGTTGAGGAGTAGGTAGAGGGCGACTCCGAGGATCGAGCTCGGTAGTCCTAAGGGAGAACCCGTCAGCAGAACGAAGAGCCTGAAGTATTTATACCGACTTACCAATCCAGGAACTACTGGTCGGCTTCAGGCCTACGCTAGCTTCCACATATACGGCCCATGTTGTCAAGCTGTAGACAAATGCCAACGGGAAGTATGTCGCAGCCGCGCAGCAGTACCGCTCGCATCGCATGGCCCATGCTTTGGGCCGGCGCTTCGGCCAGATCGGGGATGTGGGAGTTGACATGGCCAATGTGGCCATAACCGGTGTCGGAGCTCAGCCGACGTGTTTAGAAGGAAAATTAAGGCGTAAAGAGATTAGAAAGGGCGGGATATCATTGCGGGTATCGCATGCTCAAATCGTGCGGGGAGGAGCGGCAACGGCCGGAAAGCAGAAGAAACAAGAGAGCGCTGACAAAAGCAAGGCGTATAGTATAAAGTACGAGAAGAGAGGCGGAAAACCAGTATAAACAGAAGGCGTGAGAAGCCGAAGATTGGAGCGAGCTTATGCTGAGGTTCGATCGTGATAATCGCCGGGATTAATCGATGAGGTGCACCGCCACAGCCACGCGGCTGATGCGCCGCAAATAGTTACGTAGGGGTCTACGTATGCACCCACATTGCTTTGTAGGAGAAATGATCGAAATTAATGTTGCCTAAATATTCATCATATACATTGATATCTGGTGAAGCCAGGACTATGCTATCTCATAGTAATATGAACAAAGATGGAAAAATTCGCTGCTCCAAAAGCCATCAAACTGCGAAACATAGCCGACCCTCCGAACGCCCGGGATATATAAAAGTGCCATGCAGGATACAATGTAGCAGACCCATAGAAGTAGATATATAATATATCAAGAATGAAGGCGGGTATAGCGCGCCAGGTATTTAAGATGGTCGAGAAGAGCACACGCTTAGCTTGAGAACAGGTTTCCTTGGTCGCACCAGCCATTGACAGGCTACAAAGAAGGGTCAGTAAAGCTGCATAAAACATGGGAGAATTTGTAGACTCACCAGACAACTGAACCTGTAGCACCAAGAACAGTTGGAGCTCGGGTACTTGTAGAAGTTCACAATAAGAAGGATGAAGCCAACGAGAACAGCGACCAATGCCCCTAAACGGACCAGCCACCAAGCCCACCATAGAGGTTTCCGGCCGGCGAAGAATCCCTTGGGGCTGAACTTTCCAAGCTTGTCAAATTTGGAACCGCTTGACGTCTTGCGGTTTGCGTCGGAGTCGGCATTTTCCGCGGCAACACCGCCGCTCATGGCGACGTACGGACTGCGAGCGAGCCCGATACGCTCACGGAGAGCATTAGGAGACCTCATGACGCAGAGACCAAGCGCAAGGCCCATGGTAAATCCGCCAAGATGAGAAAAGTTGTCCAACCCCGGAAGTAGGCCAAGCACGAACGAGACCGCGATACCCAGAATCATGATAATAAACTCCACCCAAGGGTTCTGGCGATCTTTCCAACCGTAAAGAAGGTCCAAGACGAAAAGCGCGAGAATGCCAAAAAGCGCACCAGAACAGCCACAGGACGCTTCACCTTGACCAGCGTAATTGCCTCCAAGAACGAAGCCCCAGATACCGCTGGACAGGTAGACCAAACCATACCGCCACCAACCAATCATTCGTTCCATATCTGCCCCCATGGTCATCTGGACTAGCAAGTTGAAACCGATATGAACGAATCCACTGTGAAGGAACATAGGAATGATAAAGCGGAACCACTGATCTGGCTCAGGCTGATCGTCGAGTGACCCGCCAGGAGTTGGGTTTGGAACTCCGTCAAATCCGCACAGTTCGGACAGAGAACAGTCCGAGTCTGTGGTCGTAGCATTCGGGCAGGGAAAGAGAACTTGTTGAGTAGCGTTCTGAACTCCGGGCACATTCTTCATGCACGGGGTATATCTCGCACCCATGTTGATCTGGACGTATGCGGAGGGGCCAACCATCGGGTTGAACTGGGGCTTCGTTTGGATTGGGCTTCCGGTAAGTTGGCCTAGGGAGTCAGCCAGAACCGGCTTATTGGTATTGCTTGAGCAACTTACCCATCTTCACCAACTCAACAATGAAGACTATGACCTGAGCTAGCGTTAAGATATAGGTAACATAGGCGATCTTCTTCTGAAAGAACCCTTTCTTCTTCTTCTGCCGCCGAGGAGCCTGCGGTTCCATCATGCCAGGATCTGGCGCATAGTGAGTTGGTTGCTGCATCCAAGGCTGAGGGGGGTGCCCGTTGTCGTATGCGGGGTTGCCGTTATCGTAAGGATTCGCCGACTTGAGCGGAATATTCTCTGCGTATTGATCGTGCTCGTTTATTCTCCCTCCTGCAACGTATGCTCCATTATCCGAACCGATGGATTGTTGACTGTAGCGGAGGTTATGAGGGTCGTGAGGGTCGTCCGGTTGGTAGTAGGGAGCGTTATTGTGGTTGTATGCTACTGGACTCGGGCTCGGCCGTGGCGATACACTGTTGATTTGATCTGGAGTATGATCGTGTTGTTCATATGCAGGTGGGCTGCTGTACGCGCTGTTGTAGTAGCCTTGGGCGGCCATCGTGACGGATCGCGGGGGGGCAGCGGCAAGGGATAGGTTTCTCTGCGAACAAAGCAAAACTGCTCAGACCTGACGTATCGGAAATAACAAAGAATGATTTGCTTTTCTTAGCGGTTGGCGAACGCCTCGCGGCCTCAAATCACTTGAAAACCAGCCAGGGGGGAAGAACCAAGTTCCGAGGTTGGAATGGGACCTGAACCAGACAAACGAGAGGCACAGAACGTGGGAATGTCAATGCAAGGATGGGGTGAGATATGGTTTCAAACAAAGGAACGAGGGTGCCAGGATGTTGGAAAAAATAAGCGAAAGATGAAAAAGCAAGTGAAGCAGAGAAAAAGACTGGTGGTTGCGCGTTAAGTTAAGATGTTAGGCAGTCGTTTTGCGGGCGACTATTTTTGGGGGGCCGATCGAGCAAGCTTCGTCAGCATCTTCGTTGGCTTCTGATCAGCCACTGATAGACCGAGTAGGAGTGCACTTTTGACCCAGAACTTCAACTGTCAGGCCGGTATCCAAGTGGGTTCTGTAGTCGTGGAGCTGATGATGATCCTGGTAGAGAGTGAGTAGGCTGAGTAGCCTAAAGCTGCCGTGGCTGATGCTGTCATCCATCGCTTTTTAATTTATTTTTATCGGCATGTGGCTGAGGCTCGAACCCATTCAACCCGGGCTAACTACACAACTACAAAGTACAGCCCAACTGGCGTTAATCGTGTTTACGGTCTATTCTGTTTGAATGAGTATGTTCATATTTAACATTAAGCATTATTAGCGCTGTGTTCACACTCGACCCATAACGATAGTCACCGCTGATCCAAAATGGCGGATCAGACTATATACATCGAAACAGTGTATGTAATCCAAGCATACCAAGAACCGTAATCTCAATGCCGTTGAATCCAAAGCACCACGATTTAAGACAAAAGGTGAAGGTAAAGAGAACACGGAAAGCTAGGTTCGCGGGCGAGCGACTGCACCATCAAGGCCATTCGAGCTTCGAGGACGCATTATCTGTCATTATATTCGGTAGTCGTTGTCGCTGTATAAGCCCTTCCTCCGTGAAGTCATTAATCTGACGAGTTCGTTTCGTCATTCGAATAGATATAGAAAACCCCAATCGCGCCAAACTCCAAAAAGTAAAGGATGATACGGGCACTGTGCAACGCTCAATTAGCGATGGACCATGACTTGGGTGGAAATGAGACCCAATTACCTTCAAAGCCAAATCCCGTGCCAAAAATTCACCAAAGCAAGGGAATCGAAACAAGACAAATAGTCAAAACTGGTAAAACATCATGATGGCCGAACGCTCAGGGACGGAGTCCAATGATTACAGTGCTGCTTTTTCGGGAGCAAAAGACTGTATTGAAGCAGTGTGCGCATCCAGGATCCCCAACGCAGCCCCCATTTCTTCGCCGCTCTGGCCGGTCAACAGCCAGACGAGACGCGACAACTTTTGGTAGAGAAGAGCCGGGAAGTAGACGAGGGTCGCCCAGAGCAGGAGAGCGAGGAAGACGATGACAAAGGTGTTTGCGACAAGCTTCTCGCCCGGAGTCATAACATAAAGGCCGTACGTGACCTCGTACCGGTAGTACTCCAAACGGACGCGGTCGACGGCTCGCTGGAAGATGTTGCGCTGCGCTCTGCCGATCGCATGGGTGCTCGAGGGAGAGGTAGCTGTAGCCATAGTAGAAGAGTATTTGTTGATCAGCTCATCAACTGCGGCTGGGCCATGGGACGAGATGTGCGTTGAGGTTGCAGGTGTGTAGAAAGACCGCATTTCGGTCGCCATTTCCGCGTTGAGAGAAGGTGTGGCAGCACCAGGACAGGTCGCTCCTCCCAGTTTACTGCCCTGATTTGTACACCCGTCCCCTTCCCTCGCTGACTACTAGTACTAGTTCAGCTCACGTATACTTCCACCCTCCAGCAACCTGGCGTAGGCGGAGACCAAGCTCGACGGATTATGTTTTCGGAATAAACAAGGTGAAAGACGCGCAATTCGATGTCCGCGATATGCCAAGGTTGGCTTCGTATGCTTAAATGATCGGATACCTCTGCCGACGAGATTGCTGAATAAACGACAGCAATGAGGAGTAAGCGAGACGCGAGCCGAAGGTTCCGGATGTATGAATCTAAGCGGTCGGTGTATGTCAGTGCGTGCCCAGAAGGCGAAACTGAATCTAATAAGCACAGTACAGACAGCTCTAATGTACAGGAACCCCAGCAAAGCAATCAAAGAGTCGAGGAAAGGGATGGCGAGGAGGTGAAGGGCGAGATGGGGAGGAAGCCCGGAAAACCGGTAGGGCGCGGATGGAAGAAAACGCCTTGTGAAAATCAAGCATGGACCGATCGTGAGGCGGATTTGCTCTTCAGGGAATAGTCGCAGGGACTAAGGAACTGAGGATGGATCCATGCGCAAAAACTCTCCGCTTGGACCCAGGTTTTCTTGATTAATCGAATTGCTCGAGTCGTCATTCCATGATTTTCAACCCGGTACCCATAACGCGACCCAATCATCAGCCGCATACAACATCGCAATATCGCTCGGCTCGACCGGCAACTCCCGCAGGCTTCGAGATTCTTGCAATAAGCAATTTATACACGAGGCTAGGAGACGGACACAAGATGCAAGATGCGAAACAGTCATCTAGGCACGTTGACAAGGAGGTACGAAGTTTGGAGAGCTCGTACTCCGTAGTTATGTTGGTGGAATTGCGTCGCACTGTTTTGGGTGTTGCTGATCTCGGGCTCCTGCAGGCCGGGGATTTCAGGTACCAGCCCTGGAAGCAGTCAAGCCGAGGCTGGAGTAGTTGACTTTGATTGACTCATTCTCAGCTCTGATGAGTTGGTAATCATCATTCAGCGTGAAAACGAATAATAAAAAGAGCAGGCTTGGCTCTTGGCTCGTCAACTTTGCGCCGGCGTTCCGAAACTGAATCACATGACGTCGATCATCCTTATCGAGTCTATCGACAAGGCTTATCGTCTGTTTGTTGTTTTCGTGACAATAATGAATATCGCGACCTGAAGCAAACAAGTCAGCACTGGCTATAGGTCACGCAAATCATCTAAGATCGACGCTTCTGAGAAACTCATCGTCAAAGTCATACTCTGTATGGGAAATATCATTGGGCTCAGGTAGATCAAATTCTCTTCCGACTTGGGCATCATTTCCCGAAATTTGGCCGTCCTTTTCGGCGATCGGCAAATGCTCGGAAGTCTCACCTCACCTCGTTGTAAAACTCTATCGGCCTGATCCAGTTGCATCCCAGCGGCCATAGTGTATGAGAATAGGGTGGTCGACGATTATTGCGCTTCGTTGGCTGGAAAGAAGAAAAATGACTGTGACGAGCAGACCAGGGCACACAAGGGCCCATGATAGGAGATTTCAGTTCTGCTTTCGCATCTCACACTGTCCTGATTGTCTAGGATTGTCTTTCAACCCATGACCTTTGATGGTAGATGTTTCTAGGAGACAGGGGGTATCTTCGACCATGCAATATTGTTGCGATACCATGGTGTCTGAAATGCCATCCATGGAGTGTCCTCTTGCAAAAGCCGTTATCTGTTATCTGTTATCTGCAATGTAGGTACCTGAGCCGCTCGCCAGTGATGTCATGGCTGCCCCGCTGTTAGCCGCCAAGCTGTTTGGAGCTTACGCAGCTCTAACCGCGGGGGACCCTTCTTTTCTTCTCTTCTCCCCGGAGGCTTATACATCGCGAACAATGTCGTCGGTGAATCAGTCCATCTTGATGGCTGGGGAGGACCCCCTCATCAAGGCTCTCCCTCCAGCCACTGACTACCTCACTTACCTCACTTTGCTGGAATATCAGCTAACCCCCGCCCGCCTGCCGACCTTGCACAAGCTCCTCCAAGATGAGGTCCTGACAACGAATATCGGCTGGGACTTGGTAAAGATCCTTCTTCCCATGCTACCAGAGTCCCAAGAGTGTCTGAAGGATGTGGCACGCCTTGGGAATCCCAGGGAAGTTATCTTGCGGGTATCCGACGCTCTTATGCAGCTACATCCCGCCGAAGACGACGAAGAGGACTCTGACAAACAGCTAGAGACACAGCTCGAGGATGTCAACCTAGACGGTAATGAAGCTAAAGCATCGACAAAGACCATCCCTCTTCACGTTCTCAAGTTCAACACCCTCGTTGCGATGCTCTCCACCCTTCATTCCCGTATACAGACAAAGTCTCCCAGCCGGTTCCTGGCAACGTCCCTACAGGCAGTACTGGAAGCATACACCTCGATGCCAACGAATGAGACCACAATCGCTCTGCTCGAATTTCTTAGAGACGTATCTCCCAGCAAACGACCCCCGCCGCCGCCCAGGGCACCCAGCGATTCGACAGTACTTCGAGTTGCCGAAGCGTCTGCCCCGGACCCTGAAGCCGAAGTCAGCTCGCCAAACCCGGCTAGAAATGAGGAGAGTGCGTTGATTAGAAGATTCCTCCAGTTTGGGTTGATCGAGCTCCTCAAATCGTATCTTTTGAGCTGTTCCGGTCCAATGGACCCTGGAATGTCGTGGGCTGTTCGAGTACAAGAAAAACTACATCCGGAAACACGCATGCCAGGAACGGCATCACCGACAAACGTCTATATGGATAACAAGCAACTCGGAGAAAGGGATAGCATTGTTGCTAAAATCACAGTGGGTTGTTCTCCGCCTTTTGATAGCTTTTGTACTGACTGAATCAGGCACTGTCCCAAGATTTCGGCCTAACCGACGAAGAGCTTCTAGAAGTCGTCACCCGGGCTCCCGAGACGCAGCCTCCACCGTTGGACTTTGAAGAGCACCCGAAGAAGGCAGAAGACATCCCTCTCGAAAGACATGGGTCGTTGCTGCTCCTTGCAGCACGGGCAGCGGTCGAGAAGTTGTTCTCGCCCGGAAAGGCTTCGAAAGCTTCTCCGATTAAGGTCTATCCTGACCTTGCGCGGATCTTTGACAACTTTGTTGGGAGATTCTGCAAGCTGGATGAGGTCGCTTTCGAACAGCCGCATGTGCTGCTCGATTCTCTGCTTGCGTTGACGGTTTTATCCCTGCAAAACCCAATATCAGCACCGTCGGATGAGACCGAGTTCGCAGACTTTGTCGTCTCGTTGACAGCATGTACTGTTCGCCAGACATACAGCACAATCCGGAGCATCCCTGCCGCGGTCATTCATGAAAATCCTTCGCAAGTTGCTCGCTTTAAGGTAATCCGAAAGGTGTTAGAGGACAAGTATTACGGAACCATCAAAGACCGAGCAATTGATTGGCTCAAGAAAGAGATTCTAGAAGCAGCCAAAGAGCCCCCTGGTCCCGAGCCAAGCATCTTCCTCAATCCCCACTATTTCTCTGTCCTCTTTCCCCTCATCTTCGCCTCCCCCGTAATGGAACTTGATGTGTCCGCCGACCTTGTGACGGCCTGGGTCCGGTTCACCCAGAAATCAAGTCCCTCGATCCATTCGGCGCTGAATCTCTACTACATTTTAATATCATCGGACGAACTGCGCGGCAAACTACAGCTCGAGAAGACTTACGTATACTTCCGTCATCGGTTTCTGGAGCCTCTGAAAGCAATCTGCGGCGCGTTCACAGCTGATCTTACTGCGAACGGCGGAGACGGAAAGATCGAGAGCTCGGTGGGCGAGGACATGGTCAAAGTGGGGACGGCACGGTCTGTCAATCTGATCCTACACATCGTGGAACAGGTCGAGGACGCAGTAAGTGAGGCCTTTGTCTTGGGCGACGCAGAGCTGCAGGAACCCAGTGCCGATGACATCGCGCGCGTGGATGCAATCCGCAAGGAGACCTCTGTTGCTTAGCTAGCTTCCGTCACATATATTTGCAGCGTTGATATGATTACTCCATGTATGATCAGATGAGTCAAGACTACCGTACTCTAGCTTCGTTAAGTTGCATTATTGATACTTATAGCTTCGGTGCTTGATAGCTTGACAACTCTCAGATTTGCTGAGCAGTGAGTAAAGTTGTCCCCAGAGTAATTCTCTCATACAAACTGGGCGCCCCCAAAATGACATTTGCACACCCGAACGCTTGCAGCTCCTTTCCTGGCCCAGTGAGGGTCGGTGCTTATATAGAGGGGTGGGTTCCCAGCCACCTTCCACCCGCCCCGGCCTCCCACTAGACTCACCATCTCTGCCCCGGGATTAGCTACCAAGGCTATCTGCCCATGAGGTTACGGAGTAGGTGCCCATACGCACCGCAATACTCCATATACTAACTAGCATGCTTTACGCACGCGCCTCGTCAACCCATAGCAAAGCTTAATTGAACCCTCCCCGGGCCCCGTCTATCTACACCTGCACCCCCATAGCCCTTTCCCTGCACTTATAGTCTACGAATCTGCTCCCCAGGCGCGCGAGCCCAATAAGATTAGTATAGTATGGCCGGGGAATCATCAATCTCCACCGTACTTACAACAAAACTACTGCATTGCTCGCTACGTTTCGTACCACAGACAGCACCTTACATATCCAGTCCACACCTACAAAGGAGCGGAAAAGAGAAAGAGAAGGAATTCTCGCAAAGATATAAGTCCATTCCAACGCACCAAACCTATCCTATAAGCAAGAGATATAAGAGAAGAAGAAGATATAAAAAGCCATGACGCCCCAAATCACACCAGCCACCAGCATCCGTATGCAAAGCGTAGCGTATAGCAAAGCAAAAGGTTGTCGTCCAATCGCGGCAGAGAGGGAGAAGAAGAGGTAGAGGAGGTGAAGCTTCCGCACCCCATCGAAGCGGCAGGGAATACGGCGGACAGGGCGGGTTGTAGGAAAGACGTTTGCGATTCTCATTTGTCATCGATCGATCTGTAAAAGAGCGGAGCCGATCATATCATCCTCTGGCGAGCAAGGGAGATATATATATAGAGTTTCCTGGTGGTTTTTCGTGGTGGTTTTGTAGTTTTTTTGTTTTGTTCGGTCGTTCGTTCTGCGTTAAGCGGGACGCGCTCGCGAGTCATGGGCTGCGATTGGAGTGGACGGTCTCATCGAGGAAGCTGACGAGGTCGTGAGGGAAAGCTGGTGGTTGCGATTTGACTAAACTGGTAGATGGATTGGGGTTGCGAGGGTCGGTTTCCGGGGGGTTATTTACATAACCACGCAGCCGGCGCCGGGGGAGGCTAGAAGCAACAAGTTAGTCTCGGGCATTGTAAAGAGAGCTGAAGGAAGGAAGGGAGGGAGAACTGAGATCGTTGAGAGATGCCAGAGAGAGGATCGAGAAGACATACCCTTGGAGACAGGAGCGTAGACGGGAGACATTTTGATTGGATTGGGGGTTTGCGTGAGCAAAAGATTGTATCTGCGATCGTAGAGGATGATAGCGGATGGAGAGAAAAAGAAGCAGGACTAGGGGAGGGAGAAGGGGATATTTATGTCTTTCTTGCTGGCCTCCATCAAACGTTCATCCTGGCCCCGTACGTGCGCAGGATAGGGGACTGGAGACTGCATCGAGAACGCTGAGTGTCTGAGACTCAATGCATTCAGCCTTCACGATCCACATTCATGGTGGAGAGATGAAAGACGCGAGAAGGCAAGAACAATCGCTCAGGCACACGTGTCTTGGCCGCGTGGTATTCTTCTCGAGGGCCTGAATGCAGGCAATGATGACTGGGGCCGGTGGCGCGTCTCAACGGCTTGATATTGTTCTTCCGGAAGAAGCCAATGGTATAGACAAGACGAAACTGCCTCAATGGGATTGCAATAGGGTCGGCGTTGATTCTTGCTGTGTCGAGGGTGCGTTCCTGAGACGGGCCATAATAGCGTCTATCCACGTGCGGGTTGGCTATGGCAGGATTGAAACTCTGTAGGTACGAGGGCGATACGAGGACAAAGGCAGGACTCGACCAGAAGGCTTGTAGAGGCAGAGACGAACTCGGACAGGACGAGAAGGAACGAGAGAGAAGAACTGCAGGACACAATAGTGAGGTTGGATTGGCCAATCAGAGCACACGAACTACAGATTGTTCTCGGACAACAATATCAAGCTTTCCACAAGAATAAACAAAAACAAGAAACCAGCCACAAGTCTTAGATAACAAAGAGATTGGAACTGCAACACACTAGTAACCGGCTAGGTGTAGAGCGGTTCGGTCAGATCGTTAAGCGTCAACCCGGATTCAGCCACGTCCTCCTCACACAGGAACATCAGCGGCATCTCCACCAGCGTGCCCTTCACCTGGCTGAGCAGTTCTTTGACGCGATTTACGCCCTCGGGCCCTGGGAACTTCTCAGAAACTACGTGTCCGTACTTGTACGCCGCAGGGGGGCCATCGATCTTCTCGCCAAAGGCCTGCTTGTCTGCGTTCTTGAAATAATAGCCGTAGAACTCCTTGTACGAGCCCCAGTTGCGGACGGTATCGTCAGGAACAGAGTGGAAGACTTCGCGGTAGACTTCGGTATTCGTGTGGGCGCGCGTGTTCCACATGCTGAGCAGCGTGTCCGCCAAAGGATCCGCCACAATTTGGCTTTCAGGGGACTCAAAGTCAAAGTGGAGCTGGTCGTTGACATGCTCGTAATTCTGCGGAGGCAGCAGGCCCAGATGCTTACGGAACAGATGGCGGCGCAGCGAGGAGGCGAATCGAGAGGCTGTCCACTGTTGACCATTCATCTTGGACGGAACAGGAGTCCTATCTTCAATGATTACGGCGATCTCGGAATCGTGGTCGCCCAGTTGAGACCGGTCGTTGATATTGGCGGACCCGCAGATAACCACGCGGTCGTCGGCAATCATGACCTACTTTGTTAGATAAAGAAGAAAGCGAGGATCCGCGGACTTACCTTGGAGTGGACGTATAGTTCCTCCGTGACAAATGCATCAATCTCTGCTTCGCTTGGTCCATCCCAGGGGATGCTTCGAAGATCTGGCCCGTTGAGCATGTAGCACGAGCTGACCGTGTTCCACTGCCCCCCAGATTTAGAAGCGACAGGAGCTGAGGGATAGGACTGATAGGCAGCGGATGTGTCAAAGGCCGGGCGATGTTCAGGTCCGAATCCGCCAGTCTGGGGAGCCGCTTTGGGGACGGTATACCGGAGACGGTCATAGTTGCGGAGGTTGTAGAACCGGATGTATTCCATTGGGTTATACCCCTCCTTTGCGATCAGCTCCATGATACTGTTTCCTCCGCGGTTAATCGAGTTGTACTGGAACTCCATGATTGCACGAGTTCCCAGGGCAGCTTCGTCACCTAGGTCTCCAGCGAAGCACGGAACGCTCGGGATGACAACGACGATCTTGTACTTTTGACCTGCACGGGCAGCCCGGAGGATACGCTCAACGATGGCAGCACCGATCTTGTTGCCCACTGGCTTCTGTTTGTCACCCGTTGCTGTGATGAAGAACTGATTCTCGATGTACACAAAGTGTTCGCTGTGGCGGATAATCTCGCAGTACGCATCCGCAATCGAATGCTCGGTGGGCGTGCCGTTACTCCATTTACCGCAGCTACGAACGATCTGGCAAGACATGTTACCGCGCTGCTGGGGTCGTCCTAGAGCACCGCTGGTGAAACGGTCCTGGTACTGATGAATCTGACCAGCCAGCTCACCACGAAGCGAATCGAAGTTGTCTCGGAATCGACGAGGCACAAAGCTGGAAGTAGATCCATGACCCGGCTTGCCGCCAGACGCCCTCTCGCGGTCGCCCCTGTCCTCGCTATAGTCCTCCGAGAAGCCACGAGTGCTGGAGTGTTGGTTTTCTTGTCCAGCCTGAGTAGGGGGAGGTGGGAAGTATGGCGATTGAGCTTGTCCAGGGCCCTGGTTTGGAGGCGGTCCAGGGGGAGGAGGCGGGAATGATTGACCAGAATACGGGGACTGAGCCTGCTGCGGAGTTCCATATTGCGACTGCTGGCCATGGCCGGGTTGGTATGAAGTCTGCTGTTGATTCCAGCTCGGTTGAGGGCTTGTCGGAGGCAGCTCACTGGTACCCTGAGCCGGCGAATACGACTGGCCGGGATGATAAGGTTGGTAGCCTGTTTGTTGCTGGGACCAGTTGGGCTGAGGTGACTGAGTTGCAGGCTGAGGGGTGCCGGTGTTTGACTGCTGCTGATTCCAGGTAGGTTGGGGCGATTGAGTAGGCTGCGACGTAGCGGAATACTGTTGCTGGCCAGGTTGATGCTGGCTTGGCTGGTACTGAGGCTGCTGAGTATTGCCCGGCTGCTGAGAATACTGCTGACCATGCTGATAGGGCACTTGCTGATGAGAACCCTGCTGTCCCTGGGACTGATGGCCACTGGATGAGCCTGGGTGTCCATAGATCGCCAGCTTCGAGAACCTCGAGTCATTACGTGACTGGTACTTGATATCGTATAGGAAGTTCCAACGCTCGACAAACATGCGACGGATATCCTCCACGGCCGGTCCATGGAAACTGACTGCGACGTCAGACCAACCCATGCGGGAAGTTTGCGTCCGGTCAAGCTTGTTCTGATCGGGATGCGCAACGTCGGTGAAATCGAGGACGCGGGCGTTGTTGTAGTCCTGACCAGGGAAGACAATGTCGGCGGGGTTGTCGTGGATGTCAGCAAGGGCATGCTGGTGAGTGTCCCAGCGGCCGTAGCACATGTCTAGTCCACCCATGAAAGCAACTGTCCCGTCGACTATGCAGAGCTTTTCGTGGTGAGCCCAGTAGAGGATGGTGCCCTCGTGGATACCGTAGATGCCCTTCATAGCATCGACGGACATCTTCCCTAGCTTCAGTGCATCCAGGGAGAGGTTCTGGAGCGATGAGCTGATTGAAGCTGCCAGACCTTGTCCGTCTGGGAGGTGGTCGGGGTGGCGGAAGACGGCAATGTTGGGATGAAGGGCTTCAAGGTGGTGTTTCGTGTGGGCCGAAGACACTGTATTCATTAGCGTGGCTCTGTTACTGGCGGCTGGGTGACATACGAGTCAACGCTTGAGTGACCTCTTTGTATACAATGATGTTGACTTTCACTCCGCGCTGGGCTGCAGCCTGTAGCAATCGATCCAGTCGGTACTGTTCGTTCTTCGCCGGAGGCCGTCTAAGGTAGAGTTCTGGAGACAGCCACCCTAATACACCGTCAGCTCCCCCCGGGACATGTTTCGCGATTACGTACAGTCCAGAATCCAAACAGACTCCCTGGCGGTCTCCAGGGCCTTGGAGACCGCATAGAAATACGAGCACCCATCGACATACCAGTGGACCTCATTGCCCTGACGCTCGGGCGCGAAACTGCCGAACCGATTCTGCGACTGCGACTGCGACTGTGGTTTTCCATACTGCGCATACCCTTGCGGGTCGATGGCCGTCCCTAACCGCTGGGCGACTTCGCCGCCGAGGTCCGCAACAACTCCCTGGAGTTTCCCGAACAGACCGGACGTTTTGTCTTGCTTCGGCGGTTTGCCGGAACTCTGATTCGGGCCCGTTTGGTCATGGCCGGGGCTATTGTACGACGGATAGCTCTGCCCGCCCTGCGAGATAATCAGCCGTTGTATACCGTAACTTCCGTGATCTGTGGAACGTACACTATAACCGCCTTGGCTATAGCTCTGAGACGATTGGTTTTGGTTCCCGGGTGCTTGGCCACCCTGAGAGCCTTGATGTGATTTGTATTTAGTCTTCAACATGTTGAACGTGTCTCCCACCAGACTCCTGGAGTTTTCTTCGCCAGCACCCTCAGGGTCCTGGCCTTGATATCGGCCATAGGCCAGGTGGTCTTGGTTATAGGACATGGCGCCGCGATGATTGGATAAGAATGGGCAATGGGCGAAACCAAGAAGACAAAAAGAGCGAAAATGTCAGACGGCGAGGGATGAGCGCCTCTTATAGCCGTGGATAAAAATACCGCGACGTCAAAAAGACAGAAGCAGCTCGCCGAGGGGATGAGGGGAAGAGGTCGGTCAGCTCCCCTTATTCGACGCCCACTGCCCCGCCATCCGTCTTAGCAGCTCGAGGGATCCATATCACCTAGGCCAGATGCCAACAGCAGCCCAACGGGACATGTCGGGGCCTTTGGCCAATCCAGTTTCTCATGGGTGTCCTTGATACGGGTGTCCGCTGACGGTTCTGGCATCTTTCGAATCGGCACCATATCACTGTTGATGTATCGCAAGTTCCTCTATACGGAGTACGTGGCAGCCTAACGAGCTGAGCAACCAAGCCACACTCCATGAAACGCTAGTCAGCCGTCTTGACTATGTTTGGCAAGTGTCGTCGGGATGCGAATCGTGGTGGGGCAATTGTGGCTGAGCAACAGAGGCCTTCAATCTTCATGCTGAGAGACCACAGACACTGCGTCATCACTAGGCGAGGCGTCGATAATAATAATGCGGCTGAGATATGCGTCGCCGTACTCCGTATGTATCGAAGAATCCCACCTCTTTGAGCTGCGCAACCTGAGTATCCTTTGGTCGTATGGCGAGTCAATTTGTCCTAGCAACGGCTGTACCCTTTGGAAAGTCTGGGGCATAGAGTTATCACCGGAACATAGGTCAATGGAAAGCCAGACCGAGAAGAAACGGAAACGGAGAGTAGGTATGGACCATGCACACGGGGCGTTAACCGTTGGCGGAGATTTCCATGGCGTGTAGGTACAGAAATGCATACTTAGGTAAGCATGCATAAAGTGGAGAAGCCTTGCACAAGGACACACAATGCCCTCTTTTCCGGAGTAACGAGTTCTCCTTGCTCTCCTCGCAACCAGTATAAGAAATGTCTCATGTATCAGCTAGCCTCCCAGCAAGTGTCCGACTTTATCCAGACAGAGGGCTCACTCAAAAAGAGACTCTAGAAGAAACAAAGGGCTGGAGACAATTTGTATCTGTAAAGCTAGCCCCGTCTTTCAAGATGATGCCGGCTAACAACCTCTCCAGGAACAATGGGTAGAAGCCGAAGATATCTTGAGTCAGAGATACAACCTCATGGCGAGACGTCAATCTCTCACCTGTCCCTTTCGAATTTCATACTCATGCCGAGCGCAGTCTTATCATAACCACGCAACAACAAACCCAACCCGGCCTCAGCAATTCTATCTCAGGAACCCTAGAGGTCAAAAACTCCGGGGATCACCCCTTCAGCTTCTAACAAGCCGGCGAGGGCCCAGACCCTCAGATCCCTACCTTCATCACCCTTATCAAGATCAACGTCACGAAAACAGTCCTCATGACAACCATAAAGAAGAGCGCGATCTTCCACTCTCTGTAATAAACCTCCTCTCAACCCTCTTCTTAACACAGCAGGTTTCCGGGTCGCGGCCATGACTCGCTCTGACAATGCGCTGTTCACATCAGAATACAACAGCATCTGGTATATTCTCGACGCACGGAGTCTCGCAACGGGGCTGCTCAATGTCCTCCAGTTCAAAGCGAACGGGAAGATCGCGCACGCGACCCATCGGCGCCCCTTCAACCTAACCCAGATCATAGTCTTCGATATCGGGAACGGGTGGCCATTGAAGGAGCTCATTGACCCTGGGATCAGTGGGTGTGCGCATCAGAATCAGCCGTATGTCCTCTCTCATATTCCCTATCAAGCTCGATGCAGTATTGCGAAGCCTCCTATATTGTTGTCACTAATCGATGCGCAGGATGGACCTGGATGTCCCCATCCTCGATATTCTGCAAGGAGTCAAGGACCGAGGAGAGTTCATGTATGTCGGGTGGGGGGATAGAGAGATGTGGGCGAGGGAGATTGAGCGGGCGGCCCCTGGGTATCTGCAATTGGAAAGCGAAAGCAGAGAAGGGTAGTTTGACCTTAAAGGTATTGCTGAGCTTGAGTAGGTAGTGCAGGCAGCATACGCGGCCCTATCTACCTGCAGGGTGCATGGTGCAGGAGGGCCAGTGTCCTCCTGCTATTCCTTACGGAGTAAGCTTTTTCGAACAGGCAAGTTAGCTGCCTGTATCTATACCACAGGTGCAGCATAGCCGCCGCTGATATCATCGCGCATATTATTGCCCAGTGCCCACTGGGCTAACGCGAACGCGGACCAAAAAACCTCGGGGTCGGGGATAAGCTCGGTCTTCCGACATCTCGGACTCGGACTCGGCCTAACAAGCAAAGGATATATTGCTTACCCCCCATCCCAGTCATCCTCCTCATTTTCTCTTCTGACACCATCAGAACCAAGCTCAACTCATTAAGTCATCCAAAATGCATCCCTCCTACACCAACGCTCCCCACGCCGCCTTCAGCCCCTCCTTCACGGGCCCCGGCCGTCGCTACGGCTATCGCCACAACCTCAACTATATGCGCAGCGTGGGCTTCGGGCCTCGCCGTGCCGGAATCGGCGGACTACTCAAGGTCGCTCTTGTTGGAACGGGCGTCTACTTTGTTTGCAAGAAGATTTACCAGTAAGTGTTCGATGTACCTGTCTTATTTGGAGTTGTTTGACATTGTTCTGACTGTCGTGACATATAGTGCCGGAGCCCAGAGCAGTCGTGGCCAGGCGTCGCAATGAACACCCATGCTCAAGTTCTATGTCGAGCATACAGTTGTTGAGGAATCTGTATAATGTCTGGGTGGGAGCTTGTGATTCCCGATCAACAAGCCCGGGGATTAAGGTGTTTAATCTTGCTGATTTCCATTTTGTTTCGTTGGTTTTGGTGCATGGGCACTGGTTCAATATTAATGCTCGATATCCTGTACTCATATTAAAAATATATACCCCCACTTCAATGAAATGGCATCCTTTCGGATGATGAAAGGCTTCTAGATTAGCTCTGATTTGCAGACATATCTATATGCTAGAATCAAACCTCGGAGCTCTTTGCGTCGCGCGTGTCCTAAGCACTATAAGCATGATAGAGTCCGCGATCCCAGATTTGCTCAGACTTTAATATCTATCATCTTCATCTCATGTTTCTACCCACAGAGTTGAGGCTATACCGCTTCAAGACTTCCATCACCGTCAATTTGAACAACGTATCAGCCAGATGCTTCCCCAAGCACCTTCCGCCAGCCGCCCAACCCTGAAACCCCCGAACCGCATGAGCCCATAGCGACGTTTAGTGGCCGGTATGTCCCGCAACCGCTCCAGGCGAAACTCATCACCGTCTGTGCCTCAGGTCTCCGGGTTTGCGTTCAGGCGTTTGGCGTCTATCAACAGGGCATCGTGCGGGAACTTGATATCCGCCATTCTCTTTAGAGACAGCTGTGCACTCGGGGAGCGAGAATGCTATTTTAGGGTCTATGCCAGCTAGCTGTCCGCCACGAATTGGTTGACAAGAGGGGGAAGAGGGCAGGAATACTTACCGAAGCCGGTGACAAGTCTCATGCTTTCCATGATAGCGAAGTTCAGAGGCGTTCCTGCATTCGAAAGATATTTCCAGCTATTCTTATCGGGCTTGGATTCGGAGTCGGAGGTATGGATGCAAGGCTGCTTCTGTTCTTGAATCTCTTCCGGAGATTCTGTTGAAACGCTGCGTTTGCAGCGAAATGATTTCGTCTAGGGTGTGCAGGAACTGCATCAAAGGTCAATCCTTCATCCACCAAGGGCGTGTTTCGAGATTCCCTATCTCATACCTCATCTATTGTCAGTTCATTCTTTTCAACGCCGACGCCACGGTATATTCTCTCGGCAGGGCACGCCGCTGATGCCATCCCTAGGTACAAGCCCTCCTCACCAAGACTAACAATGAAACCTACCATAACTCACCTCGCGAGCAGACTGAATAACACTGAGATTGAAGTGCTTCCACTTGGATTGGAATAGTTCCATACGCTCTCCAGCCGCTTAAGTCAGGAGCCTAGCTTGGATGTCAGGCGTTTATTGGCAATAACCTCATGCAAAATCGCTTCGTGGAGAACATTCAGTTCGAGTAAGGCATTTCAGAGAAAGAGTGCCTAGAGGGTGAGATTAATATGTATTGACGGTCATTATACACTTAATGACTGAGCCAAGAGGGCTGTATCATAGCAAAACAAATACCTAAAGAACCGAAAGAGGGTTCTATCAACGCCCAGTACGCCATCAAGGTTCCCAAGATGTATGCATATATATATATATATATATATATATATCTTTACCTGCTGCTCTGAACCCAAGCGTAACTCTTTCTTCAGCCAATCGAGAAAAATCAAAAGGGGAAATCCATTCATCCTTTCGCCAAAACACTCTTGCCACCCACCAACTTGGCCACAAAGGCCAGGAACCCACCAAAAATCATAACCGTCGCACTGAAGATCTGCACCTGCAGGAAGCCACCGTACTCGTTGAGCAGCGCGCCGTTGATCGGCGGGCCGATGAGCGTGGCAACCGACATAACCGCCATGCCCATGCCAATGTACGTGCCGATTTCCTGAGGGTGGCCTGCACAGTTGGCGATACAAGCTGGTGTAATACCGATGATACCACCGGAAAAGAAGCCGTACAGGACTGCAAAGACGATGATCGTTGCGTTGGTTGTCATTCGGACCCAGCAGTACGTGATGATTGCGGTAATGATGCTCACTGTACCGAGCATGTTGTACGGGCCGATTTTGTCGGCGATGACGCCAGGGACAAGCCGGCCGAAGAAGGAGGCTGCGTTTTGGATGGCGATCAGGTAGAAGGAAAGGCTCGTGCTCATGCCGTGGGATTGCCCGTATAGCGGGAGGTAGAAGAATGGGGTGAAGATGCCGACGTTGAGGAAGAAGATCGCTGTGAGTGTCGCGACGTACTGCATCTTCTCGAAGGCCTCGAGCTTGAGCAATCGTTGTTTTTTGGGCGGAAGGCGCGCGCGGATGCCGATGACGGAAAAGGACATGACGCCCAGCATGATGAAGCCGACGATGCGGACAGCCCATGCAAAGCCCAGCGAGGAGTAGAACATTTGCTCCAGTGCGATGGGGAAAATAACACCGCCGAGGGAGGACCCGGCAATGGTGATGCCCATTGCGGCTGCGCGCTTTTTCTGAAAATATTGGGCCGTGGACGAGAGGGCTGGAGATAAAGACAGGCCCATGCTAATCCCGCCGAGGATACCTTGGGCTAAGAAGAATTGGTAGAATTTCGTGCAAAGGCTGGTCATCATCACGCTGAATATGACGAATACGGCTGGCCCCCAGATGACCTTCACATCGATTAGCAATTGATTCTCCTGACAAGGGACATGGCCCGCTTACTTTCGATCCATAGCGATCAAATAAGGGACCACCAATAAGACCTGATCCGAAGAGAAAGAAGGTCTGTACAGATCCAATCCAAGCAATTTCCGAAGCACTATAGTTGCTCAACTGATGGGTAATGTAATAATCTTGGTAGACACTAGAAACTGGTTAGCACAGTGTCTCATGCGAAACAGCGGGACCAGACAAACCCAAAAGCGTTGACATATCCAAAAGTACAGAACAGCACACCACCAGCTCCCAGAGCCACCATCCAGGCTCGTGCTCCGCCGTCTGGAAATGGCGCGGACACGGGATCCTTATGGGGTTGGGAGATGGACTCTTCCTTAGAACTCTCCCGGATAGACGACATGATGTTGTCTCAGAGCCTTGCGCAGGTGAATTACTCAAATCAAGTGCTCCATTATTGCGAGATTTTGGAGACAGTTTTGATTTATAGAACTCCTCCCATCAGTGATGGAAGGCCACACTTCGGTCTAGCCGAGGCCGAGGCCGGGGCCGAGGATTGAGACCGAGATATCATTTACCTCCTCGGTCCTCGCAAAACCCCGAGCCCTGAGTCCAAGCCCTGATATTCCGTCCCCAATTTTCAGGGAGGCTTGACGCATGAGCCAGGACGTTAAATAGGCCATTAATCCGAGTCCCGCCAGGCTAGTTCCTTCTCCAACTCTGAGAAGGATCTGGCCTGCAGACAAGTGATATAATCTGACCTTCGGCGAGCTCCTGAAAAGCCATTTGGAGACACGATGCCGATGATGAATATTGAGGGAGTCGTCAACTTTGGGGCTGAACTACTGTCGACCATTAGTATCATCCCCTTCACCCCCTCTGTCTTTCCCGTTATTTTAACATAAATATGGCCACACATCTTCGGGGAAGTGCAATTTAGATAGAAATGCTGTGAATAGACGAAGGCGAAAGCAAAGATAGTGATGATATCAAAATTCAATGCTGCACAGTATGAACTCAAGGTCTCGGTAACTGGGGCGATCACAAATAAGGACTGTTGGGACCGTTGATACCCTGAAAGCACAAAAGGCTGGCAAGGTCGAGATCAAAGGCTGGGTCCTATTCGGAGATTAAAAAATATCCAAAAATTCTTCCACGGGAAGGCCTACCACAGGCTGAAAGCCAAATTCAGCGAGAGTCGGATCAGGCAAACCTAGGGTGTTTTCAACGGCTGTGCCATTTGGCATTCCCGGAATCGTGCTCCCGGTCAAACCAGCCGTACTTGATTGCAACAATGCATAGCACTCTTGCAACCCGCTTTTTACGGTTTCATATACTACTCGTTTGACGCATTGGTTGGATTCCATAGCTCGGATCTGTGCTAGTATCGCTGCTAGGAAGTTATATCTTTTCAAGCTGGGACTGCCAAACGAGATGATTTGCAGCAGCTGATTGAGAATGTGTTCCAGAGTTCGGATGATAGGAGTTCGAGCCACTTTCGCGATTTCATCTTCGGGACCCAGTAAAGATTCCACTGAGGATTCTTCTTCTAACTGAGTGACAACCTCAAGGCCAAGAACCGATATAATATCCAGTCCCAAAGGGCCCTTGAAGCTGCCTGTAGCAACAAGCGTCATTCTTGAAAAGTCGTCCAATGGATTGGACGGAAGATCCAGGTTGTAGGCATATGATGCAATGGCCATTGCAGACTCAAGGGAGACTTTGCGGGAGTAGTAGAATCGGGGGTCCTTTCGAGCCTGGACAGTGAATGGTGCATGAAGAGCCAGAATGTATCTGCGCAGCTCCATATCGAGAAATTGCTTGTGGAAGTCGGTTGGGCCGGTTCCTTGACGATGCAGTGACGCCGTACAAGATTGGGCAAAATTTGTCAACCTGCGGCAAGCCAGTCTCATATCCGCGCTGAACTTCAAAGCCCGTTGGTATGACTTCTCGCCAAGGCTAGAGATAAGCTGTATCACTTCCATTCGAAGTTTAACTGACTCTTGAAGCAATGACAGGAAAGATGCATCTGTCCACTGTTCACTAGGTTTCGAAGAAGGGATTTGGCTTGTATTGGGATTGATATCATGATCATCAAGGTTGAATGGCGGTCGCGTGCCGAACTCCAGTGGTAGGCGACAAGGAAGACCTGACTCCAAAGATGATTGGAGGGCCAATTCGAGTACGGTGGCCCAGAGGCGAACTCGCATCTCGCACTCATAAGGGGATAAGTTGGGGAACTTGGAAGGATCGATATGAAGACCCAATCGCATTGCCATCTCGACGAGCGAATTCGCGGAGAGCACATGTGATGTTCCCAGGCCACTAACCTTCCGCGCTGTTAGCAACAGGCAGAATACTTGCAATCCTTCCAAGCTGGCTGTTGTTTCTGCCGATGGGCCTGTAAGCCACCACTGAGCCGCATACACCCATTTCTGCTTAAGATGTGTGAACTGATTATTGATCCCGTTGATGTTATCCTCATGGAAAGCAGTACCGATAGTAAGGATGAGGATTAATTTCATTAGAAAGGATGTGGGAGACAGCTGCGGCTCCGTCCAGAACATTGTATAACCTTCCCAGAAAACCGGTATATGCACCACGCGATATATTAACTCGAAAGTTCGAAGGTAGCCTTGAACAAGCTCGTCGCACACTGCCTTTGGTGGAATGGTGCTACGGAGATCGGGAACAGGCTCGTCCACTGTCACGGACCGGTGGGACTTGATGGATTTTCGAAGGCCTCTACATTCCTTGACCACCTTCGTAAGATCTGCCTTCAGCTCTTTGAAAGAGGCCTCCGATTCTCTGCCACTTAAAGATTCGACAACCTGGAGCTGTAACTCGTTCAGTTCCCGCATAAGCAAATCGGAAAGGGAGTGCCATACTTTGTCAACCTTGTGGATCCAATGGGTAGGACCAAGAAGCTTCGTCTTGCCGGCTGCCACATGAAGGCGCCGTGGTATATCCTTAACTGTCAAATAACCATTTTCATGCGTTTGGTCGCCGGGCTTTTGCGTTGCGCCAAGCTTTCGTTCGATGCTTTGTGTTTTCTCGGTCAGATCGTGCAACGCCTGTTCCAGCCGTCGATCATCCCAAGGCGGCTGAGAGTTCTTCGTCAAAGCGGTTAATCGATCTTCAAGAGACTGTAGTCGATACCGAATATCCCGCAGAGGTATTTCCACTTTAGATTGGAGATCGGTGTCTCCGATGTCAGTCGGGGTTAAGGGGTTCGGTGGTCTTGGATTGAAGGCCGCAGTAACTGGACGCTGCGCCGTGCCCGGAGTAGTGATCTCAATGCCATTGGAATTTGGAGACGGGCTTTTATCCCGGTAAGAGCAGTGGAGATCGGATCGTGCGCGTGTACAAGGGCCACATGGAACGTTGCGGTCGCAGCGGACCTTTCGCTGGCGGCATTGTTCGCACGACTGGGCTGGCCGTCTGCGCTTCCGGGGTCCGTCCTCCCCGGCCATAGCGAGCCACTGTGTGGTAGTGTATTTTCAATCGAATTAAGTTAGGAGAGCAGAAGCAAAATGTTCTGTAAACCATTGAGCATCACGGTCACACATGTCAGAGCGATCACCGAACTTTGGCCGGTGTTTTGTAGACGTCAACTTCGGTCTTCGGCGTATTCGGTGAAGAAATGCCGGGTTATCTCCGCCCCGCGGCGCCCGCGCCCCCGGGGCCCCGGCCGACCACGTCCATGCCGTATTAGGACTAGCGCAGCGCGTATTATGTTTCCCATACAGCTGGAGGAAGATAAACTCCCTATTATCCAGGATCCATGAACAGATCAATCGCGGGTGATGGGAAACCCAATTCAAATGGGACTTGAAGTATATAAGTTGATATTGCCCTTGGTGAGGGCTCGTCTTCCTCGCGCTTCTAGAGCACCCCGAAAATGCAAGACCAATTAGAAACCATGCGCTCTTGGCGAAACACCTCTAGGTATACGCCATCGATTATGTGGGCTACGTGATGGTGTCTGCACACCATCTGGTATTCCCTAGAAGGCTATTCAGAGAGCTCCATTCCCAATGATGTCGGTTGGTTGCGGGATTGAGAGATACGGCCTGCAGTTGGACAGCGACGGCTCATGTGTGCCCCTTGACAACTATTGTCTCGATGCTGGCTCGTTTGGTGACTATTATAGGGCAGTGGACTGCATACCCTCGGCTTCAGATCGTTAGTTTTCCTGCTCTGTTATTTCTGGAGAAGAGGGGTTAGTCAAGCAAAAAATAAATCACCAGAGCTGTTATCTTGAACCCCTCATAGGCGGGGAACTACCCCGCACATACAAAATTGGAGAAGCGATAACGTCACACACCTATATAAAACCGCATCTCCCCTCTTGAATTCTCTAAAGGAATTAGCCATCCCACTCTCTAAAGAAAACCATCGCAATCATGTCTCTCGCAACCCTTGACGTATGGAGCCCGAAGCATCTCATTGCCTGTTAATATCTAACAATGAGGGTCTAGACCACCCAACACCCCAACCTCCCCGCTTCCTCAGCGACCCTCTTTTCCGCGAAAGCGACCAAGGCCCTCTCCTTCGAGCAGATCGGCCAACACATCGGACGCAACGAGGTTGCCACCGCCGCGATTTTCTACGGACAGGCGAAAGCGTCCCCCGAAGACATTGAGAAGCTGTCCTCCCTCCTTGACATCGACCATGAGACGCTGAAGGCGCAGCTCTCCGGCTTCCCTGACCGCGGGCGCTCGGTTGAAATGCCACCCAAGGAGCCTCTGATCTACCGTCTCTACGAGATTGTGCAGAACTACGGTTACGCGTATAAGGCTGTGCTGAACGAGAAGTTTGGCGATGGAATCATGAGTGCGATTTCGTTTTCGACGAAGGTCGAGAAGGAGACGGATGAGCAGGGGAACAACTGGGCTGTTATTACGCTAAGGGGCAAATGGCTACCCTTCTCTAGATTTTAGATTGAGGTTTGAGTGGAATATGCATGTTGGGTAGCTTGTTCGAATGATATGCTTGTCAGTGTTGGGCATGGCTTTGTGTAAGTATTGGGTGATTGATTGTATCAGAATATGATGGTTTGCTCAAACGTGAGTATATTCATATTCCTTCAATGCTAATTAGCAAGGTCTCACCTGACAGCTGAGATGTTCCATGAGCTTCTGTCGTGTTGAGAGTTTCTCAGCCCTTTCACTGCTCAGACAAAGTAAAGCAAGACACAGTCTCACTTCCCAACTTTCTCACCTCCCACCACTTTCTTTCCTTCTTCCCCTTCTCACCTTGTTCCTTTTCCTCTCCAATCTCTCTCCAACAGACTTCCCCATTCAGCTCTTCCATTGAACATTCGTCCTATCTACAAAGTCAACTAGCCATGTCCACTTGCACAACATACCAGCCCAAGATGGCCACTCCCGCCAAACACAAGCCTAGCGTCGAACCGCCTCCTCCCAGAATCAAGTGCAGCTACGCGGGCTGCAACTTCTTCTTCCAAACCGACAAGGACATGAAGAAGCACAAAGCCACCTTCCCCGAACACGACTATTGCAACAAGTGCGACATCGACTTTGAGACCGAAGAGCACCTCCTCATCCACAAGATCAAGAGCAAGAAACACATCGTCTGTCCGATCTGCAACATTGACTTTGGCAGCGAGGGCGGCCGTGACCGTCACATCCGTCAGGTAAGTACTGCACCCTCAATTCCATTTCCTACGAATAATTGCTAATGATCCGTCTTTCGTCGCTATAGTTCCACCGTACCACGCAGAACCTTACCTGCAACGGATGCACCGACACCTTCCGCAGCGCCGCAGGGCTCATGCGGCACATCGAAAACGGCGAATGCCACGAGATTCCCGCGAATCGACTTCTCGCCGAGCAGCAGAAGAAACTCTTGCGCAAGGAGGTTTTTGAGTTCTCCGCGCCCCCGGTGACTCCCTCACTCGTCGACGCAGACGAAGATGAGGACGGTGGCGTGCAGCTCCATATGAACCGCTCCGAGATGAACCGCGAGGCAATGGCAAACCAACCCGGCAATCTCATGGACCAAAACAACAACGACGATAACCTCATTGACCGCCACTGGCCGAAGCTAGGATTAGGCAAGACAGGCTTGGAAGACGCAATGGGCGAACTAATGAACTTCTCGACTGCGTCAGCTCAGAGCGGAAACAAGGAAAACGAGCGTAACAAGGAGAATGTCGGCTGGAGCGACAGAGGACATGACCATGTCTTTCCCGGTTCAGCGTCTGCCCTGGGCTCTGCGTCTGAATCTGCGGCGGGTACCGCCTCCCTTATTGAAGGCGAGACCCTGTCTGGGACTGGCACCGGCACCGGCACTGGCTCGACCCTTGGTCCTCCTGCTCCCTTCCGTGCCTCCAATATGGGTATGCTGCTCTCCCAGATCTACCAGGACTGGAACCCGAATAATTACCTTGACGAGTTAACCGGGGAGTACGTCTGCGCGTGCGGAAAACGCTGCGGGACGAAAGACGGTTTTGAGAAGCACGTACTCGCCAAGAGCAAGGGTTCTCGCAGGATGTTGTAAGTTCTTACCTACCATCACCACTCCCAACCGCTGCCATAGCCCCGACACTAACGTTCTGTCATAGGTGCCCTGGCTGCTTCAAGACCTTCAAGTCTACCGCCGCCATCATCGCGCACTGGGAATCGCCTTCTCTGAAGTGCAACCTGAGCGAGGAGAACCTATATGCGCAGATCATGGACGAGGTCAGTGGCGGCATGATTCAGATTAACGGGTACAACGAGGACGGAACGTTGAAGTATGAGGCTGGCAAGTTGGAGCTGCGCAAGACCACGACTGTCGGTGTGGATCTGGAGAAAGTCCGTTGGTGAGATGCTGATTGAATGGCAAACTTACTGGAGTGGTCAGTTTCGAGGGAGGTAATCCTGGAGGATCGGTGCAGAATTGAAGATGCCGCGTAGGACGGTTGTGGAATCGCAGAATCATGAGTTCTTGCAATGGTTGTTAATTCGCTAAGGCTATCGCGTAGTATCTAGCATAATGAACGCAGGGTATAACATATCAAATGAATCAAGAAAACCGTGTAACCGTATCACCAATGGAGTCATTGTATCCAGAGTATAACGTCAGCCTCATCCCTCTATGCTCTTGCTCGGGTATATATATATCGCAGAGAATCTCGTTCCGTTCCGCTTAGCAGCAAATCTCGCAGCACTCGAAGCAGGCAATACCGGCGCAGCTATCAACGAACCCTGTTAGCATCTATCCCCATTCGACCGGACGTAAACCGAAAGTGCACTCACATTCCGCAGCAGAATCCGGCCTCACCACCACCGCGCAGCCCCATCGACATTTGTTCTTGACGAGCCTAAGGGAGGATAATTAGCATCGGCGCAGGCTCTCCGACTCCTCGGTCGGAGCATAAAACAGTACTAACAGGCTGCTCGGCAACAACGCCGTTAGCGTTCATGTTAGGGGCGCTGGGGGATCCCGGCTGGACCATCTGGAGGGTGTTTGGGTCGAACGTCGGCTCGGCGTTCTGGGAGTTGGCAGACTCCTGCTTGGAGGACTTGAAGAGGGAGAAGACCATTTTGCTCGGTGGAGATTGGGTTTGCTTGTAGAGGCAGGAAAACGTCGAGTCAACGAGAGTGGTGTATGACAGAGGAGACGTCACAAGATCGATTTGATGGAGTCACCGGATCAGACAGTGCGGGAAGGCCCTTTTATAAGGGTGGAATAATAGTCAACAGCATTATTGGGCTAGAGCGAGACCGACGAATGTGGCGCTGGCTGAACAGCCACGCGGTTGAAACGGCACGTCGGAGGGTTTCGTCGAAAATTCGCGATGTCCACGTCTCCAATCTCCATGCTCCACTGCGCGTGGCTTGGTGAGGAGTCGGCTCCGCGGGATTGACGGGGGTCGGGGATGCGCTCTTGTCCCTGATCAGTGATCCCTGATCACCGCATGACTTCTGCTGAACGGAGAATTGACATCACAGGCACCGTGTCTCACAGTCCACTATCGTTGATCTATCCCTCAACCAAGTTGTCTCAACACTGATCGCGAAACTGCAGCCAGCATAGCCTTGATAGGGCTGTAGGCAGCCAAATTTCGATCCAAAATTAGAGCGAAAAAAAGTGGGCTAAGCTTCCTAAGCTTTGCTTGTGGGGCTTGTCTGGAAGTGAAGCCCGAATTTTTGGGAGATTCTCGCTGTCAGCCCTGTCAGTGTCAGTCTTCTGGCGCATAACGGTTTGAGGGGCGATCCAGTAGTTCAGCAGCAGATCGTGTTTGGCATTACCGTGGTAATGAGGCTGAGGATTTTGTCTTTTTTTGCTGTTGCCTGTCAAGTTCAGCCGGGAAAACGCGGACACGGGCGCCAAGCCTCAACATTTCCACGCTGGAGCTGAGGCTGATCATACGTACAAGCGACTTCAAACTTCAAAGTCGCCAATACGGATACGAATCACCCAGGCGGAGCAGAAGGTCGTCGATCCCACTCCAGCTATGGGGACCGCTCCTTGGCGTGCCTTCCTTCCACGACGCTGAAAGAGCTTTTGACCACTCGGCTGGATCATTGACCAAACGGTCAATCGGCGATGTTTCAACTACGATCTCATATCTCGTTTGGCGCATCTATCGCCTGAGATGGGTAGGTTATGACAAACTCTGCTCGACATTATTTGAACTATTTAAACTAAACAATTTAATAGGCCAATTTCCCCGCCAGTTTCTGGATCTGCTCCGTCTCGACAGGCTCTTCCCACGGTCGGTCTCGTTTGCCATTGTCTTCCTTCCCTAGACGAAGGGGCTCTTTGCCATGGACGAACAGATTATCATGCGGCCAGTGTGTCTTTCGGCGTCAGTAAATGCGATGACAATGAGACAAATTGAGGACTTACAGTTCCCATGCGCTGGTCGAAGAACTCAGCCTTTTGGCGGAGGATATCCGGTTGCGCAAATGCAGCAGGGGTGTAACACGCGTCTTGAACGGATCGTCAGCATCGGCAAGCTGTACTGGAGGAATGCACATACAGACGATGGCTCGCAGGTTTTGCGATGTGGGTACACAGTTATGGTGCATGGTTCTCGAATCCCATAGGATCACGTCCCCGGGATCAGCACATACTTTCAGCAGTTCACACCCTCTGTCTGTGAACCACTTGACCTCCTCTTCGTCAAACCCGAACCAGTCCGATGAACCCCATGTCTGCCGTCCGATGACTTCTGGATGGGCCTCGAAGAACTCGGGCATCAGTTTTGAGGAGCCCTTCATGACGAGGAGACCTCCGTCTTTGGGTCCGTTGGGCGCAAAATTTAGGATACCCTGCACGCATTGCATGCCCTTCCGGAGGGGGCTCTGGTCGACATGCGGCCATGGTTCGGTAGGCGGGAGCGGCTTGCCGGTCGGGAGGGTGAAATTCATGCCGTCAAACGAAACGAGAAGCTCGTCGGTTCCCCAGAGCTTAGAGAAGGTCTCGAGCACACCGGGCTCCCTGTCGCAGTGAGCGGTCTGCAAGCCTGGCACTGTAGGAAAACTTACGTGCGCGCCTCCCAAATAAACTTTTCATGCTGCACCCGATATCCATGATACATCCCGCCCTTCATATGCGTGGGCAAGTGCTCGGGAGTCCAGGTGGATTTATCATTCCTGTCGAACCCCCAGGGGAAGCGCTCTGCCCATTCGAACATCTTGGCGATGTAGTAGTCACATCTCTCCTTTGGAATAACATTCTTGACGACAACAAACCCGTTCTTGAACAGGTCGTCCCGCCAGTCACCATAGCTGTGAGTGGTGTCGAGGGTGTTAACTGCGTGAGGCATTATCGTTTGAGTTTGGTAACTATCAAGCGACTGTGGGCAGGTCGAGGAAGCTCTTCTTACTTAAGACCACTTGCAGTTCCCAGGCGAGCTCACCCTGCTTATAACCTCACGCATGATGCATGTTCGGGATTTGTGATTGGTCGTTGTCCTGAACTCGCGCGAACCCGCGCGAACTCGTGCGAGACTCCCCGCTGTGCCTACTCCAACAGCGTCAGCTGATAACGCCACTGCCGGGATTTTGCAGGATGATCACCAAGGGCTACAGTGTAAAGAAGAGCATAACTATATAAGGCACGGATACTCCGCAACCACCAAATCCTCCCCGGCATACAGCCTCGGCTACCAGTTCTTTGGGGAAGTCCGTCAAAATGGCATTAAGCTTACTGGCACCGTGGAAGAATGTCAGGACTCTGGGCTTCATCTCTGTGATCTACATTACTGGTTGCTATCTTTGCAAACCCTCCGAATAAAAGGGGAATGGAGTGGCATAGAACCCGCTCTGCTTCAGCCGTTGGCCCGGTTCGAAAGTGAGCCAGTTATTTCGTTCTTGGCCGCTACTGACAGATTGCCGCTGTTTGCCCACTAGATCTCTCTTTTTTCCGGTCTAACAATCATCGTTCAGGATTGCCCAGCCAGTTGGAGGCTTGGAGTTGGAGACCGAGAGACATGCCTGATAAGATCTTAGTGCAGAATTCTATTAAACCGTCCTATTGGGCTTATCTCCTGCCCAACCGGAACCGAAATGATCTCAAAACTTCACACCCATAGAGTCAGCCAGCGGGCGCCGAAAGCGTGCCTGCACTGCGCTAAACGGCGCGTCAAATGCGACAAACAGATCCCCTGCGGAACTTGCATAGCAAGGGGCACGCAGTCGTCTTGCGCTAGAGAAATAGTCTGTGTTCAAGGACGTCTCACAAAGCACGTATTCGCTCCTCTATTGGCCTGGGCAGTCGCTAATGGACCGTAGTGCAAGACCGCAAGAGCCTCAGCAAAGTGTGCCAGAACTAGAGGAAGAAAACGAAAAGCTCAAGGCAGAGCTAGAAAGACTCAAAAGATCAAGTAGAAGGCCGCCTCCAGCACTGCCAGTTTCTAGCCCAGGTGCCCGCAGCTTATCAACCCCCGAGGTGTACGAGAATCGGATCAACCTGCAACATGCAGAGACCGTCCATCATCAAACTGTACGGAGACGCGGCGACATCCGGCTGCCAAATCGTGGTTGCAGCGACGCGTTACTTCGTCATGGCATTGTTTGGACATCATGGATCCATTTTGCAACGCATAATGAGACTTTTCAACTTGAACACGAGGCCGCTTGGATGGGTGGTGCTTTTCTAGACAGTGATCCGCTATGGCTGGCTATCTACTTTGCCTTTATCGCAGTAGGTGAACGTCTAGCAAAACATGGATTACGCTGAACATCACGCTGCAGATGAGCCTAATGTTCATGACCGATACTGAGGCGACTGCAGCTGAGCTTCCTGAAGGTTGAACCTTTCCTCCGTATTTACTACTTGCCCTAACCTACAGCAGTAAGCAGCACGGATTTAGTTCGAAACTGGTACGACGCTGCTATCTACTTTCTCAACAAGGCAGAATTCATGCGCAACTACAACTTTAAGACTGTCCAAGCAATCACCATTCTTCTCAGCCTCGGCAAAAGCGTGGGCGACTTCAATTCCCAGCCTCTCCTCCAAGCAACAGCCATTCGCATCGGGCAGATAATCGGAATGGACCGCGAGCCACCGTTGCAAGGATATACCGACAGTCCCATCGTACAAGAAATTAGTCGGCGTACCTGGTGGACGCTAATGATTTGCGAATGGCTTTCAGTCCCGCCTCGTCCGCCATGTATACATGAACTTGACTTCAATGTCGATCTTCCTTTGCTAGCATCAGACGAGGAGCTTTCAAACGCTCGTCTGACCCAGCAAGCCGTATCCCATCCCCGACCGGTCCAGTACCACCTCGCTATGATATCGATAGCGAAGTCGATTTATCGTTTTCAGTACCAGCTTGCATGGCTCGACGAGAAAGACGCGCGCCTACTCGAAGATCTAGTCCTAGCAACAGACGAAGACCTAGCAACGATAATCTCACAGCTACCCGCTCATCTCTCCGACCCGCCTCCACCGGAAGGTGAATGCGACAACCACTATGAACGTGCAGGTTACTATGACGAGAACTACCCGCCCTGGGTCTCATGGCAATGGCGCAGCCTTACCCTCACCCTTCTCATATTTCGAATGAGAGTCAACCGCTGCCTCCAGCACAGATGGCCCCATTTGCCAAGCAATGAGACCCTTCTCGCTAGGTCAAAGGCTATTTGCCTCGAGTCTGCGTCGACGGTGATAATGCTGGTGGACAGGGACAAGGTGGCCTTGGCAAGACATCGTCCTTGGTCAGTCATTTATGTCCTTGGTTCTTTATGCTGCGTTATCACCATTTCCAGTCTATCGCGCAACATTATGCCCCTTCTTGAGCGGCCCTTAACTAATTGTGTTTGGGTATATAGGGCTATGACCTTCTACGTCTTTTCAGCTGCAATGACCCTCGCTATTGAAGCGCGAGGTATTCCCCGCCGCGACGTTCAAGCAGACGAATATATTGAGAACATCCAGTTGTGCTTGTCGTTTCTTGACTTTCTGAAAGATCACACTGCACTTGCTGCTAGGGCTATCTTGGTGCTCAATGAGTTTCTAAATGATGCGAACCTACGAACAGAGGAAGGGACAATGTAAGCAAAAATATATAATGGACTAGTTGTAGGATTGGTCGGGAAAGGAAATCATTGAGGATGTTGAAGTGATTCGCTACAACTCGGACTTTGAGTTACCATTGCTTAATTATGAAATAACATCATCTTCTCAGTCCAAGTATTTTCTAGGGCTTTCTGCATCGTCCCGATTAGGCAAGTACCTAGCAATCACGTGACAGCTACCTCCGCGGCTTTCCACCGATCGCCGATCAAAAAATGTCACCTCAACACCTCAACGCCGGCACATCGAACACAACACACTTTGCGGTACAACTAATCCACCAATTCCTGACCAATTATCCCCAGGCACCTTACGCAAGCCTTCCCGAAGCAGATTGCGCAGACCAAAAAGCTCAAGCACAATGCCCGACCAAGAACCCACCCCCATCCACCCACCAACCCAACCCGCACCACCACCGCAAACCCAAGCCGACATGCAAAGCCAACCCCCGCAACTAGCCCAACTCCAACAAACCCTCCCCCCAAACCGCGAAGCCGACTTCGCCCGCTTCAAAAACTACGCCGCCTACACCTTCCTCATCGCCTCGCCCATCCTCATCGCCCTCCCGCCCCGAAAACTAGACCACCTAACCGTCGCCCTAACAACAGCCTTCGGGTTCTCCGCAAACCACATTGCGCGAGAAAGGACGGGGCGTAGTATAGTCGACCGAATCGAGTCGCGGATCGCGCGGCCCCATTCGAGTCTACCGACTGAGCAGGCGCGCGAATACCAGGCGAGGGTCCGGGCGGAGAGGGAGAGGCGCATGGAGGAGGTGGGGATTAGCCGTGAGGAGATGGAGGCTCTTCGGGCGAGACGGGATCAGGATCGCGGCGTGATTGGGCGGGTGTGGATGGGGGATGCGGAGAAGGGGTGGAAGGAGAAGAGGATTGCGGAGGAGAGGGAGGCGCTTGCGGCGGGGAAGGGGTATGGGGATTTGATTAAGGAGCAGATTTGGGAGGTTTGGAATCAGGGGGAGAAGGAGGGGGGTGGGGAGGATGGGGGGAAGAAGGAGTAAGCTCCCAAACATGCGAGGCGGCTGTACTATTATTGTGTATTATAAGTAACGGAGTGGATATGGCGTTGGCGTCTGGGATGGGTGCTCTTCTCTACTCTGGCAAAAGTTCTTGATGTTTGTTGTTGGACTAGCGAGTGCCTGCGGGGAATACGGTGTATACTTAGACTGTAACTTGGTATTTGAAAATGATTCCGAGTAAAGCAAAACCATGGACGTCAATCTCGAAGACAGTATAAAAACTGACGAGACTATCATGTAGCGGAGGAGAATGAATTTATTCCGTCAAGCGTGTCGTCGTTCTGCTAGCAGTAGGTACACGACAGCCTGATTCGAGGTCAATAACATATGATTCATTCTAATCGCCAACTCGTGCTGCCAAGGGAAAAGATCCATAACCCTCTTGCTATTGACCGCGCCCCTCTCTGCCTCCCTGTAGGCACGGTCTAAGTCATTGGCTGCAACCTATGCTGCGCAAAAGCTGGAAAAATTCCTCAAATCCAGCAAAGCAGGAGATTTACAGTCCTAACGGAGAGCAAACACACTTCAGATAGCGGTGTTCCATCGCGGAGGAGTGTGGTCCAATCAAAGTGCGATGACGCTGTTTCCAGCATCAGTAATGCGATGTTTTGCTTGATAGGGTCGTTTCCTGCGGGAGTATGCAAGTCTGAGGATCTGGACGGATATGACAAGAGCGACGTAAGTTTATGTGGAAGACCCGAGCCCAAAAAAAAGCGTCTCCGATAATGTATCCCTGCTAGGGCTGAGCGTATTCTGGAAGCACTGATCTAAAGTTTGACCTCGTCTGGAGCTGTTGGCTATCCCCATAAAGACCTGAAGAGCTGAAATGTTAGTTCCGAGACGTGGTGGCGTTTCAAGCTCATATCAACTACTAGCGTCCTGCCTCACTGGCTAGGGGTGGATTCAGATATCTAGTTCAGAAAAGCATTGTGCGCCTGTACTCGGGGCAGGGTGGTGACTGTTCAGTAAGCGGCCTGCAAAGAGGCTTCGGGTGGAAAAGTCGGTATTTCGCAGGGAATAAAAAAGAAGAGATGAGAAAGAGATGAGATACAAGGTGAAATGAAAGATTATCGAGAGGTCAAAAAGGCCTTTCTTCTAATAGTCAGGGTATGCATTGCCACTCCCAAGGCACCGATAATGGCGGGAGTAGGTCAGTCTCGCATGACGACCTGGACTCAAGTAGCGAGGGACCCAGCAATTGGGGTTGAGGCGGGCGAGCTGATAGAATCCAATGCCCGTAAAAGTTCGTGAGCGCTGGAAATCTCGCCGTTCCAACAGCGGTCAATAATCCACCCAAGCCAAATATCCCGCGTACTGGGCAGGAATCTCCTCTCTGGCCAATGGGCTCGACCGTCGGTGGGAGAGTTATCTTTGAAGAGATCGACTTTACACTTGGTACCAGTTATTACTTCGTACATGACTGCGCCGAGAAAACCAACATCGACCCGGGTCGTGAACCCGTTGTCATCCACAGCTTCCATATCCGCATCCAAGGGAAGAAGAGACGCCTCTGTGAAGTCACAGATTTTGAGCGATAGATCCGAATCTAGGAGGAAGTTTCGGCTGGCGATATCTGCAACAAGCACCCGCCTGTCATGGATAAAACCGAGTGTGCGAGCCATCTGCTTGAACCACCTGAGTTGCAGCTGACGAGGAGGGCGGAATTTGGCCAGGTACGACTGAAGGTCCCCATTGACCATATAAGCGAGTTGCGTCATGTCGGTTGAAAACCCGAGACAGCTGACGACGCCATGAGAGTGGTCATCTCCAGGATTTTGCAAGCGGTGATACACGTCTTGTTCGCGCCTGAGGCTTCGAGCGTTCGCTCCGACGTCGTAGTCGGAGCTCCAGCGATATCTCAAGGGAATTTTGACGGCCACACCATCCTGGAGCAAAACTACCGCAGAGCCTCCACTACCGAGGATCTGATCCTCGGCGATTGACTTCCCTTGAATATCGAGAAAAGGCGAAGACATGGCAGCAAAACAGGAAGGTAGTGTAATGGGTATTGACATGCACAAGCCTCGAGGAAGAGGGGTAGGAGATCAGTGCGGGGGTCTGTTGTCCTTCTGTCCACACCCGCCGGTGAAGAAAGCTGGCAGCCCTTGAGATCATCAATTCCTTTGTGCCTTTCTTTTCATGATCCTAGTCCACAATTTCAAGAATATGGAGATGCACCTTTTAAAGACAGTGGTGCCCTGCAACTAGCGAAAAGTAGCTTTTCTTGGACGTAACTCCGATGCCCGATCAACTTACGAACATGGGCCTTGCCGCCGCTAGTCGTCGGTGAGATCAACAAATGATCTCTTCATTGGAACAATAGGGCCGGCAGGTAGCGAATCCGAGCTTGATGTAAGGTTGAGCACCCTCTCACTCAGTGGCGCGGAGTTACCTTGTGGTGTCTGCAATTGTACAGGAGCTAGAGCCGCGCCATGAATGTCAAGCAAGGGGGCTGTAGGAACCAATGGAATCCGGTGTCCCGGCGGTAGTTGGGATTGTGGAGATCCTAGCCATGGCATCGACTGTAGAGAAGCCGCTGGATTCGGCATAGATGAAATTGGTTGCGCCCGTGCTTGTGCTTCGCCAACGGCGTTAGTGTAAGGTATGGATGTAGGCCGGTGTCCTCGTAGGTTAGTAGAGTCTGCTTGGGCACTGGGTCTGACCATGCGAGCTGTCGACTGAGATGGATGGTACTGAGCAGGATGAGAGACAGGCACCTGGGGTGGCTGAGACTGTTGCGCGGTGCTGAGCAAGGCCGCGGGCGTAGGCATTTTGAGGCACTCATGGTCCAGTAATCTGGTATACGAGTCATCTCCAATAACCTCAACCAGCGGAGTATTTCGTTTCAAGCCATCGAGTGTCGAATGAGCAGAACTGACTCTCTGCCGCCAAGCTTGAAAAGCAGTGTCGTATGCGTGGTGAGTTTCGTGACCTGCAAAGTATACGGACTCCTGTCTTTAATAATCTCACGCCGGAAGGTTGGACCAAGCCGATCCCAGAGATGTTCCCGGCGCTTCTGCGGCATGGTAAATCGCCAAGCAGGCAGATCGGGATGTGTGACGAATGCTATAAGATGTTGACAATCGGTGCAATTGCACGTGGAAGTCCGGGGTAGAGTCTGTTGCCAGGTGGTAGGGGGCTGGGGCGGCTGTCGTACATATTTCGTCAAGTAGGTCTCCAGAGCTTTTATGATCAATTCAACAAGGTGTTGCTCGTTGGTAACGACGATTTGCTCTGAAGCGGAGCTCATGTTACCATGATCTGACTTGGGCTCCAGGGTATGGATTGATTCATCACCTGCAGCGCCGCCTGACCCAGCTCCAAGTTCAGGATTGGCAGAAATGCTCGCTTCGCATAAGATTTCCCAGTTTCTTCTTTCAGACTTTTCTTTGAGGTAGCCGCACAAACAGACAATAAACGGCCGGGAAAACTTCGTCATAAAGTCACCGGCTTCCTCTTCTTCAGGAATAGATATGCATTTTTGGAGAGCTTTTACCAGTTCTTTGGTCTGAAATCCCCAGCAATCGCATTGCCTAATCATCTTGACGAGGAGGTCGGCTGCGATTAAGTCCTCGGTTCTTGAGGAGGGGGTATACCGCCAATCAAGATTGCGCTCAGGAGACAGCGGCCGTTTAGCTATCCAGATTCGAAGATCTTTTATCGCAGCTTGAAGGATGCTCTCGTAGACATTCTTTACCGTCTCCTCATCTAGAGTGTCGGAATTTTGGAGTGACCAAAGTCTTCTCTGAGCGATCCTCGGAGGGGCCTGTTCCGCAAGCGCCGTGAGAAAAGCGATGATAAACTCAACGTTGGATGTGGTGCGAATGAGAAGCGGAGATATGCTGTACTAAAAGTCAATATCCGAAGATGCACGATGTTATGAGCGGCGGCGGCTTGTAGATACCTCGTTAGGACGCCATTCTTGCCATCTTCCACGATGAATTCTGCAAGATCCCTCCCAGCCTGCTGATCGAGGTTCCGGCGAACCAGGATTCGATCAAAAAGGACTGACAGACTGTCGTGCTCCCACGCGAGCATTTCGTCGGAAACCGTACGCTTTGGAATGAAATCGTTGCAAAGGCTGGAAAATGCATGGACCGTGTTGTTCACTAGCCAAACAGGCTCAAAAACGTTCTCTGATGGTAGCTGCCACAGGCGGTGAAATCTGCCATCGAAGAAAGTCTCAGCTTTATTCTCCAGATCAAACGAAGAGTAAGTTTATAACTTACCCGCTCTTGAATTCCTCAAGTCCATGGTCCAAGATGCCCTTCGCAAACATATCAGCAAGACCGTCCAGGTGATTTAACTCCCCCAAAAAGCGACACAAGATGTCCCATTCGCGGTACTTGAATGCTATTTGTTTAATATCATCGATTATATCGAAATCAACATCCTCTGTGGCCCCATAAACGATGTCGGATACGCGCCAGCAGGTTTTAACGAGCTCCTGGCGGAGTATAAGGTTATCTGGAGATTGCTCGACTTGTCGGTGTAAATCGCGAACAAGATCCTCGATACATATGCTGCCATGTTCCAAAGCATAGAATTTGAACGCAGTTCGGAAAGTTGCGGGAAGTATGAGGATACAAGTTTGGCGATAGAAATGCATTGCCTTCCAGTCTTCATCTATAAAGTACTCCTCGTAGTCCTCCTGGTCCGGCTCGTCCTTGAAGGCATCAATGTTGAGAATCAAAGACGCATCGATGTTTGTATTATACACAACTTCCTTACCAGAAGCATCGGTGATATCCGATAGATGAAATGAGGTCTCGAGGAGGTGGGTTATCTCATGGAACTCGGGTTCAGGGTAAAAGCAATGACGGCCAGGGCCGCAATAATCGTGATCGTCTCCTTCAACCTCGCCGAACTCGCGTTTTTCTAAACGGGCAAGATGTATTTCAAAGCCATGTGCATCGCATGCTGTTTTGAGCAAGATCATGCGCTCTCGGTCAGCATCTTTCAAGGTAGCCAGGCTAAGCTCCTTGTCTTCGTATTCGCCCTCGAGAATATATGCAAGCATAGGCGTCTCTAAATCATCAATGGCTTTAGAGAAGGCCGAGGAAACAGGCAAACCGGCGGCCTCTGATACTGTATCGTTTCTTGCGCTCCAGCTTGCCCAAGAACTGAGGCTATTGTGAATTAGCCTGCTTAGCTGACCTCGACGTCTCATGGCCTCCCATGATGCTTGATGAAGAAGGTTGTAGATCAGGAGTATGCGGTATCCGGCCGTGATAGGCTCTATGTCGTACTTGAAGTCTGGTGACCATGCGGCAAATGAGAAGCCGTATTCCGAATTTGCCGAGCTCCTATATCCTTGACTACCATCTCTGAGAGGCGCAACAACGTCCCCACCCTCATGCTTCGACGGCAGACAAATAGCGAGGGTCCCGAACACACCCTCCACGTCCGTTGTAACTAAGTCCTCGGACAGAGGGAAGAAGGACCCCGAATCTTTATTGTATAATACAAGGCTGCGCGGCTCGGCTTCAATGTGGCTGGGGTCTGTTTCAATCACCAGCTCCGCAGCAACCTGTGCCAAATACTGGCGGATCTGCTTATGCCATTGTGGATTTCGAGTGGAGAATTGACCAGCGGCCAATTCGCAGCATTTCCGTGGGCTCGCAGGGAAAGCATCGATGATTTCTTTGAGAACGTTTGGAGTTACAGGAAGGGAAATCGCGCCGACGCCAGGAATGTCAAGGCCTGGGTTGATAGCAGCTTCAGACCCGGAGCTCGTGAAAAAGGGGCCGTTGGTGTTGACATCGGCCAAATACGTAGAAAGTTCGTCCTTCAGCTTCTCGCCATACTCCCCTGCACTCAATGGGGACGAAGTAGACGACATTTTATCATGGCAATGCCGGGAGCAATTTGGTGTTTTGGCAGCAGCTGGAGACGCGTCTAGGGATGGAGAGTTGCACAAACACGCGCTATCACGTGATTAGGCAAATTTTATGCCTCAAAAGTCAGGCTGCACAGTACTCTAGGTAAATATTCGTCACTTTGACGAGTAAGGTCTTCAAGTTGTGACGTACTCGTTGTGGAAGGAAATATTGCTCATCATAGTTGTTTTCAAATCCACACTGCCTCTCAGATAATTGGAGCGTCTCACATTGACCAAGTCGCGGATACCGGCTTTGGTTCAAGTATTTGCCCTCCTCTCAGGCTGCGGCCCATGATGAATACCAGTACTGTCCACTGCTACAACTCGTCTGCCGTCCCTGTTACGTACGTGACCTTCTAGACGCGACACTGTTTTTGGCGATTGTGCGATGAGGGAAATAGAAGGTGCTTGAGATATTTAAGCCGGAGTAGCGCTGGAGAGCGTGCCTGGTTGCCTGGGTCTTGCCTAACTTTGAGGGTTGAGGCTGAGCCATACTCACTCCATTCCATATGCTTGCTTCTAACGCTGAACTATATTGTTGACGGACACTTAAGTGGAGTCTGGTTGATTGGAGAAAAAAGTCACCACTGTGGTAACTTTGTAAACTGCTCTTGTTATTTAACAATATTTGCATAACAGACAGGTCAAGAAGAACGGATTCTTTGACGGATCATATCCCACATTGTGAGGAATCACCAGGCCATGGATCAAAGACGGTGGAGCTATCCTTGGCAACTTCATCCGTGTTGACTTGGACATTGTCACATTACCATTTCCCTGATATCACGGAGTAAGCCATGTGGTTTGGAAAAGCTATTCCTCAGATTGAAATGAATGTCGCTGCCTCTACAGGCAGGCCCGAGCAACCTGTCCATGTTTTTGATTTCCTCACTCAATGGCGGGAAAAATGACTGCTCCTCTTCTTGCGAATCGCACCAACAGCCGATGATTTCCAACTCAGTCCACTGAGTGAAGTCGCTAGTTTTGGCTCTAACCATGTCCGTGATTTGATTTTGGAACTCCGAGATGTTTGGGCAGTGCTGAGAATCCCTAATTGCCAGAGTCTCTAGGGAAGCCGGCAAGACTTGGGATAGGTTGTTTCTTGCCAATCTCTGTTCATGATCCCAGTCCAGGATGTTGAGCACACTAAGATTCACTTCTTTGAGAACAGCAAAACCATGCAGCGTGCCGAAGAATAAATCATCCATTAGAAAGCTTACAGGCCAGCCACAAACGAGGTGGATGACCATTCTCTCTAATGTGTCTTTGTGAACGTGAAGTGCCCGGTAGAGAGCAGTAACATTGCTCTCGAATCCGGCCTGAACCCCCCCATATGCTTTCTCAAGTATAAAGGACTCCAGTCTCTTGCACGCCAGTATAAGGCTCTCAAATCCCCTTGCGGGTCTGCTGTACCGTAAGTGAATATGCGTCACGTTTGAATAGCCCGGCTTTTGGATAAGGTCGTGGGTCGGTTCCAGTTTGTCGGTAAATAGATCACCACGGAATTTTCGCATGGCTGGAAACATGAAAAAGGGCAGTATTTCCCGTACGTGCACTGGTTTAGTTGAGTTCTGCTGCCATGGGATACTTACTTCCTTCAGACGAGCAAGAACCGGGCTACCATGAAACAACTGCTTCAAGCATGACGCCCGCTCTAGAATGCTGGCCTCCAGCAATTGAGCCATGTCCCAATCGACTTCCAGTTTCTCGAGATTTGGCAAGACAATTAGTAACATCGTCTGCCATTCCTTCCCTTTTCCATCATAAGAATGATTGAAAGTTGTTTCTCGGGATAACTTGTGTACCCAGGTTGAAATGTCCGCACCGCCCTCATCAATGTCCTGAAGTGCGTTATCCATCGCAACCTCGTCGAATTCGAGCTTTCGGTTGTGTCTGCAAGTACCACGGCCAATGAGGGCCAGGGAGCGGACGGCTTTCGCGAAATCTGGGTTCCGAATGAAGAAGTGAACTACCGAGTTGAGGATATAGTCGCAACGACCTAAGACCTCGATTGAGGAGAGTACCCGAGGAAGCAACAGATCGCGAAATCGGTGGCAGCAGTTTGCGAGATGGAGGCCGTCAATCTGGTTGTCCAGGAACGTTGCGACCATGGCCAGGAGCTCGTTCGGAAGGGAGGATAATGTGGCCATGGCGGACTAAACAAATAATAGAGTGGAAGCCTTGTGAGAAAGAAAAGTGAGTATTATGAAAGATATTTTATAGAAGAGATAGCACTCACTTTAATACTGGGTGATTTTGCGGGAAAAGGAAGAAGTTGTCCGTGTCTGGAAAAGGAAGACAGGAGTAACACTTGCACCGGGACGCCTGGGCTACCCAGGCAGCCTGAGGTCGACGACGCGAGAAATATATAAAGGGACTTCCCAGAAAGGATACAGCACTCAGTTTGATGCTGGTTGATCTTGCAAGACAAGGATAAGTAATGGTTGATCTGGAAGGAGAAGACGGGGGTATCACTTGGACAGCAGGACCTTGACTATCTGCCATGGCAGCCTTAGGTGAAAGCTGTTTCAATAGGCAATCGCCCCCTCGCTTCTGTCAATGAATAAGCAGATTCCAACAACTAGACACCCCTGGGGATTTCGTCGTTTGATTTGGAAACCAAGGCGAGTAGCAGGAATTCATAAGATCCTTTTGTCAAGATCGCACTCAATCACTGACTGAACAGGTGCATAATGCTCGCTAGAGCCAAGCTAATCTACTGTAATCCTGCCCAGCCTCGATTAGTGATGCACCTTCCCAAGTTGAAGAAACAGATGCTGCATAAGTTCCCTTGTCGCTTCCTCTCATCCGGCCACCAAGCTAGCATTCCCTTGACAAAAGACAAGAACCCCTATCTATCCTGGCCCATCAGGCAAGATGGAACCGCCTCTTCAAGTTTTCGATTCGGTATCAACTCTTCATATAGGAAGCGGCCATCAGCATCAAAAAACGCCCGTCGAAGTAATCCTTAGCACTTTCACACAGTTTACCGTCTTAACTCCCTACTGACCTACTGCGGCCACTTGAATTCGATCATCGAGTTGTACCTGGCGATTCTTTCTCGCGGAGGGGGTCCGAGTAAGCCTATTATTTCCGCGATATGCGCTCTGGCATTGTAGGTACCGTCCTGGTTGTGAATGTGCCGGAATAGTTCTCGTCCTTGTATAAGATCCCAGACCTAGCAATTATTTAGTTGTACGGACAGGACCTCTTCAAAAAGGATGAAGGACTCACCATGACACCCATGTTCCAGATATCAGCACTTATCCTCCAGACGCATCCAAGTATAACCTCTGGAGCGCGATAGTGATCCAGCTGGCTGGGGTATATTCCCCAGTCATCGTCCTCCTCAAGCCTCACTGAAGACCCAAAATCAACAATTTGCGGGATGTTCATCACTTTCCTCAGCGGGCCAAAGGGAGTGCATCTGCAGTAGACGGGCCGGCCGTTGGAGTCGATTTTGTAGGAATTTGCTTCATCAATCGTGGAGTTGAGGAATTCACCGAGAACAGCAGGGTCTTCGAAACCGACCATTATATTCTCAGGCTTTAGATCTAACTTGATGCTCAGCTTCCTAGCCATCGAATTAAATCAAACTTCGAAGGAACATAGACTTACCCGTATGCACAACCTTGCAGTTCGTATGGAAGTAATCGAGGCCTGTAAGTCGGACACGGATATATGTCTTAACGATTGGAAGCGGAATCATCCTCTCTTTGAAACGTCTCTGGTAAAGCCAGATTGGCTCCCTCAAGGGCGCATAGACCAGACAAAGATGAGACCCAAACAGACCAGCAATGCAAAAATAATCTGTCGATGTCCTGAAGAGTGAGCGGCCCCGATGGGACGGGTCCGTCTTAGCAATGCGTTCTTCAATGTTGCGTTTATTATCGGCAGTGCGCGAAGTGGTATTTCCTATTTTCAATGTCGCAATTGTTTCCAGTTCCCAGCAGTATCTGTATATATTATGAGGATCAAAACCAGCTTCAGCTACGGAGATAATCATACCCATGCATGTCACGAGCGAGCCATACTGAAGAGGAACCCCCCCACCCAATCTTCACAAGGACTTGATAGCGATTGGCGAGTACCTCCCCAGCTCGAACCGGGTAAAACCTTTTGGAGTCGTATTTTGGAGAGACTTTCATCGATAAGGGCAGTTTGAGGCAAAGGGGTCGCTGGAAGGGGTAGTGGAAGGGCCTCTTGCGAAGTAGCCAGGACAAACGTGCCACTTGAGGTTCTATCAAAGCCATTTCTTTGCCGCGGTACGGAATGAAGCAAGTGAGAGAGGATGATGCGCAGCTTGTAGGATAAAACCGAAGGTCAAAACGAAAGTGCTCTGGGTCAAGGTTAGAATATGAACCCGGCTGCGGCCAGGACTGTGTGGTGCACTGGTGCCTAGCTCTGCCCTACAAGCTTCTTACCTCATTTCATTCCTCCTCAATTCCAGATTCTTGTTGATTTTATAGAGAATGTGTGTCGTGAAACAATTGGTGTCAACCAGGTCACGGATAAACTGTTCCTTTTGCAAAACCCGTTCGTCCACAAAGGGCGTTGAGCGAAGGTCATCGGAGCCCACGGACGGCGCGGAGGCGTCAGTCATGGAACACTTCTGTTGTACTTATATTATTCCATACAGAGCCTGCCTTTCTGACTGGCGAATCACGCTTCAATTCTGTAATCGCGTCCCTCTGCAATACCTCTTGACTTTGAGTAGTCTTTGTACCTCGCCGCGATGTGAGGTTGGATCATTCAGGAGGAGTTTGTAGCCGCTAAAGTGGGCAAGATCTCAACCCACGTCACCCTTACTATCTAGACTGTCAGCTGTCACTTTGGTGAACTGGAGGGCTTCTAACATCTTACCTAAATTCTTCCATATATGCGCGTATTTTGATCCCGACCAGTTCCGTCAGTTCCGAACTTCCGCTGGTGCGTTGTGGCGTGGAGGCCACGCTAACGCCGGGAGTCTCCATGATCGGCGCCGCTAAGCCCAGTCGGGTCATGGTACCTGGGTCACGTGTCAGACAGCCCAACCATCTCAAACCGTTACCTTTTGAGTTCTGATCTCTCTTGCCCTGCGACTGTTGATTCTTGAATCCCATCCCCGCTTGTCCTGTACAGGCTGCCCACCATGCAGGACACAGATGCCGAGAGGCCTTGCACCCAGATTGACCTTTCTGCTGCAACAGTCAATCTGCCCACTGCTCGGAACAAGCGGGCCAAATATACAAACAAAGCCTGGTGTGTTCAAACCTCTACCTGACTCAAGGCTTTTTCGTCGTGTGCGCCATTCCAATGTTGAATCTCCATGCCAGTCGATACTGCCATCGTCGGAAGATCAAAGTAGGTGCCTCTAGGAGTTGACATACTCCTACTTAGAGCTGGGACTCATTGTGCTATTCCTCCCAGTGTAACGGACAGTTCCCGTGTGGGGCATGCCTGTCTAGAGACCTCGAATGCGTGATGGACTACGTGCCCATTCAGCGCACCTCGCTGCGGAAAAAGCGAAAACATGCGCAGCAGGCGCACCCATCGAACACAGAAGATGAAAGTGAAAAAACCAGGTTATCCATTCTCTTTCCAGTCTTACTCTTCCGTCCTGCTACTGACGTTCCCGGCCCCAAGAACCACCGAGGAAACAATGACTATGCTCGCCAAAAGGGTGTGCGCGATTGAGAAACAGTTAAGCCGGCTTTCTTCCGCCCTCGAGCGTTACCCTAGCTTATCTATTGGCGCCGAGGACGCGGAGCAATTGCGAAGCACCGAGCAACCAGCCGACAGCGACGATACGACAGATCCCCTTTCTTCTGACGGGGGAGGGGCTCATCCTGGCCCTGGGCCCACGGAAGAACTCAGCTACATGGGCGAGACATCAATCAGGCGCACCTTACAAGAAGTTGAAGACAGCTTGCACGAGCTAGGGCTGCCGGTAAAAGATGCCGACGCACCCACAGTGGTAAGTCCTGACTCTGCACTAACAAGCGAGACATCGGCCACTAGCTCGCGCTCATTGCGTACCTGGGTTCTCAAAATCCTCGCGAAATACCAACTGTGCCCGCGCAAGGCCGATTGGGTCGTTCTCTTGGACTTGTACTGCGACTACGTCCACCCGCTGTACCCCTTTCTCCATATCCCTTCACTACGGAGGTCGTACGCCCAGCTCGTAGGCGAGACCGACGTAGTTACCGCAGGGAAAGAGTCTTTTGCACAGGTCCTACTCTGCCTGGCGCTTGGCCGCTGCACAACCTCAGTGCGCGCTGAAACAAACGACGGGATGCAGTCCTCGGGATGGGCCTTTCACGCGGCTGCGCTGGAGTGTGTCAAGGATGTCGTTGATCCCTTGGGAGATACCCCGGCCAGCCTGTCGAGGCTGCATGTCCTGACCCTCATGGTATGCTAGCATATTTAACTGGCGCTGCTAGGCTGAAGAACAGCACTAATCAACGACAAAGGTGGTGTATCTGTTCCGGATTGACGCGAGCGAGCGGGCGCACAAGGTTTTATCCCTTACCATTATCCAGGCACAGCACCTTGGGTTACATAGGGAAGCGGTGCTCGAAACGGCAACGACATTTGTCGCCGAGTCCTCGCGGCGTCTGTGGTGGTGCTTGTACATCCTAGACCGCCGGCTTTCCTTGACCATCGGGCAGCCCTTTGTGATCCAGGACACAAACATGGATACCAAGCTCCCGCTGCTCCTCTCGGAGACGGCGATGGATGCTCTGTTTCACTGTCCAGCGACGTCGGGCCCAGAGGACGACAGCGGGTGTGATGACGCTCAATCCCCGATCCCGAATCTCATCGCAATGGTGGGCTACTCGAAGATCGCAGGCAAAGCGTGGAACAATCTCTACCAAGCCCAGTCCATGGACCGCGCGTCCGAGCCTACTCTTATTGCTTCATTTGAAGACCTTTTGTCGATGTGGAAGCATGGTCTCCCGCCGAGCTTAAACTGCGATGAGATGCGTCCTTGCCAGGACCACATTCCCGGGCCACCCGCTCGCGGATGGCAGCCGAAGAACCGGTTCCTGATTGTCATTGTGTGTCTCTCCCTCTTCCTCAAAGCCATTTCCCAAGATCACTAATCCTCTTTCTTCTTCGCCAACCCACAGCGAACCCTCTGGCTCCGCATCCTCATCCGAAAACCCATGTGCAGCCGCTCCTCGCCAAACCCCTGGATGACGACGTTCGACAACGACGCCGCTTGCGTCTCCCTCGCCGACCGGATCATAGCCTTCTACTCTCGCATCGTCGACCCCTACGGAATTTACACCTTCCCGTTCATAGAATACCTGCTCGGCGCCGCTTCCACGGCCCTCGGCCTAATCGTAAAGGTCCCAGTCTTTCGACTCCGCCACACGCACTCCGTCATGCAGGCCACGCACATGCTGAACACCTTCTGTACGAAAACGTGGGTCTCTGGGAAGACTCTGCGCTCCGTAAAGCGTTTCACTGACATGATGACCGATGTGATAAACCAATGCAACAACCCGCGCAGTCTCCAGCCTCGGAACGCCCGGAGTCGCGATAGCAATCCTCCCGGTACAAATGGTGCCTCGAATGCCACCTCAAGGAAATATTCTCTGGAAGGAAGTAGTCAGAACGCGACCCGGTTAGAATTCACGGCCGCCCCGACTGGTACTCTCCACGGCCACTCTGCCGTTATTGGTGAGCAGACTCGGGCTGTCAATGCAGATGGCAACGCGCATGGGCTTGAGGGCGGCACATCGTCGTATCACTACCCCATCATGTCTTCTCCACACGAAATGGTCGACTTGCCCAGTTTCGGGCCCGGGCCGGACTTCGTGGGATCTTTTGCGCCAGGCCTGGAGAGCCTGGTAATCACGGATTATGCTTTCGAAAGGTCGGTCGCGGACCAGAATATAATGCAGGGGTCTGGATACATCCCGTACGAAGACATTGCTGCCGGCATGCTGCAGTAGGTTATTTGTTGGACATTGTAACCTGTGGTAGATCAAGATTAGCCCAGGTTCTTCCACACTAGATACAAAAAAGAGACCAACCCCAGTAGTCATCGCACTGCTGCCGTCACGTCCATGGACAATAAGCCAGTGGATCTTTCGCTCCATATACCATCTGCATTTAATTAGTCTCTAGATTGGCATTGATCATCATTCCTGCCCCACGGTGCCAGCGAATTCGGCCCACTTCGTCTCGAGTCCATCCAGCAGCAAGCCGACGGCAAGGACGGAACTCTCTTTTGTTGCCGTCGTTCCACAGCGGCGGCATCTCAGTGTTCCGCTTAGTCCCTCCGTGCATGCTATATAATCCGGCCTGTTTTCCCATGTCTCAAGGACGTAACACCTCGAGATCAGACCCACCATAGTCGTCGACCTTGCCTTGATCAAAATGAGTGCTCCCACGTTTGGCAAGACCGCTCTCGTTACCGGTGCCAATGGCATCACCGGCTACGCGATCGCCGAGCACCTCGTGCGCCTGCCCAAGAATGAGTGGTACAGTCACCAGGTATTACACAGTCACTAGCACTGGTCCTGACATGCCTCGCAGGAGCAAGATCATTATCACCTCTCGGCGGCCTATCAAGACCGTCTTCCTCGACCCGCGCGTTCAGTTCGTCGCTCTGGACTTCCTCGCCCCCGTCGAGGAGATTGTTGCCAAAATGCAGCCTTTCTGCAGTGATGTCACGCATGCCTTCTTTGCGTCGTATGTCCACAGTGACGACTTCACAGTGCTCCGGGACAAGAACGTTCCCCTGTTTAATAATTTCCTTGATGCGGTGGACACAGCATGCCCGAAGCTGGAGCGTGTCTGCCTGCAGACAGGCGGCAAGGTAAGCCATACGCTAACAGCCTTTGCCATTCCATCATATGCTGCCGCTGACATTCAGCCCTTCAGTACTACGGCGTGCACCTTGGGCCCGTCAAGGTGCCATTGGAGGAGTCGTTTCCGCGGTACGACGACGCCGGCCTCAACTTCTATTACCCCCAGGAGGACCGCCTGAAGGAACTCCAGGCTCGCCGAAGGACATGGTCGTACAATGTCATTCGCCCGAACGCCATTGTCGGCTACTCACCCCAGCGTACGTGCTTATCCTGTCTGCCGTTATCCATCCCCCTTCATCACAACGCCTGCCGAACTGAACTAACCGGCGCACTATGCAGCAAATGGGATGTCGGAGGTGGCAACTGTCGCCATCTACATGCTCATCTGCCGCGAGCTGAACCAAGCCCCGGTGTTCCCTGGAAACGAGTACTTCTGGAATTCCGTCGACGACAATTCGTATGCGCCTAGTCTCGCAGATCTCACGGTCTACGCTGTCACCCAGGACCACTGCAAAAACGAGGCCTTCAACCATGCCAACGGCGACGTCTTCGTCTGGAAGCATATCTGGACGGACTTTGCCGCCTTCCTGGGTCTGGAGGTACTTCGCTTCTTCACCTTGTTTCTTCCAGTATACTTTGACAGCGAACGCTAACAACCCGTTCTCGTTACTAGGCACCAGAACCCGAGTTCGAAAAGGCCCGCGGCCAAGCCTCCTCGCTAGCCAACGAAGTGGACCTGTCCGAATGGGCGAAAGACAAGCGCGAGGTGTGGGCGCAGGTTGTTCAGAAATACGGCGGCAATGCTGAGGCGTTCGACTATGCGACCTGGGGTTTCTTCAGTTGGGCGACGGGCAAATCGTGGCTGACCATTTCGTCTGTCAATAAGGCGAGGAAGTTCGGATGGACGAGATTTGACAGCACAATGGAGACTTGGTTTGAGACGTACCAGGCTTTTGAGAACGCAGGGCTACTCCCTCCGCGTGCGGGGCTGCTTTCTTCTTAGCTATGGGTGTTATTTTGCCTTGCTGCCCATCTCGGGGGTTGAATGCGGTGTTTATCCCGGACAATCTAATCTCAACAATCTAATCTCAGTCACACCTCAGATGTTTTCTCAAGCAATGCTGGTAGAGGTAGAGACGATAGAATAGTTGAAAGGTAAGGGGTAGAAAGCCAGTGTTCATGTATAATGTTAAGCGAAGCAATGCCGGGACGCAAATGGCAGGAGCAAGGTACGTCTAAGATTTAGATTTAGTGCAATTATGACAGGAAACAATCTTGAGAAAAGTTATATACAACGGAAAACATCGCTCATCCGTCCCAACGCCAGGACACAGCATCAACTGCATGATGTACCAAGTCATGCCGCGTGGGAAGCATCCTAAGCCGGCAGCACCGCAGCAACAACCGCCGCCAGCAACGCAACACCAAGCCCAGGCTTCAGCATGCCCGCCGCATCGTCATCGTCATCATTCACAATATCATTCCAGGTGTCCTCGATATCATCCCCAAGATCATCGATTCCGTCTCCAATGCGATCAAAGATATTCCGGTCGTCGTCGTCGTCATCGTCATCATCATCCCACCGACAGTCCTCGCCTTCAGGACAGCATCCCCACACCCCGTCGACCCTGAGACATTCCTTATCACTGGGGCAGCCGCCGCTCACATTATCGGGACAGCAGGTCCAGTCTTCGTCCACGCAGGCGTTGCCGCATCTTCGCTCGTCGCTATCGCAGTCATTGTCGTCGTTGTTTTGAGGGGATCGGGCGAGAATGTGGACGGGAGATTGGCCTAGTTGGCGGCCGACTAGGGGTTGCATGGGCACGGGGGCGCGCTTGAGGATGGCGTTATTGCTCTCTGCGGCTAGGTTTGGGGATGCGAGCGCTAGAGGAGAGAGGAGGGCGAGGGAGATGGAGATTGAAGTGAGACGCATTTTGGTTGTTGGGCTGGTTTATAACGGAAGGTGGGCAAACAATTCTCGGACAATATCCAAAGTTCCTTTTGAAGGTTGACTGGGGTTGTGTAACAAGGTATAGTTGACTGTTTTGTTCGTTGACTGATGACATTCCAGACGAGGACCGCGAACAAGGCTCTTATATACATAAACCCTCCAGACTTCCAAGCTCACACTGCACGCCCTGCATCCTCATCTGCAGTTCTCTGTATAGAAACAGCCAAACCGAACGCCGCCAAGGCCCAAGGCAGTGCACCGCCGCGCCCAAGCCCTGTGCCAGCGGAGACCGCCAAGCGCGCTGACCCCTCGCCTGTCCAATGAGATATCCACCAGCCTCGTATAGAATCCTTAGACCCTGGCCTAAGCCGAGCTGGAGATGATCAGCTGCCCGCACTAAACCCGAATTAGTGGATTGGAGCGCAGCTGAATTAGGGCTGGGCTGCGTATGACGTGGTGGAGCCTCGTTCTGCTAAACGGTATGCGGATCGGTGTAAGGCTGAGTTGGGCTCAGGCGCTCTAAATCGAGTCAGCTAACTGTTTGTGATATTCACATCGTGCGTCCTGGAATCTCTGACCGGGTTTCGGTGGCTTGTACATGAACGGGTCCCCATGTCGATCCGCTATCAGGATTGTGGGGAGTGCTGCCTAGGCTATACATAACACATCTGCAGGGTCCTGTGATTAGCCTGCTGCGCCATTACCGGTACATCTCTAGTCTGTCGATACGAAAACCGAAAACGAAAAGCATGGACCGCATATGGTCGACGTCTCCAAGAGAAATATGCCGGTGCCTACCCTATACCTACTCCGTTGGTATGGACTTTACGGTGCGCTTGACCAGAAACCTATACTCACGACAAGTGACCTCGACTTCACTGGGCTTTCTGCAAACAGGCTCCCTCTTTGTGGTCTGCCATTCCAGAAATACATCGCTTATTTATCGTTTTCTATGCGGGGAGCTTCTATTCTGTGCTAGGTGTACCGGTGCACAGGCTGGGCTCTATGACCAAGGAAGAGGGAAGAATGTTCGGCTGATTGTCGAGCTAGCTATAGAATAGGCATTCATGAAGGCACTTACAGGTAATGGATCTACTTGGGATGCAATATGCTTCTAGGAGATCTAGTATCCTCACGGGAGGCTCTACGACATGAATCTACAAGGACTACAAGCTACGAGCTACTCTACCCTACGAATGTCTACAGATTACACTACGAAGAAAAAGGAAGAAGAGATGGAAAAAAAACCAAATTAAATTGAATAAATTATAATAAATGGCCAGCTTTAGCTGTAACCATATAAAGATCCCCCCATTCAGGCATAGGAGACAGGGAAACTCCAGGGCAGTTTATGCGCTGGTAAAAACCTGCCCCGGGATCGAAAGAGCAAAGGGTGTGACGACCATTGCAGAATTATGATTTATAAAGATATTAAGAAGATGATAAAGGGAAGGATTTATTTTTTGGTTGCATTTTATGCAACCTTTCTTTTTTTTCTTTTTTTTTTTCTTTCTTATTTTTTTGAGATGCAAAGACACAACCACAGAACCCCAGTCTCAACGACGCGGATGATGGATGAGATGATGAACGATCAATGAGAGAGTTGCCAGCTCAAGCTCACTGCGTTGTTTCGATACGTAGCTCGGCCAACTGCACCGCGGCATTGGATATCCGCGGTGCGACGCCAGCAGCTACGTATCTACTTATCCTATCCTCTCCAGTCCGTCGCTGAGACTACAGAATGGGACGATGTCCGGGGTTAGGATCTGTGGTTAGTGCTTTTTATTTCTTTTTTTTTTTTTTTTTTTTTTTTTTTTTTTTATTTTTATTGTTCGACAGACAAGACAAGACATGTTGGAATATCGTCTATATACAGCGGAGCAAGAGCAATAAGAACATCAGACATAGGCCATAGCGAGATCGAGCTGCACCTTCTGGTTGCGGGCGCCGCGGGGAGACGAACGCCGGTTTTTGTTTTTATTTTTGAATTTGAAGGACGAGCGCAGAGCCGGCTTGGGAGGTGCCAATTCCAAAGCCGGAGCGTCGGTCATGACAGTATCGAGGTCGGTGGGGCCGGTCTGGGATTGGATGTGATGTTGCTGATGCTGGAGCTGTCGGAGACGTTGATATTCGCGGCGATACCGCTCCTTTTGGATACGGCGCCATTGGGCGGCCGTGTAGGGCGACGGCATGCCGGACATGGTGGTGTCGTTGTCGAGGTCGAGGTTTCTGGGGATGTTGACGCGGATGGGGGCGGGTCCGGTCTGGTTTTGATTTTGATTACGGGGGTGAGGATTGTGGTGAGGGCGGGCACCGGAGCGGTTACCCTGACCCTGGTTACGGAGTTGGACGGAACCGTTAGAGGGATGGGAGGGGCGGTGGTTAGGGTTATAGGGACGGGACTGTGACGGGGTACCCTGACCCTGGTGACGGAGTTGAGCGGAACCGTCAGAAGGATAGGAGGAGCGGGAGTTATGATAACGGAGTTGGGAGGAACCGTTGGAGGGATAGGAGGGGCGGTGGTTAGGATGGAAGATGACGGGGCGGGAGAAGTTACGGAAGTAAGGCATGGTGGGTGGGCGGATTGGAAGGATTAGGGAGGAGAGAGTGTGTAAGGGCAGGGAAGATCTTCGGTCTAGTAGTCAAACAGTGTCCTGAGGGCACTGAAGACTAGGTCGAGGGAAGATGAGGAAAAAAGAAGACAAGGAGGAGGGGAATCGAGGGGCTTCCTTTTGATCCCTCGGAGGCGAGAGGCATTGGTAATACGCAAGTTGATTCCATTCTTGCAAGCCTATGGCTAGTTTTGTGACTCCTCGAGGTGTATATCGGAATGGGCGATGGAGGGAACATTGCTCCGCTGCCACGGCGAAACCCAAAGCAACGAGTTCTCCCGCGCAAGATGCACGTTGCCCCGGAACATGCGTTCCTTTCCACGGGTACTGATTTGGCTTCTGCAAAGCACCAATTTATTTTCGTCTCACTTCATCCTCACCTGTCGGCCATTCCCGTAGATTTGAACTTCTTCCGAGGTTTTGAGCTGGCTAGCGACGATGTGCTGGCATTGGACGCAAGACTGTCCCGGTCTCGTTTGCGTTTTTCTGGCTTCGCATCGCGCTTCCGCCGTTGCTCTTCCTTGATTTTCAGCCGGCGCTGTACTTCGTCTGAGATGTCTTCTGTCTCTAGAGACACGGGCATCACGTTCCGGACGTCTTCATCAGCACCGGGTATAATCATGTCGACGCGTTTCCGCTTGACCGATTGAACCTCGAGCACTGGCTGCTGCGGCTCATCGACCAGCTCAATCTCGTTTGAGATGCGGTGACGCTTTCTTCTCTTCCGGGCGGCACCATCCTCCGCCCTTGGCGTCGTTGAGTCACTTGAAGCTTTTCTGGAATCTGGGCCGGAACCAGAGCTCCGCATAGCGCCTGTCCAGGAGTTAGACCGAGATACAGTTTACTTTTGCGTAGGCGGTTGAAAAGTAATAGACTCACGTGGTACCTATTCTAGTTAGCTACCGTATACTTCCGAGGTGAATCCAACACCTTCGCCAATAGGAACTTACGATATGTTTCTTGACCCCCTCAAACTGCTTGACCAGCTTCTGCGTGCGCTCAATCATAGAGCTTATAAGTCGCGATGCGTCAGGGTCAGAAGCGACCTGGGTCTTGAGGGCATAGAGCATCTTCAAATGCGACGACAGGACGGAGTCATGTTGTGTGCATATCTGTTTCCCCAGATCAATTAGCTCGCAGACAATTACCTGGCTCCGGAGCAACATGACCATGTAGCACCGCCAGCAGAGAGATAGATTCCAGCTCTCAGCGGCTTCGAGTGCGCTGGGCTAGTCTAGGCAGTCGTGATCCACGCACCTGAGGCCATGAAAGACGCGAGTCGGGGCCGCGAGCGTCATTATTGCTGTCCGTCTCATCAAGCACTTCCTCCACAGTGGGATTCGGCGGCGGTATATCGTAGTTTCGCGGCATCGTGGGTGGTTCTGCAGAGGAGAAATGGATGACGTCGGGTTAGAGTTCTTCTCTGCGATCCCCGCGCCAAGACCCGACTCCAGCCGTTACCACGCCAATCGTGCACGGGCCGGGTCTAGACTGGCGGCGGAATGCGAAGTGTAATATCTGTATATCTGTATGCTAGAGAATATTGAGAGACTCCATGCTACTGGATGTGATACTAAAGGCTACCCCAATGCTGGACAGTAATAGAATAACAGTGTTGATGCGAACTATATTCAATCATACCCATACGTTATATCCCAATGCGCCATATCCAGTACGCCAACCGAGTATTAGTACAGCATCCAAGATCACCATGCACCGGCATCAAAATCAAACCTAGCCAGCTCCCTCTGAGAGTCTTCCACGTCCTTCTTCGCCTTCATACGCATATAGAAGATAGGACAGTCTCGCGACGAGCAAATGACCTCGCAGTGAAGACTCCCTTGGCACCGCTGACACTGCGTCCATAGACGCCCAAACCGGACTTCCAGGTCAGACATCTTGTTTAAACTTTTGGTGTACAGCTCTCCCAGTCGAGGACGACATGATTCACACACTGCCCCTGCCATCACATCCTTCCCTGTCAGTGGCTTTTTGCATCCCAGGCAGGTTTCCGTCTTTTTGGTGAACTTCATAAGTCCTCCCATTGTTGGTGCCGCCATGGCAATGGATCGCGTGTGCTCACCATGGAGCAGTTGGCCAACCTTCTTCTCCCCTAGAATGGGCTCGAAGATACGACCCAGCGGGTTAGCGAGCTGGTTGTCGAGATAGTATCTTGTATCAATAGGGATATTGTTCTCCAGCACATAGATTGGATCTTCCGACTTTTCGTAGTTCTTAGCACCAGTGCCCTTGACAATAACGTATGCAACACGGTCACCAAGGGTAGGAGCAGAACCCGCGTCACGCTTTCGCATACGTTCAGCAAGCTCTACGTGGGCTTGTTTTGCTGTATAGGAGTCCTTGGTCAGAGCTTTCGTGATCACGAGTTTCGACATGTCAACCTTGTTTTGCAGCAAGTCCGATATCGTGTCCTTAACGTAGCTGGAGGAGTCAGCAAAGAATACAGAGATGATTAAGGATGACTTACTCTTGGGCAGCTTCAACGTCACGGTCAATCAGAATCTTGTGCAAAACAGTTTCAATCACGTTTTGAACAAGCAAGCAGTTGTCTCTGCGCACTGTTTCAATACCCTTTGTATCCATCTTGTCATACTTCTTGGGATTGGTCCAGTAGAGACCTGCATATCGCTTCTTGTTGATCAGGAGATACGGGAAGTAGACTTTCTCGAACTCGAGCTTGATAGGCTTGATAAACTTGGACGACACGTATTCGGATGCTTCTTGCCCAAGTTTCATGGCCTCTTCAAGTTCAGTAACGCCAAACTTCACCATGACTGAATCGGTATCACCATAGACAACCTTTGCATCGTGGGAGTAGCCGTTGGCAATGGTGTACCTTGCCTCAACCTCCTGCTTCGTCTTCTCGATCATTTGACGACCATAACTGGTGGTACTACTGGCAATCGGAAGACAGGGCAGTTTCCCTACTGTGGCACCAGTAAGACCGTAAACACTGTTGGCACTGATCTTCAAGGCAAGCTGTCGTCCGTTCAAGACAGCTTTCTTGAAAGGGTCCGTCTCCTGTGCCAGTTCCTTCTTGGCCTTCTTTCGTGCACTCAACAATTCCTCCAGAATTTGTGACAGAAGACCCTTTCGCACTTTAGGGGTACAGAACATATCACCGTTGGGTGTAATAATATAGTCTTCGTCCTTTACCAAGCCAGCGACACTGCTTTTGTTGAGCAAGGTAGTGTAGCACAAGTTGTGGGCTTGGATGATAGAAGGGTACAGAGAAGCAAAATCGAGGGTTGCAATTGGCACGTCGTAGTAATCACGGATGGGTTCAATAACAGTAGCACCCTCATAATCTTGCTCGTCAGTGGACTTCATGTTAGGGATAACAAGCTGTTGTTGCAACGCTTTTCGGTAAAGTTGACTGAGGAACTTGACTTGCTGTCCACGCGATAACAGAAAGTTAAAGGGGACACCTGTGACTCTGGCCATCTCGGTGTAGTTAACAAGACACATCAGTTTGTCCATTAACCGCTGCGGTAGGTATGCATCCTTGAGACAATAAACTGCCAGTCGACGTCTTGAATCAGGCGTGCCGTTGTAGAGTTCAGTGATCATTGTATGGTGGACGTCTTCCTTCTGTTCCCCCAAGAACTCGTACGAGACAGAGTTAAGAGTATAGCTTCGCAGGTTGTGATCTCTCTGAACCAGTTGCAGCAAGTCTAGCTGCAATCGCCCGTTGGTATTCGTTGCCTTTGTGTCTCGGTTGCCCATCTGCTTGCTGGAGAAGTTGGTCTCCTTTGCCTCAGACCTCACGCCGTTCAGTCGAGTCCAGTAAGGAAAGTTTGTGCATTTAAGATGCTTCGCTCGGTCCAAAAGATATGGAAAATCGAAGTTGGCAATATTGTATCCAATAATGACATCAGGATCAACCTTGTGTACAAAATCCCGCCATGCCATAAGCATCTTTTCTTCTTGCTGAAATTCCAAAACTTGAGTATTGACGATCAGGCTGCAGGTATTCATGACAAACACATTGCGGATGAAAGGTTTTGATTCTCCGTACCGAGTGACGACATTGGCGATTTGGATAACCGGGTCATGGTTTGGTTCGGGGAAAATTCCTTTGCGACCTGCGCACTCGATATCGAACGAGAGAATCCGCAATGGGGCCATTTTAGCCCACTCACCAACCGGAGTATGTGAGATGAGGCTGCGGTAATCAATGCGCGCCTCAAGCTGACAGTTTGAGATCTTGTCCTGTGGTGAGATAAGCTCGTACTTCCCGGCCGGTGCCTCAACCCACGACATGCCCTGGATGTCGGTATCAATCATGAACCTAAGCAGGTATTGAATGATATCAAATGTGAGAATTCCACCATCAGGATTGTTCCACAATCCTTTGTAGTTGAGGGTTTGGGCCTTGGTTTCGAGCGCGCTTCGTAGCTTGGGGATATGCCTTGGTTCCGTCACGGTAATCTTCAGATAGTAGCTTTTCTTGTTCCCTTGAAACCCATAGATGTTCTCTCGCATGGTTATTTGGACGGATTGGACAACGGGTGGGAACTGCCCAATCTTGCTCTCCAAGAAGGCTCGGTAAGGGTCGCAGTCTTCTTTCGTGAAACCAACGGGGGCAGCAATATATAGGTAATGCTGGAATCCAGTAACATGGAGGAGTACTGACTGGCCAGCCTGTTTCAAGTCAGCGCCTATTGAGAAAGCAGCGAAGCACGCAAGGTTCGTACCTCGGTCACACCAAAAAGCCTAATGGCCGCTTTCCCCATTGTTGTACCCTCCTCCGCATCGATTTGTTGAAAGCAAATATTCTCCTTCTTGGGATCAAATTCGCCGAGTGGCGGTCGTTCCCATTGCTGGTCCTTCTCTGCGTTGTTCTCCTTCAAGCCGCTGATGTCCTGCGTCAATTTCTCCAGAACCTCCTCCTCGAATTGACTTTTCTGTGGTTGACTCGAGCCGACCTTCCTCTGTCCGTTCTGTGCTCGCGGGCTTGGTTTGACTGGCGCCTCGACCTTGCGCTTCTTCATCGTGCTGGGCGATTGCATGGCGCCGCGGGCATTGTTCGATGCGTCGCCGAGAACCCGCTTCTGGGGCATGGCGATAGCTTCAGGCATGGCGGAAGCTCATAAGCACATGGGCCAATACACGAGATAGTATACAATATCAAAGGTCTGGCGTAGAGGTGATTATATGGATTGAACCTGGCGTGGTCAATCTGGGGGCGGATAATTAATTGAGGCGTGTTTCGGTCGCGCTTGACGTGCGACGTGCGACGTGCGACGCGTTGAGCGGTGGGTACCTACGGCGCGCGATAGGTCCAAGTCCGTCAAAACCCATTTTCCAAAGCTGCTGTGTCACGTGCACCCGGCTACTACATGCCAGTCGCTTCCATCTCATCGGCTGCTATGAATGCCAATCTCATCTGAAATCCTTTTCTCCGTGGATCATCTCTATATAATCTATAGAGGTCAGGCATTTTCGGGAGAGATCAAACTACCCTCATGCCTAAAATGCCCCATTTTTCACTTCCAGCAGCGACATGGCTTGGAGATATCGATTGATTGGAATATGCCCGTTATCGTTCGCTAACTGCTCCTACGACCAGGGACATTATGAGCCTTCATACGTCGAATATATGCTATTGTAACAATGAAGGGACTCCCGTTCCAAGCTCCCAATATCACGCCCCATAAACCGACTCGGGTCGAGCGCCTTCTGCACCGTGGCATCGATTGGTTCGCCTTTGATCATTTGGCTTAAAAACTTCGCTGATCCAGCTGCATGCGTGACCCAAACTGCTGCTGCGATGTAAAGACCTTCCGTCCCTGGGATCTCTCCGACCAAAGGCATGTTGTCAGGCGTCATGGAAAAAATGCCGTTGAACTTCTCCTTAGGAACCAGGTTGGTCTTCCCCGGAATGAGCTTCAAAGCCCGATCAAGTGTCTTATCGAAATCCTTGACCCAGCTACCATGGGCGGACGTCTTCGGTGTCTCGGGCAGTGGTCTATGGTCGTAAGAGCCCAGGCCGAAGAATGACCCGTGGTCTCGAGCATAAACATGGTGCTCCGGGTATCTGACGAATGGTGACTTGTACGGCTTGGTTTCGTGGCGCTCTCCATACATATACGGATGTGCGACAGGGATAATCGGGAAAGGTATATCGAAGTTGCAAAGATTCCTGGCCCAGATGCCAGTAGCAAGGATAACTGTCTGGGCGTTGATGAATCCAGAGGAGGTCATCGCTCCATTGACGCGACCATCGCTTCTGGAGATCTCGGTGACCTCGGCCTGTATGATCTCTGCCCCTCTGGCGCGAGCTTCTGAACGAAAGAAGCTTGCGATTGTAGGGGGGTTTGCCGTTCCATCCGAAGGGAAATACAGCGCCGACACATTATCGTCCTTCACCAAGTCAGGCGCCATATCTGCGGCCTTCTCAGCTGAAATCAGCTCTGCTTCGAGGCCTCTGTCCTTCGCTGTCTCAAGCCTCCACTTCAAATTCTCGAGTCCAGCAGCACTCGTAGCGACCTCCAACCCTCCAACATGATCGAAACCTCCAGGCACCTTTAAGTACTCTCCCACGCTGTCAATGGCAAGGCGAGTGAGCACCTCGGACTCGTTGAATTGGCCGACAAACCCAGGAGGCGCGTAACCGGTGGAACCTTCGAAACCAGAAAGGTTACGTTCGACCACAGTCACTTTCTTTCTGTCATCAAAAGACAACAAGAAGTAGGCCAGGGCAGAGCCTACTATGCCACCACCAACGATGACAATATCAGATGACTGTTGCGCTGCCATATTTCTACGCTTGAACCCGAGATTGTGTGGGAATGCTTCCTGTCTTCAGCATTGTTGAGGGCAAAGCTCGCTCTTAAGCTGGTGCCAAGCTCCATCCACGTTGGCCAGAACCTGTATAGCACACGGTTATTCGCGGACACTCCGGCTGAATACGAGCGCGCCCTTCGTCTGACATCGCCAGCCACCTCGTCATCAGTCATTTAAATAATTTAGAAGGCCGTATTCTGAGGCAGTCTACGAAGATCCGCAAGGTTGAAAGTATGGATCAATTACCCACACCGTGTATAATTCATCGGTTTTGCGACTTTGCCGCGCCCAATTCTTGTCTGCGAACACCATCAGAAGCCGCTCGTCGCAGGCGTAATGCCCACTTGGCCTTCGCTTGGTAATCCTCGTTGTGAGTCCTGGCCGGTTGATAGGCCGCATGCTCATGGTATAGTGCGCGTTGATCAGAGACTTGGTGCATTAATAAATCTAGATACCGAAGGTTACAGACAAAGAAGAGTAAGCTTGCTTAAGTCTCAACACATATATCAAATCACATCAACTCAACAAGTTGTCTTTTCTAGTCGGAATTGCAGGTTCAGCTTCCAACAGAACAGTGGCTAAACCATCAGAGCAGCCACGAAAGATCCAACGAGCCCGCCCATGAACAACCCAGCCGGAGCGTTGGAGCTAGCGCCACCAGTGAACTCGGGGTTTGATGGGGTCGGTGTGCCTGAGGCCTGAGCAGAAGGCGATTAGCATGTTTTTTTCTTGAGGGAGACGAGTGAAGCTTACCGCGCCCTCCGAGGACGTAGGGGTCGTAGTGGTTGTCACCGTCGGTATAACAGGAGTGGAGCTCACAGTTGTCGAGTCGGTCGATGTCTCGGTCGATGAGATAGTCTCCGTCTCAGTGTCGGATTCCGTGACAGTACTGGTTGACTCGGCCTCGGTCTCGGTCTCCGTGGCAGTGGAAGTGCTCGTGGCGGTAGACGCGCTCGACGAGGATGGCTGTACTGGGGTCGCGTCAAGCCCGCAGTTCTCAGCCGCCGACGAGACTGAGTTGCCGTAGTACTTCCAGATGTCGTACTCGAGAGCGCAGTTCATACAGTCATTGAACATACTCTTAAAGTCGCTGGAGTCGCAGTAGCCGTCCGAGCGTGATGCGGTGATTATGCCGCCTATTCGAGAGTTCATCTGTCAGTACTCCGTCAATCACCAAGAGCCTTTGAGTACGGGTACTTACCGCAGTTCGCATGGCACTCATACTGAGGGGTGCCAGGTTCCTGACGCTTGTTCAGGGGGACAAAGTCAGGGTACTCGAATGCGGCAGCAGAAGCCACAAGGCAAGCAACGGAAGTGACAGTAATAAACCTCATTTCATCGAAAATGTCAGAGTTAGGAAGAACGGTGATTGCAGAGGAATGAGATGGTATGATAAACGGTGAGAGTGTACCCGGGCCATGGTGGCCTTTATACACGTCCGACCAGCAAAAGGAATGTTGGCATCACCCACTTCAGACCGAGCTTCCGAAGCTAATTGACATGCTAGACCAGGTTCAATGACTGCCAATATCGACTGTCTCACTTGAGCCCGGTTCTGGTACAACACCTCGTGGAAATTGGAGCCGACAAAAGAGCGGGCCAATGGCTCCCCGGGCTGCGATTGGCTGGACCTGCCAGGGTGTGATCCACACATCATCTTATCTGATTGATAACCGAACACCGGCCCTCCGCCTGGGCCCTGTGGTCCACTGGTTCTTGCTGTGGGATTCATCTATCCTTCTTGGCACAGCTCTAGCATCCATCCTCGCTTGCGTTCTCGCTCTGCAATTGGGCCGTATCCTCTGAATTCACGGTGGCATGAGCATGTTGCACCCTCGAGCCGAGAAAACTCTGCCTTGTCACACCTCTCATGACTCGTTCCGGTCGGTCCTTTTGCCGGTGGAAGGGTCAAGGTGTCTCCGTATCATGCGAACAATCTAACCGAGATGTTACACTGCGATGGTGTTTATCGGGGGTTCTATAGCGTTATAAAACCCGGCACCCGCCGGATGCCTGCCGCCGTATCACCATCCCTTTCAGTCTCAGCTCTCCCTCCCTTCAGACGGCCGAGATTATCGATTCACCAAAATGAAGGCTTATCTTACGTTGCTTCTTTCTCTATCTGGGGCTGCTATGGCGCAGACTCATGGCGAAGATGCCGCCAGAGAAATGGGCCCTGCGGCGTTCCTCTGGCCGCCAGACCGTACGTGGGGTGCTGCATATGATAACAACGCCCCATGTGGCTCAGTCTCCGGCGTCTCTAACAGAACACAATTCCCTCTTGGTTAGTCCAAAGGCCTTCCATGCGTTATACGTTTTTAACCCAGATTCCAGTGAACGGCCAACTTGCGCTTGTCGTCCAAGACGAGTCGTGGAACGTCCAGATCGCCATCTCTGACAAGAACAGTACGTCTCTTCCACTTCTACTCATAACCCTATGGTAACTGACCTTGAACAACTCTTCAGACCCAACGAGCAACGATGACTTCGAGACCATCGTGTCGTCAGCCCGTATCAGCGACATAGACCCGGGACACATGTGCTATCCCGTCCCCAACCCCGGCATCGACACAGAAGAGGGAATGAACGCTACATTCCAAATCAAATACACCTCTGACTTCGACACTGACAAGAATGAAACATACTACGCCTGCGCAGATGTTACGTACGTCCCTGCGAGCAAATTCACCTACCAGGTCCCCTGCTTCAATGTCACAATCGATGAGTTTACCCCGACAAATGGCACCGAGTCCAATTCTACATCGTCGGACAACGACACGAACAATTCCAGTGCTTCCTCAGACTCGAGCACTGAAGGGAACAGTAGCAGCAGCTCCTCTGGCGGTTCCTCCGGTTTGTCTGGAGGCGCTATTGCGGGTATTGTTGTTGGCTGCGTCGCTGCCGCTGTGATTGCCGCCGTTCTCCTGTTTGGATACAGGAGGTTGCTCCAGAAATATCGTGAGCTCCGTCAGAAGACATCTCCCAGGAATGTTCAGTGGGAAGGCGCGGAGGCTGGGAAACCTGTCGCCGATAACTCGTCGGGCTCTTCGTATGGTTTGAGAAAACTTAAGTGATGTCTTGTCGCTGTTCGTGGGGTTTCTTTCGTGCGATGCAGGGTGGATGGTGCCGATGAAGCTTGGTGGGGACGATTGACGACTAAGACATGTCTTGATGAATTTCTCTTCAGCTTGAGTGTATGAGATGGTAAATGAGTATCTAGAAGCATTTAAAATTTGCATACGGCTGGATCCTGTTAGCATATCCGCTAGATCATAAAGACCAACTGACTATAAAGCTTGTCCTTATAGGCACACCAACAGACTTTTCCGATCAGGATTTTTTGGAATACTGACCGTGGTCGACGATTATATATTTCGTAAACCATGTTGTACGCACGTGAGTTGGGGCGGGCGACAAAAGCGCCATAGCAAGTCTAATCTTACCTCGTGAGGACGCTGCCTGAGTAAGTAATGGCCTGATCAGATAATGAAGCATCTCTTTTGTTTCTTTGGATAACTGCTCCAGAGTGTGACGGCTGTTGGTGCCTGACATCTGAGGCGACAACGCTGCAGAAACTGAGTCACGGAAGCAGGACGTGGTCGGAAATGCAGGACGTGGCAAACCACCTCGTCTTCCCCAACCTTCACCCAGCCACGAGCCACGGACCACGGTCGATATTTGTAATTTGCACCAAATTAAGTCAATAGCGATTGTCTTCTATTTTTCTTTGTCTCTCTTGTTTCCATGGGAAATCGACACATTGTGCTCGTATTCGCTGCCTAGGTAGTGGACGCCCTGTGATCAGCAACACATAGAATCCGATCGAAAGGGCGGTAGTCACATTGTTGATTTTGAGAAGCATCGTGGCCTTTTCAGCATCCGCGTTTCCTACTATAAAGCTCACTTGTCGCTGCATTGTCAGAAGTCCCTTCCAGTTTGACCCTGGTCGGTTCTTGCGGCTCTTTGTGTTTGCACTAAACAACTACCTACCGGTACCTATTACCTAGATGGCTGGCCCGTTTCCGCGTTCAAGGGCATGATTTGGCCCCATTTGACTTGATTTCGTCTATTACCTTCATTATCGAACATGTCCATGTTTAGACCAGCCGCGGATATATCTTCCGACTCCGCATCAAGCTCTGATGAGAGCGATCATGAAGTGGCCACGGCCACAACTGGACCACGCCCGGACGAACCGTCAGAAGATACAATTGAGGGCAGTGACATGAAAGACCTGCTTGACGCAGATACTGAGAGTCACTCCAACCTTATGACTTCCGCCTTACTTGAATTCTACTGCTTTACTAAAGCCGCCGATCTCTTGAACCGACAGCATGGATCGCGCAACAGGTACACTCGGGAATCGCCCGAGGCGCAATACCTTGGAAAGAAGATGTTTCTTTACAAGTCTAAATTCCTTTCGAGCCACGGAGTTCTAGCCGAGGGAGTTGACACAGACCAGTTCGGGCCAACGCGGCAATACTATCGTGACAACCTTGACGCCCTAGCTCTATCTGCATTGGAAGGACTTGATTTACAGGAGAAAAAACAGGCCATAGTTGAAGGAGGTGGTGACCTCGTGCTAGCCTCGAAGACCAGAGGTGCGCATGTGCACGCGGCGGCCACCCTACGACTGGAGGGACCAATTAGCCCGTTGGATCTTCGACCACGGCCTGGAGCGGACAATATATCCCCGTTGGAGGAATTCCGACTTGACCTGCGACGAATACCGCGCCCTTTGCCACTTCTGGGAAGTTCTCCCACCAGCTTTCCGCTATTTGACCTCAACACCAGATATTCTCACAGTGCAAACTCTCGATACGAGGTAGAGTTCTCTGAAGTTCGTGTCGTTGGACGAGGATCATTCGGAGAGGTATATCATGTCCGGAATCACATTGACGGACAAGACTATGCAGTTAAGAAGATTCCTCTTAGCCAGAAGCGGCTCCAGCAGCTACAGTGTGGAAACGAGAATCAGCTCGAAAATATCATGAAGGAAATTCGCACGCTTGCTCGGTTGGAACACGCGAATGTCGTACGGTACTATTCAGCTTGGATTGAGCAAGCTCACCACCCTCACACTCAGATTCCCCCCAAGAACCCAGAAAAGCTGGCATATGAGGAGGAAACTCAGAATAGCGAATCCTACCAACCTTCGAGTGATGGAAGTTTCGGAATTGTTTTTGAAGACTCACGTGACGGACAGCAACCATCTACCGAGCAGGAGTCAGTTGATTCTCGCGCCAGCACCACTGCATCTCATACATCTCAAAAGCCGCTGTCATGCAGTCTGGAAGACGACGTTGAATCGATCCCCCGTAAATTCAGCGAGCCTACATATAGCCAACTATCGACATTTGGCGCGTCGGACGGAGATATTTTCACTGATGGCTTCAGCCATGACCAATACAAATTACAAATCCAGCGAAGAAATCAAACCAGAGACGCACTTCCTGCTGTCGTTCTACATATCCAAATGTCACTCCATCCAATCCCGCTCAGTTCGTATCTGAGCCAACGCCATGTCGACGACTCCAACACACCACTGCGCATACACTGTTACCACCTGGTCCCGTCACTAAATCTATTTCTTCGAATAATCGCCGGAGTTGAATACCTTCATTCTAAAGGAATCATACACCGTGATCTCAAACCGGCCAACATATTCCTCTCATGCGCCGAAGAAAGAGACTTCAAGGGTTGCTTACCTTGTATATCGAAAATGGGCGTTTGCTCAAGCTTCTCTCACCCGCGCATCGGCGATTTTGGACTCGTTGCTGACATATCCCATTTGAATGACCGCTCGCCGGAAACTGAAGGTCCTGGGAATAGCAATCCGAAACTTAACCGTGTCGTCGGAACGGAATTCTACTGCCCGCCTTTCTTCCAACCCGGTTCTACCCTGCTAAACGAGGATTATTTTGACTATGTTGTTGATGAATCACTTGATGTATACGCCCTCGGCGTTATCCTATTCGAACTTGTGTACGGCATTACCACTAAGATGGAGCGACAAATGGTTCTAACGGGATTGACGAAGGGGGTACAAAGGCCGACGCCTAGCGGAACAATTCGCGAACGGCCAGTTTTCCCTTCGGACTTCGATAAGAAGGTTGACCAGGGCGAGATGGTTCTACTAAACAGGGACGGGGAGACTGTTGCGGGATCACTCAGGATGTGTATCACGGGGATGTTGGAGCTGCAGCCTACGAGGCGATGGAGGCTCTCGGACGTACATCGACACGTGCATGAGCTGCTGACTGCGCTCACAGCTACTGCCATTGCCTGAGTCTTTCGTGCAGAGCAGTCGATTCAGACATGTATTCTTCCCGACTATTATTTCTTTTTGCATGCAGTGCTTATGAAGCATTGCTTATGAATCATTTTTGTTACTAAGGGCCGAGTAGGTTGGCTCAAGCGGATGGCTTGTCCGGTATATAGACAGCATAAGCTAAACAAACTTATAAATCATATGCACTCCGGAAATTCGTGGCAAACTGACCAGTCCAAGATCTTGAAGTAGCCGTGACGGCCCTACAGAAGGAACGAGCCGCAGAGTGCCTGCACTCCACGGTTAGTACTCAGGATTCATCTTCTGCTGTGAGCTCGAATCGTTTGCCAATCCCCAGATGCCTCATTATGACATATTGTGGGCTTTCATGGCCGCGTACAGTGAAAAGGTAATGTTCCAGCCCCCATACGGAGTATACCACTCACGAATGCTGATCGCCAGCCATTTGGCCTTCTGCTATCGAATGATGACGTACTTAGGAATAGTCAAACCCATATCCCGATGCTACTCCAGAATGGATCTGCCGCTAGGATTGAATTTGGGAGCTTGAACCTGCGATCGATTTCCTTCGCGCCCTTCAGTTGCTCCACTGTGGATTCTCGAGGCATCGTTACCTTCATCGGATCTGCGAACATGACAATGCCATACATCATGATTTACAAAGGGATTTAATGGGCAGTTGGTGGCCCTGTCGCGTGATGACCTACCGGTACACCCGCCTCTCATAAATGCTCGGTCACGCAAGCCTTCTCCCACCCGATTACCACCACAGGCACCCTGATTCCCATCCTTCTTTTGAACAGGTGATATACAGAACTAGCTCACCAGCAGCGTTGCAAAAATGACAGAGACTGCGACTAGAAACCACTCCGTCCTCCACTCTACCCGAAACACTCCATTCCCTTGTTCATCTGTCAACGAAGTGAGCGGAGGTATCGCGAACGCAACATTCCGTGGGAAACTTGACTGCGCCCTTGAAGACGGAACCGATAGTGTCATAATCAAGCATGCCGAAAAGGCGCTTGACAAGATGCCTGATCGAACGATGTCCACTGCGCGGTGTGTATGTCAAGCTGCTTGACCCCTTAGTAGCCGAGGCGCGCGTCAACTAACAAATGAGCGTGAAGAATACAGAACAATCCCTTCTGAGAGCCCTCCCTACCACACCAGTCCGCCTGATCCAACACGGGCCGGTCACGATCCAGAGTCCGGAGGTCTACCACCATCTCTCTCAGGAAAACACGCAGATCATCCAGGACTTTCCCCACGACTGTACGCTACACGCTTGGCTGGCGGACTCAACGATATCCCACAATGAGGAGACAATTGCAGCGCTAGGAGAAGCATTAGGGATCTGGCTTGCTCGGTTTCACGCGCTCTCAGAGGGCGGGATTGAAGCGGGCCTAGCGGATGTGGTGAAGATGAACAGCGACTCATCTAACCGTGATATTGCCTCCGTGAAGCTGCAGTCGATTGAGCGACAATGTGACGACGAAAAAGTACGGCGATACGTCCAGGACATCTTGTTCCGGAGACCGCAAAACAGCAATACGATAGTTCATGGGGACTTTTCCACAAGAAAGTATGCCTAGCCTTCTATAACTGCTTACTGTGTTTCCGCTTGTTCACTGGATACTGACCGAGCTGTAGTATGTTATTCCAAGGTCCATCGTCCAAGTCCACGTCAACCACCGAGCAAGCTGGCTCCTGCTCGTTAGCAATAATTGACTGGGAGCTGTGCTGCTACGACGACTTTGCGCGCGATGTGGGAAACATAATTGCCGACTTGTACATGCAGCACCGCTTCACCGGCCGAGATGCGCCTCTTACGCTCCTCAAAGCCTTTGTTGCCCGCTACCCATCGTTGAGCGAAGATGAGGTCTATCGAACCGTGGTCCATGTCGGCGAGAACTTCTTCCACTGGATTGCTTATGCCCCGAAAGATCCTCCCAAGGAGCAGACCGATGAGATAGTGCAGTTTGGGAAGGAGCTGATTATCATGGGTACTGAAAGGGATCGCAAACGGATTGAGGGGACCTTTTTTGGGCGCCTATTTCAATAGGATTTTGACGAAGCCCTTTTGACAGGCTTCACTTCATGTTATTGGACTATACAGCGAGTGTATAGCGGTATTCCAATGAACCATTCTCCCAAGTTACGACTCTGTTGTGCAGCACTGACTTGTATTGTGGTTTGATTGGAGACGGTGATAATGTAGCCACGTCGGGTGACAAGCGAGAACAGGAAAGTCCATAAAGTAGGTGACAAACATGCTAAGTGTTGTTCTTCTCCAGCTGGGCTAGCATTCGATCGTTCAGAGCCTGTAGCCCTGGTAAAGGCTGGTATAGATCGCATGCGGGCTAAGAAACCGCGGGCCTCGGCTCGTTCCCCGCATGATCGACACTGCACCCCTAGGTACGGTGGGTAAAACAATCTCAACTTCAACTCTTCAACCACACAGTTCTCGCGAAACCCAACATCCACACTCAAACCTCACACGAAACCATGGGAGACAAAAAGATATCACCGCTAACCCACTTCCCAACAACCCCCTACTCCGAGCCCCTCCTGCCCCAACTCGCCATCTCCAACCCCTACTACACCGAAACACACTACGCCCTCCGCGCCTGGGTCCGAGATTACATAGACACGCACATCGCACCATATGCGCAGGAATGGGAAGAAGCGGGCGAGGTTCCGGCAGAAGTATACAGGACTCATGCGCGCCATGGCTTCGCAATCGTGCATCCCCTGACGACGCCTGAAGATGCGGCGAACCTATCATTACCCGGGAATGTCCCACGGGACAAATGGGATACGTGGTGCGGGCTTATTGTCGCGGATGAGTTGAACCGCGTTGGCTTTGTAGGTGTGGTTTGGGGTCTTGGGGGTGGGAATGCGATTGGGTGTCCGCCTATTGCGCGGTTTGGGACGCCTGGGCAGAGGCGGCGGTGGTTGCCGGGTGTTGCGAGGGGGGAGGTCAGGTTTTGTCTGGGGATTACGGAGCCGGATGGTGTGAACCCCATCTTTTCAAATTATTCATTTTCTGGTGGTGTTGCAGGGACGAGATACTGACGAAGGCCAGCCGGTTCCGACGTTGCGAATGTTCGTACGACAGCAGTACGCCAAGGTGACCACTACATCGTAAACGGGTCGAAAAAGTGGATTACGAATGGGATTTGGGCGGACTATTGTAGTGCGGCTGTGAGGACTGGTGGCGCTGGGAGAGGTGGGATTAGTTTGCTGGTGATTCCGCTGAAAGCGAAGGGTGTGACTAGGAGGAGAATGCATAACTCGGGAGTCAATGCGAGCGGTATGTCAGAAGAAGTTGTCAACCTAAGCTTCGGAGTGGGAGAGATGACTTAACGTGTAACTTGCAGGATCGACATTCATCGAATTCGACGACGTGCGAGTTCCCGTTGACCATTTGATAGGAGCGGAGAACAAGGGATTTCCGCTTATCATGTCTAGTATGCACACTCAGGCCTCATCCCTGAGTAACATAGCGGAGAACTGACACTTCCAGACTTCAACCCCGAGCGACTCTCTCTAGCCTGCGCCTCGCTCCGTCTTGCCCGTGTCTGCGCAGAAGACGCCTTCACTTATGCCAGCCAACGGCAAACGTTCGGAGCGCCCCTGATAAGCCGACAAGCAATCCAAGCCAAGATCTTCAAATTCGGGCTGATGATCGAACCTGCCTATTCATTCATGGAACAGCTGGTGAACATCCTTGAAAAGACGAAGAACGAGAAGGTGGATGACGTGCGGATCGGTGGGATGACTGCGCTCCTGAAGGTCATGTCGACGAGGGCCCTGGAGAAAAGTGTCCGGGAAGCGCAGCAGATTCTCGGTGGCGCTGGGTATAATCGTGCTGGGAAGGGGGCGCGTATCGAGCAGATTAGTCGTGATGCAAGGGTTCATGTTGTTGGTGGTGGGAGTGAGGAGATCATGATGGGGTTGGCGTTGCAGGAGGAGATGAAGGCTCTGGGGACGAGGAAAGCTGCCCTTGAGAGGAAGGAGACGGAAAAAGCGAATCTGTAATGCCATAGCGCAGTGGAGTAGTGCCATTGGCTTGACGGTCTTTCTTGCTGAGATCAAAATCTGACGTTTGTGAGATGGTAGTGCCAGTCACTCTACCTAGGTAGGCTGAAAGATGGGAAAGAGCCAGCACAAGAGGCCACGTTCGTACTGCTCTTGTCCTCTCCCTTCAAAGGCTTTCGGCCTTCTCCCCTAGACATAGGAGGCTTTGTAGTCCGGTCTTTGAGACCATGACTTCCCTTTCCAGCTCGTTTTCCTTTCAGATCATGGGCTCATCTGACCGTATATCTATCGTCATCTGCCAATTTCTCTCCTTCTCCTTGCTACACATCTCTTGCCACTCGTCAACGAAGAATTCAAATCGCCGCCGCACTACTCTTACTGTCCGCAGAGAGCCCACCGACAGCCGTTCCTCCGAAAGTTACGAGACCGGACGTGAAGCCAGAGAACGAAGCGATCCCTTCCCTTCAGCTCATACACAGCCATTTTGTATCAACTCGCGCCAAGAACGAAGGTCGAATCCAACGGAATAATGTCCTCCAACTCAAGTTCGAGCTCTTCCAGCCGTTCCGATCCTGATCAGAATCGCTGGTTCTACACTGAGGGTAAGCTGAACCAACGTATTCACTCATTCGGACAGTGTGCTAATACGATCATTCGCAGACCTAGAAAACCTCACCCATGGTGATCTGCCACTGGCATCTGGCGATACGGAAGACCCGGTCGTCAACCACTACAGATCTTTAAAGATCCGCAGAAATCTCGACTGGCGGAACGAGAAGCGGCAAGCGCTTCCCGACGGTTGCAAGCTTCAAGCTGCCTTTGCACACACACGCGGAGATGAGGCCCCGGCCCCTTGCCTTCCATGCAAGGATGGCAAGGGGCCTTGGAACACCTGCATAGCGAGAGAGCATTTGGGCTTTGCAAAATGGGTGCCCACGGATGAGGCTTGTGCAAATTGCTTTTTCGATGAGAGGGAGACGGAATGTAGTCATGCTTGTGGTAAGTGTACATCCCGCGTTGTGCTTACACCATTTCGCTGGGTTGACCATGTCCATTAGCCCCAGGGCCGGCTAGAGATTCAAGTACACCTTCCAAACGCCGCACGCGCAGTGGCGCCAATCCCGAAAGGCAGCCCCGTCCTCCTCGTCGAACCAGGAAGCCCCAGAAGACTCAAACGGCGACTGGAGTGGATGGAGATGCTGAAAACAAAGGCGACGGCGAACGACATACACCCACAGCAGGTACCTCGCGGCCAACTGCCATTCGCGACGAGGAGATCAGTGATTTGGAGTCTCTTCTTCCAGCGAGTGCGTACGATGACCTTCCTCGCTTGAAACGCAAAAGGTCCGACTTGATGAAAATGACCTTCGCAGTCCACGGGCGGATCACGGAGCTCGAGATTGAGAGAGGGAAGAAAGTCGGGCGGAGGAATGGAGAGGGCCCGTGGAAACGATGGTTAGAGTGAACGAAGTATGAGGAAAGGGACTGATTTTTGTTGAATTGATTGGGGAAATTCCTGTGGAGGTGGAGGGCAGTTTTGATTACGATCTCTGTTGTATGTATCGATGATGTGCTGAAATGTGAGAACAGTCAGAGCCCCCTTTTGGGTAACATCAATGGATGGAGTAAATTGATAATGCGTCTCCTTACCTGGTAATTTGTAGGAGCAGTTGAGAGAACTTAGGGAGGTGCGTGATTCTCCAGGGTGAGGCAGCTCGCGTCTTCAAAATTTGAACATGTCCATTACCTAGGAGAATCTAGGATTCGCAGTTTCCTAGCCAGAAATAGGGGGCACGCCTCAGAAACGATAAGCTGTCATTGCGGAGAAGTACACCCAAGAGCTGCTTTGCAAGATCATCTCAATATTTCCTCAATGAAAATGTGATTCCAGTCGGGCAAAGTGAAAAGTAAATCCCTGCCACATTTTCCAATCAATCCAGCAGTGGCCAAGCGCTATAAGGGACGAATTAGGTTCTGGGAAAGAGATAATGAAGACATGAAGCACGACGTGCGGCCTATAGGAGATCCCAAGGGTTTACTATGTCTTTCTTCTTCAGCTCCTCCTCTTCAAGCTGGTTGACCCTTCTCTCCACCAACGAAAAATGTGCCGCCAAGTCCGCCGAGGCGACTTTCAACAGAGATAGGTCGTTGAACATAGAAGGATCAAGCGGGAATGGAATGAGTTTGCCGTCATGACGGGAGGGAACCCTGCGCGGAGCAACTGGGGGGTTCTCAGCCTCGATTTTGATAACGGTAGAGTCGGTGTTGTCAGTGGAACTTCCACTTTCTATCTCTGAGGCCCGGGGGAACAGCAGTGGCGACGCGGAAGTATCCAGTCGGATACTTGCCGCCTGGGGAGTAAGGGAGGGTGACTGGGGCTCGTAGCCCTGGGTATCGCGGGGAGGAGTGCTTGGAAGCTCCGAAACTTCAACTGAAGCATTGTCCTCGCTTTCTTCTGGTTTCTGTCAGACCGCGGCACCGACGGGGCCACATGTGCTAGGTATACCTACTTAGAGTGCAACCAGGGCGCCCACTGAACCGGCAGTTTGCGCAGGTCTTGATAAGATCCCCATCACGCATATCCGATCCGGCAACGCACGTTTTCCAGGGACCTTTTCCTTCCTCGCAAGCAGTGCAGGGAACCTTCGCTAAATCCCCACGGGTCTGCGCAAAAGCTGCAACCAGCGACTTGATGCAAAAAAGGTCTCTGCGCTTCGGCTTGCCGTAGTCGTCGAGACGCCACTCCAGTTTTCTGTGGACAGGGAGCTCCACGTAGTGGAGCAAAGCAGAGTTCGTGGTCTCATCAGGGGCGTAAGGAAGATCGTCGGAGCCAATACCGGCAACTGTTCGATATCGGGATTGTCAGCGCTGGGAAGCTCTGAGAAAAACGCCACTCACATTGAGCTACTGGACTGGACAACCACTCCTTTGGCTCTGTGTTTGCCCGTTTGCGAGAGGCCGAGTAGATTGGCTGTAGGACGAAGTCATCATCTAGAGGACGCTTTGAGTTCTTCGAGTTGTTCGGGAGGATTGACCGATAGACAAAGAAGCCGGGTGCATTCTCGCCCCTACGTGGTGCGTAAGCCATCGTGGGTAGTGGTCGAGATTTTGAGGATAGGGAGGGTAGGATGGTTTCGGAAGAATGAAGGATGAGAGCGAACGATCGCTGTATTATAGATTGGTAGAGTGTTCATCTTGAGTGTTGAGAGGAGGAAACAATATCGCCATTCCACTTCGTGTGTTAGCAGATGCGGTAGGTAACACTTCCCATTGACCGAGATAGCCATCACATCCACATGCCCCTAACTGTCTGATTGCAACAGCAATAGATACGTTCTAGGTGGAGTGGCGATTCCAATACCTGAGAATCCTTCTCACCTTAGGAGCACTCCAAGTTCTTTTGTTCAAAAATTATGCTGTGTTGTCCTGCAGCATAGCACCCTTCCCCACACACTCTCGCATGGACCGTCCATCGCAGCAGGCACGGAGACAGAAGAACCCTTTGCTGCTCTCGCCGTTCCTCAATACCCGCGTGCTTTATATCTTTTTGTTGCCGCCGCTTTCGGAATACTTGGTTACATCGATACCTCGATTGTTGCGTGCTATGTGTTCAGTGAGCTCAGTCCACCACCATCAATCTTCTACAGCTGGCTTTTGATCCATGTTAGTTGGCTTGTCCCTGGAGCCTGCTGCATTTGCTGAATATTCATAGCACCACGTACGGTATCATGTCGGTCTCTCTATCTCCTGATCACCTGGAGCGTTCAGAACATACCGTCATGGACGGCGAAGTTCCACAGGAAATCAACCACCCTAACATCAGCTCCGCGCTCGCATCCAGTACTTCGCCGATCAACAACCCGGGTGCCGAATTCGAGACCGAAAGACCTGGACGCGGTGACCGACCCACCACCTCGAGTGCCTCAGCTTCTAGCACCAGTTCCAAAGCTGGGGTCGACTTGATTACCACGAGGAAGAAACGCCGTAATAATCATGACCACTACTATTCCGATGATGAGCTGCCTGCCGTGAGTCGACTTCATAATTCCGAGCCTAGAGTTCAGGTCCTCGTTGCCGAGCCGAGAGGTGATCATAAAAAGAAGGATAGTGATGGCCAGAAACGATCTGATAGAAATGGCCGCAAAAGAAGGCACAGAGGGGGCCGAAGCCGCAGAAATCGGAAGAGATCTCCCCCGGTCGACCGATATAATAGACCCATTGACCGATATACGCCGGGCGATAGGGACACGGAAGAATGCAGCAATGGAGTCAGCTTATCAGTCCACCGTAAGCGTTAACCTTTCCACATCACCTTCTGAACTTGACTAAAGTGCCATGCTATTGATCTTAGAGCAAGAACCAGGCCGGGAGCCAGGAGTCACAGCAGATAACCTTCCCATTCAGCCCCTGCGATACCAGACCAGGGTAATTGGGTACTACTCAAGGCGTCCAGTACTTCGAAAACTGGACTGGCGGAATGCAATGATTACAAATTCTATGCCTAACGGCAAGGTGGGCGTCGACCACAATTGCAGCACCGTTAACGAGCACAAAGACTGGCGCCCCCGGCCCTGGCTCGGAACGGTCCTGGACATCGAGGCCGCCTTTATTCAGACAAGAGGGATGATAGCTAAGAAGGCATGCGTACCATGTTCACTGGGACGGGGCCTTTGGCAGTCATGCGTTGAGGAAGTCGAACTGGACCATAGGGGAGTTTGCGCTAATTGCCAACAATCTGGTGAGCTCTGTACGAACTGTAAGTCATCCTCGTTTCCCATTTCCCCGAGCTTTTGGTTGAGTTGAAATTGGACATATTTGGTTGATTACATTCAACTAGCGATTTTATACCAAAGGACCGGGGCGCAGGTCAGTCCCAAGCCTAGCCTAAGCAACGAGCCCGCTACTACTATAAGAGAGGTAATTGGAGCGAACATGACCCCAATCACGACTCTGAGCGCCATAACAACAACTCCGCAACCGTTCTCCGAAGCCAGCAGTCATGGTCGTCACAAAGTCCTTCCGTTCCCCTTGGGTCGAGAGGCCATCCACAACCTTCCATTACTAAGGGACGTCGCCGATGACTTGAGAGGTCATTTGGCGACAATAATGAAGCAGATAAGGAAGCTCGAGGAAGTGGAGCAAGAAGAGGACCCCTGGAATAACGTTTAATCTGGCGTTAGTTGCAAATGCGGACTGGTCCTCTATCGCATTTCTTGTGGTGGCGCCTCCTCTATCATATCTTAACCCGCGAGAAGGGCATTTCGGATTGCTCAACGGATGAAAGTCGCATACCACTAGGCAGAGAAAAAGAGGTGCCAGGATTACCCGTTCTTATTGTGCTATGGCTACGTGCCCGGAGTTCAGGTAGTTGTAATAGGGACATTATCATTTGGACAAGATGCGAGAGAGCTTGACTGAGAGAACTACCATGCTGGAAGTATTACAGTGGCCCAGGCTACCAAAGAGTTTGTTTCTCATCAGCGTCTCTTTGAGAAGAGAAGGTGGAAAGGGGCCATGCCCTGATGGGTTTCATCTTGTTGCTAAGCTCTTATTCTTTTGTTTTCCATTTACATTCTCTTGATCAGAGGATGCCTGTATTTACTTCAAAATTTCCATCCTTGCTTCTATATGCAATCAATGTAAGATCAAACACTGCGAAGGTCTACGCATTCGTGAATAGTAACCAAGGGGACGAAACTAAATTAATAGACTGCGAATAGGATCCATGACTTATGGTAGTGTCGGTAGTGTAGGTAGGGTACTAGCCCCGGGGATACCTTTGTAGACCGGAGAAGGTTGCCAAATAGCTGCTTGTATCGTCATATGCTGCTTCAAAGCCTGCCCCCGGTTCCTAAAGCACAAGAGACCTTCCCTCCACTCTCAACCAGCGTGCACCTCATCTCTCTGCTCCCATCTCCTAGTAGATCCAGTGGCCCAGCCTATACATTCCCCCATGGGTCATCTTCCTGCCCTTGCAACCGACGAATCTGGCGCCCTATCACCTCCAAATGTGCTCTGAGGTCGTCGGCTGCGTCCTGGAGGAGAACAACGTCGTTGATGGACTCAGCCGTCAATGGGAACGGGATGGCTTCCGCGCCTTGATTGGGTGATTGGTCGGCGGGTGGTTGTCGAGGTGAGATGTCGGGGCTTCCAGGTACCGCCGATGCTCTGCAGCTTGTATCTGCCCTAAACTCAAGGCCCTGCCTAGGTCTGGGCGAGTTGCCGTACTTCGGCTTTACCCACTTAACTAGCTGGCTGTGAGCCAAGGTTATATCTATTGAAAGGGGATAGAGTCTTACAGTTCGTGCATAACTTACCCGCCTGATAGCAGTTCTGGCACGTCCCGTTACTCGTCCAATGGTTCCCTCCTACCCGCTCGATGCACTCTTTCCAGAGGCCGCGCCCTTGCGAACACCTCTTGCACGGATTCCTGGCGATAACGCCTCTAGTTTGAACGAAGGCGGCTTCCATCTCTGGTGTCTCCTCGCCAGCCGTGGTTGCTGCCACGCCAATTAAGGCTTCGTTGAACTTGGCGCTTTGAGTAGAATGCTATCGTCTTGGTTTGCCTCCCTGGGGGCGGGATGGGTAAGTTATCGGCTGTGAGACCACGAAGGCTGACACTGCATGTCTCTATTACTGGACGGCTAGATGGTAACGGATCTTGGATTGTCAGGTTCCAGTTCGACTGAGTTGATTCTGCATTTGTAGAGGTTGGCTCTGCGCGTGAAGCTTACCGTGAACTCCTCTCGCATCAGCTCCTTTCTCCCATTGGTCTCCCCGGTTATCTTTATTTGCGTCAAGGCTCTCGTCTTCGTGGTGTCTTCCGTGGCGGTAGCGCCCCCTTTCTTGAGGTTCAACTGGCTTGTGAGCTTCCAGCACTCCTCTGGCCATTGTCTCCTCATTTCTATCTCCAGCCCCCGCTGTCAAAGCCGGCATATCCCAGTATAGATCCCCAGATCGGGGTGTCTGTGTGGGTGGATAGGAGCGACTATGACAAGGTATTACAGCCTCCGTGCGTCTAACCGCCTGCATGTCCGTATAGCCCGTGGTATCACGATGATTCTCGGCTCGGACACAGGGACGCTTGCGTTCGTTCTTGTTGATGTCCGTTTTGAAGGCAGGAGCTTGATGGGTACAGTTGGCTCGTTGCATCCTGAGCCTGCCGTGGGTGGGTGGACGTATCAGATGGTATGTTATGTAGTCCAGCAACTTGATGTGTACTGGGGAGGAGAAAAGGAAGAGTAGATATTCGAGATGCGACAGGGAGATGAGGAGACTGCGGTGTTCGAAAAACCAGGATTAGCCATTGACGAAGCACAGTGAACGCTTGGGATGGACTAGGATATTCACCGTCATCTTCACTCTGAATGTTTCAACTTTCGAGGAACGGAAACTGCATCGTCAAGGAGAGTGACTGATGGATTTACTTCACACATCTGGAGTGGATCTGAAAGTAGGAATATTGCAGCAGAACCCCTAAATGAAGAATACAAATGGGGAAGGTATATTGGTTGGCCGGGGACGTGATGCGCCTGTGCGCTGTAGAGTCAGAAGTAGCTTGATGGTGGTTGAGAGTCAGCTTACCCAGATACCTCAAAGCTTTGCGTACGTATGCTGCTACCAAGGAGAGCATGCACACCAAGGCTAACCTCTCGCCACGAGGGAGAATGTGAAGAGAGCCTCCAATTAGACCGAACGCAGGCGTGCCGAGGCCATCTAGCTGCCTCCTGAAACAGGCAGTCACTGTGGTTGTCGGGGTGAATGGCCTAAGCACAGTGCAGCAGTCACCACTACATCGACGCAGAGACGACCTAATCGATATTCCAATCCAAGTATCTTCCCTTCTCTATCCTCTCACGAAGCAGACAGACTCTAACTATGCCTCATCCGTTCTACTACCGATCATCATATATCTCGTCAAAGATGCCATACGCTTACAAGGAGCTGAAACGAAAGCGCACCCTTGCGAGAAAGCAAATCATCAACGCCACTACCAACCTGCTTCACGGAGACCCCTTGAGTCCAAGCCGCAATGGCCAAATTTACAGCCCGGACGACCACGGAGAGAACTGGGAGACCGCGTCGGAAGAGTCAGAAGAACCTCAAGGTCAAGAGGATACAGGAGACACGAAAACCCCGACAGAATGTAAGTACCTTTGCAGTTAATGACCGCGTCAGCATACCTAGAGTCCGTGCTAACGACTCCCCTTCTCTCTTACAGTCAAAGGCCTCAACCCCAACGACCTCGATCTCCCCACCGCAACCGCCGAAGCCGCCAGCGCTACTCCAAAACTCAATTACTACATCCTCACCCCTATAGCCCGGAATCTCGAGTGGCGGCTCGATAGCAAAGGCGAGCCAGTGAGGAAGAGCCTCCCAATAAAATCAATGGCCATCATGGGCTTTATGCAGACGCGTGGCCCAGAGCCTACAGAGCCATGTTCTGGGTGCAGGGATGGGAAGGGTCCATGGCGGAGGTGTGTCACTGGCGAGCGGGACAAGTCGATGGGAAGGTGGAAGTGCGCGAATTGTCGCTTCAGTCGGAGGCACTGCGATCTAGGTGAGTATTTGGGTATACCAGCGAGATGGAATGCGGTGCAGCAAGAGAGTGGCTAACCACCCGGTCATCCATCCAGGCCCTAATACCGGGGACAAGCAAAGCGGCAATTCTGGCAGCAAACCCTACAAGCGTCCGCGCCTGAGCTGCGAACAACCAGAAATACCGGCACGGAAGTTGACCATCACCACACTGAGATATCGGCCAGGCCAATCTGAGGATTCTGCTCGGCTCCCTCTCTTTCAGCAGCCTGCTCGGCTCCCCCATTCGCCAGCGTCCCGAGAAAGATCCAAAAGCCTGGAAACTATTGGCAAGGACGCAGCCGGCAAGCTCAATATCCGCCTTCAACCTGCGAAGCCGGATCGTCACCGAATTGGGACCAACAACGCGAACGTGGGCCGCAATCTAACGTCTCGCCATGATGGGAAAGTGCTCAAGTTTCCCATGGGAAAGGACGCTCTTTTTAATCTTCCGATACTGCTGCAGGCAGAACGAGATTTGAAGGCACATGTTGAGAGGGTGGAGAGAAGGATCACTCAGCTGAAGGAGAATGAGAAGGCAAGCTGGGATCGGCTGCAGGTGTGCTAGGGCCTTCGTTTCAGACGAGGGCAGGAACTCGGGTTGGGACGAACCGCTTGTTTTAATTAGCACCTACTACTTTCACGATAGACCTTAGTCTTCAAAAATTGAACCATACCCGACTTGGCTTCTTGTTAGCCGTCCCGTGGCAAGGAGAAGTGTGTATGGAGTGTCGATAGTCGCAAGGCCTTTGGAGGTGCAACGTGCCTCCGTTTGACGACCTCGCCATCGGCCAGAACCAACATGACTAGTAGATTCCATGGCCGTTTGACAGCCTGGTATTAGTAGTCAATCTCTGACAGCCCTCATCCTGGTTATTCAATCAATCCATCGTTCCATCGAACTCTCATCATCTTTTTCTCCAACCAGTTCGATATGGCGCATAGAAAGACATACTCTCACAAGCTTGTCTTTGCTTTGGAGATATCCCATTTATCCACTCATGCTCTGTCATGCTCCCGATGCCCAGTGCCCCTGGCTGTTCAGCTATGCAGTGAATGGATCCCAATAGAAGTCTGGGAGTAGACTGGGAGTAGGCACTCCCAAACTTCATCCATCTCCCCTTCACCGGACGAAGATGTCCATACTCCAGATCTTCAGCGAAGATGGTATATATACCACCCATCCCCACCATCCCTCTTGACCTCTCCATCTTTCCCCCAATCGACCCTCATCTTCCCTCCAATCGACTCTCATCTTCCCTCCAATCGACTCTCATCTTCCAACCTGCTACTGAACCGCATACCCATCATCATTATCAAGCACAGTTGTCAAACATATTTGTTCCATTTTCCAAAGTTCTCATCATGGACAAGACATCTGCAGACAAAGACACTTCCAAGGGGAACTCTGACCGCGGAACCCCTAGTACGACAGTCCCAGCTTCGACTTTTGCTTTTGCGCCGGGAGGAAGTCCCTTCGTCCAGCGGGACAATCGCGGGAATATGATCATGAATACCCGTCAAAACGCTAGACGAGTACATGGGACACGGCCCCGAATGCGACCAGCAGGAACATCGCCAGGACCGGCCTCTGTACGGGCGCTAGAGCCAAAGGTCTCCGACATGCGTCGCGGAGAAACTAGGCTTCGGGATGAGCCTCAGCGCGATGGCCAATCTGGACGAAAGGATGCGAAGAGCAACGATGAGAACGTGAACAAGGATGAGCATGCGAATGGAAGTGCAGCATCAGCAAGCATTTCCCGCGTTTCGCTGCCAAAATCAAAGCGTACGTACCTTGAGCCCTATTTTCCCACCCCATCCTCTTGCATGTAAGTGCCTCAGTATAGGGTCAGGCTAACATGTACTTATGCAGTACCCCCGACTCGAGCACAATCTGAGAAGCCAAACAGCACACTAACCAGCAGCATCCGTTCCAGTCCCGGTTTCCAAGGGATAGATGCGTCCGAGAACGCCCCAATCTACGACCCGGGCATGAATGACCGCACAATCGACATTCATGCAACCCATCCGGTTCGCCGGCCCCTGGACTGGCTCGTGACAAAGCGCCCCGCTGCACTTATCCCACGCTGGCAGGGGGATAGGCGGGATCTCAAAGCCGCATTTATCCAGACGCGAGGGCCCATTGCTATGACCGCTTGCACGAATTGTCAAGAGGGAAAGGGTATGTGGAAGAAGTGTGTGGAGCGGATTCAGCTGGAGTGGAGGAAGAGTGCTTGTGCCAATTGCGTCCAGTCAGGGCAGCGTTGCTCAAATGGTATGTTTTCCTCTTTTGCTGCTTTTTGAGTCGGCGCGGAGATAATGTTGCTGACCATGGTTGCTAATCTGTTCTCTATAGACGTGGAATCTGCTCCTTTGACCGCTGACTCCGACAACGCGCCAGCCTCACAGCTGCCGATGCAGGAGACACCCTCACAGACGGCGTCAACGCAGACGGCACCGATGCAGGAGATATCCTCACTGAAGACATCTTCACAGGAGACGGCCTCGCTGAAGACATCCTCTCTAAAGACATCCTCGCCGAAGAAATTGTCGCAGAAGATAGCATCGCAGGAGACGGCCTCACAAAAGACAGCCTCAGAGAAGACAGCTTCAACGAAGACATCCTTGCAGGAGCCAGCCTCGCAGAAGACCTCCTCACACAAGACATCCTCGCAGGAGCCAGCCTCGCAGAAGACATCCTCACACAAGACATTCTCACACAAAACATCCTCACACGAAACATCCTCGCAGGAGCCAGCNGACATCCTCACACAAGACATTCTCACACAAAACATCCTCACACGAAACATCCTCGCAGGAGCCAGCCTCGCAGAAGACATCCTCACACAAGACATCCTCACACAAGACATCCTCACACAAGACATCCTCACACAAGACATCCTCACACAAGACATCCTCACACAAAACATCCTCGCAGGAGCCAGCCTCGCAAAAGACATACTACTTGCCAAAGACAATCTTACACAGGACATTCTCGCAGGAGCCAGCCTTGCAGAAGACTTCCTTGCCAAAGACACCCTCAGAGAAAGTATCCTCGCAGGAGACAGCCTCGCAGAAGGCACCGTCCAAGGACACTCTGAGCCAAGCCAGCCGCGCGGAAAGCGCACCCCGGCAAGCGAAAATCCAAGCAGCCAAGAAAGTCAACCAGGTCCAACAAAAACCGAGCAAAAGCCGCAAACCTGCAATTGACACCGCTGCCGTTATACCGAGTTTCCCAGCACCGTCAGTCCTAGCAGCGATTTCAGCTGCAAGGCCACGAACAGCTAGCACGACCACTGGCGCCAATGCCACACTAGCTTCTGCAACACCAGCTCCTGGGATTGCGAGTGGGACAAGTGCAGGGCGCCCTTTCTTTGACTTGGGTAAAAGCTTGTCAAAGCGCAAGAACCACATTCGACGCGTCACCATTGACAAAGCTACCGGTAACCCGTTGCCTTTGAAGGAAGGGGATGCAAAAGAGCCTCCCCGCCTTAAGCGGCCGGCAACGGAAATGGATGAGTCTTCTGAGAGGACCAAAAAACAAAAGACCAAGTCGGGATAGCAGGCTAAGGGCCAAGGAGCTTGAGAGATTGAGTGTGAAAGTCCTCTTTGTGTGTAGAAAAATCGGCGCAAGCGAGCTGTGGCCAAAAACCTTAGAAGTGTCGCGGGTCCTTGTAAAGACTTCTTGGATAGTTGCTGAGATCTGGATACGATCTGTGGGTATTTCAAGTGGCATGTAATGTTCTGTCTCATATGCAGCGCGTCGATTTCGTTTTTCTCTTAGTTCAGTCATGTACAATGTTATCTTAGTCTATGTAGGTTGGATAGATCCAACAGATCAAGAACTTTTAGCATTTAATCAATGTTTCGCACATCAAGTATTCCAGGTTCTTATTCCAACCCCTTGTGGTCCTAGCAGCCTAATCGGGTAACACCCCACTCACCCTCCAGCTCCAGCTCCATCTCTATCTCCCTCCTAATTTCATTCCTCACTCTTGCTAATCGAAACCCTTCCCGTCTGTCCTGAACTAAAACCTACCATCAAACTAAGCTACTAAGCAGAGCCTTATACAAGGCCATCGATCCGCCCATCTCGTCGTCCCAGCCAAAGGCTTAACCGCAAACCAAGGTGCTGCGTGCAGCCGCCGTCTCATCAAGGGATTCCCCTCGCGGTAAGAGCGACTTCTGGCAGAGGCCGATAGTTCCAGCGATGAGGAAGACTCAACGCGTTTTCGTCAGGAGTCTCGAAGCACAATGCCAGTACTTTGAAGAGAGGAACACGAAGAACAAGCAGGGAACATTATCCCCTCGGCGAATATGCAGTATTTTCGGTAATGAGCCAACAAATACGACCCAGCCTCAGCCCCGAACATCGCACCCGCGGATGCCAAAGAAGCAAATCCCAATCTCGCCGGTCTCACGATGCTTCCACTGGCGCGTATACTCGAACGGCTGCTGATGGCTCTGGACACCTTGTGCGGCAATGTTTGAAAAGTCCCAGACGGACAGAGATGGTCAACAGAAGTCACTTGGACCCAGTTTCCATGCCTCGCTTGCACTCCGGGAAACGAGCCGTGGTGCATTTGTCTAGCTTTTCAACAGCATGATAGTACCAGCAACAGGAAACACTCCCGTTTGGGTCCACCGCGACTAGAGCACGACTCTCAGCAACGGCAGCGGCAACAGCTTGATTCTGGATGAGCAGCGCAGAGGTGCACCTGCATGCCTGCTCATACTCTCGCTGCTACTACATCACCGACCCTCATAGCTCCCCGCAAATGTAAATCCCAAAACAACATTTCAACCGCTCATAATGGGCCATATCAGCAGACTCGCTTTTGCGAGGGACACTCCATCGCATGCTATGGGACATCAATTTCGATTCCAAACCCTCGAGCCCGGACGCTGGTAACTGCGAATCTCGGTGCCTACCAACTACCTGCAGCGCACCCGCTCCTGGACTCCTGGGTCGGGCATTCACTGTAGCGTACGATAGCTCCCGATTTCCACCTACCTGGACATAAAAGCACTCATCTTCCGCCCTAACCGCCCACTCATCTCAACCACATTCTACTACTATCTCACATCCATCGGTCCAAACACCCATATCCACAAAGTCCACTGCAATCCGTCTACCAATACAACCGCCTGTACCAGCTCTTCAGAATGGCCTCTCCGGATGACCCCAAACTCGCTCAGGCTACCGGCGAGCGGCTTAACAATGTCATCCGCGGACCCGTTCTCCAAGCATGCACGCTGGCTCTCCACCCGAAACACTCTCATGCGGAAGTCGATAAAGGCAGCGATGAGAAGGGCCCGAAGGGTAGATGCACTCCAAAACCAATGCCAAAGGACATAGCCCTAAATGTGGAACCTGGAAACATCCGCGGACCCGTTCTCAAATCGTGCACCCTGAGTATCCGCCCGAAACGCTCTCATGCGGAAATCGCGACAAGCCGTTGTGAGGAGGGCCCGAAGGATAGATGCATTCCAGCACCAAAGCCAAAGTACATAACCGGAAATGTGGAACGTGGAAACATCCGCGGACCTGTCCTTGAAGCACGCACCCTAAGTCTCCGCCTGAAACGCTCTCATGCTGAAATCGAGATAAGCGGTGATGAGGAGGACCCGAAGCGTAGGTGCACACCGGGAGCAAAGCCAAAGTTCAGAAGAAATGTTGGACCTGGAAAGCGTAAGTCCACTCTCCACTCTTTCAAGCTTAACATAGCAGCTATGTGCCATAGTGGCTAACAAGAGTAACAACTAGCGGCCCTTGGGATCCAGCCCATACCCGAGCGCTCTGTCAGAGCAGCCAAAGATGGGGCAGCGCTCAGGGCTTGGGACGAGTTTTCGACCGACGGTGATGATGTTTGGTTCATCTGAATTTGAAACAGATGTATAACGACCTCGATCGTCTCGAGGCCATGGCCGTCAAACACAAGAATGATCTGGAGTGCATGCTGCAGACAACAAGGGTTATGGAGCGTGAGCTTGCCAACATCCGTCCGTTGGTCTCTCATCCCAAGGCAATTGAACAAGCTGAAACGACAGAGGGAACGGCAGCACCTACCTCTAGCCAAGTTGAGAAAGATGCAGCGCAGTAAGGGCTTGTATCTGCAGTACAAAGAAGTCTTCATGTTCCGCTAAAACTTGTCATGTATTTCTTTACTGTTCATCGGCATTATCTTTTCGTTCCACCAGGGAGAACTATCTTCCAACAATGTATCTTCTGAGAGCTTTTCTGAGATCTTATCTTCAAGGAGTTTACCGTCAATTAAGTATGTTGTTTCTAACTTAAGAATCCTCAAAAGAGCAGATCACGTAGATGCAGGCGGATCTTTACCGTAGCCCTCCGCCCTTCCACGTCCCTCTGCCACCATCTCTGGATGTCTGGCCCAACATCCTCCCATCCATCCTCAAGATCCTGGAATGAATGCCAGATTCCAGCAACATCTAGTTTGTCACAACCTCACCAAAGCAGAGCCTGACCGCAACTCGCGCGCCTCACAGCCGAATGACCGAAATACGCTCGCTGGCAGCGCAAGCACCTCGCCTGCTGGAGCTCAGACGACAAGGCCGCAAACCGCTACAAACCAGGCCCGTCGCTCGAACGTGCTCCCCTCATCCTACGAACGCAGGCCTGGCTCGAATCCGTTCGTCATACGGAAACAGCAGCAGCATCTGGTTCAGGAACGACGGCCTCCACGCACAGGCGTTCAACGGGGCGCTTTTTGGTCTGGACCTCAAGTGAGGCCGCCTAGGGACAGTCATAGCGTTAGAATCACTGGCGGGAGCGCCGGCCGGAGAAGCAGATGGGATGCCGGTCACGAAGAAAGCCCGGGTTACCGACGCAGACGGAGTTGATAGCAGACTTGAGGACGATTAAGAGGGGAAGTGTAAGTGTTGAAACACTTGGTCCATCATTACAGGGAAGGGTTCGCTTTTGTATATTCTCTATCTACGCTGATATGGAGGCCATGCATCCAGTACCCCCGTCAGAGTTCCGGAGCCAGAGTGGGCGTCCATCTGGTAGAGGCAATTACGATCTCCATTATGAAAACCAAATTCAATTACATCAAAGAGGAATTCCGCGTAACGGGGTTGAGCGAGAAGCCATAAATAGCCCACATGGGGAAGATCCTCGGCTGGCTGCGGGGGGAGACATGTCCAGTTGGAATACCAGGTAAGGAGAGGTCCGCGGTGATATTGTACATAGTAATGCGTCAGGAAGTGTTCTTGAGTCCACTGAGACTGAGATGATGAGAGACAATGCACAGGCGAATAATCGACCATCTGTCACCACTGGAAGTCCCCCCACCGTTGGAGCACGTCATCTAAATATTGCCCCCAAGTCGGCCAGCCCTTCATGGAACGCCTGCTGGACACATGTTGAAACTATAGAATCCACTTCGATTTGTCGGCATTCGGGCCCTCATCTGGGGCATAATTTTCTTCATCGGGATACTGAGCGAGACCCCAGTAAATCCACTCATTGTCTTCCCATTTGCCGTCATCTTCGTCGGAGCTCACCGGTTGTGAGTGGTTAAATCCAACAAGATACCTGTCGAACATAAAGTAAGTACCGCTTCAGGTTGTTTCTCACATGCAGGAAAGATCAGTCGATTCTGACTTACACTTTGGAGGACTCGGAATCCCAAAACAGGTGCCAAAGCGCAGCCATGCAGGGTACGACACCAGCGCGTACACATTCCCTATTATAACGCGGCAGTCAATGTCGATATCCTAAAACAATGTTGACGCAAAACGAACTCCCAAGCCACCCTGAAGGCCTCGCGTATCTTGTTACGCTCATCATCGGGATAGTTCCAAAACTTGTCCTCAGTCAACCGATCACCGGGCGCATGCTCCATTAGAATGTAATGAATAAAGCCACCAGGAACCATTTCATTTTGTTCTTGTACCGTTTCCCTGTGTGTCCTAATGTGTGGGGCGGCCTGGCAGTTGTTCTTCGTAAGGATTTCGAGGGGTTCGATCTCCCACTGCGCATAGCGCGGAAGATTTGTATTATCGGCTTGCTTCGCACGCTCGGTACTCGAAACGAACTCGGCCCCTGCCCAAGGAATCCTTGCTCTGTTAGCTTGAGTCGATCGAATAGCTCTCAAAGAAGTCAGGGGGGGGGGGTGTTACTGCATGATGATCTTCATGAAGGCCACGTCGTCGGGATCGCTGGTGTTTTGACAGCGAAAAGCACCATATGCTGCACTGGGCTTTCCATAACTGATGTTGGACTCGCTGGCGACATTGTGCTCTTCTGCCGACAACTGATCGTTCTTGTCGCCCAGTCTTTCTACCAATCGCCATGTGGACGGCTGGTCTGAGTTACCCAGCTCAATGAGCCGGCCAACCCATCCGTCGAAAAAGGGCTTGCTGTGCATGAGAGCTTCGCGGATAGATGACAAGTCGAAGACGTTGGCAGCTTGAGTGAGAATCGGAGGGCGAAGGATGAGAAAGAGGGAGAAGGCGGGGGAGATGACGCAGAAAGTTTCGGGTTCCAATTCAAACGAAGTCATAACATTCCCATCCAATCCATGTTTCTAGAAGGACCTCGCGTGGTGAACTGTACACCTCTGCTCGCAATAGCACGGAAGTAGAAATAGTTACAGGATCATCTTGACACAATCATCAAGCTGATCCGCAAGCTTGAGGAACAATAGCCGCGCTTTCCTTGTCCCGGATTATTCCTTTTTACCTGTCTATCTATGCTCAATAATGTACCAGGCAATGTCTTTGTAATGCCCGGAGATAGCCATCACGTTTCCCATCTTTTCTTTCTTTTCATTTCATCTCGAGACTCTTCAAAGCTAAAGGAAACTGCTAGACATACTGCTTCAATTTCCTCAGCCAGCATCTTATACACATCATCAAGGGACGGTTGAGGAAACCATCTTTGTTTCCATATGTTTCAAACGCCCTTCCCTTTTCAACCATCTCTGAGTGTCGCAAGTTCCTGGATTGACAGCCACATTTCAACGAGATTCACTTTGTCTCCCAACCCTTACCTTCGAGAGAGCTTACTTTACCTCGAAATATTGTTCCCTTCGACAGGCCGAGTTGGTCGTCCCTCACCTAGCCTATTTGAACTTCCGGCTGACAAAAATCTATCCTGACCCCGCCAACCCAGTTATTCACTCCAAGATGAGGGGGAATATTCTGGTACCCTGCTGTGAAGCCGAAGCCTACTACTTACAATGGTGAATACCGAAGTGGGCTTATAAAATGCTACAGCCCTTCGAACCCATTAGCATCCAGAATTCGATATTTCCCCATCAAGTTCAGATTATTCTCGGACACGCTCGGTGATGATGCATCGAACTTCCATCCCCACCGTTGACTCCAATCCCAACCCGTCCGAGTCGCGGCCTAAAATGGCAAATCAGAACACTCTCGAGGCCAGCTATGGGAACGTCAAGGAACTCTACCATTCCAAAATCTTCCCATCTACTTACTCCCGCAAGCCTGGTTCGAATCCGCTCATGGTACCCAAACAGAAGCGGCAGCCTGGCGTTAAGAAACTCATGCGCCACGACGGTTTCTGGTCTACAACTGGACCTAGACTTCAACCTGCAGACGGATGCCGCGATGGATCTGTAGGCAACATAGCGCTGGATATCGCGGAAGATGAACCGGCAGATGCAATTGAATATCAAGCAGGATTATGGGGCAAAGTTCCAGTTGGTAACGGAAGCCAACTTGGAGGCAGCGAAATTCCAGATCTGCAGTGTAAGTCCTTTTCTCTGATGCACAGGTTTATCGCAAGGTGATGCCAGCCTAACGTGGAATCTCTTTATGCAGCGTCCACGACTTCCGTTACAATGCGGGAGTCAGAGACACATCGGGTTTACGCGATTCCAGCGCCACATGAACAACCTCGAGAACAGGAAATCCCCAGGGGTCCCGCCGAACCCACCATCCCCAATGTCTTAGCCTCAAACCTCCCTATCGATCCAGTCATAAACCGGAGCCAGACTATCGCCTACTACCGCAAACTTGCGGTGCTCCGCTATTTAGAGTGGCGAGATCCTGCAAATCTCCGCAATGACGGCGGGTTCGGGCCTCGCGGCACGCAGGGGCCAGACTGGACTGGTTCACTGACGGATTTAGATGCAGCATTTATACAGACGCGAGGAAGAGAAGCAATCAGGCCTTGCGTCGCGTGTGCGGAGGGACGTGGTTTATGGCGCACCTGCGTGGAGAAGCTAGGCGAGAAGAATAACGGGGTCTGTGCAAACTGTCGCCAGCACAAGGGGTATTGCAGTAATTGTAAGTCCACTTGTGTTTCCTTTTTTAAGGCGTTTTTGTTCTTAAAGTGCTTACAAGCTGCGCATCAGATATCGACGGCTGGACCACCGGAAATAAAACACCCGGGCATCTCAACGACCATGCCAATGAGGCAAAGACACACACTATTCCCGGCACCGGGACTTGCGCAATCCCCAACCAGAACCGGACCTTAACACTGGACGTTCTACTTCCTCCATCCAGGGCTCGCACGGTAACCCCGATGCCAGAACCTAACCGCTTCGACGAAGGTGAATACGGCCAGGTCGTTGCATTCCCTCTTAGCGGAGAGGACATCAGCGACCTCTCGCTGCTGGTGGAAGCGGCTAAGGACGTGCGCAAGCACGTCAAGGTCATTCTAATGCAACGGGAGAAGCTTCTAAAAGAAGCCGCAGAGCGTGCCCGAATGCACCAGCAGGAGCAAGAGCCGGATCTGTGGGGAGAAGTCTGGAATAGCAGGGGGCTACGGTAGTGGATGGGTCTTTCGTTTGCAACAAGCCGGGGGAGAAGCATAACCAGGTACAACACGTTTGGGAGGCTGGAGTCTACTGTATTGGACCTGGGTTTCGTCAAGGTGGTGGGTCACCGCCCAAGGGGCGACGATGATGTACCATGCACCCGCAGTTTTGTATCTTTAGTCATTAGAAATTATATTTCTGTTACTCTTTACACTGATTGAGCTTGGACTTGGGAATGACTCTGACTTCAGAATGTCACTAGCAATGTAGCTTTCTTGCAGTAAGTACAGGTGAAGGTGCGCCTATTATGATACATCCGGTTTAGATGTTTGAGGGTCACGTAGTCACATTTCTCCTATTGAATTGCTTTCTCAATAGGTAGACGAGTAGGTAACCCCAAGTGGACATCTCCGGTCACTGTGCCATGCACTGCCGTGGTGAATAACCCTAACCGAACTTGGCGTGTCACCGTAAAGTTAGCCATGCCCAGGGATAAAAGCAAACCGTTTCCCCCGGCTGACAGCCATCGAAAACACCTCTCTTGTCTTTCCCTACACACACCGTATTGCAGCAAACAGCCATATCTCAAAACGCGTCCATCCACCAAAGATAACCGCTCCAAGATGACGAACACGACCCGACTCCTCCAGCGCGAACGACAACCGTCCCTGGTTCCAGTAGGCGCTGGCCCTCGAGGGCAGAAGCGGCCTCGCGCGGCGGCGGAGATCGGCGAGGAGGATGAGGACCGCGTACAGCGCCCATGCAAGCCAGAGCCAAGTCTAAGCCAGGCGCAACCCTCGAGAAATCAAGGAGCTATGGGGCTACCCCGTGAGCCAAGTAAGTGTACCATGATCTGCTGCCGTTGTCATGGTTTATATTAATGCAAGTATGCAGTTCAGGGCCTCGACCCCCAAGACCACGGCCTTCCCATCGCGACCGGCGAAATGGCGCGAAGGAACCCTGCGCTCGCACGCTTGATGGCAGCGCCCTACCGTCGAAAACTAGACTGGCGGGATGGATTGCTTGGAAATCCTGTGCCCAGGGCTTTGCCGACCACTTCGCATGTATACTCAGCATACATGCAAACTCGCCATCCCGAGGCAACGGCTCCCTGTATCCACTGCGTCTCAGGCAATGGACCGTGGAAGACGTGTGTCGTTGCTGAGCTCGACAGCAAAACGAGCATGTTTCGCTGCGTCAATTGCCGTTATAGTCGGTATGGGGGCTTTTGTGGGCTGAGTGCGTTTAACCAAGTTCCGGATGAAGTAGAGCGTCTTTTATCGATGCGTAACATGGCTAACTCCAAGAATTGGCTTGCAGATAAGAGGGTCACCGACGTGGGACAGCTTCCTAAGACGCCAGGAAGCCCATCGCGGCCAGAGCCAACACCGACACCCTGCGCACCTCCTCCCGAGTGGGTTCCACCTCTTTTCATGTCCCCTGCAAGACATTATGCTCAACGACCCAGTTTGCCCTCGCCATCGCTGCCCTTCCGCGGTGCGCGATGTGCGCAGCCCATCGAAAATGCCGAAAGAAAGCGCATCGGCGCCCCGGGCCTGGCCAATACTGCGACTGCAGCGGCGGCGCAAACTAAACCCACCGAAGCCTGTCGGGCGCCCTCTCTCGCCGACGGAAACGTTCTCCCGTTTCCACTCGGACAGGACGCCATCCGTAATCTTCCCTTGCTGACACGCGCCCAGGCAGACCTGGAAAACCACCTTGCTATCATCGAAGAGCGGATCCGCGATCTTCAAGAGCAAGAGCGCAAGGAGCGGGAGTTGGCGTTAACTTGGGGCCAATCTCGTCATGGTCGGCGTTCGGAATCGCGGCTATAGCGGAGGGCTATGTGTCTAATCGCAAGATTAGCTTAGCGAAAACATCTGCGGACGTGGAGGTATAAAGCAAGCTTGGTTTCGTATAGTTTATCTACAGTTGGGCGCGCTTTGCTCGCGTTAACATTTTCTGGATCTCGGCCATCTTACCTTCGCAATGCACCGCTCTTGCAGGCTTTATTCCGTTTCACCATAGGCCTTCATCGTATCAAAGTGACTGCGTAGATCTATACCGCGAAACCGTTCAAGTCACCTCGTTCAATCTGGATCAAGGTTGTCAACATTCATGGAATTTTTTCACCCGGTTGTTCAGAGCGTGTCTTGCATGATTTCATAGTCCGATGCGCTACGGTAGTGAATAGCCCTAAGTCACAACCATTCAGTCACCAACCACAATTATCCCACCCTGTAACAGAATTTGGCGCAACCAGTCCATTCTCCATTCCGAGTCCGTTTTTTGAACGCTGCCGAATCTTCTCGTAGCCAAGAATCGCCTTTGCAGACAATACGTCAATCGCGTGAGCTCGCATCCTGTATACAAGCAATTAAGCAGCTGTCGAAAGACCGTCGGAACTTCCTGATCTATGAGCAAGCCGCTATAATGTTCACCTGCACAAACGCTCTGCCCACCTGCACCGCTAAGCGTAGGATTTGCGGTATCGGAGCGCACAACGAGGACTGGATCCTTCCGCGGTTCAAACGCCCACGTCTAACCACCGGGACGAGAACCGAGACAAAGGTGGAGCAGGACAAGAAGAGTCCGATCAGGGAGGAAACATGCAACGAAGGGGTCGATGTTTGCGAGAATGCTGCATCTGCATCTGCATCTGAAGTCCAAGTCGATGCCAAGGTCGGAGGGCAACTCGAAGGTAACGATCTTTCCATCCACTGGTAGTCAAGGTTATATGATAGACTAGCAGGGCTGGGCTAACCTTCAGATAATAGATACACTCGTGCCGGGCGTGGCAATCGGCGGCCTCCAGACTCCAGCAGATACCCAGAATATCTTGATTCAAAGATATATGGCGCTGCCCGCCGTGCGGGATTTGGATTGGCGAACCGACCGCAGGAAGCGCCCGGTCCATCGATCCCGGCTTGACGAGTTTACCCTGCTGGCAAGTTATATCCAGACGCGAGGCACAGTCGTGGAGAAAGGAAAAATATGCCTGGGGTGTATGCATCGGCAGGGACCTTGGCAGTCGTGCGTCGTCGGGTCATTGTCTGAAGGGCCAGAGGTCGGACCAGAAGAGGCGGGGAAGAGACGCAGGGCATGTGCGAATTGCTGGACTCAGCCGGGCAGGAGGTGGACGTGCGGGATCAGTAAGTGCAACTGCATCTGCTCATTTTGTGCGATGCACGGTGCCGTGGCTAATTGTTCCTTAGACGTTGATGCTGAAACCGATGCTGCCAATCTGGCCATGGTCAGCGTTGAGATGCCCGAGGATGGATTCTTTGTACTGGAGGTTGGACCGACGCAGCGGGTGTACATATCCGGGGTTGAGACGAGGGTCCACCCGTTGCGACAATTGCGAGAGCTGGAAGAAGAGGGGATGGAGCAGATCGTGGCAATCTGGGCTGCCTTGGGCGAGTTGACTGGTGGCGGGGAGCTTTGCTTAGGCTAGACGGGGTGGGACAAGCCTTGTGGTGTTTGCTTTCTTTCGTTTGTTGGCATTCCTTACACTGCGATGTGCACTCAGACCTTTGATTCATCCCGGCCTAGATACACAATATATCCTTGTTTTGTCTTTCCGCTGAAGCTGTTCTCCTTCCTTTCATGGGCTGCTTCTCAGAGTGCTCTTATCCTTTCTCCTGCGCTGACTTCGTGCCCATGGAGTCCCAAACCGATTCATTGCATTTGGCTACCTCAGTTTTAGCCCGCCGAACTTCCTTCATTAGTGTGAAGTCAAGGCCATGGCCAAAACGTTAACAGGCGCAGGCAAAGTGAAGGCCGGGAGCCTGGAAAGCGTGCGCCTATTGATGGCGGCATGGGTGAATCGTATTGTCCGTTGTCTATTGTCTCCGTCATTGTTGGCAGTGACTGCCATCTCTCACCCTTGCACAGCAGTCACCATCCAACTCTCTCGACCTTGTCACCTCCGCCTGCACACTGTGAATACAGCGTCCATGATGGCCTATATAGCTTTCCTGCTTTTCCGGCCAGTCTGTTCCCATCTCTCTTCTCTCCATATTCCCGGCATCCATCATTCTGGACCATCTACTCTCAACCCACCATCCAAGTCAATCCAATCGTGCCACAACGTACAACCGAACCTCGACCATGGCGAAACCAACCTTCAGCAAGTCCTCCAAGCACATCTCCAAGCGCGCCCCGCAGCCCGCCCAGTCTGCCTCGACTCCTCCCTCCAACAAGACCACTCAATCCGACGCTGAGATGGACATCGCCGACGACCTCGATGGCGTGTGCTTGGACGTCGCCCACAGCACCTCGAACTCCGACTTTGACATCATCGTGGACACACCCGCCACTCTCAAACGCTCCCGCTATGCCTGCGAGATGGAAGATGAGGTTGACTTCGGCGACGATGAGCCCGCAACCATCCGCCGTCGTAGCTCTTCTCCACGGCGCGATAATGTGAATGAGGACGCGGATATTGAGGATGGCGAGATTGAGTTCAAAGGTCAAGGCAGCGCAGCTGACCAACGTAAGTCCCTTGACCCAATCCTTGGCCGCGGCACACATTTGCTAACAACCATGCCACTCTAGACCCTTCCAACGCGAACTTCCCGGGCGTCACTGCCGACAACGTCCCGATCATCCCCAAGGGAACAATCAACAAGACCATCCGCTACTACGCACCCTGCCCCATCGTCCGCTCCCTTGACTGGCGTGAGCCCGATGGACCTAACGTTGGCGAAGGCAAGCCTTGGACCGGAGGAATCGGAGACCTTGAGGCTGCGTTCGTGCAGACGCGTGGCGCCATAGCAAAGTCTCCCTGCGAGTCCTGCAGCGCTGGCAAGGGTCTCTGGAAGTCATGCGTCGAGCGCCTCGGCTCGAAGAATAACGGGATTTGCGCCAACTGCTGGCAGGCTGGTGGGTTCTGTACCAACTGTGAGTTCATCCTTTCTCCTTACCTCTTTGCAGCAAAACGTACTGAGATATTATCTTTCATGTAGTCAACAAGCAGGCCGGTGATGCGTCCGCGCCCCGTGCACATGGTTTTCGTTTCCGATTCAGGAACCCTAGACCCGGACCACTCAACGTCCGAGTTGATTCAACTCGAATGAATGCGGCTAGGGAGAACTATGAGCTTCGCAATGCCCCGGAGGTTATCCCCTTCCCACTCGGTGCGGAAGCAATCAACAACCTGCCTCTCTTGAAACGCGCCCGACAGGACCTCTGCGAGCACATCGCGCGAATCGATGCTCGCATTGACATGCTTGAGATGAAGGAGAAGCTGCAGAAGGAAGCTGGAGGGGAGATCGCTTGGGATGAGATTTGATCTGTTGTCGTCGTGCGGACAGTCGGCCTGGCGCTTTGGGTGCCTAGGTGTATACCTGACTGGACTTCAACCATATACCTAGATCTACCTGCCTAGTAGAGGCTTTTCCTGGTTATCATGCAGACCAAGCCTCCTCATCTGTCATCTAGGCAGCGGCGCGTTTGATTCGCCCGATCTTGCATCGTTTTTCGTGCTTGAGCTGGTCTCAAAGCCATACTTTGCTTTGCTTTTTTTCCGGGTTTCTTGGTTTTTGGTTCACACTGCTGACGCAGACATTATATTTACCTCTATCAAAGTTTCCCTAGGTAATTCTACTAGACACCTAGACGTAAACCTAGTATCGTAATAACGTAACATCTACAGCACTCGCCTCATCGGCGGAGCAAGTAGACCATCGCCATCACTGTCTCAGCGACACGATTTTGAGGTACTAATATCTCTTCCTACCTACCCATCTCAGTACACGGCTTCTCCTCTTACCGTAAAATTGATTTCGCGTAAATATAATATCTGCCTTGTTTATGCAGCAATAGTGAGCCACATGTTAGTAGTTCTATGTCACGCCAAGTACCGTACGGTATGTCCAAAGCCAATAAAGCCAGTAAAGTCCCAGGTAAAGATCTCCAGAAGCCTCGAAGATGCCAGAACGCCGCCTGCTATCCTCATTTCGCCAAGCGCTCATACGTCGCCCCAAACTCCGCATACCACTTCTCCACAATATCCCGACTCATCCCCGGCGCAATCACAGTCTCGCCCTTCTCCAGGCTCCCAGCAACAGACTCCATAAACTCCTCAACGCTCAACGCATTCGGATTCTTGTCCTTCTTATTATCATCCGGGTCCTCGCGGTCCCGATGCAAATCCGTCCCCACAGACGGCGGCGCAATCTCAACAACCCGGATCTTCTCGTACCCCCCGCGGCACAGCTGCGTGCGCAGCGTCATCGACCAGAAATGCAGCCAGGCTTTCGTGCCGTTATACACGGGGTTGATGACGGAGAAGGGCACGAACGCCAGGATCGAGGAGACGTTCATGATGACGGCGCCGTTGGGGAGACGCCTGAAGTGTTCGAGGAGTCCGAGCGTTAGATGCATTGGGCCGCGGACGTTGATGTCGATTTCCTGGTCTGCTTTGGATAGGAAGGTTGCTGGGTCGTCGTTTAGCACGGAGAGGGGGCGCTGCACGCCGGCGTTGTTGATTAGGCAGTCGAGGTCGGGGTACTTTGCTGTGATGGTCTCGATGAACTCGGGGATCTTGGTGGTTACGCCTGTGTCGAGGACGAAGTAGTCTGTTGCGCCGATTTCCGTAGCTGTTGCGCGCAGGGTCTCCTCGGTGCGGCCGGCGATGATAACTTTTTTGCCTTTGGATAGCAGGTATGCGGCCAGGGCTTTGCCGATGCCACCGCCGCCGCCGGTGACGAGGGCGCAGTTCAAGGAGAGGACGTCGGACATGATCTTATGTAAGGTGAGGTACGTTGGTATGGTATGGGGCTGAGAGCTCTGGCTGGGGCACCCGTCTATTTATCTCGGCTTGCCGGGTCAACGGTGGAGCCAAACTGGATCTGCATTTCAAGGACTGTGGATTTCGGCGGGTTCCAGGTTTCGCAGAAGATAGTTTGATTTGTCACCGCGATGAAAGTCTCCGAAGCTTGAGAAGGCGATTTATGCTTAAAAGCCGGGCATACAACCGCAGTCTTGGGCGTGGCGTCATCCCAACGCACCTATCTAACACAACCACCCTGCGGCATCTACCATGTCCACACCCACCACGCAAACCGTCTACCGACTAATCGGAGAACGAACCTCCATCCACAACATCCAGCCCTCCTCCGAGCCAATCCCCACAGCCTCGAAACACGAGCTCCTGATCCGCATCCGCGCCGTCGCCCTCAACTACCGCGACATCGCAATCAGCTCGGGGCTGTACCCCTTCTACATCAAAGACAACGTGATCCCGTGCTCCGATGCCTCCGGCGACGTGGTATCCGTCGGCGAGGGCGCGCGCGGTTTCGAGATCGGCGATAGAGTCGTCATCTCCTTCGACGTCGCGAACCTCTACGGGCCCCAGCGTGACTGGACGACCGGGCATGGAGGCCCCATCGACGGTATGCTGAGGCAGTACATTGCCGTCCCTGCGGCGGCGGTCGTCAAGGTCCCCGGCGGTTCTGAGGCGCCGCAGAGCTACAGTGAGCTGGCGAGTCTGGTTTGCGCGGGGCTCACGGCGTGGAATGGGCTTTTTGGCGTGCAGCCTTTGAAGCCGGGGCAGGTTGCTCTTTTCCAGGGTAGGAAGACTATCTTTTCTCAGCCCTGGTGCATTAGGTGCTAACACGGTACGGGGCAGGAACCGGCGGAGTCTCGATAAACGGCCTCCTCCTCGCCAAAGCGGCCGGCGCGAAAACAATCATCACCTCGTCTAGCGACGAGAAGCTCGCGTACGTTCAAAAGAAATTCGGCGCGGACCATGTGATTAACTACAAGACTACCCCCGACTGGGCTTCCAAGGCCCTTGAGCTTACCAACGGCCGCGGTGTTGACTTTGTCCTTGAGAATGGCGGCGCTGGAACCATTGCCCAGTCCATCAAATCTATTGCATTTGGTGGTGTCGTCTCGGTTATTGGGTTCCTTGCGCAGGCGAAGCAGGAAGAGATGCCTGATGTTGCGGCACTGGCGATCTCCAGGGGGTGTATTGTACGTGGTGTGACGATTGGCCCCGTTCAGATGCTTGAGGATCTTGTTCGATTTGTTGGGAACAAGGGGCTACGACTTCCGGTTGAAAAGGAGTTTGGTTTCAGCCGCGACGATGTTGTGGGTGCTTTTGAGTACCTCAAGTCTGCGCAGCATGTTGGGAAGGTTTGTATCAAGGTCGACTAAACGTTCTCAAGCAAGGCGCCATTTTCAGCAGCACTGTTAAGGTCTCGATGCCGCGCGAATTTGTATGCTCAAATGTATCATATGCAGAGTGGAAGAAATATATGTAATGATTCCCAAAAATGAACAGCCACATTCCGAACCAGAGCACATATGCAATCGACCAACTGCAAAAGCTAACCCAAACCAGTAGTACCCATCGCCACTCAAGTGCAAGTCTCCGTTTCCCACATCCGTGGATTGGGCCACGAATCCTCCTTGCCTGATACTCCTTGTACATTGAGAACATGGGACGATTAATCGACGTCTCACCGGCCCAAAGACTTGCACAGCCCGCCTAGTCTATACACGAAATTAGCACCTTCATTCCACTGCCAAGTAGTCAAGCCAAGAAAGAACTCACACGAGATACTGGCCGTAATCAGATAATACTCGATGCAATGTTGGGTGCAGCCCGAGCAGGCGCCGAAGGAAGCTATATATCCCCTGGTTCTGGAGACTCGGCTGAACAAGGGCTGAAGACTGCAAACTGAGTCGGCCCCAACTTAATGGATCCCTGTCCACATTCAAGCTCAGCTGGCGACAGACTCGGAATGATCAACTGGGCCTGACTCGCTCTGGTCAGAAAGTGGAGTTTCCGTTGGAAATCAAACGGAGTGCAGTCTGAACTCCTCGAGAAAGTTCTAGCCAACGAATTATTATCGCTCAAGAGGGGGTTAAAGCCTACCTGTGTAGAAATATATTTGAGCAGCCCAAAGGCCCCAGGAACCGGGTTGTCGGTACATCAGTAGGCTTGATCCAGGCAGCCTTATGGCTAAGAACCCGCCGAAGAAGTGTATGCACACTTGGGTCAAAGCCAGACCTTTCATCAGGTCGCCCCTAATATGTGAGTCCCACGCGCATCAAGCCAAGGCGTGTCGGCGCTATTTTGTAGCTAAATGGATGAAAAGCACTTCTCCCCTGCGGTCAGTCAACGTGAGGACGTTGCTCCGAATTGCTGCAGTAGTTTTTTTGTGGTCGGGAGGCAACCATAACTCCTTCTGACCATGTATCGTAAGCCAATAGCCGTCATCTGATTCCACAGCCAGTCCTCTTTCATCCCTGCAGCAGTCTGCGTTCCACCCCTGGTACCAAGGATGAATGTCAAAGGTCCCGCGATCGGTAATAAGAAGTGGCCCAGTCCTGGAGAACTCAAGTTCATAGGCAAAGCCATGAGCACCAAGCCCACTTGTGGATATAGAATGCTGGAGCTCGCCATTAGTGAGAGACCAGAGCTTGATAGTTTCATCGTTGGAGCTAGATGCAAGCAGGTGGTTGTCCGGAGATATGGCAATGCACCATATCACCCCAGAATGGCCTCTAAGAACATGAATTCTCTTGGAGATGAAAGCTTGGAGATTGTATCTAGCTAGGCCACGATAGTAAAGCTATACTTGGTATGGCTAACTAAGCTAATAGGCAAGGGCTATAATAAGGCAAGTAATATATTATACTTTAATACCCCCCTTGCTAGGAGCCTTACTAAAAAAATAAAGTTAAATATATTTTTTAAATAAAAAGTAAATAGTAAAATATAAAGTAATAAAAAATAAATAAAGTGTTATGGTAGGCCGCCCTCGTGTATAAATAAAATAAAGGTTAAAATAAAAAATTATAAAGCTATTTAAAAATTACCCCCCTTACTAAGGCATTTTATATTAAGTTACTTAATAAAATAAAAATACTAAACTTATTTAAAAGGCTTAATAAGGCCATTAATAGCCTATTTTTTAATATTAATATAAATAAATTTAATATTACTAGCGGCCATTTTTTTTATAAATAAAATAATATTTAATTACCACGTGCTTTATATAGGTATAAAATTTTAAATTTTTTAATAAGGTAATTACACCTTAATTATTTATATAAATAAATATTAATTTAGTAAAAAGTATTTGCGTTAAAGCAAGGCGTAAAATATTAAATTTAGTAAAAAAAAGTTAAAGCTATAATAGTTCTTAAGTTATAACTACTTAAAAAATATACTTTAATTTTATTAATAAAAGGGCTATAGTAAATTATTTTTTAAAAAACTAGCTAATTAGCCTATTAACTATTTTAAAAATATATTTAAAAGTAAAAATATAGCTATTAGCGTGAGCACTAGCTTAATTAATATTATAATATTTAATAAGGCCTTTACCTTTATATTAATAAAAAATAGTAAGGTTTTTTAATACCTTAAAATAGTAAAAAACACGTGTTAAGGCTATAATATAATTTTTTAAAAAATTTATTATATAGCAAGATAAAAGTATAATAGTAAAAAAAATATTTAGGCGCGTATTAATAAAAATCTAAATAAAAATACTAATTTATTTTTAATATAAAAAAATCTTTTTTATTAAGGCCTTGCTATTAAACTTTTATAATATAACTTTAAAATTATATAAAGTTATAAAGTTTTTATAGTTTTTAAGGCTAAATTATTTTAAAATATTTTTAATATAATATTTTTAAAAAAAATAAATATTATTATTTATATAGTAAATATTAATATTAATAAAGCAAGTAAGTACTTTATTATTAGTAATTTTAAAGGCGCCTTTAAGCGCCTTAATAACCTTTATAATATTATTTATAAATAAAAAAAAGTATAATATTATTTATATAAAAAAGAATAAATACTTAGCTGCAGGTAAAGACTAAATAATTTACATATATTTTAGTAAATTTAAGTAAAATAAAAAGGCTAGTAAGTATTTTATACCACTTTTTTAGTAACTACTTTAAATTATATAAGGTTTTTAAAAGTAAGCTATATTTACTAGTAATCTTACTACCCTTAGGTAGCTTAATAAAAATCTTTTTAAAAAAATTTATGTATAAAAAGGTAATAATAATATTAAAAAAGTATAGTATCTAGCTATAGTAGGCAGCTAGTATAATAAAAAGTTTAAAAAATATTAATTTAATAATAGCTATATATATCTTATAAATCTTATAATTATAGCTAGTAATTTAGTAAAAGCCTTTAATAACTAGGCAAGCTTTATAAATACTATTATATTTAATCTTAAATACTTATTTAAAATTAAGAAGGTATATTCCTTTTTAATAATTAATAACGTGCTATATATTATTAAAAAAATAATTATTAAGCTTTTTATAAATAATTATAATTTTTTATTTACCTTTAAATAAAAAACTATATTTATATATATTTTTAGCTTATAGCTAGTATTATTTAGGGTTTTAAAAGTAAAGTTTTATTTATCTAGCTTGCTAAAATTTACTATAAAAATAATATTATTAATAAAGCTATTAAGGGCAAGCTTATAATTTATAAAAAACCACGCGAGATAGTTTAAAAAAAGGTTAAAATTATATATAAAAAAAAGTTTATTCGCGCTTATTAATTTAAAATACTTTTTTATAATTTAACTTAGTTTTTTTAAATAATTTAAGCAGTGTATTTTACTTTCTAAAAATAAAAAATATTAAGTATTAGCCCTTAAAGCGTGAGTATGTTTTACTAGGCTATTATAATTTTTATTAATTATACTTAAATTACTTTTTTAAAAAAAAGGGGGGGGGTTTAAAGCAGGATAATATTAAGGCTTTATATTATATAACCCTTAGACTAAAAAGTTTAGTATAAATATTAAAAAAAATACTAATTAGTTAGTATTTTTAAAGCCACTCCGGGTTATAAGTAGTATTATTAAAAAGGTTTTTTTAAAATAGTTTTTTTTATTTTAGATTTATTTTAAAAGGTTAAGAAATAGGGTTATAAAAAGTAAAAATATTTTTATAAAAATTTAGTAAAGTTTTAAAGCCTAGGGGCGTATATTTTTATTTTTAAAAATATAATTTTTTTTTATTTATTTTACTAGTAACAAGGCGTGAAGCATTAAGATTATATTTATTAATAAATAATAAAAGGGAAGTACTTAATTTTTTAAAAATAATATTATAGGTAGTAATAACTTACTTTAACTTAAGGTTATAAATTTTATATAAATTTTTAAAGTATTTAATAAAGCGGCCCTTAGCTATATAAGAATTAATTTTTATTTTATATATTTTTTTAAAAATAAGGTAAAAGTATTTATATTTTAGCGCGTGCTAGTAAAAAATATTAAGTTATATTTTATTAAGTACTTTATAAGGCGTTTTACTAATAATTTTATAATAAAAATAGTTATAAATATAAATAATAGCAAGAACTAGGTAATCCTAAAAAAACTTTAAAAATTAGTTTTTTATTATAATAAATATAACTAGTTTAATAATATAATAATTTTTTACCTTAGTAATTAGGTTTAGCGCTAAGTAATATTTTAATACTAAATTAAAAATAATATTGTAGTTTTTATAATATAACTTTAATAATTAATATTTTAAAGTATTATTATAGTAAATATACTTTATTTTTAACTTTAATTATATTTATAGCTAGTTATAAAGCTAAAGAAATTTCTTAAAAAGTTTTTTTTTTTTATAATAAATACCTAGTAAAATTAAAAGGCCTTATTAATAAATATAATAAAATATAAGGTGCTTATTTACCTATGTATTAATATAAGCTTATAAATATTTATATATATAATATTACCTAGCTAGCGGCCAAGATTCCTAGTTAAATTTTACTTTATTAAAAAAAGTGTTATTTTTTTATTAATAATATATAGCTTGTATTATTTAATTAACAAGCCCTTATATAGTTTAAGGCTAATAATATATTAAAAAAAATTCTTAATTTTTTTTTTAAATGCGTGGGTAGCCTGTTAATAAGCTAAATATATAAAAATTATCTTATTAAAAACCTTTACCCTAGCTGCTATTAAACCCTTAGGTAAAATTATATTTTAACTAAGTGTAAAGGTATTTATAAGCATAATAATTATTTTAAAAAAAGTATTAATATTTAAATAAAAATAGTAATAGGATTTAAGCAAGGTGGTATATATAATTAAGGATTTATATTATATAAGTTTAATAATAGTATTAGTATTAAATATTATATAAATATTATTATTTATAAGCTATTTAATTAATAATAAATTATAAGCTAAGCTAGGCGTGTACTAAATATTTTTTAATAAAAAACTCCTAATTTATTATATATTAAATTTATTAATAACACCTAATATAATATTACTATAGCCTTTAGTAAAAAACTTGCTATTATTAGCTGTTTTAACTAAAACTTTAGTATATTTAAATAATATAAAGTTATGCTTAAAGTATATTATATAATAAAAGGTACTAAAATTAAGTATTTAATTATTATTAGCAGCCGGTTTAATATTTATATAAGTTAATTTAACATAAAAATCTAGCTTATTTATACTAAAATTTAATAGTTATATAAACACGGAGTTCGCGTATATAAAATTAAAGTTAATATTAATTATATTAGCGCCTGGAGAGGCCTGTAAAGTATTAGGCGGAGGTATTAATAAAGGGTTTTAAGTTAATTTTTAAGCTAACTATTATAAAGCGCTAGTAGTAGTATTTTTTACTTATATAATATTTATAAAAATAAAGGTATTATAGTTTTTTTTACCTTTTTTTTTTATGGTATTTAAATTTACTACTACGGCCTTAATAGGCGCTGGCACTAGCGCCTTTAAAGTTATTACCTTTATTTTATAACTAGGTGTTTGCCGGATTCCTAATATAAGTAAAAAAAAGATAATTATTATATAATTAGTAATATATACACTATATAATACTATAATTTTTAATAAGAATAAAGCTATTATAATTAAAGTAGCTAGTGATGTTAATAATATATTAAATAGTTTTAAATATTTATATTTAATTAAGTTTAAACTGTAAAAAAAATAAATAAATATTATTAATACTTTAATAAGATATTATATATAGCTAAGTAATAAAGGGCTATATGCTATATAAGCTAAAGATTATTATAATAAAAAAATATTATATAACTTATTAATTAAGGGTTTAAATAGTTACTAGCTTAATAATAGTATTTTTAAATTTTATAAAAAATTATTTTAGTTATTAATTAATATATTTTATTATATTAAGTATTTACTAGCTTTTTAAAAAAAAACTAGTACTAAATAAGTTATATAGCTCTTGTAGGTAATAAAAGGCTTAGGTAATATTTTAAAGGCTAGAAATTTAGTTTATATATTATATATAAAGCATTAATTATAAAAATAATAATAAAAAAAAGTTATGCTATGTTTAGCGCCCTTACTTTACTTTTATTTTAATATTTTAAAAAGTTTAAATATTAATTTAATTTTTAATAATAAGCTTAATAACTTAATCCTAAGCTATATTATTTTTATTAATATATTTTATAATAATAATAACTTGCTTTAGTAAATACTTATAAAAAAAAACTTTTTTAATAATAATAAGCTAAAAATAAGGCGGTTTAAATTAAAGTATAATTTTAAAAAATTTATGCTATAAATAATAATTTTTTTAATTATTAAGCCATGTAATAACTTTATAAAGGTTAAAAATAATAATAATAATATTAGCTATGCTATAAATAAATTTTTATATAGTTTTAATATATAAGGGTAGCGTAAAAGTTATATAAAATAAGTAATTAAAAAATTTATACTAGGCGGCTAAAAATCCTAATATTATATAAAAATATTTTTAACTTAATAAATATTTAAAGTAAATAAATTTTAAAAAAAGGTAGTAATAAAAAAAGTARTTATATATAAGTAAATATAATATTTTAATAAAAARAGCTACCTAGGGTATATAACCTTTTAAAAATAAAAGCTTAAAAATTATATTTAGCTAGGCTATAATAGTAAAGCTATACTTAGTGTGGCTAACTAAGCTAATAGGCAAGGGCTACAGTGGGGCGAGCAGTATACTACGCTCCGACAAATTCGCGCCATGGTCGCCAGTTCCCAGATGTGGATCGTGTGGTCGTCACAACTGCAAGCTAATAAACGATCATCTTGAGCCAAATGAAATTTTCGGCTTGGCGAAAACTGGTGCTTAACAGTATACTTCAATGACCCTGTGCATGTGTCCCAGATCTTGACGGTGTCAGTAGAGGTAGACACTAAGGTTTTTCCATCAGAGGTCAGAGCAAGACGATCTGTACCTGCGTCGTCTTCCAACGTTTGTTCTAACATCCCATTTTCAGCATTCCAGAGTCTGATGCAGGTGCGGGAGTATATTTTGGCTTTTAGAGACTTGACAGATGTGCGAGTCCAAGGTTCGATAACGGTGCGAGTTGCTGTTGCCAACATTCGGCCATCAGCAGAGAATGCCCACGTATTGTGTGTTTTCCGCTCACGTGAGTAATGTTCCTTCACAGCAGGATCCCATATCGTTGCCCCATGGTAACTGCCGGACATCAGCAGCTGGCTGTCAGGGGAGAATGCCAGGGCTTCAACCGAGGTGTGACTTTGGAGAGTTTGCTCCGGCTCTAAACCGGATGTATTCCAGACTTTGATGTCTTTGTCGCAGCTATACGCTAGCATTCGACCGTCTGTGGAGAATGCAAGGCCGACAGGGTAATTACCTCGAAAGGTGTATTTTACTATGCCATCATTAGAGTCCCAGACCCTGATGGCATTTGAGTCGGTGAATGTGGCTCCTAGCAGTCGGCCGCGGGGACAGAAAGCAACAGTACTGACTGTGTTTCGTCGGCCATTCGAATTTGAATCACATTCAGGTGGCCCATGCATATACTTGATGGTGCCATTGGTGACGTCCAAAACCGTAACTGCCGCGCCATAGGGGGAGTCAGTCGTACTGTTAGAGCCAGCCGCCAGTAAATGGCCATCTGGCGAGAAGGCCATAGATACGACTGGATTCGGGCGGCATCTGAACGTATATCTCACTGTGCCGTTGTCTGGATCACACAGAGTGATCGAGCCGTCGACATGTCCAGCCGTGATTAGGCCATCCGGGGAAAACACTGCAGAACTGACTGGCGGCCCACTGATTCTGATAGTCCTCAGCAGCGTGCCGGTAGTAGCATTCCAGAAATTGATAGTCTGGTCCCGCCAGGACCCTGAAGCCACCAGCTGACTTTTTGGGAGAAAGGCAAGATAATTGAGGTAGAGCTGACACGAAAAGCTGTGTCTAAGAGCGCCAGAAGTTGGGTCCCACATGCGAATAGTGCCATCAGAACTGCCGGTAGCTAGCACTCTACCATCTGAGGACATAGCAATATGGCTGACTGAATTGCTCTCCGACGAATTCCTTACTAAAAGTTGTAATTCTGGTCCCCAAGTCTTACTCACTCGTGGGAATTGGGTCACCCAGTCAGGGTACTCAGGACATTGATCAACAAATCTTTTCCTGATGATTGCCTCTGACGGTGCGAAGACGAGCCCAAACGCATATATCTGAAGAGGTGCATAGTCTGCTATCTGCAGGATTCTGAATATGAAGCGCTTCGCATCTTGGAGGAACTCGAAGATCTGACTATCTTCAAGGGTCTGTAGATGTCAGTCTTCTTTGCCAAAAGGATCGCTTTTCAGAACCTACTCTGACTTTCATCAACAAGACACTGAGTCCCTCCAGGCATTCAGATACAAGGCCAAATAGACCCATAACCTCCACCCAGTGAAGAAAGTGGGCTTCTAGAAACGCAAGGACATGGCCCAGGTTCATAGTATCATGACGCTTCATACTTTGCGTGAGATGGTGAATCCAGTATCGACAGGAATACTGCAGCTCTGGCCGTACATGCTTATGAAGTAAATAGCTACCAATCTTCATTCGCTCTGTGCCATAGTTTTTCAGTCCGCAAATATTTTTCTTCAGCTGTCTGTGCATGGTACCAAGACAGTATCCCGTGACGCTCAAATTTGCTTCGCACTCATCGATCCAGAACGGGGTCTTATCACGAGTGTTATCATGCAGAAGAAAATCTCGAAACGATAGATGAAAAAGTCTTATTGGCATGGTTTCGTCATCTGGTATATCCAGAACCGAGTGCAGTGGGCCGAGCCTGGCGTTGATTGAGCTTTTCGGAACGCCCGTTAATTCTGACAGCGATGCAATTGAGAGCGGGGTTTCCAGGATGATGATAGTACCTAGGATCTGTCGAACATCTTCGACGACCTGTCTTTGCCGCGTGCCGCTATATCTGACAAGCAGCCGATCTAGTACTGGTCGATATGTCCCATCCAGCTTGGACTCCACGTTTCTGTACTCGAGGACATCGGCCAAAGACTCTATGGGATCCAAGTAAGGATCTTCGAAGAGGCGACATATGGTGGCTGCAAAGATAAACAGGGGTACTGACATAGTGACCAGAACCTGAAAGGTGGCATCTCCTGGCCATCCTGGAGGAAGCGAGCGTCGGGCCGGAGACTGTCTGATGATTCCAAGCTTGTGCTGTAAAAACAAGGCAATGTCGTGCTCGATTATGGGTCTCGCCACTTCATGGAGGGCGAAGTCCTGCAGCTTATCGTACATGGCCTGGAAACCCAGCTGGATAGGCAGTTCGGGGCGACTAGTCACAAAGACTCGCAACTGGATAGATTTTATGAGGCCCTTTGTATACCGTACTAACTAGTAAAGCTATTAATTAAATATTATAAAAGAAAATAAAAAAAAAAGCAAGTTATTTATTAAAAGCTAAAGCTACCTAGGGGTTTATATAAATATTTTAAGTTTTTAAAAACTTATTAATAGCCTAATTTTTTTACTAAAATAATAAGGTATTAAGTACCTTATTTTTTTATATTAGCATGGCATGTAAAGGTGTTAATAAATAAAAACTTTACTAAACTTTACCTTTAGCTAATATATTCCCTTAATACCTACTAAATACTAAAAATAAGGCTAAAAATATTTACTAAACCAAGTATTTTAATAAATTTATAATATTATTATTTAGTAAGTAACTTAGTAAGGCTATTTATAATTATTTAATTAATAAAAGTTTATTTAATTTTAAAATTTTTACATTAAACTTTTTATTAAAGCTATAAGTTATAAATATTAATATATTAAAATTTTAATTAATACTAGATATTAAGGCTAGTAAAAATATTAATAATTTATTTATTATTATATTAAATTAAAAAATAGTATTAAAAATTAAACTATATTAAATTAAAAACCTAGTATTACTAGTAAGTTACTTTAAAAACCTTAAATAAAGTAAGTAATTTTACTTTAGTTATTAAAATTATAATTAAGTACTACTTTATAGCTTTTTATTTAATTAAATTATTATATAGCTTATAAATATAGCCTATACTAAAAAAGTAATTAAATTAATTAATAAAGGCTATATTAAAGTAGGCCTTATAAAAATTATATACCTTTAAAATAAGCTTATTTTTAAAACTATTTAAACTAAAATATTTAAGGGTTATAAAGCATGTGTTATAAAAATAAAAAATAAGTTAATTTATTATATATTAATAATAATCCGCTGGATTAACTAGGTATTTTAATAGTTAATTAATAATATAAAAAATATTTAAATAGGTAAGCGTGCTTATATATTTAACTAAGCTAATTTTAAACCTTATTTTTTTAATTTATTAAGGTATAGCAGTACTAAAGTTTAAATAAAGCTTATTAAAAAAAATATTTTTAAAGATTAAACTATTATATTTAAGTAAAATTAATTTATAATTACTTTAATATAAGAGTTTTAATATAGCTAAACCTTGCGTTTTTTTTTATTTTAAATAATTTAAACTTTTAAAAATTATTTTATTTTATTAAAATACCGGAGCTTATACTTTATTACTAATTTTTTTTAAAAGTAACTATAATAGCTTGGCCTTTTTTAGTAAAAAGGTTTATAATAATAATATTATTTATATAAATAAAAAGGATTATAAACTTACTAATATAAAGGCACTTTTTTTTAGGAACTATAGTAAATTTAAATTTTTATAGTATTATAGTTAAATTAAGCTACTAAAGGCGTAAAAACTTTTAAAATTTATAAATAATTTTAAGGGCTTTTAGTAACTTACCCTGCTACTTATAATTATTTAAAAAGTAAAAATATATTATTTTTTTAAGGGTAGTATTAAAAAACGCGTTAATAATATTTTTCTAGTTAAAATTAAGGTTAAAAGTAGTTATAAATATTATAAGAGCTTTAAAGGCCCTTATTAAGGTTATTACTACTTAATTTTTTTTAAAAAATTTTAGTTTTAAATTTCCGTGTATATAGATTTAGGCTTTAGCTTTAATAAAGTAGTTATTAGTATTAAGTTTATAGGTAAAAACTTATAATAAAAAAATTAGCTTATTTATTTTTATTTTTTATTTATTTACTACTTTTTATATTTTTATTTTATAAAAAGCTTTTAATTTAAGATCTATAGCCTCCAGGAACTTATTATAAAGTAAATAATTTTTAAAATTACTTTAGTACTTAAAAAAAAAAATAAATTATTTTAATAAAGCCATTCTTTTACAGGGTTTTAATAAAAAGTAAAAAAGGTAAATTAAATATAATTAAGGTTATTTAAATTATTTAAAAGAGTATTATTTAAATTTAAATTATATATATAATTATTAGTATTATATTATTTATACCTGCACCTAGATATTTTAAAAAAAAAAAGTTAAAGTTACTAAAGTTTTACCCCTTAAGCGCGTTAAGCTTAAAGGCTAAGTAAAAAAAAAAAAAAGTTAGGCATGCTTATTTATTTTTTTTAAGTAATTATTTACTTGCTAAATTAGTAAAAAAATATTAAGGTACTTAAAAGTGTAAAATTTATTACTAAGAATTTTTTAAATAGGCTTTTAAAGTTATTTATAAGGCCAAGTTTTATATAAGCCTTTTATAATAATAAGATTTAGAAGTTACCTTAAAAGTTAGTAAGTATAAAAACCTATTTAGCTAATTAAAGGCCTTTTTTTTACTAATAGTATTTTTAATTTTACTAGTAATATTTTAAGCCTTATTTCTTGCTTTATACTTATTATTATTATTAATACCTTTTTTTTTTAAAATCTCCACCACCCGTGGCCTATTTATATTTAAAATACCCTTATTTTTTTTTATTTAAAAAATTTACTAAAATTAAGATTAAGGTTAATTTCTTTAGTTTCACGGTTTTAAAAGGGGATATTAAGAACTTAAGTTAAAGGCTTTAGTAACTTAATTTTAATATTAATAATAAGAAAGAAATTTTTTAAATTATATAATTTAAATTTATTAAAAATAATATTTTTATAAGCATGTATAAGCTGCTTTTTAAAAAACTAGATTTACTAAATATTTAAGGTAATATAGCCTAGTAAGTATTTTAATAAAGCCTTTAGTTTTATTTTATAAAAACTTTTTACTTAGAATTATCTTGCCCAGGCAAAACATTTTAATATTTTAATATTAAAAATATAGGGTTTCTTACTAGTAAATACTTTTTATAATATTTTTTAATTTAGTGGCTTAATAAAAATTTAATTATTAATATAAGCTATAGTTTTTATAACCTAGGACTATATATTAAAAAAATTTTTTTTATAAAAAGCTATTATTTTTACTTTTTTAATTAATATACTATTAAAGTACTTAGCTATACTATTTTAAAAAAAAGTATAAAAAATAAACTAGTTTTAGAGTATACCTTAAGATATAATAAAGTTAGGAATATTATTACTAAGTATAGGCTTATAATTACTAAAAAAAACCTTAAAAGTAATATTAAATTAGGTTTAAATAAGCTTAGTATACTATTTAATAATATTTTTATACCTACTTTTTTTTTAATAAACATAGGCCTAGTAAAACTTGGTGTTTTTATTATAAAAGTAAGTTACCTACTTTTTTTTATTTATTACTTTTTTTATAAAAATTAAGTTAAAGTAAACTTAATTAAATAGTGTAGTAGCAGGATTTTTAGGCCTTTTAAATATTTATTAAGGGGCTTATTTATATTTATAAGTATTATATTACTAAGGTAATTAAGAACTAGTAATTTAAACTTTTTTAGTTATAATTAGTAAGTATTAAAGTATTTTATTACTAATATAGCCTAGGCGCTAGTAAAAAGCTTTAAAATTTTTTTTAATATAGATTTTTTAAGTTAAGGTCTTAACTTTTTATTAAGTTAAAGTATTAGCCTTTTTTTGCTTTAAGTTTTTTTTAAACTTAATTATTTAAAGGCTAAATAAGTAATCTTTAAAATAAAATACTGGTTTGCTATTTTTAGTAATTAAAGTATTAAAATCTTAAAAATATCTAGCTTTTTTAAAAGGCCTAGCTACTAAAATATTAATATAAAAGCTAAGTATAAAGGCCACTTTATTAAAAGTAAAAGGTATTATTTTATTATTTAAAGCCTTAAAATAAAAAAGTACTAATTCCATGCCTTAAATAATAATAATTATATTTTTTACTTAAATATTACCTTTTTTTAATTAATTAAAAAAAATAAAATAACTAAAATTATTATAAATATAAATAAAGGCACCGGTATTAAAAATAAAGGTATTTTAAAGTATTAAATTACTTTAAATACTTATAATAAGCATGTAGCCATGGTGTTTTTTTTTATTATAGCTTAAATAGTTAAAAAAGTTTTTTAAGTTTTTTTTTTTAACTTTTTTTTATTTTTAAAAATTTATTTATTTTTAGCCCTTACCTTTTAAAGTTTCTTACTATATTTATTATTTTTATTAAAAGCTTTACTAACCTTTTTATTTATATTTTTTTTAGGTTTATACCATGGCTTTTTATATAATTATATAAAGTACTAATACTACTTTATTACTTAAAAATAGCTATATAAATAAAAAGGCTTATTATTAGTTAGTACTATTTTAAAAAAAATATTTAATTTTTTACTAAAAGTTATAAAGGCTACCGCTTTAATAAAGTTTTTAAAAAAGTTATTAATTATAAAAAAATATTATTAATATTTAAATATAAACTAAAGGTAAGAAATTAAATTAGCACCTTTTTAATTTAATTAATTAGTATTTTATTTTATATAAAAGTTTAAATACTTATTAATTATTTATAGGAAGGTTATATTAGCTATTTTATTTTTTAATTTAGGTTAATTAAGGTATTTAATTTTTTAGTAGGTGTTTTTATAATTTTAAAGCTAATTACTAATCTTGCCTTATTAAATTAAAGTATTTAAGGCTATAAAATAATTATTAAATACCTTTAGTTTAATTTTAAAATTAGTTAAAGTAAATTATTACTTTAATTTAGCTAAAACCTTTGTAATAAGTTTATTTTTAATAAGTTATTAAATAAAAATAATAATAATTTTTTAAATAGCTTTATTTATTTCCTAAATTTTAGTATAATAGTACTTAGTATTAAGCTAGTATTTATTATATATTTTAAAAGCCTTTTTAATTGCATTTTTAAAAGGTAATTTAAAAAAAAAAGGGATTTTTTTCTTTTTTTTTAAAAAAAATATTTAGGTTAAAAAACTTTTAAACTTTTATTATTTAAGTAAAGTAAAAAATTTAATTATATTAAGCTGGCTAGTTATTCCTGGACTTAAAAATAACTTTTATATTTATAATATTATTAATAAAAGTTATAATAACTTTTAAGTTAAGTATAGGAGTTAAAAATTAATTAATATTTATTTTAATTTAATAAAAAAAATAATTAATTATAAAAAGGCTTGGTATAGCTTTAGGACATGTATTTAAAGGTATAAATAATTTTAAAATATTTAAAAAAGGTAAAAATTTAATAAGCTAAATTATTAAATTAATATTTAGGTTTATAACTATAAGGCCCTTTATATATTATATTAATTAATAAAGCTATTAATTAAATACTATAAAAAAAAATAAAAAAAAAAATAAATTATTTATTAAAAGCTAAAGCTACCTAGGGGTTTATATAAATATTTTAAGCCTTTAAAAACTTATTAGTAGCCTAATTTTTTTACTAAAATAGTAAGGCGTTAAGCACCTTACTTTTTTATACTAACGCGGCATGTGGAGGCGTTAACAAATAAGAACTCCACCAAACTCCACCTTTGGCTGACAGATTTGATGTCCTGGACCCGGGGCAATAGATGCAGAATAAGCTGAATATCCTGGTCATTATCGCATTCGTCCAGGGCATCGATCACAATCAGCAGCAGCGAGCTCTCTTGCTGTGGCTCCAGTTGACTAAGTGGATCATAGATCAGCTTGGTAAACTGCTCATTGAAAGACTGAACAGCTATATCTGGCTCCTTCTTGATTGTTCGAATAAGGGCAGGGCGTAGCTCCGGGATGCTGGCAAACAGCTGCCTAGCGATTGTTGAGAAAAATCGCCTTGCATTGCCACGGTCTCCTCCATTTCTCTTGAAGAAGAAGCTCGCTGCCAGGAGGCGTTGCTTCTTGAAAAGACTCGCTGTAGATCGAGAGACCGTGGACTTCCCCGTCCCAGCCAGTCCGTACAGCCAGAAGACACACTTCCCCTTTGGCGAGTGAGCCCATTCCTCAACCCTGCGAAGGAGGTCCGTCCTTGTCCCAGGGAGACATTCTGCCTCGTGCTGCTCCTTGTACGATCCAAACTCTGCTCCCTCAGCCACCGGTAGTTTGTCCAGGTCGATACTCTGGACTACACTCTCAAGGTCTCTAGCAGATGCGCTCACGGTGATCTGAACATTGCTAACGAGCTCAGACATATCGTCTAATTGAGGTTGAAGGACTGTCTTGGTAGATACAGACTTAGCATGAATACGAGATACATATCAGCTTAGGCCAGAACTAACCGCCCAGGATCTCACTGGCCCTCTGTTCAGCCTGCACCTGCTGAGGAATAATCTGATTCAAAAGGTCTCTTGCATACGCTGCAGCTGTCATGGCTGCATAGCCCTGCCATTGTTTATTCTTGTGAGAGTCCGAGTAGTCGCAGATTCCACGAATCACCAGGCAGGGAAAGAGATTTCTCAGCCCCGCGGCCTCCATTTCGAAGCATAAGATGCCTTGCTTTGCTGCTAGCTTGTCGCGGAAGGTTGCATTTCTTACCAACTTGCTACCCGATGCGATTAGACCATAGTGAATCACTGGGTCGTCAATATCATCCCCTCGTTCCGGCCGGATTATAACTCTGTCATCGCTGCAAAGCTCATCGCAGCTTCGCTCGCTCTCTCTGTGGACAAAATCGCTTTGGTATAATCGGTCACTCGTTGGATTGGGCCGTGCATATTTCTTTCTCAATCGGGGATTCCGTTCAAGGGCCAAGCGGATGTTTTCCTGCAGTTGATGGCCCTCTTCCTCATGGAGCGTTTGGACTCCAGCGAGAGCCGTACGGAGGACCCGAGGAGCCTGGTTCAGAAATCCCGTCGGTCTAAAGTCCTCATCCTGGAGCTCCTTGCCAAGGTCGTAGAAAGAGACGCCGCCGTGGTCGTTACCGCGGGAGGAACTCACGACAACATCGCCGAGGCGAATGTCCTGTTTGCTAGTTGGTGCTCCGCCGCCGATTCCCACCATAAGTCCAAAGCGAATGTTGGGGAAACTGTGCAGCATACTTTCGGCAATGGAGGCCGCTGCAGCGACACCATATTCTCCGTCAGGGAGCACAGCGATGACAACAAGGTGGTCTCCTATCTTGCCGAGAGTGTAGTGGTTGTTGTCGTTGGGAGAATGTGTGCTTGGCGGTGGATGTCTCTCGTCGAGGAAGGCACGGGCTGCCACATACTCAGTCTGTAGCGCACAGATCCAGCCAACGGTATATTGGGCCGAGTCGGCCATGGTCGATCGAGCTTGGACCAGCCTCGAGGTATGGGAAGCGGACAGTTAGGGAGCAAGGGGTCATTAAATAGGCCAGGTCGCAGCCTCGTTTCTCAATCAAGAGGGGCAGTTTCCCCCCCCCCACCTCCATGATCCTTGCAAGCGAGGCGCAGTTCATTGGTGCGCAGTTCTCACACGTCATGTCCACTCTGCAATCGCAGCCAGTCTTACATACTTTCAGTCTGACCGGAGCCTTCCGTTTGTACTGAGGTTGGCGCTGTGTCAGACGGGCGAAGGGAGTATGCCGGCGATCAGCTCAGCCGACCTCACTTTTCTACGCTTATTGTTTCACAGAGGGTGCAGACAATGTCCAATCGCTTCATTTGGCCATGGACACCGCTCTCAGCCTCGTCGGTAGGAGTATGAAGGTGCTGATTTGTTTTTCAGCCTCTCGTGTCAAGTGAGCCCATCAAGACTGGAAAGACAGCGAATGTTCTACCATATTACATTCTGCAACTTCTTCAAACCCCAGCTAGACACGCCTGGTCAAAGCGACACAGCATTAACCTCGATTCACCCCTGATATGTGAGTCCCATGCGCATCAAGCCAAGGCGTGTTGGATCTTTTTAGTAGCTAACTGGATGAAACCCACTTCGCCTCTGCGGTCCGTCAACGTGAGGACTGACGGTGCGAAGACGTTCTCAAAAGCCTGGTATGTCTCAAACCAAGTCTATAAGATTACTTGGTCCGGAGGCAGCAACGGTGCCGGGCTGATTACCTACGAGTTACGCCGTAAATCCGATGTGAGGCCCCGGGGTGGACTTTCTTCACCAAGGCAGACTGTTGTCTCCCCTTCCTTTCTCGAGGGTGGCCGGGGTAACACCACCACTCTCTGAGTCTCCATTCATTCAACAGCCATATGCCACTCCCCACCTCGCTCTATCAATCAAATTGCATCCTCACACCCTTCAGTGTTAGCATGATGCCAGAAGTTACATACGACCTAAATAGTGACGTCCGATCACTTTCCGGTGACCACTCCTTCAATGTGTCGTCAAAAGCCCTTTATTTAGCGTCTCCGGTTTTCAAAAATATGTTCGCATCACAGTTTAAAGAGGGATTAGCTCTAAGCAAGCATGGCCATCTCGAGCTCCCCCTTCCGGAGGATGATCCTCGTGTTCTCAAAATATTTTGTGAAGTATCCCACCACCAGGCAGGCATGATCCCGAACGATCCCACGCCTGAATTCCTACGCAGGATCTCCGTCTTTATCGACAAGTATATGTGCCGAAAGGCCTTCTCTTGTTACGGCCACATATGGCTTCGACAATCTCTAAAGGAAAGAAGACTTGTGGAACCTTCTACACCACGCATACTCCATGAACGATACGTCAAGGTTTACGACCATTTCGCGGGCCCTTCTGATCAATATAACATTTTGCTTGACTGATTGGGAATCCGCTAGGGGAGGAGGAGCGAGTGTGATCCCAAATTCTATCGTGTGTAAGTATCGATCTCTCCTAGTGTCTGCACAGCATCTGAGAGCACTAAGCTGACACTATACGCCAGATGAACTTGAAGACAAACTACGACTACTCGCCAAGGTAACCGAGAATGCTCTTACTCACGATCTCGCAAAGCTCTCCACGGCGGCCTCGTACTCTTGCCTTAGTGTTACGAATTTCGTCGGGGCATATGCGATTATATTAGCACGGCGTGGAATTATGCCGGGGAGTGAACCATTTAGAGCGAAGAGCTTTACGGAAGTTGTTGGAGCAGCGAGCGAATTCCCCATTGAGGAATATCGGCAATGTCTCTATCATGACGACGACGATTCGTGTTGCGACCTGCTGCTTGGTTCGGAGCTAAGCTCCAACCTTCAGGCAAGAATAGTCAAAGCAGGAGAAGAGGTGAAAGGTATTTGCTTAGATTGCCTCAATAACAACCCTTGTCCACGTCACCATCGATAGCTTTTTGAATCGCCGCATTTTCCGAATACAGACCATAATTACTGAGCAGGAGCGGAATTTTTGCACAAGACATATGTTATTATCCTTAGCGCTAGTGTCTATGAGACATGATAAAAACTCTTCATTTAACTTTTCAGTCCACATTTAGGTAAAATCATTCGTGGAAAGAGGTTGTAATGATGACAGGCTTCACAAGTTCTTTTCTGGGCGTCAGAAGCTTTTGGCCTTGCTGGGGAATAATACCTACGTGCGCTGTCTTTTTCTCAATGGACTGGAAGATTTCGGGCGAATGTTGCATTCCGGAACATGGGATGGCTCCGTTACCTACCTGTCTATCAATACCACCCTCATTTCTCCATGCCAGATTCCGAGATGTCCATTCTCATCCCGTTCAACCCATGCAAAGATGGCCATGATAGCAGTGTATTCCGAGGAGGGAGACGTCTACGCCCACTGCGGGGCTTTTTCATTTCAGGTCTCGTCCAACATCCTCTCCCAGGCCTCGCCCGTTTTCAAGTCCATGCTCCAGCTGCGTTTCAAAGAAGAAATCGCCTTGAGTAAGGATGGGCACTGTCAAATCAGCCTCCTTGAAGACGACGCGGAGGTTTTTGGTATTTTCTGCGACATCGTGCACTTTAAGGGAACGTGTTTGAATCCGACCCCCGACTTGCTGCAACGTTTAGCAATCTTCGTCCAGAAATATGATTGCCGATCTGCACTCAAGGCTCATGGTAGAGTATGGCTGCGCGACAAGTCGCTGCGGGATCGATCCATGAGTGATCTCCGAAAACTACTGCAATTAGCATACGTCCTGAAGCTTCGAGACGACTTCTCGAAAATCACGCGCGAGATGATCATTAGGAGGCCGTTACAATTTAGTTGGAGGGCCTCCGCGGTGGAAGATCTAGGCATAATACCTGAAAAGATGCTTGGTCGGTCCTTTTCTGTCACTTTTAGCACTCAAAGCTCCAGCTAATATACCCATTTTCGCTTATAGACATGCTTGACGTTCAACGCAGGCGTTCAATCCGAATAACCGAGGATGCCTTCACGAACTGGCTAAGGAACTACGGAGGTAAAAAGTCAGATGGCTCTTCGCAGTGCGAACAGCTGCAGAAATACATCGGGGCTTACGTGCAGACTTTGCTCCACAGTGGAATTATGCCCGGTACAATGGATTTCCGTGCGAAGTGCTTTCTCGACATCTATAACGCGACCAATTGCCTGTCCAGTCCTATGCTTCTCGATACTCAGATGCATGTTAACGGTCCATGCATATGTGCCATCTGGGTGAAGAGCAATCCCGTTGCGAACATCCGAGCTCAAATGGAGAAATGCGCCGAGATACTAGAGGGGGCTTGCCTAACTTGCTTGGATCAGGAGAACTGTCAGAAACATCATTGATGATTACGCCGCGCCCTTCGAAACTAACCACCATGCCGGAGGTTCTAGGGAGCCGTTTTTTGAGTGCAGGGTGTGCAATGATAGGACTTCTATTCTCTTGGCATGATGTGTATTTACAACGAGGGGCAGATTCAGGAGTTGGGGTGCCTTCGTTCATCTCTAAGCCCTCTAGAATGGCACTCACGTGGTCTAACATGAGCCGAGCTAGACATGTCTGTTCAAAGCAATACAGCATTGACTTCGATGTTTCTGATATGGTTTGTCATTAATATATTGGGTATTCAGAGATATCAGGATGGAGGATACCAGGATTAAGAGTAACAGATCGGAGAAGAAACACACTCCTTTCTCTACAAACAGTACTTACACTGACCTACCGGAACCATCCTCTGCGGATGGCACCCAGCTTCAAGGCCTTTTAAGCCAGTCGCCCTCTCCCCAGACCGAGGACGATGTCGAGCAAGGCCTTGACACGGTACCTTTGAGGTGCAAGTTCCCGTTTCGCCCATACCCAGCTCGAACCCAGTCATCTCTACTGATGCTCCTTGTACATCGGGAACATGGGCAAGTTAATCGGCGTCGTCCCACCAGCCCAGAGACCAGCACAGCCCGCCCAGTCTGGCACACAGTTAGCATCTCACTTCGCTTGAAAACAAACGAAATACAAGAATACTTACAAGAAATTCCCGCAGTGATCATCAGGACCGAGTACCCAGCAGTCATAACATCCTGATCACCAGTCATATACGCAACCGCCAGGAGCAAGAATCCCAGACTCAGAATGGCCAGATCAATGAACAGCACCCAGGAACTCCTGACTGCCGCGATAACGTAGAGTGTGTTCACGATGAACCATGCCCATAGATATATCGCGACCGCCTGGTTGAATTCAGGATTCAGTGCGCCCGTCTCAACGTCCGTGTATGCAGCTAATATGCCCGTGCCCGGGATGTAGATCATGGCGTAGGAGAAGTTGAATGCGGAGTAAGACGCCCAGAGCGTTGCGCTAAACTATAATGCAGACATTAGATTGGCGTATACGTATAACGTCGTCGGTAGAAGGACGAAGAGAAGAATTCGTATGGATAGAAACAGGGATTTGGGACTAGGAGGGCATGATCGAAAGTGATAGAGACGCACCGTATTCCCCGTGAAGAACTCCATAATCGCTGCAAGGAACTGTCCGCATCCACCGAAGAAGATCAGCACGCCGAGCAGGACATTCGGTGTTTCGACGCCGCGGGCGTGGAGGCCGAGCGCTGAGACGAGGAAGATGCCTAAAATCCACACACGTTAGCATCCGTATCAGTCTAGAGGGCGTCGCGCAGGTGTAGTGTGTACCCGTAGCAAAAGACAACAGCCCCAATGGCGACGGATTCGCGAAGGTCCGATGCACAACAGGCAACCCGGGCTGCGAGCGGTCGTTGACGTGCCCGCCGGCTGTGTGGGTGCGGTCAAGATGGGCGAAAGTCGGTGGTGAGCCTCCACCAGCAAGGCCCTTTTCGAGGTGCGAGGCGTGGTCAATTGATGTGTCTGCCATGATCGGAGAAGTGTGGGAGGAAATGAGATAGGGGATATAAGAAGGGGATACTTGAGGAAAAAGTGATAGGTAGGCGTTGACAAAGCTGCCTTTATAGACTCAGAGCCATGGGCTCCGCCTACCAAGCCCAGGACCTAGGTAGACATCTCCCTCCTCCTTTCCCTAAACCGGGGTCGAGGTCAGGGAATGTCTCTAGCACGGGGCGGTATGGGTCTGGGGAAGTTGCCTGTCCACGGGTTGGTTCAGCTTGGGTCAGGATTATCACATGGATTCTGAGTTCCAGCAAATCATGAAGCAAGCGTACTAGCCACCTCGGACGGCACCATGAATCATGTCGATCCCCTGCTGGATTCGAATTGGCCAGGATGCGTGTTCCTCACCAGATCAGCGCAGGGAAAGTCTATAGATCCGTTTCCCCGGATCAGCCGAGAGAACTGCGCTTCTTGTGGGGAGATCTTACCCCATATGTCTCAGCAAGATTAGAGTGGAAGCCCAAGAATTGGCCTACCCACGAGATGAACCTTGTCTCCTCATCTGTTCCCGACCCACTGCAGCTATGTTGCCCTTGTTGAGTGCGGGGAAAGCTCTTGGATCTGTGGGGATTGACGAAGGCCGTGGTGTGCCCGGTCGAGGTCAAGATGAACAGCCTCCTCAAAGGACAGACGTCAAGACATAGATTCATGCAGACAGCACTAGGCTCTGAAAGGATCTTGATGGCGGCTTTTAGGTGTCCAGTTCGTGTTAAACTATAGAAGTCGTTATATATAGAAAATAGTAATGAGCTATGTAAACACCTTCGCCTGCTTCTGCAGATCTAGAAACGTCTTCTCGTCATGGCCCGGGATAACTCGCCCTCTCGTTATCCTCTCCAATTGCTTCAAGCGCTGAGTGCTCCGAAACCACGCTGGGTGGTCTCGAGCCAGCCATCCCTGAGGGATACCGTCGATCCACTATCATCATTAGCTCGGCTCAGGCATCAACCTAGTGTAGAACGTACATTCTCCAGAACGTGGCAATGGTCACTGATGAAGAAAAAGGTTCCTGTTTCAGGCATGTTGATTTGCATCCCAATCATTCCATCCGTATGGCCTGGTAGATGGTGCAGGGTGATGCCCTGGCAGAAGTCGAGGGTTTGGTCGTTGAATGTTTTCCAGTTCCTACTCAACTCGTTAGCAAGCATCCCACCAACTCAGAACGAGGCAAACTCACAGCGACAGATTCAAGTAATGCGCAAGGTAAACGCCCGCATCAGCGCCCGTCCCCACAGACCAAAACGCAGAATGAAATTCCCGCTCATGCACCCAGACCTCAACGTCCTTGTTATCCATGAACTCATCCAGACCTCCGGCGTGATCCAGATGCAGGTGGCCGATGATGATCTTCTTGACGTCTTCGACCCTGTTTCCCGTCGCCTCGATCGCAGCCCGCAGCTCATGCTGTGGCTCATACCGGACGCGTGCAAAGATATCCGCAACAACAGGGCCCCAGACTTCAGGATAGTTCTTTCCGCTGCCAGTTTCCCAGAGGATCAGACCCTCGTGGGGATGCTCGATCAGGATACAGTACATCGGCATCTGGCGGCGCTTGTTGACGAAGGATTTGCCCTCCGTGGATTTCGTTGAGGTGTTACCGCCGCGCGTAACAAAGCCCTCATCGCATTCGAGCCAGCCGCATTCTAGGACGTGAAATTTGGTACCTTGCGGGCAGACATTGGAGACAGCATTGGGAACGGCGCCTTGTGCGATTTGGTTTTGGATGGCGGACATTCTGATATTTGATGTAATTAGCAGAAAGCAATTAATGAGGAAAGAAAAGAGGGTGAGAGAAGGAAATCTATGCGGGGGAGAAATGAGGCGAACTATTCTGATGGATTTATATGCTGGCAAGAGCGACCTGCGCTCGAAGCTCCCCGCCAGGAGTCTACGATAAGACAGGTCGATTGATGAACACCGATCAGCAAGATCCACGTCATTTGCCAATCAACAGCCAGGCAATTGCTCATTTTTGGGAGCGAAGTGTGGGGTGGTGGAGTATGCCCAGTAGCTAGTCCTATACCTACGTGGAATGCGGGGAAATACTCGCTGTCCCGCCGAGAGAGCTTCGGCGGCCGAGTTGACTCGGTAATCCTTCCAAGGCTACTCGGCTACTTGGAAGGGTCGGATACCTAGGTAGGACATGGTCAGTAGAAATGGCGAACTTCCAGCTTCCGTGACTTCGCCTACCTTCAAACTAACCCGCATACTCACTGTTTCCCCGACCACAGGTCATAATTTGAGTTATCATGTCCCTCTCCAGTCTCAAACGCAAGGACCTCTTCGAGCAAAATGGCTTCATCGCCGACAATTGGGCCTCCTCCTCCTCCGGAGCGACATTCACCGTCATAAATCCAGCAACGCTTGAGACGCTTGCAACCCTCCCAGAAATGAACGGCAAAGACACCGAATCCGCCATATCAGCCGCTCACACTGCTTTTCAGTCCTACAAGAAGACTACTGCCCGTCAAAGGGCAACTTGGCTGCGTCGCTGGCACTCCCTTTGTCTCGAAAACATTGACGACCTCGCCCTTATTCTGACTCTCGAAAATGGCAAGCCACTCACTGAAGCTAAAGGCGAAGTCATGTATGCTGCGTCATTCCTCGAGTGGTTCGCAGGTGAAGCAGAGCGAGTGCATGGTGAGGTCGTCCCCGCTGCGAATGCCAGCCATCGCATTTTGACAGTGAAGCAACCTCTCGGTGTGGCTGCTTGTCTGGCGCCATGGAACTTCCCCATTGCAATGATCACACGTAAAGTTGGTGCTGCACTAGCGGCGGGGTGCACGACTGTCTGGAAGCCTGCTGGTGAAACCCCATTGAGTGCACTGGCGCAGGCGGTTCTTGCAAAAGAAGCTGGGTTTCCCGGTGGAACTATCAACGTCATTACGACATTGACCAACGTTGCTGAAGTTGGCGAAGCGCTCTGCAAGTCGAAGCTTGTGCGGAAGCTCAGCTTTACAGGTTCAACGCGCGTCGGGAAACTATTGGCAAGCCAGTGCAGTCAGAACCTCACCAAGCTGTCGCTGGAGCTAGGCGGGAATAGTCCATTCATTGTCTTTGACGATGCAAAACTTGATACGGCGGTCGAAGCTTGTATCCTGGCAAAGTTCAGAAACTCCGGGCAGACTTGTGTCACAGCAAACCGAATTTTCGTGCAGGAAGGTATCTATGACAAGTTCGCGGCAGCTCTTGTCGAAAAGATCAAAACGCTAAAAATCGGAAACGGAGTCGAAGAGGGCGTGGTAATTGGACCGCTTACGCATGACCGTGCTATTGAGAAGGCCATCGCGCATATCAGAGGTACTACCGTGGTCTCCATCTTTTCGCAAGCACCAAAGCCATGCTAACCTCGGGGCTATAGACGCCCAGGACAAAGGCGCCAGCCTCCTTCTCGGCGGATCCCCTTTCCAACCACACAACTTGCAGGGCTACTTCTTCCAGCCCACCGTGTTGAGTGGTATGTCCACAGAGTCCCTAACAACCCGCGAAGAGGTCTTTGCCCCAGTCGTCGCAATCTACCCCTTCAAAACAGAAGAAGAGGTCACTGCGAAGGCCAACGATTGCGACGTGGGGCTGGGCAGTTTTGTCATCACCGAGTCAATGCCACGGATGTGGAGAGTTGCGGAGAATTTGGAGGTCGGTATGGTCGGAATCAACTTGGGCATGCTGAGTGCCGCCGAGAGTCCGTTTGGAGGAGTCAAGGAATCTGGATACGGGCGGGAAGGTGGTCGACAAGGCATTGAAGAGTATTTGACCGTCAAGAGTATCTTGATGAACGTTGCGAATTAGGGCTGGGAAGCTCGTTGGGTGGGGACTTCAGTTTGTTCTAGTTGTGCATCCTATATTAGCGGGAGCAGTTAAGCTCAGATAAGAGTAATGGCAAAAAGAGATCGAACCTTCCGGTCACCGTCGCACATTCATGGCCCTGCCGAGTTAATATATTGATAGTAATTTGATAGATAGGTGGAAGCTTGATCCCCTAGCTCTGGGCCCCCCGCGGTCGCCAAACGCTAGGCTGCCGCGCCCCTACGGAGGACTAAATTGACAAATGCGTAAAAACTCCACTTGTAGTGTAATACTATATATTTACTTAATATTTTACTAGTAAAAAATTAAATATATTATAACTTACTTAGTTTTACTATATGGCTACTTATTTTAAGTATTATAAAAAAATACAAGCTAATACTTAGGTAAAATAAAAATACTTAAATATTTAAATACCTAAACGCCTGTAGTATAGTGTTCCTTAATTAATTATATAAAAATAAAAAAAATTTTAATTTAAATTAATTAAATTTTTTACCTTTTTTTTAAGTTTAAGTTAATTAAATTTTTTATATTATTTATAATAAGCCCTTTTTATATAGGTCCGCAGGTAGCTTATTTTTAATAATAATTTTAAAATTAACTAGGAGTAGTTTATAGTCCTATTTTTTAATAATTATTTTATATAATATATATAAAAGTATTATTTAGTTATTTATAATTAGCGCAGTACCTACTAAATATATTAAAAAGGTAAATATATTTTATAAAAAAATAAAAACTATTTAGGTATTAGTAGCGCTTGTATAAAATACTTATTTTTTTTTAAAAAATAATTAAAAGGGTGTTTATATATAAGTTTTAGTATAATATTATTTAATTAGGCCTTATATTATTATATATAATAATTATTAACCTACCTAAATAAATTATTAACTATTTTTATATAGGATTATAATAAAACCAGGCTAACTTTTAATTTTTAATAAAAAGTTTTAAAGACTAACCCGCGGGAGTTTATTAAAAAATATACTTAAAAATAATACTTAAATTTATTTTTAGCTAAGCTAGCTTAATACTAAAATAAGTAATAAATTTAAAAATTATTATATATTAAATAACCTTAAAAGTTTTATATAAAATTTTTTAAAAGCTATTACTAGTATATAAAGCTATTAGCTAGTATTTAATTAATATAAGGTATAAAATATTTAATATTTTATAAAGCTTAAAGGGCGGAGGCAAAGGGCTAAAAAAAAAGGTTATATATTAATTTTTAGTAATATTATATACTAAAATAGCCTTAAAAATTTTATATAAAATTTTTAAAAGTTATTACTAGTATATAAAGTTATTAGTAAGTATTTTAAAGTAATTAAAAAAAAAGGTTATTTACTAATTTTTAGTAATATAGTATACTAGAAATAGCCTTACTTAGCTATTTTTATATAAAAAGGCCTTATAAGGGCTATTACTAGTATATAAAAAATTAGCTAATACCTTTTTAAAATAAAAAACAAAAGGTAAAGGGCTAAATATACGCCATTATATTAATAATAATTAAAAAAAAAAGAAAAAAAAAATAATAAAGCCTTAATATATTATGTTACTTAGTTATAATTACTGTAAGGGCGCCCCAGCACCTAGATGTTCTTTACTAATAATAATAAAGCTTGGCAAAGTATTTTTAACTAATAAGAATAAAGTATTTAAAACCTTAATAAATTTAACTAAAAGAATTACTTAAAAAACTAGATATACCATAACTTTTAGCTTTTTTATATAAGCCTTGCCTAAAAGCCTAAGGCCTTTAAATAATTTTTTAAGCTATTTTTATTTAAAAAGTAAATAGTATTTAAATATTTTTATATTCACGCTTTTTATAATTACTTTTTAATTATTAAGGTAATTTAATACAAGGCGCGCCTTTATTTTACTATTTAAATAATACTTAAAACTTAAGGTTCTTAAGCTAAGGTCCCTAGTTAAAGCTAATATTATATTAAACCTAATATTATATTAAATTTAATACTATATTAAGTTTTATATAATAATTTATAATAATAAGGTTTATTAAATTAAATAAGTACTTAAGGTATTTTATATAATAATATTAATATTTTATAGTAGCATAACCCAGGTGCCTTAGGCATTGCTTAATAGCGTGACCCAGATCAATGTCGGCCCTGACAATTACCTAACTAAATACCTTAAATATTTTTATATAAAACCAGCTACTTTACTTTAAGAACTTTATTTTTATTTACTAGTATAATTTATAACTTTAGGCTTAATTTTAACCTTTATATAAAGGTAACTTTATTTTTAACTTTTAGCTTTTATATAAAGGCTAAATAACTCCCGGCCTTTATATAAAGGCTAAAATTAAGCCTAAAGTTATAAATTTTACTAGTAACTTAAATATTAAGTATTTTGCAGGGTAAGGTATATAAAAAAAAAGATTTTTATATAATACTAACTATTTTTAAAGGTAAGTAATTTAAAAAATAACTTTTAGTACCTAAATAATAATATTATAAACTTAAATTTACCTTTATATAAAGGCCTAAAGTTTATATATAAAGGTAAGTTTAGGTTTATAGTACCACTATCTAGCCTTTATATAAAGGTAAAATTAAGCCTAAAGTTATAAATCTTACTAGTAACTTAAATATTAAGTATTTTACAAGCTTATTAAAGCTTTACTAGTAAGATTTATAACTTTAGGCTTAATTTTACCTTTATATAAAGGTAAGTTTAAGTTTATAGTATTATTATCCAGGCACCAAGGCTAAAATTAAGCCTAAAGTTATAAATTTTATAAATAATTTAAATACTAAGTATTTTACAAGCTTATTAAAGCTTTACTAGGCCGTACTTGCCTTTATATAAGGCTGTACTTGCCTTTATATAAGGCTATACTTACCTTTATATAAAGGCCGTACTTGCCTTTATATGCTTTATATATATAAAGGCTATATTTATAACTTTAGGCTTAATTTTATTTTTATATAAAGGCCTGGATAGTAATACTATAAACCTAAACTTATTTTTATATAAAGGTAAAATTAAGCCTAAAGTTATAAATTTACTAGTAACTTAAATATTAAGTATTTTATACTATAAGCTTTATATAAAAACCCTAAGCCTAACTTTTTAAAGTAGGTATTTAACCCTTTATATAGGAATAAAAGGTAAAACCCTAAAATAATAATTAAAATAAATAGTAATTTTATTAATTTATATAATAAGTAAAATTAACAAGGTGTTAAGGCCTTTATACAAAATATTAAAAATAGTAAAGTAAGTAAAATTAACAAGGCATTAAGGCCTTTATATAGGATAAATTAACAAGGTATTAAGGCCTTTATATAGCATATTAAAAATAGTAAAGCAAGTAAAATTAATAAGGCATTAAGGCCTTTATATAAGATAAATTTTTTTTTAAATAAAAATCCTAAACTTTGCAGAGCGCTTAATATTCTTAAGTTAAATTTAATAATACCTTTTTATATAATAAGTAACACTATTATTTTCCTGCTTTTTTTATATAAAAAGCTTGGCTGGATTAAAAAGACTAGTTTTTTTTTTTAATAACCTGTTTTTTAGTATTTTTTAAAAAAAAAATTAAACACTTTTTAAAAGCTAGTTCTTTCTTAATTTTAAGGCCTTATATAAAAGCTAGTTTTACCTTAATTTATAATTTTTATATAGCTACCTTTTTTTTAAGCTTAGGCTTTACCTTAACCTTTAGCTTTTATATAGCTAATTTTACCTTAATTTTTAGCTTTTATATAGCTGCCTTTTTTTTAGCAAACCTTTTAAAAGGTGTTTAATCTAGCTTTAGTATAAACTTAATAATATTTTTTATAATAATTATATAAATTAAATAATTTTTCTTGCCTGGAACCTTGTACTAATTAAAAATAATAATTATTTTTTATATTTTATTATTTAATTATTAAAGGTAGACTAGGTATAGCTAGGATTAAATTATAATAGTAAGGTATAAGTTATTTTTATTTTAAAGTTTATATATATTTTTTTTATTTTTTAAATTAAGCAGGCCCTAATAAAGTCCTTGTATAAAATAACTATATAAAAATAAATTTATATAAAGTAAATATTTAAAAAAAGTAATTAATTAAATTAATAAAATTAAACCTTAAAGGTTAATTTAATATATTAATAAAATTATAAAATAAAGGCTTTTAAATTCCATAAATTTTTTTTATATAAAAAGGTAAAATTTAACCTTGCAAGAAGTTTCTTATATTAAAATTTAAGTTATATAAGTAATAAACTTTTATTAATAATTTTTTACTTTTTTTATATGGCTAAAATACTAGAAGTATTTAAAAAACTTTTTTTTAGTAATAAAAAAGTAAGAGTAAAGACCTGGAGGGCTCTTTAGAGAAAAACAGGAGGTATATTGTAAGGGCGCCCTAGCACCTAGATGTTCTTTACTAATAATAATAAAGCTTGGTAAAGTATCTTTAACTAATAAGAATAAAGTATTTAAAACCTTAATAAATTTAACTAAAAAAATTACTTAAAAAACTAAATATACTATAGCTTTTAGCTTTTTTATATAGGCCTTGCCTAAAGGCCTAAGGCCTTTAAGTAATTTTTTAAGCTATTTTATTTAAAAAGTAGGTAATATTTAAATATTTTTATATTTATATTTTTTATAATTATTTTTTAATTATTAAGGTAATTTAATACAAGGCGTGCCTTTATTTTACTACTTAAATAATACCTAAAACCTAAGGTCCTTAAGCTAAGGTTCTTGGTTAAAGCTAATATTATATTAAATTTAATATTATATTAAATTTAATGCTATATTAAGTTTTATATAATAATTTATAATAATAAGGTTTATTAAGCTAAATAGGTGCCTAAGGCATCCTGTATAATAATATTAATACTTTATGGTAGTATAACCTAGGTGCCTTAGGTATTATTTAATAGCATAACCTAGATTAATATTAGTTTTAATAATTTTTCCCCCCTTAAAAAAT